CTATCCTTGATGCCTACTGATTAAAAGGACCCAGTCTCTCTGTGTGCCATTCCAAGAGGAATTTATTAAGTGGCTTTGAGCACGTGACTCTGAATCCACACTCCCTCCTCCCCCCACAGTGGGTCAGCCTTTGAACAGAACAAAAGGTTTCTTATCCTGCCATAGGGGGAGCTCCCTAGCCCTGGTTCCTGTGGAATTAATACAGCCATTCAAGGGTAAGGGAGTAAGAAAATGTGTCACGGGATGAATGGAAACCCCTGGACGGAGCCGCCACAAAGGTGTTTAATTGCACTTGCTTTGCCGTGAAGCAAGGGGTCCTGTTTCCTTTCAAGGGTTTCTGTTTCGAGAATGAAGAAATGCCCTCTAGGTTTGGAGGATGAGTGACAAGCCAGGAAGATTCCGTCCCAGGTCCTTTTCTGAAGAGCTGATTCGTGCACTGTTTGCTTTGCTCCCCGGGACTTGCCCTTGCTTCTAGGAGAGTTTAATCCAGTTAGGACCTGGATACTGTCAGGTTGCCTTTAGAAAATTGTTGACTATTTTCCGTTTAAATCTATGTCTCTGTCAGGAGCTATTCCTGAGCGCCTACCCTTGGATTAGATTAGCCGCTCCAAATTTTGGTTATTGAGTGAGAGCCTTGATTTTGCTGCAGCTCTTCCCAGCTTAGGGAAACTCCTGGCCCCCAGCTGCTCAGTACCAAGGCCTCATTTGATTTGGAAATACATGGAGCAGGGAGACGCCCTAGGCAGGCGATGCTGTTTTTGCATTAAAGGTTTATTTTTATTTTTAAATATTATTTATTTATTTGAAAGGCTGAGTTACAGAGAGGCAGGAAGAGAGAGAGAGAGAGAGAGGTCTTCCATCTGTGGGTTCACTCCCCAAATGGCCACAATGGTCAGAGCTGCGTCGATCCAAAGCCAGGAGGCAGGAACCAGGTCTCCCACGGGGGTGCAGGAGCCCAAGGACTTGGGCCATCTTCTACTGCTTTCCCAGGCCACAGCAGAGAGCTGAATTGGAAGTGGAGCAGCTGAGACTCTAACTGGCGCCCACATGGGATGCCGGCGCTGCAGGTGGTGGCTTTACCCACTACACCACAGCGCTGGTCCCTTTGCATGCAGTTTTACGCTGCCTTTTGCCTGCCTGTCCCCCATCCCCATAACTCCCCTCAAGCCCCCAGTGCAGGCTCGTCTCTTGGACCTGCTAATAATAATAATTCTTGGTTAGTTTCCTCTTCACATCTTATCATCTAGGTAGAAAAATCTCTTTGTTCCTTAAGAATAAGGAAGAGTCCTCTTTATTGTTATTATTTTATTATTTATTTTCTCAAGGTTTAGTTTTGTGTCCCTGTGAAACTTTATTTTCTTTTAAGTTTTATTGGTTTATTTATGTGAAAGGCAGAATGAGAGAGAGAGAGAGAGAGAGAGAGAGAGAGAGATATTCTCTCTGCTGGTTCACCCCTAACTGCCCACAACAGCCAGGGTTGGGCCAGGCAGAAGCCAGGAGCCCGGAACTCCAGCCGTGTCTCCCCCATGGGTGGCAGGGACCAAATTATTGGGCCATTATCTGCTGCCTCCTGGATGTGTTAGCGGAAAGCTGGATCCGAAGCCGGGGCGGGTCGAATCCCAGCCACTCCCATGTGGGTTGCAGGCATTGCAAGCCTCTGCTTAACCCCCTGGGCCACAGTGCCCTCTCGGTGTTTCCTTGCATTTCTGCTTTATTGTCAGAAATGGACAGGTCCCTCCCACTTTTTTTTTTTTTAAGATTTATTTATTTATTTGAAAGTCAGAGTTACAGAGATGCAGAGAGAGAGAGAGAGAGAGAGAGAGAGAGAGAGGTCTTCCATCTGCTGGTTCACTCCCCAGATGGCTGCAATGACTGGGCTTAAGCCAGGAGCTTCTTCTGGGTCTCCCATGCAAGTGCAGGGGCCCAAGGACTTGAGCCATCTTCTACCGCTTTCCCAGGCCACAGCAGAGAGCTGGATTGGAAGTGGAGCAGCCAGGGCTTGAACCAGCGCCCATGTGAGATGCCAGCACTGCAGGCGACAGTGTTACCCACTATGCCACACCAGCCCCCACCCCCACCTTTATATGTGATCTCAATTCATGTGCATTGGGTGCATGTCCCTTGATACCTGGATCTTAGAATCATAAAAACTTGATTGGATTGTTTATTGAGGAAAAAAATAGCGTTGCATGCATTTTTTGATAAGCATCAATACATTTAAGAATTATTGTCTTATCAGCAGGTGATATTAAGAGGAAAAAAATAGCAAATATATATCTCGAAGATTTGAGGAGATTTAGTAACATTAATAACAGGCATCTGATGTCTTAACATAAGTCAAACGGTAGCCCCAACATTTGATTTTTTTTAAAGGCCATAGGTTAGCTGAGAAAGGTGATTTTTATTTTTATTTTTAGATTTATTTATTTGAAAGAATTACAGATGGAGGGAGAAAGGGACAGAGAGAGAGAGAGAGAGAGGAGAGAGAGAGAGGGAGGGAGAATCTTCTATCTGCTTGTTTACTCCTCAAATGGCCACAGTGGCTGGGGCTGAGCTGGGTTGAGATCAGGGCCTGGAACTCCATGCTGGTGTCCCACGTGGGTGACAGGCCCCAAGCAACCCAGCTGCTTTCCAAGTGCATTAGTGGGTAGCTGGATCGGAACTAGAGCAACTGGAGTCTAACAGGTGCTCCTCTGGGCTGCTGGCTTTGCAGGCGGTGCCTAAGCTACTACGCTGCAATGCCGCTCTGAGGCCATGGCTCTTACTGACGGAAGAGTGAAGTCCCCACAGCACCTTGACACAATGGTCCTGGGAACTGCGGGGCACGAGAAGAGGTCCTCACTCAAACAGACCTGCAGGCTGAGCCCGGCTGTGCAGAAAGAAAATTCCAGAATATCTGAAGGTGTCTTACAGGCTCGTGGAGTCCTGGTGGTTTAGTCTTGACGTTGATCCTGGAGATAATACTGCTGCGGAGTTAGCTGTAGACAAGCTGAAGTGAGTCGGAAAGACCGGGGTTCAAATCCTGAGCGGCTGTGTGTCCCCGTGTCACAGGGAGTCAAATGGTTAGAACTTAGCGATTTCCTTGAAGTGCGTGGCGTGGACTTTGGCACACAGGGAGTGCTGACTGTTGCTGTAATTAACCAGGCAGGGGTCTAGGAGGAGACTGGAGCCCACGTGGGTCTCTCCTTCCCTGCCCAGGAAGAACCACAGTTCCCCATCCCACCCCCACCCCCAGCCTTCTGCCCCTCAGGGGCAGCACACATCCTCAGCCCACAGGTCAAGGGCTTCCATTTCCCAAGACCCCCCTCAGCTCATGGACAAGGATAAGCAGGCGCTCAGACGCCCACCCCTCTCTGCTCCCAGGATTCTCAGCTTTGCCACCTTCCTCGGCCCTGAGTTCCCCAGATCTCATTTTACTGCATCATTAATTCCTGCTCATGCAGTCAGCACACACACACACACACGTGCATGATTGTGCATACATGCTCACGTGGGCACCTGCCGCACACACACGCACACTGGACTCGTGGGCTCCTTTTACTGTAATTCCGATTGGTTTCTGCGCAAGCTCCCGTTGTTTGCATCTCCTACCTCTGCTGAACTCCTGAGGCTGAAATCTGCATGTACCATCAACCAAATCCCCATCCAGCCCCCAGCGTCCTTCCCATGCCTTGGCTTCCTGCCCTCAGTGGGCTGCGGCCCCTCTAAGAACACTGCTTCCCCCCCTGCTCTGGCTCGGGCTCCTTAACAGCTCCTTGATCCTCACTGCCGCCTCCAGCAGTCTCCGTCCTCTTTAATGTCAGGACATCGAACCACCTCAGTGCTACAGCCGTCTCCCTAGCTGTCATTTGCCATCATTTCCCAAAGAGTTCAGCTCCTTCTGCAACTGTCGCTCTCTCCAGCACAACGGGGCAAAGCCGATACACACAGCTACGAACCCTCTCACCTCCTGGCTCTCAGCGTCTTGAATGCCTCTTCTCCAGCAACACCTGCCATCTGCCCGACTTCCATCATCCACTGTTGCTGTCCTGCAGACGCAAACTCCCCCATGGTCTCTGTTTCATGCACTCCCATCTCTGGACACCACTCTCTCTAGCAACCCAGCTCCAACAAGTCCTGGAGTCCATGGGCAACCCCAGGCCACTAACTCTACTGGCTATTCACTGTTCTTCATCCCCTGATATCTTTCCTTGCATTTTTTTAGATTTATTTATTTATTTGAAAGGCAGAGTTACAGAGAGAGAGAAGGAGAGGCAGAGAGAGAGAGAGAGAGAGAGAGAGATTGAGGTCTTCCACCTGCTGGTTCACTCCCCAGTTGACTGCAATGGCTGGAGCTGGGCTGATCAGAAGCCAGGAGTCAGGAGCTTCCTCCAGGTCTCCCACGCAGGTGCAGGGACCCAAGGACTTGGGCCATCTTCCACTGCTTTCCCAGGCCATAGCAGAGAGCTGGATCAGAAGTGGAGCAGCTGGGACTTGAACCGTCGCCCATATGGGATGCCGGCACTGCAGGCGACGGCTTTGCCTGCTATGCCACAGCACCGGCCCCTATCCTTGCACTCTTATCTTTATTTATTTATTTGAGAGGGAGAGAGAGGAGAGCCGCCATCTGCTGTTTCATTCCCCAAATGTCCACAACAGCCAGGGCTGGGCTGGGGCCAAAGCCCCGGAGCTGGGGACCCAATCCAGGTCTCCCAACTGCTTGAGCCATCGCTGCTGTGCCTCGCACAGTGTGTCCTAGCAGGAATCTGGAATCAGCTCCCCTAGCATCTGGGGCGTGAACCAGGGGATGTGAACTCCTCTCTCTCTGTTTTCTCTGCCTCTCAAGAACAAACAAGCAAGCAAGCGTGTCCACGCTGTTTCTAAAGCCCTGGGCCCCAGCTGGTCGTAAGCTTGTGCGCCATGTGCCCGAGCCCTGAGTGACCGCTCTGCGCAGTTTGGCTGTGTTCCGATGGTTCCCGAGGCTTCTCGTTTGATAGCTGTGTTGTTCTTTCTGTTGACAGCGGAACAGGAAGACACTCAGAAGAAGACCTTCACCTGCTGGATAAACTCGCAGTTGGCAAAGGTGAGGAAAGAACGGGCACATGAAGCCAGAAATGTAGTTAATTCCCCTTCCTTTGTCAGGTGGCCCCGAGCCGGCCATTAAGAAAGGCGCTGGCCCGCGACAGGTTGTGGGATATCTCTTCTTGAGAGAGTGTGCCGAAAGTCAGCTCCATCTTGTTTTTGTGTATTTGATACGGCAGGAGCTAAGACAGTATGAAAACAGAAATAGTTCAAGGACGCGAAATGATGGTGATTTGTTGGTATTGACCCTGCCATCCGCCCTGTAATTGTGATGACTTTGACTACTCCTGACAACCTTCCTGCCAGGTAGATGGTGTTATTCCTGTTCCGAGGGGAAAGAAGGTCAGGCCCAGAGAAGTTGTGTGACTCACCCACATCACACAGCTTGTAAGTAGCCGTGCAGGGATGCAAAACTAGGCAGCCTGGGCCCCAGCGGCCGTGATCAGGATCTTGGGGCCATTCTAGCCCTTGGTGATGCCGGCTGCCAGAGTAACCTGGACACATGATGAGCCAGCCTGTCTTCCCAGGGCCCCCAGCCTGTGCCCACCTGCCTGTCCCCACCTGATGCTTGTGATTCTAAAAAAGGACACATGGACGAGCAGGTGCAGGCGGGTGGGCGTCACTCCTGGCTGATTCTGAACATCTTGCCCTCACTGCCGTGCACGGATTTTAAACTCAGTGCAGGCTCCACGCAGGAGTGTTGTGTTACTACGCGTTTGCCACGAGATACAGCATGGTCACTACTTTTCCTGTCAGGGCTTGATAAGGAGTGTGCATGCTCTTGATCACTCTTTTAATTTAAAAGGAAATTGCCCTCCTTCTGGGCTCTTTTTTTTTTTTAAAGATTTTATTTATTTATTTGGGAGAGTTACAGAGAGAGAGAGAGAGGTCTTCCATCCACTGGTTCACTCTCCAAATGGCCGCACGGCTGGAGCTGCACCGATCTGAAGCCAGGAGCCAGGAGCTTCTTCCAGGTCTCCCATGCGGGTGCAGGGGCCCAAGCACTTGGGCCATCCTCCACTGCTTTCCCAGGCCATTAGCAGAGAGCTGGATTGGAAGAGGGGCAGCCAGGACTCCAACCGGCACCCATATGGGATGCTGGCGTCACAGGCGAAGGATCAACCTACTGCACCACAGCGCCGGCCCCTGGGCGTTTTCGAAGCACACTTGTGTTGGGGGCGCAGTCTGATTTATTTTCTCTCGTGACCTCTGCAGCACACGCCGCCCTCAGCTGTGTCAGACCTCTTCACCGACATTAAAAAGGGCCATGTGCTCCTGGACCTGCTCGAAGTACTCTCGGGCCAACAGTTGGTAAGAGCTTTAAATGACACCAGCCAACTTGTTGTTGTCGACTTTTTTAAAAAGCGTGTTTCCGGTTTCTCAGTAACATGTTTGCTTGACCATCACAGCCGCGGGATAAAGGACTTAATCCGTTCCAGTGCAGAATCAATATAGAACACGCCCTGACATTCCTGAAGAACCGATCGGTGAGCATACAGTTCACCTGCAAAATTATCAGAGTGATTAAGGCCATGGAGTCTTTGTTTCCCTTTTAACCCGTGTGTCCTGCTTTTTCAGATCAAGCTCATCAATATCCATGTTGCTGATATCATAGATGGAAACCCATCCATTATCCTCGGCCTTATTTGGACAATAATACTGCATTTCCATGTGAGTAGTTTGAGGATACGGCTTTTTTTTTTTTTTTTTCTGTGCAAATTACTGCTGTCTGTATGCCGCTCGGGTCAGTCCCCAGCTGCTTCCAAAAACAGGGCACACTCTGGAAGCTTCTCTCAAGTAGAAAACCTGGAGCAGACTTTTTGCCATTGTTGTCACCACTTTCAGCTGCAAGTTCAATGCTGAATTGTCAGAGGGCCTGATTTCTCCGTGAGGTCAGAACCGGTCTGGGCAGAACCTGTGCGGTAAACGTTTGCGGATTGTTGTTTGTTTCCCGGGACAAGGAAGGGAGAGGGAAGTTTCTGGAATCAGTCCTTGAAATATGACCCACTCAACTTGCACTGATCTCCCCTGTTTTTGAGGGGCTCCCCCTACCTCGGTCTAGTGCATCTGAATAACCCAGCAATGTCCAGTTCTTTCCCAACTCACTTTCAGACTTGGTGATTCTGTGGCTCTCACTGAACAGTTAACATATCTTAGTGATCATTGTGGGACACTGAGATAGAGTGATGGCTACAGTCTTGACTTCATGAAGCTTAGGGTGGAGACGCGGGAGAGCACTTCAAAAAGTTTATAGAAAATGGAATTCAAAGATACGTTGGTTTGGGTGCAAACAGTTTTGAAGTCCATGCGTTGTTTCTCCCTTGTGTGAGTTTCAGAATTGTTTTGGCACCAACATAAACTTAGCTTTTAATTTCATTTTCCACGCACTTTAAAAAGATTTCGAAAATTTTATTTTTTGTTTGCTTGAAAGGCAGAGAGAAAAGTAGAGAGAAACAGAGACCCCCCTGTCCACTAGTTCACTCCCCAAATGCCTGCAACAGCCATGGCTGACCAGGCTGAAGCCAGAGGCCTGGTACTGTTTGAGTCTTCCATGTGGGTGGTGGGGACCCGAGTTCGTGGGCCATCACTTGCTGCCTCCCCAGGGTGTGCATTAGCAGAGACCTGGGCCGGAAGTGGAGCCAGGCCTTGACCCCAGGCACTGTGCTATGGGATGTGGGTGCCCCAGGGGGAGTTCTGAATTCCCTCATGCTCCTATGTTCTTGCAGCCTTGAGATTTTTAGTGCAAGTTTTTGTATTACCTGAAATTCAGTTACACTTCTTCGATCTTTTCAATTACTTTAAGAATACCTTAAACATGTTTGTGGGAGGGGCTGGTGCTGTGGAGCAGTAGGTTAATCCTCTACCTGGTCACTCCCCAAATGGCTGCAACAGCCAAAGATGGACTGACCCAAAGCCAGGAGTAGGAGCTTCTTCCAGGTCTCCCACGTTGATGCAGGGACCTCAGGACTTGAGCCTTCTTCCACTGTTTTCCCAGGCCATTAGCAGGGAGCTAGATCAGAAGTGGAGCAGCTGGGGCTCGAACCAGTGTTTATATGGGATGCCAGCATCACAGGTGGTAGCTTAACCCTCTGCACCACAGCACCAAGCCCCATAGTTTTTTCTTTGTATGAATTTTCCATGAACTTTTTGAACATACTCATATGCATCTCAAAAAATTTTTGCACCAAAATAAACTTACCATTTTATTTCATTTTCCATGAACTTGTTAAAATGCTGTTGTACATATGTGGCTCCATTTTCAGATTATCTATTCCATTCTGTTATTCATATTTACACCAGTGTTATACTGAATTAATTTCTGCAGTTATATAGTAAGTCTTGATAGTAAAAGTCTTGGTAGTAAAAGTTGTCTAACTTGTCCTTCAAGGTTATCTCAGCTACTCTTTCCTTTTTGTGTTTTCATGTAAGTTTTATGTAGAGGTTATCAGTTACACACAGACACACACACACACGCACACACACACATATGGTCTGTTGGAGTTTTTATTGCATTGAATGTATGGGACATTTTGGAAAAAATAGACAGCTCTAAGATATTGCATCTTCTACTGCATGCATATACTACTTTAGTTATTGTTCTGTTGGAAATATTCTAATTTTCGTTATGATTTCTCATTTGATTCATGGGTTACAGGAAAATCTACTGCTTAACTTTCCAAGGGCCTGCTTATTTTTTTTAAAGATTTATTTATTTATTTGAAAGTCAGAGTTACACAGAGAGAAAAGGAGAGGCAGAGAGAGAGAGAGAGAGAAGTCTTCCATCCGATGGTTCACTCTCCAGGTGGCCGCAATGGCCAGAGCTGTGCTGATCCAAAGCCAGGATCCAGGAGCTTCTTCCAGGTCTCCCACGTGGGCGCAGGGGCCCAAGGACTTGGGCCATCTTCTACTGCTGTCCCAGGCCACAGCAGAGAGCTGGATTGGAAGAGGAGCAGCTGGGCCTCGAACCAGTGCCCATATGGGATGCTGGCCCTGCAGGCAGCGGCTTTACCCACTATGCCACAGTGCCGGCCCCATGCCTGCTTATTTTGACTGTTAAATCTGTCTAGAGTTTCAGTGTGATCATAGAACATGGTGGTGTCAATCCTGCACAGCTGCCGAGGCTTGCCTTGTGGCTCTGTGTGGTTCATTTTGGTCAGTGTTCTGTAGGCTGATCCAGGAGCAAGAGGATGGTCTGCTGTGCCTAGCAGAGCAATGCCAATCAAATAAGTTTGCCAATCACATCATTCATGTCTGTTACTGGGAGAAGTAGATCAAATACTTCTGTTTGTGGTCTTTTTTTTTTTTAAATTTTTTGACAGGCAGAGTGGACAGTGAGAGAGAGAGAGAGACAGAGAAAGGCCTTCCTTTGCCGCTGGTTTACCCTCCAATGGCTGCTGCGGCCGGCGCACTGAGCTGATCCGAAGGCAGGAGCCAGGTGCTTCTCCTGGTCTCCCATGGGGTGCAGGGTCCAAGCACTTGGCCATCCTCCACTGCACTCCCTGGCCACAGCAGAGAGCTGGCCTGGAAGAGGGGCAACCGGGACAGAATCCGGCACCCCGACCGGGACTAGAACCCGGTGTGCTGGCGCCGCAAGGCGGAGGATTAGCCTAGTGAGCCACGGCGCCGGCCTGTTTGTGGTCTTATCCTTTAAAGTTTTAGAGAGATGCTATCTTGCCCTCCAAAAAATTTGAACCAATTTGTACAATTACTACTAGTTTTAAAAAATTCAATTTCTCACACTTAAACTATCACTGGTATTGCTATTTATTTTCTTTTTTTGCTTGTTTTATATAGTAAAAGCCATCATTTTGTTGTATACATTTCAATTTTTTAAATCAATAATGGGATTGTTTTTTGTGTAAGAGGTGGTTTTTTTTTTCTTTCTTGGGACTTATCTGTCCATGCATTTGATCAATCTGTACATTTGTTTTTAAAGATTTTATTTATTTATTTGAGAGGCAGAGTTACAGACAGTGAGAGGGAGAGACAGAGAGAGAGATTTTCCATCTGCTGTTTCACTCCCCAAATGGCTGCAACGGCCAGAGCTGGGCCAATCTGAAGCCAGGAGCCAGGAGTTTCTTCTAGGTCTCTTACATGGGTGCAGCGGCCCAAGGACTTGGGCCATCTCCTGCTTTTCCATGCCATAATGGGGAGCTGGATTGGAAGGGGAGCGGCCAGGACTAGAACCAGTGCCCATATGGGATGCCGGTGCTGTAGGCAGAGGATTAACCTACTGAGCCACAGCACCAGCCCCTACATTTGTTCTGAATGGTTGATGATCAAGGATGCGTTTCAGCTGATCCAGTCTCTAAAGCTACCCTCGAGGAGGAGCCTGCTTTAGTTCAGTTCGATGTAGTTTGACAAGTGTTGAACTCCAGAAAATGCTCTGTAAGCGCTTTAGGGAAACAAACAGGGGCTTTCCTTCAGTGCAGGCGGGTGTGCCTGGGAGCGGAGAGGCATGGCCCGAGCTCGGCCAAGGTGCAGCCCTAGGTGGCGAATGCTGTCATTCAAGGATTTTTCCAGTGCTCACTTCGCCGCGGGTACATTGGCCCTGTCGCGGGTCTTGCTTTGGCTGCAGATTTTGGTCCTGATTCTGTGTGTCTTCACCGTTACGCCTTAGATCGAGGAGCTGGCCCGGACTCTTTCTTGCAATTACAATGAACCTGCCGCGGCTGAGGTGAGCGTGGTGGATTCGTCTCCTACCTCAAGTCCTCCAGCTAAGAAGTGCTCCAAGGCCCAAGAAAGATGGAAGCTGTCCGCCAAGAAGGCTCTCCTGCTGTGGGCCCAGGAGCAGTGTGCCACGTGAGTAGCTTGCTGGGATGAGAAGAGACGCACAGGCCACCCACTCAACCTCGTGGACTCCTAGGTCTGGAAAATCAGGCTGGCTGGGTGGAGCGCGTGTCCAGAAGCCTCCATCTCAGATAAAGGAAATGTTCCCCGTCTCCGTTCCTTTCACAATGAATCTTCCAAATGCGGAGGTCCCTGAGCCCGGCCACTCTTGGCTTGGAAGGCTATAAGGTCTTGTTATCTGGGCAGTCTCTCCCTGCCCCCCTGTGCCCTGTTTTGGTGGCCTAGTCTAGGTGGAAATCAAGTAGTGCTCAGATAGTCTGTTCTTCATACACAGTTCCCCTGTGCGCTGCAGGGTCGAATTCAATGTAAAAGATTCCCCCCCCCGCCACGGTGAGCTCTTTCAAAGTCAAGGCTATGTCTCAGTTGACTGTATAGCCCCAGACCTTTGCATAGTGTGAGTTCATGGTAGTCGTGTACTCATGAATGGGTGGAATGAATAAAGGAGCCACTGAATAAATAGCAAAATTATCTCTTGGAGGTGTAAGTGATTTCATGAAGGGCACGTTTCCTACTGACTGGAAATAGCTCAGTACACAAAGAGATAAGAGAATGAGCATTTTTAAAAAAAGATTTATTTATCTATTTAAAGATGTATTTATTTATTGGAGAGGCAGAGTTACAGAGAGAGAGAGAGAGAGGTCTTCCATCTGCTGGTTCACTCCCCAGATGGCCATAACAGCCAGAGCTGGACCAATCCGAAGCCAGGAGCCAGGAGCTTCTTCTGGGTCTCCCATGTTAGTGCAGGGGACCAAGGACTTGGGCCACCTTCTACTGCTTTCCCAGGCCACAGCACAGAGTTGGATCGGAAGAGGAGCAGCCGGGACAGGAACTGCTGCTCGTGTGGGGTGTCGGCACCGCAGGTGGAGGCCCAGCCCACTACGCCGCAGCACCGGCCCCATCATTTCAGTTTTACAAAGGGCAAGATGCTGACTTTCCCATGGTAACCACCGGCTGGGGTGCTGTTTGGAGGCATAAGATGCAGTAGGAGAGCTGTGCAGTGCAAAGGGCATTCCTTGTCGTCTCCTAGCACTGGCCCGGGGAAGAGAACCAGAAATAGGGAACACATTCCTTCCAAGTAAGGAAGGTGAGGGAGGTTAATTTCTAACCAAAGATGAGGGAGGTTAATTTCTGCCTTCAGCCTCACTTTTATTTGTTGCTCATCCTCTGTATTTTTTGAGAGACGGAAATCATCTATGCAGATTTGAAACATGGTAGGTGGACTTTGTCTGGAATCTTCTAGAGACAGTGTTCCTTTTTTGATTAAACAAATATGTGAAAAGCATGGTGATACTAAATTCAGATTTATTTCATTTGTGTATAAATGACCTTCCAGCTGTTTGAGTCTCATTTGAAGGGTCTTCAAAAAATTCACGGAAAAAGCATATTATAAAAAAAAATCTATTGGCTGGTGCCGCAGCTCACTAGGCTAATCCTCCACCTGCGGCGCCGGCACACCGGGTTCTAGTCTCAGTCAGGGCGCCAGATTCTGTCCCAGTTGCCCCTCTTCCAGGCCAGCTCTCTGCTGTGGCCCAGGAGTGCAGTGGAGGATGGCCCAAGTGCTTGGGCCCTGCACCCCATGGGAGACCAGGGGGAAGCACCTGGCTCCTGGCTTCGGATCAGCGCGGTGCACCGGCCGCAGCAGCCATTTGAGGGTGAACCAACGGCAAAGGAAGACCTTTCTCTCTGTCTCTCTCTCTCTCTGTCCACTCTGCCTGTCCAAAAAAAAAAAAAAAAAAAAAAAGCTATTGGGGCTGTTGCTGTGGTGCAGTGGATTAATGCCCTGACCTGAGGTGCCGGCATCCCATATGGGCAACAGTTCAAGACCAGGCTGCTCCACTTCCAATTCAGCTCTCTGCTGTGGTCTGCTTAGTAGAAGATGGCCCAAGTGCTTGAACCCATGCACCCCCGTGAGAGACCCGGAAGAAGCTCCTGGCTCCTGGCTTCAGATCGGCACAGCTCCGGCCATTGGGGCCATCTCGGGAACCATTGGATGGAAGACCTCTCTCTCTCTCTCTGCCTCTCCTCTCTCTGTGTAACTCTGACTTTCAAATGAATAAATAAATAAATCTTTAAAAAAAATCTATGCATGGAATTTCAAAGCTTTTTTGGCATAAAATTTGTTATTTCCATTTGAATAAATCTGTTAATTCCATTTCTCCAGGAAGTTTTTGAAGTTCCCTCCTACTTTATCATTTATCTTTCCCCATGTTCCTTAGTATTTTTCAACTCTAGAGCAGGAGCTAAACTTAAGATACAGTGCCTCTTGTTAAGGCATTCATCATGAGTTTCTGCTAGTTTTGGCCATCGTTGGTGAAACTGTTAGGTAATTTTTATTTCAATATTCTGTGATTCCCTGGGACTCAAATATAAAACTGCTGTTATTAAGTAATAATGAAGGGACTTCAAAACCTTTGTGGGAAATGGAGTAGAAGACAAAAGATCAATCCTGGCATCGTTTTTTCATAATCCGCATTTTCATGACCTTTTTGCAGATTTCTTGTATGCAGAGTTGAAAATTTTTTGTTCTCAAGTTAACTTGTCTTTTAGTTCAGTTTTTCCATGAAAAATTTCAAGTACCCTCCTATGTAGCACTTCCTTGTTTGTGAATGGATGAAACCGACCTCATTTCCCAATTGTACATTTGCCTCGATCCTGGTGCTCATTCTGCAGCCTACCCTGACCTCTCTTCACTTGATCTTAGCCAAAAGGCCAAGAGCGAATAATCCTGCACCACTCTTTTGTTTCATTGAAAGAGTACACTAGAGAGAGCAGAAGGCGCGAGAGAGAGTAGAGGACGACCTGATCAGTATTTTTTCCAGACAGGACGAGACACAAGAAGTCATCATATGATGTCGACGAGCCAGGAGCTTCTTCCAGGGTCTCCCCATGTGGGTGCAGGGGCCCAAGGACTTGGACCATCTTCTGCTGCTTTTGCAGGCCATAGCAGAGAGCTGGATCAGAAGTGGAGCAGCCGAGACTAGAACCGGTGCCCATATGGGATGCCGGCACTGCAGGCAGTGGCTGTACCCGCCATGCCACTGCACCAGCCCCAACCCTGCCCATCTTTTTTTTTTTTTTTTTTTTTGACAGGCAGAGTGGTGGGAAGAGAGAGACAGAGAGAAAGGTCTTCCTTTGCCGTTGGTTCACCCTCCAATGGCCGCCGCGGCCGGCGCGCTGCGGCCGGCGCACCGCGCTGATCCGATGGCAGGAGCCAGGAGCCAGGTGCTTTTCCTGGTCTCCCATGGGGTGCAGGGCCCAAGCACCTGGGCCATCCTCCACTGCACTCCCTGGCCACAGCAGAGAGCTGGCCTGGAAGAGGGGCAACCGGGACAGAATCCGGCGCCCCGACCGGGACTAGAACCCGGTGTGCCGGCGCCGCAAGGCGGAGGATTAGCCTAGTGAGCCGCGGCGCCGGCCCCCTGCCCATCTTAAGACCTGTCAGCACCTCCTCCTACCCCTGCTCCCCTTCACTCTCTTCCTCCCTTCTTTTCCTCCAGCATACTCGGCCCTAGTGAAGCCAGGAGCCTGGGACTGAATCCAGATCTCCCACGTGGGTGGCGGGGACCCAAATACCTGTGCCATCACCTCTTGGGTTCCCAGGGCTCTCATTAGCAGGAAGCTGGGGTTGGGAGCAGAGCTGGAACTTGAACCTGGCCCTCTGATATGGAATGGGGGCCTCCCTCGGGGTGTCTTGACTGATCCTCAAACGCTTGCTTCTGGCCACACCTTCGTCTTCGTGGTCCTGGCTTTGGCTTATGGGTGCTGAGCTGCCGTCCCGTGCTGGCGCTCTGCTGAGTAGAGTGCCTGCGGTCACTGCAGAGCTGCCCTGTTCCCTTCCCACTTGGGAGGGGGGCTGGCCCTCCCCTTCCCCTTGGCCCTTATCCCTTGGTTCGTTTCACGTAGTGTCTCAGAGTGTACTCTGCAGCCAGAGTACCCGGGTTTAACATCCCGGCTTCCAGTGCTTTCTAGCTGGTGACCCTGGACACCTAGTCTCTTTTCTTCAATCGTAAATTGTGAACAATGGTACTACGCCAGATGATTGTCATGTGTATGAGGGTTCTTCAGAAGTTCACAGGGGGACCGGCGCTTCTGGCTCAATAGACTAAAGGCCCAGCCTGCCTCACCGACATCTCATATGGGCATCGGCTTCCCTTTGGGCACTGGTTAGTGTCCCGGCTGCTCCTCTTCAGATCCAGCTCCCTGCTAATGTACTTGGGAAAGCAGTGGAGGATGGCCCAAGTGCTTTGGCCCCTGCACCTGCATGGGAGACCTGGAAGAAGCTCCTGGCTCCTGGCTTCAACTGGCTCAGTCCTGGTCATTGTGGCCATTTGGGGGAGTGAACCAGCTGATGGAAGATCTCTCTCTGCCTCTCCTTCTCTCTTTGTAACTCTGCTTTTCAAACAAAGTAAAGAAATCATTTTTGAAAAAAGTTCATAGAAAATGGAATTAAAAAACAAGTCTGTGTTGGTGTAGAAAATTTCTGAAATCCATACATAGGAGAGGCATCTACAAAAAATTTATGTGAAGTACATATTATGAGAAAACTATGCATGGATTTCCAAACTTTTTCACCAAGCTAAACTTATAATTCTGTTTTATATGAACTTTTCAAAGTACCCTCATATTATAGAAATCAATTTTTAAAAACCTATAGAATGGTTCTGAATATAGTAGGCACCACCTGTGTGTTTTTTAGACAGTGTAAAAAAGCTGAGTTCTTTGTAGTGTGTTGCAGTTACAGTGCAGGCTGTTTCCTCCTTAAGTAGGTGGGAAAACGCAGGTCGACTGGAGCAGACATTTCCTGAGTAGCTTTCATGAGTTCATTCGTACTTTAAAATAGGTGAATTTCTTCATGCTTTGTATGGGCCATTAAAGGAAACTTCCATTATTCTAGAATATTCCTCAAACTTTGTATGCATGTACATTTTATGCAAGACTTTCAAGATCTCTTATCAGTTAGAGAGCAATGACTGATTGAATTATTAAAATAGACATACATTAAGCTCTCTTCTACAAATATTTTTTAACCTATGAGGGAGAGATAGCCTGATAATCCCATCAGTACATTGATAATCCAGTTAGTAAGTAGGTTGAGAATGCATTGAATACACCTGTCCTGTCCAACATCCTAGCTTAGCCTAGCGCCTTCCTTAAAGATACTCGGAACACTTACATTAACACACAGTTGGGCATCGAGAGAGCACCAGACTGCTTATGTCACTCTGGGGAAAGATCAAAATTCACAGTGAGGGGCACGTGTCTGGCACAGCACTGAAGATGCCACTTGGAACACCTGCATCCCACATCCGGGTACCAGAGTTCAAGTCCTGGCTCCTTTCTCCATTCTGGCTTTCTCCTCATGTGTGCCCTGGGAGGCAGGAACTTGGATCCCTGCCACACACAGGGGAAACCTGGATAAGGTTCGGACACTGCCTTCATCCCAAGCACTGGTTGGGAGTGAGTCTACTGTGGGAATGAGAAAGGCACAGAGAGGGAAGCAGACGATGACCTGTGATCATTAGGGATGGTGACACGGATGGGGAAGTTTCCGGTACAATCAAGAGTGTTGAGGGTGAGGGTCTCCCTTGGCTTCTGGGGTCCTGGAGGGCCTTGCGGAAGAGGACACCTGTGCACTGAGACCCACAGGGAGGCCTTCATATCCTTGAAGATGTGCGTTCATTCATTTTCTGTTGCTGTAAGCAAATACCTGAGGCTGGGTGCTTAATAAATAGAGAAGTGCAGTTTGACTGACAGTTCAGCCTCAGGTGGCCTCGTCTGTTGGGCCTCTGGATAAGGGTTCCCTGTGGGTGCTGTCACCATGATGGGGCACATATGGAAGAGATCACAGCCTGGGACTGGAAGCCAGACAGATTCAAGGGTTAGGTTTGCTCTTTTTTTTCTCAAAGGGGCCAACGAGGGTCCTGCCTGCATCCCTTCCACTCTCAGGACCTTCTATGAGGCTCCTCCTCGTGATGGTTCCACCACCTCAACACCATCATACTGGGGACCAAGCTTCAAGGACGTGAACCTTTGAGGGATACATCCAAAGTGTATCCAAACCATCATGATGGGATCAGGGTGTAGCGATTAGGAGGAACAGGTGTGAAGCTGGTGTGAATCTGGTGTGATCACAACACTGTAGAACATGAGCTCTAAAGATGGGAGAGACATGCAGGAGGAAATCACACCTGGGCCTCTTGGGCCAGCCTGAGAGATGTTACCCTAGATACAATAGCTGGCTAACGATGTTTTAAAAAACAGACTTCATTATTGTGATGAAATGTGCATAAGACCTGCACATTGATTGTTTTCAAGCACACAGTTCATTGGCACTGAGTGCCTTCTCATTGTTGTGCAAGCGTTGCCAGTATCCATCACCAGAACTCTTTTCATCTTCACAACTGCAACGCTATTGAGCGATAATGCCTGACCCATGGCAGCCTCCATTCTACCGTCTATGAATTTGAGTACTCTGGGTATACATCTTGTATGAGTGAAATCATACAGTATTTAACATTTTTAAGTCTAGCTTACAGCATGATGTCTTTAAAGATTCATCCTTTTTTTTTTTAAGATTTATTTCATTTATTTGAAAGTCAGAGTTACAGAGAGGCAGAGGCAGAGAGAGAGGTCTTCCATCTGCTGGTTCAGTCCCCAGATGGCTGCACCGGCCAGAGCTGAGCCAATCCGAGCCAGGAGCCAGAAGGTTCTTTCAGGTCACCCACATGAGTGCAGGGGCCCAAGGACTTGGACCATCTTCCATTGTTTTCCCAGGCCATAGCAGAGAGCTGGATTGGAAGAGGAGCAGCCGGGATTCGAACTAGTGCCCATATGGGATGCTGGTACTGTAGGCAGCAGCTTTACCTGCTTTGCCTCAGCTGACTTCTTTAAACTTGGCATTTTACTTGAATTGGATGGCAGGATCCAAAGAAACTCTTCTCCTTGAATGGTTTATTTAATTTACTGGTTCTAGTTTTGATTACTAGTACATAGAGTAGAACTGTTTGCTATGTTATTTTCGATAGTGTTGACCATGGTTTTGTCTTTCTGTGACAGGTATGAGTCTGTCAGTATAACAGATTTCAAATCAAGCTGGAGGAATGGGCTGGCCTTTCTGGCTGTCATTCATGCCTTGCGTCCAGACCTAATTGACATGACCAGTGCGAAGCAGAGGTCCAACAAAGACAATCTCCAGGAGGCCTTTCGAATCGCAGAGCGAGAACTCAAAATCCCCAGGCTGCTGGAACCAGAAGGTGAGGATGCCGCTTTTCTGTTTAAAACACTTCTTATCTTGAGAACCAACATGAAGTTGATTGCAAACAAGTATGTTTAAATGAGCAAATGTAACAGCATTATAGTTCAGTCCTAGAGGACTTAACTTAAAAGTCTTTATTGAACTTGATGAAATTAAGGATTTCTGCCGGTTATTTAAGTTCATTAATGGTGGGGGTGAAGCTACAGCTGAAAACAAGCAGTGGGAATGATTTGAGCCTTTGTCATGATTTTCTTCTGTTGTATTCTGCATCGCATCTTATTGACTCTGTTATTTCTGTGCTGAGTGTCCTGAGTAAGATGTTTTCCTTGGAGTTTCTCACACATGATGCTATGCTTATTATTACATGTTTATAATACTTATTATTTAAGACTCCTTGAGGCACTGGGCCGATCCAAAGCCAGTGAATCCATCCAGATCTCCCACAAAGCTGCAGGGTCCAAGCACTTGGGCTGTCTTCTAATGCTTTCCTAGTAGCATTAGCAGGAAGCTAGGTTGGAAGCAGAGTAACCAGGACTCGAACCAGTGCCCATATGCGGTGCCGGCATCTCAGGCAGAAGCCACAGTGCCAACCCCTGTGTTTGTTGTTGATTTTTTTGTTTTTCTGTTAATCATGGACACCTTGAGGGACATTGCCATGTGGTTGTTAAATGCATACAGGGGTGAAGCAGGGTCCCTATTGACAGGGACTGTTGCTGACATATACCCGTGCTCTCTAATCCTTTGTTACATTGCATGTGGCTGAATTCACTTGTGGCAGAGGTTTCCCATTCAGTCACCTCGGTTGTTTTGGCAGCACACCCAGAGAGATCCTCAAATCGAGTGTTATTTCGTCGGTGACATCTTGCATCCCTCTGTGTGGCTTTACGATCTGCTTAACTTATTATATACTTGGGGAAGTAAAGAATTTAACCTTTTAAAATTTGCTTAATTCAACATTTTGCACACTTCACCAGGAACTCTTTCAGTTTTTGTTTATTTTTATTTAAAAGCAGAGCAAGACAGAAAGCGAGAGAGAGAGAGGGAGAGGGAGAGAGAGAGAGAAAGAGAGAGAGAGAGGTATTTTTCATTTTTTTTTTCTTCCATCCACTGGCTTACTCCTCCAATGCCTACAGAAGCCAGGTCTGGGTGAGGCTGAATCCAGGAGCCAGGAACTCAATTCATGTCTGCCACCTGATGGCAGGGACCCAGGTAACTGAGTCCTCGTTGCTGCCTCCTAGGGTGTTGTGCATAGCAGGAAGCTGGTTTGAAAATAGAAGGAGGGGGTGGGGGCTGGCACAAAGGAGCTGTAGGTTAATCCTCCTCCTGCGGCGCCAGCATCCCATATGGGCGCCGGTTCTAGTCCCGGCTGCTCCACCTCTGATCCAGCTCTCTGCTATGGCCTGGGAAAGCAGTAGAAGATGGCCCAAGTGCTTGGGTCCCTGCACCTACGTGGGAGACCCAGAAGAAGCACCTGGCTCCTGGCTCCTGGCTCCTGGCTCCTGGCTCCTGGCTCCTGGCTCCTGGCTTCAGATCAGCGCAGCTCCAGCCGTTGTGGCCATTTGTGGAGTGAACCAACAGAAGGAAGACCTTTCTCCCTGTCTTTTCCTCTCAGTGTCTGTAACTCTGCCTCTCAAATAAAATACATAAATTCTTTTTTTTTTTTTTTTTTTTTTGACAGGCAGAGTGGACAGTGAGAGAGAGAGACAGAGAGAAAGGTCTTCCTTTGCCGTTGGTTCACCCTCCAATGGCCGCCGCGGCCGGCGCGCTGCGGCCGGCGCACCGCGCTGATCCGATGGCAGGAGCCAGGAGCCAGGTGCTTTTCCTGCTCTCCCATGGGGTGCAGGGCCCAAGCACCTGGGCCATCCTCCACTGCACTCCCGGGCCACAGCAGAGGGCTGGCCTGGAAGAGGGGCAACCGGGACAGAATCCGGCGCCCCGACCGGGACTAGAACCCGGTGTGCCGGCGCCGCTAGGCGGAGGATTAGCCTAGTGAGCCGCGGCGCCGGCCTTAAAATACATAAATTCTTAAAAAAAAAAAAAAAAGAAAGCCTTGGCCAGTGTGCTGAACACCTACTCCCACCAAAAACTCTTTTTTTAAAAAAAATGTTTTATTTGTTTATTTAGGAGTTGAGTTACTGACAGCGAGAGGAAGAGACAAAGGTCAACAACTCTTTTAATGAAGCACACAGCCTGGCCCATAGAAGGCCCTTGGTTAAACTTTCGTGTTCCGTGAATGACTGAATAACCTTTAAGGGTGACTTGAATGTGTCTTCCATACAATGTGACAGCTTTAGTAAATGCTTTAGTGCTTAAATGCAGAGAGTGTTGAGAATGGATTCTGGGCGCAGTGTGTTCCTGTGCTCCTGGAGCAATTCTTTCTTTCTTTTTTTAAAGATTTTATTTATTTATTTGAAAGGCAGAGTTACAGAGAGGCAGAGAGACAGAGACAGAGACAGAGAGAGAGGTCTTCCATCTGCTGGTTCACTCCCAAATGGCTGCAACCGCTAAATCTGGGTCACTCTGAAGCCAGGAGCTGGGGGCTTCTTCCGGGTCTCCCTTGTGGGTGCAGGGGCCCAAGCACTTGGGCCATCTTGTACTGCTTTCCCAGGCCACAGCAGGGAGCTGGATCGGCAGTGAAGCAGCCAGGACTCCAACCGGTGCCGATATGGGATGCCAACACTGCAGGCAGCAGCTTTACTCGCTATGCCACAGTGCCGGGCCCTCCTGGAGCAGCTTCTACACCATGTCTCTAGAAAGAAGCATGCTTGGTTTTCTCTCCACCCTCTCTGACTGTTCCTGCCTCGAACTTTAGCACCCACAGTGACACTGTCTTGCTGGGAAATCAAGGCTGTGCATGTCGTAACCCCAGGATTCAATCTAGATCTGTTTGACTCTAGCTGAGCTCTTAACCACTGCGTAGCTGTGCAGTAAGAGTGGGTGGCAAGGGGGACCGGCGCTGTGGCGTAGTGGGTTAAGCCTCCGCCTGCAGTGCTGGCATCCCATGTAGGTGCTGGTTCGAGTCCTGGCTGCTCTGCTTCTGATCCAGCTCTCTGCTATGGCCTGGGAAAGCAGTGGAGGATGGCTCAAGGGCTTGGGCCCCTGCACCCGCATGGGAGACCAGGAGAAGCTCCTGGCTCTGGATCGAAGTGAACCAGCAGATGGAAGACCTCTGCTTTCCCTCTCTGTGTCTGTAACTTTGCCTCACGAATAAATAAATCAGTCTTAAAAAAAAAAAAAGAAGAGTGGGTGGAGAGTGCATGGTTGGTCATTTCAAGATGAAATGTGAGTCAGATGGCGTAGACGGAGGCCGAGCCTGTTCTTGAGGATTAACTGTACGGAGCCCACAGCTCACTGAGTGCGCTGTGTCTTGCAGATGTGGATGTCGCCAATCCTGATGAAAAATCCATCATGACCTATGTGGCACAGTTTCTGCAGTATTCAAAGGATGCCCCTGTGACGAGAGACGAGGCTCAGGTAGGTCTTAGCAGGAACCAAGCAAGCTCGATTCTGTTGTACCCATTGCAGGTTTAATAGTAAAAAATCAAAGTATAATTTACATTATATTTTATTGCAGTAGTTAATGTTGTAACATCTTTGTAATATGCTTATATTTTAAAATAATTATAATATATAGTTATATATACAGTAATAACTATATATAATATAATACAATATAATAATTTAAATGTACAATTCCTTCAGTGTTGACAATGGATACACCCATGTAAACCATAGTACAATCATGACATAGATCATTGTTTATTTAAAGAATTATTTATTTATTTTAAAGTCAGAGTTACACAGAGAGAGAAGGAGAGGCAGGGAGAAAGAGAGAGGTTTTCCATCGCTGGTTCACTCCCCAGTTGGCCACAATGGCCGAGCTGTGCCAATCCGAAGCCAGGAGCTAAGAGCTTCTTCTGGTCTGGTGACAGGGGCCTAAGTACTTGGAGCCATCTTCCACTGCTTTTCCAGCACATTAGAAAGGAGCTGGATCTGGGGCCGGTGCTGTGGCACAGCGGTTAATGTCCTGGCCTGAAGCGCTGGCATCCCATATGGGCGCCGGTTCGAGACCCAGTTGCTCCACTTCTCATCCAGCTCTGTGCTATGGCCTGGGATAGTGGTGGAGGATGGCCCAGGTCCTTGGGCCCCTGCACCTGTGTGGAAGACCTGGAAGAAGCTCCTGGCTCCTGGCTCCTGGCTCCTGGCTCCTGGCTTCGGATCAGCACAGTTCCTGCCTTTGTGGCCAATTGGAACTAATTGTGAACCATCAGATGGAAGACCTCTCTCTCTCTCTATCTCTGCCTCTGCTCTCTCAGTGTAACTATGACTTTCAAGTAAGATAAATACATCTTAAAAAGACAAAAAAAAAGAAAAAAGAAAGGAGCTGGATCTGAAGTGGAGCAGCCGGGACTCGAACTAGGTGTTCAGATGCTGGTTTCAACTTTATTTTAAAATTCAGGGTGTTCTGTGAACAAGCAAAATGACTCTTTGGTATAATGAGTGATTGCTTTGTAATGAAATTACCTCACTGATGTTTTAAGTTGTTAATTTTATTGTCAGAAAAAGTCACCAAGAGTATTTTGATATATTTTAAGTGTGTGTCCTGTGTGTGTGTGGATTGCAGGGAGAGACGAAAGCCGCTATGGACTGGCTGGCTCGGCAAGAGAAAAAACTGCAAAAGGCGCTCAAAGATTCAGAACATGAGCCCTACTTTAAAAAGTATCACGTAAGTACGACTTCTCACCGCTGTTTCTCTATCCTTTTTGTCACCATGTACTGAGCGTTTGCTGTTTACCAGGCACCTTGCTGATGATGAGCGTCGCACACATTCAAACATCTTGCTGACTTTGGTGTGTTATTGCAGTTTGGCCAAAGAAGCCAAAAAGGACCCACGTTATGTGGCTCCTGGGAAGCATAGTCTGGTTTTTTTTTTTTTTTTTTGGACAGGCAGAGTGGACAGTGAGAGAGAGAGAGAGACAGAGAGAAAGGTCTTCCTTTGCCGTTGGTTCACCCTCCAATGGCCGCCGCGGCCGGCGCACCGCGCTGATCCGGTGGCAGGAGCCAGGAGCCAGGTGCTTTTCCTGCTCTCCCATGGGGTGCAGGGCCCAAGCACTTGGGCCATCCTCCACTGCACTCCCTGGCCACAGCAGAGGGCTGGCCTGGAAGAGGGGCAACCGGGACAGAATCCGGCGCCCCGACCGGGACTAGAACCCGGTGTGCCGGCGCCACTAGGCGGAGGATTAGCCTAGTGAGCCGCGGCGCCGGCCCGGATAGTCTGGTTTTGAAGCCCAAGCTCTGTTGCTTCTCCTGGGCGTGCAGTTCTGTCTTGGAGGACTCCCAGCAGCCACTGCGAAGGTTCTGCAGCCCTGTGTCTTAGAGCCCATGGTCCAGGCCCCTGCGCGTCCCACCAGGTCTCTGTCCAGAATCAGCTGGCGACATGGTGACATGCCTTGGGTGCTAAGCGCTGTTAAGGCCCGGTCTCCCTGTGTGTTGAGGGATGACAAGCCCTGCCCTTCAGATTCTAACATTCAATGGTCCGTGTGGCTTGGGGACCCAACCGCTGACTGTGGTTTGGAGCCGTAGTGGGTGGAAGGGACTAGGTGTTCTCATCTCTCGTGGTCTGAACTGCGTAAACTTTTTGTGCTTCTTCCCGCTTAGGTTTGGTCTCAGGTTTGTTTGTTTGTTTGTTTATTTTTTAGTAAAAAGATGTTCAATATTGACTGCAGCTGCCTTGATCCCACATACAAGGGTACCTAAAGAAGTTCATAAAAAATGGAATTAAAATATAGATTTAAGGCCGGCGCCGCGGCTCACTAGGCTAATCCTCCACCTTGCGGCGCCGGCACACCGGGTTCTAGTCCCAGTCGGGGCGCCGGATTCTGTCCCGATCACTCCTCTTCCAGGCCAGCTCTCTGCTGTGGCCCGGGAAGGCAGTAGAGGATGGCCCAAGTGCTTGGGCCCTGCACCCCATGGGAGACCAGGATAAGTACCTGGCTCCTGCCATTGGATCAGTGCAGCGCGCCAGCCGCGGCGGCCATTGGAGGGTGAACCAACGGTAAAGGAAGACCTTTCTCTCTGTCTCTCTCTCTCACTGTCCACTCTGCCTGTCAAAAAATATATATATAGATAGATAGATTTATGATGGTGCAGAATTTGAAATTCATGTGTGAGTTTTTCATACTACACATTTCCATGAACTTTTTGAAGATGCCTTGTATGTCTTAGACTTAGTAATATACCACAGATTCGGGTCTCTCTTTTTTAAGATTCGTTTATTCTTTTGAAAGGCAGAGAGAGAGAGGGAGAGACAGATCTTCCCTCCGCTGGTTCACTCCCCCAGTGGCCGCAGTGGCCAGAGCTGGGCTGATCTGAAAGCAGGAGCCAGGAGTTCTTCTGGGTCCCACATTGCTGCAGGGCCCAAGCACTTGGACCACTTTCCACTGCTTTCCCAGGCTATTAACAGGGAGCTGGATTGGAAGTGGAGCAGCCGGGATTCGAACTGGTGCCCCTGTGGGATGCCAGCACTGCAGGTGGCAACCTTACCCGCGACGCCACAGTACCAGCCCCAGCTTCTGCTTTCTTAAGTGGAGGTTTTAGTCAAGTTATTAATTATCAGAAAGAATTAAAGTAAGTTAATGATCCTCTGATTTACTTATAAAATTTAAGTAAGACACTACCAATAACTATGGACATGGGGCGGGTGTTTGTGCGGTGCTTTAAGATGCTACTTGAATCAGCTGCGTCTTGTATCAGAGTCTCTGGGTGTGAGTAGTGGCTCAGCTTCAGATCAGAGTCCAGCTTCCCAGTAATGCACTCTGAGAGGTGATGGCCTGGGTCCCTGTGGGAGACTCAGTTTAATTTCCCAGTTCCTGGCGGCTGCTGCTGCTGCTGCTGCTGCTTCTTCTTCTTCTTCTTCTTCTTCTTCTTCTTCTTCTTCTTTTTAAGATTTATTGATTTATTTGAAAGACAGAGTTATGCAGAGGCAGAGAGAGAGAGAGAGAGAGCGAGAGAGAGGTCTTCCATCTGCTGGTTCACTCCCCAAATGGCCGTAATGGCCGGAGCTGAGCCGATTTGAAGCCAGGAGTATCTTCCAGGTCTCCGGTGGGGTTTGTGTTTTTATCTGTAGGATGTGGGGGGTGTGGGTCAGGAGCTGCATCAGAAGTGGAGCAGAAAAAACCAACAACAAAAAAGGATGCCAGCACTGCAGGTGGCAGCTTTACCCACTACGCCACAGCACTGGCCCCTGACTTCTTTCTGCCTGGCTCAGACCTGCTATTGTGGGCATTTCAGGAGTGAACCAGCAGATAGGGTCTCTCTCTCTCTCTCTCTCTCTCTCTCTCTCTCTCTCTCTCTCCCTCTCCTTTTCCTTCTCTCTCTTTGTGCCTCTTTCAAACACATAAGATAATTTTTAAAAACTGTGGGGGCCTACATTGAGGTGTAGCAAGTTAAATGCCACCTGTAATGCCAGCATCCTGTGGAGTCCTGGCTGCTCCACTTCTGTTCCAGCTCCCTGCCAATGCACCTGGGAAAGCACTGGAAGATGACCCAAGTGCTTGGGCCCCTGCAGCCACAATGGAGACCCAGATGAAGCCCCAGGCTTGTAACTTCACCTTGGCCCAGTCCTGGCCATTGTGACCATTTGGGGAATAAACCAGATGGAAGACACTCTCTCTCTCTCTCTCTCTCTCTCTCCTTTTCTGTATAACTCTGCCTTTCAAAATAAGTAAATATATCATAAACAAATTTTTTTAAATAAATAAAGTTGGGCAGGCATTGTGCCATCAGGGTTAACTCAACATTTGCAGTGCCAGCAGCCCACATCAGAGTGCTGGTGTGAGTCCCAGCCTTCTGCTTCTGATCCAGCTCCCTGCTAAGGCACCTGGGGAGGCAGCAGAGGACGGCCCAAGTACTTGGGCACCTGCCACCCATGTGAGAGACCAGGATGGAGCTCTTGGCTCCTGGCTTTGGCCTGCCCAGTGTCTTCTGCTGCAGCTGTTTGGGGAGTGAACTGGTGGATAGAAGATCTCTCTCTCTCTCTCTCTCTCTCTCTCTCTCTCTCTCTCCTCTCTCTCAATCTGCCTTTCAAATAAATGAATAACTAAATCTTAAAAAAATGCTAGTAATAATCTCTTAAAAATATTTATAGATCGTGTTTTAAAAAGCATTTGTGGAAGTGGTAACTTTTAAAGTAGCAGTATTTCACACAAATGTAAACTACAAAAAGCTTTTTTTTTTTTTTTTTTTTTTTTTTTTTTTTTTTTTTTATCCAAAACGTGTTTATTGGGAAGGTTTCCCACTCATCCTGGCGCAGGGTGCTTTCAGTGCTGCTTCCTCCTGAAGGAACATCCTTCTGTAAGCCTTGCTTTTCCTCCTGTGGGCTGGCAGAGGACAGTGGAGCAGCCAACGCACAAAACCACCATTTGTGCATGGCTGAAAACCGTGGTGATTTTATAGCATCCTGGGCACTTCACGTCCATGAAGTAGGAACTGGGGCTCTGCACCAGGCGCTTCTTCTTGTGTTTCCTCTTCTCCTCTTCAGGAGAGGGATGCAGGAGATCCTTTGCGAGAGGCATGTTCGCGTGGGTCGGTCGTCACCGCCGGAAAGGCTACAAAAAGCTTTATTTATTAATTTTTTTTAAAATTTGAGAGGCCCAGAGAAAGAGAGAGAGAGAGTGCCGGATGTCCATAACGCTCAAGGCTGGACCAGGCTGAAGCTGAGAGCTGGGCTTTCTCTCTCAGCACCTGCGTTAGCAGGAAGCTAGAATCGGGATCAGAGTGTGGACTTGAACCCACGCACTCTGACATGGGGTGTGGATGTTCAAACCTGCAGTTCACTGCTAGTCCAAACACCTGCCTCCTCCTTATTAAATATTTGAGTGTAAGGACAAGGTGCTTATTAAAATTTGTGTAAAATAACATGGGAAGAATTGACTCAAAATTCGAGTAATTATAAATACTTTTAAAATCATTTAACATGACTACTGTCCTAATTCCTCCATCTACTCATTCTTTTATCATTTTACTATTTATTTTCATTTACTTGAAAGCTAGAGAGACACACAGAGACGAGAGAGAGAGAGATCTTCTATTTTTTAGTTTGTTTCCCCCAAGCATCTGCAAGGGCAGGGACTGGGCCAGGCTGAGAGCAGGAGCCTGGGACTCCATCCGCATCTCCCACGTGGGTGGCAGGGACCCAAATACTTGAGCCGTCACCTGCTGCCTCCCAGAGTGAGCATTAGCAGGGAGTTGAGCCAGGATTGAAACCCAGGCACTGTGGAATGGGCTGTGGGAATCCCAAATGGCACCTGCACTGCTGTGCCAAGTGCCCAGCCCCCATGTCTGCTCATTCTTATTTTGTCGTGCACCTGTGTCTGGGGAGAAGAGACAGACTCATGGTTTTGCGGGTGGCATCATGGTCTGTCTACTAGAGCAGAGTGGCCTTCCTTGCTTCCTTCCAGGAGAAATCCAGTGGTTTTGACAGGAGTTGCCAGCCCCAAACTCTGTCATTATATGGCACACGAAGGGTCAGGGTATTCTGCACAAAGAAACCAGATCAGCGAGAGGAAACTGGATTGAAGGGATTTTTTCCTTTTATTTAAATACAACTTAAATATAACCTCTAGCTAAAGATCATAAAATAGCAGGTCACACTTTACAAGTGGAGTTGCATGTTTTCACCCTGCAAACACTCTTCTCATTGTAGAGCTTCCTGTCCTTTTTGGAGTCCTTCGATGAAGAAAAAAAACCCTTCTTGGACCTCCTGCCGCTCACAAGGCCCCCAGATGAGTTGAGTGAGGAGGAGTTGCGGTTGCGAGGAGACTGGGACGGCCTCAACCAGCAGGTGACTGCGCCACGTTGATGAGAAGAACTTTTTTTTAAGATTTTTTTTTTTTTGACAGATAGAGTTAGACAGTGAGTGAGAGAGAGAGAGAGAGAGAGAAATGTTTTCCTTTTCCGTTGGTTCACCCCTCAGTGGCCGCTGTGGCCGGCTCACCACGCTGATCCGAAGCCAGGAGCCAGGTGCTTCCTCCCAGTCTCCCATGTGGGTGCAGGCCCCAAGCACTTGGGCCATCCTCCACTGCCCTCCCGGGCCACAGCAGAGAGCTGGCCTGGAAGAGGGGCAACCGGGACAGAACCCAGCACCCATATGGGATGCGGGCGCCACTGGTGGAGGATTAGCCAAGTGAGCCACGGCGCCTGCCCCGAGAAGAACATTTTCAGTGGGCAGCCTTGGTTGGTTGAGTGAGGGCTTTGCTTGAGACTCTCATGAGAAATTCTCTAGAAGACAGGGTAGCTGCTTCATCAGTACATGGAGCTGGATTCCTGACTTTTCTTCGTGGCGTCATCTGGGCTGTGGTTAAATTCAGGTCGGAATTTTTAACGCTCTGGTGGGCACAGATGCAAGCTGATGCGAAGGTGTATTTGCCGTGGGTTCTTGGTTGTCCGGTTTTGGTTGCCTGCAGTTTCTTTCACTGTGTGCTAGTGTCAACAGGTGCTTGAAGGGAGTGGGGTTCGAGTCAGAGAGAATATACAAGGATGAGTGTGTGAATGTGTGTCTGAATGGGACGATGATTTTCATCCTTTTAAATTTATTGAGGCTGGGTTTATGGTACATAACCATAGAAAATTGCAAAGAAGAAATATGTTTTATGCGTTACTGGGTATAAAACTCCATAAACATTAAATAAGCAAAGTATTTGGTAGTGTTGTTTGGATTGTCTGTCTGTCTTTACTGGAAAGACAGAGAGAGAGAGAGAGAGGTAAATGGACAGAGACAGCCTGAGAGAGAGCTGGTTCACTCCCCAGATGCCCACTTGGTCACTCCTTAAATGCCCACAACAACTGGGACTGGGCCAGGATGATGCCAGGAGGCAGAAACTCAGCCCACGTCTCCCATTGTCTGTGGCGGGAATCCAAGCGCGTAAGCCATCACCTTTGGGACCAGAGTGTGCAGGAAGCGGAACTGAGAATGGAGGCAGCACTCAAACCTAGGCACTTTGGGAACCTGGGATGTGGGCATTCTAATCATCGTCTTCTCTGCTCTACCACGTGCCCACTCCTCCCCTATGTCTTGACCGACATGTGGTCCAGTTGTATCAGTTGCTGAGAGATGAGTATCGAAATCTTCTGTCAAATTTTAGTTCATGTATTTTGACTTCATTATGATGTATGTACCTGTTTATGACTGTTGTATCTCAGTGCACTGGCGATTTTACCATCATAAAATATTTGTTTATCTTTAGTAATACTGTTTCTCTGCATGGCTACTTAATCTGCTGTCAGTATAGTCATTCTGACACTGTTTCTTTGGCACATGCTTTTCCTCCATTTCCTTTCAAACTATTTGAGTTCTTAATCTTTAAAGTGCATTTCTTTTTTTTTTAAGCATGGCCATTCCTTATTTAATATGTAAGTGATTAATTCGATAGAGTTACAGAGGGAGAGAGGGAACAGGGGAGAGAGAGAGAGAGAGAGAGAGAGAGAGAGAGAGAGAGAAAGAGAGAAAGATCTTCCATCCACTGATTTACTTCCAAATGGGCAAAATGGTCAGGGCTGGGCTATACTAAAGCCAGGAGCTTCTTCCGGGTCTCCCACCTGGGTGCAGGGGCCCAAGCACTTGGGCCATTCTCTGCTGCTTTCCCAGGCACATTAGCAGGGAGCTGGATTGGTAGTGGGGCAGCCGGGACTTGAACTGGTCCCATGTGGGATGCTGGTGTCACAGGTGGAAGCTTAACCCACTTTGCCACACAGTAGCCCCACAAAGTACATTTCTTTAGAGATGGCACACACTTGGATCTTGCTTCCTCATCCGCTCTGACAATCTCTGCCTTCTCATTGGAGTACTTAGTCCATTAACATTTAATGTAATTGTTGCTATGGTTCAACTTAGTTATATTATTTTATTCTGTTTTGTTTATTCCCTCTGTTTTTTGTATCCCCATTCCTCCCTTTCTCAGCTTTTTTGAATTGTTAATTTTATATAGAATTACATTGCAATTTGTCTACTAAAATTTTTAACCCTACTTCTTCCTATGATATTTTAGTGGTTGCTCTAGGGAATTACAAAATACATTCTGGTTTTTTTTTTTTTTTTTTTTTTTTTTTTTGACAGGCAGAGTTAGACAGTGAGAGAGAGAGACAGACAGAGAGAAAGGTCTTCCTTCCATTGGTTCGCACCCCAAATGGCCGCTACGGCCAACGCGCTGCACCAATCCAAAGCCAGGATCCAGGTGCTTCCTCCCAGTCTCCCATTCAGGTGCAGGGGCCCAAGCACTTGGGTCATCCTTCACTGCCTTCCCGGGCCACAGCAGAGAGCTGGACTGGAAGAGGAGCAACAGGGACAGAACCAGTGCCCCAACTGGGACTAGAACCTGGGGTGCCGGCGCTGCAGGCGGAGGATTAGCCTAGTGAGCCACAGCGCCGGCCTACAAAATACATTCTAAACTTACATTTACTGAAGAGTTGAACAACTTTATTGTTGTACAAGTTCTTTTTTTTTTTTTTTTTAAGATTTATTTATTTGAAAGTCAGAGTTACAGAGAGGCAGAAGCAGAGAGAGAGAGAGAGGTCTTCCATCTGCTGGTTCACGCCCCAAGTGGCTGCAAAGGCTGTAGCTGGGCTGATCTGAAGCCAGGAGCCAGGAGCTTCCTCGACATCTCCCACACAGGTGCAGGGGCCCAAGGACTTGGGCCATCTTCCACTGCTTTCCCAGGCCATAGCAGAGAGCTGGATTGGAAGTGGAGCAGCCGGGACTCAAACCGGTGCCCATATGGGAAGTGGGTACTGCAAGTGTTGGCTCTACCTGCTTCGCCACAGTGCCGGCCCCATATTGTTCTATAAGTTCTTATAACATGTGAACTCCTATGATCTATTTTAGTGTACAACTTGCATTCCATTTGTACTTGCGTTTTTGTGCTGTGGTTGTTTTATGTGTACATATATAAGTGACACATGTATATCGTATAGGGAGCACAAGTATGTTTCAAAGTCCTCAAGACTGTGTTGTATTAATTTTTGTTGCAAACAGCCACACATCTGAAAGAAAAATTTAGTCTTTTATATGTATCTAGACACTTCCTGTTTCTATTGTGCTGTCTGTAGCTTTGCGTTTCCACTGAGCTCATTTCTCTGTAGCCTGAAAATGTCCTCTAACTTCTCTTGTAACACCTGTCTCTGAGTGCCGGATATGCTTAGTTTGCTGTGATCTCTAAATGTCTTTATTTTGCTGTCATTTTTTAAAAAAAGAAGTTAATTGAGGTGTAATTTGCATATCATTAAATTCTCACATTTTGAATGGGATGATTTTTAATGAGTTAATAGAGTTCATTAAAGAGGGGATTATTTCAGGGGAGGGTGTTGTGGTACCGCAGGTTAAGCTGCATCCCTTATTGGAGGGCCAAGTCACGTCGGCTGCTCTGCTTCCCAGCCAGCTTCCTGCTAATGCACCTGGGAAGGCAGTGGATGATGGCCCGAATTCCTGGGCTCCTCCCACATGGGAGACCAGGCTGGAGTTCCTGGAATCTGCCACAGCTTGAGCTATTGTGACCAGTTGGGGAGTGAACAGATGGAAAATCCCTCTGTCTCTCTCCCTCCCTCTCTCCCTCCCTCCCTCCCTCCATTCCTATTTTTCCCTCTTTTTCTATCCTTCTGCTTTTCAAAGAAATAAATGTGTTACAGTAAAAGCTGAGTTTATTACAGAGTTCATTCATCTTGCAGAGACACTGTGTGTGGTGCACAAAGTTAAGCATTCCCACCAGGTCCCGCACAGGAAGAGCACAGTGACCCTGCGTGGCTGTCAGGGTGCAAGTTCAAGTGTGGTGCGTGGTGGTGGTGCTGTGGCTCGAGAGTCACTGTTTCTAAGGAGCTATGGTGGAGAACAGGTGCAGCGCCACGAATCTTCCTGTCAAGTGATGAGGCTCGTGGCATCATCAGCTGTCTGTGACAGGTCTCTAACAAAGTAGAAGTTGATGAAGAAGGTATGGGCTGTTGAGTTCAGGCTGCCCCAGGCCACAGAGACCTGGCCTAATTTTCCTGAATGTAATTTGGAAAAAATTACTCCCAAATAACGAGGCCAGCCAGAAAAACTACCATGTTGTGAGATTAAGCGCTGCACTTTGATAATAGTTTAGAAATCCCTTCCTTTTGTACAGGACAGCTGCTTCTCTCAAGGTAGCAAAATGAAACTTGCTAATTTTAAAGTCATCAGGTACTTGAGTTAATACGATCTGGACAGCTCCGTAGTTGGAGAGATTCATAGTAAAAGGTGTCAATTGAAGCCTGTTATAGAAAATAGCACCGTTATGTGATTTTGACCCAATAACATCTTATCTCAATTTTTAGCCAAATTCACAAGTTATTGTCTGAGAAAGGAAGCCTGGAACTAGCTTTCTGTGTTCAGTGCGGAAGGAAAGCAATGAAGGGTAAACATTGCCTTCTTTTTTACCTCTCCTGCTTGCTTGCTGCATAAATGCTGTGTGGCCCTGTGTCACAAAGAACAGGGCTGGTTCATTCCAACCGTATACAGCTTTCTTTTAGCTATGCAAAGAATAGTTGAATTAGAGGTCTCATTCTTAGCTTCTCTTTTTCTGGTTTACTTTGTATTCTTTGCAGAGGCAAAGAATATCATAAAAGCACATGGTGAACTTGTTTCTATTAAAATTGCCCTAATGAAGCTTTGTTTTCATTGTTTTTCCGTCTGGAATCTCAGTGACATATAGTTCATGATTTAAGGTTGTAGAATTATCTTTGCCATATGCCTTTGGAGAAAATAAACCTCAAGGCAAAAAGGGAGGGAAGAAGAGAGAGAGAGAGAGAGAGAAAGAGAGAGAGAGAAGAGAGGGAACCATAATATTACATAGTTAATGCTCTGTTTTATGAACAGTTCGTTCCACTTACTGCCTGAAAGGAGCCCAGGTTTGTCCTCACATTGTACACCTGGGCTGGGTTGTTGGTCTGTCTTCTGCATATTTCCCTTCTTTATACTCATAATTGGCACTCCATAATATTTTGGAATGAATTAATGAGGAAGCAAATAAACCATGTAATAGATACATTTTGCCTACTTCTTCCTCCTGCTTAAATACAGTTGACTCTAAGAATAGCAATAATTCATTACGTGGATGGGACCATGGAAAGAAAATGTGCAGGCTTCAGGCCCGCCCTTTGATGAGATGCAGTTGATTTGAGTGAAGCAAGTTTCAATTTGGACTTGACCTTCACCTGGGTACCTTTGGAATGAAAATGACACAGAAAATGATAAGCAGCGATGTGCATTCGGGTAAAATGTCGCATTCTTAATGGGGTTGTCAGGAAGGGAGATGGTCTTGGTGCTGGATTTTGACTGTGCATAAGAATTCTAGGGGTTTGCGCTGTGGCATAGTGGGTAAAGCCACCACCTGCAGTGCTGGCATACCATAGGGGCGCTAGTTCGAGTCCCTGCTGCTCCACTTCCAATCCAGCTCTCTGCTATGGCCTGGGAAAGCAGTAGAAGATGGCCCAAGTCCTTGGGCCCCTGCACCTGCATGGGAGACCAGGAAGAAGCTCCTGACTCCTGGCTTTGGATCGGTGCAGCTCCGGCCATTGCGGCCATCTGGGGAGTGAACCAGCAGATGGAAGACCTCCCTCTCTGTCTCTCTCTCCTCCTCTCTCTGGAATTCTGTCTTTCAAATAGATAAATAGAATCTTAAAAGAAATAAAAATAAAAAATAACGTGCCCCTCAGGGCAGTCGTTGTGGTGCAGGGGGCTAAGCTGCCGCTTGTGCTGACGTCCCGTGTCTGAGGGCTGGTTTGAGCTCTAACAGCTCTGCTTCCAATCCAGCTCCTACACTGGTGCACCTGGGAAGACAGTGGATGATGGCCTGGGTATGGGGCCCCTGGTACCCACGTGGGAGACCAGGATGGAGTTCTTGGCTCCTGGCTTTGGCCTGGCCCAGACCTGGCTGTTGTGACCATTTGGGGAGTGAGGCAGCGGATGGAAGGTCTCTCTTTCTCAGTCTCTCCCTCTCTATCTGTTGCTCTTTCAAATACATAAATAAATCTCTTTTGAAAAAGGAATTCTGGTCTTCAGTGTGGACTTGATACTTTCAACTCCCCACTCCCACTCCGATCCTCTCTGCCTTCCCCCAGCTCCTGTGCCTGCTGGCTTTGTTGCATCGCACCCCACACTCAACCATGTACTTGTCTGTTCTCTGGTTAGGAAGTTCAGGCAAGAGCTGGACTTTTCCTTATCTCACAGGGCTTCTGACGGAGAGGGTTCGGTTGAACAATTTTCACTCAGACCCGATCAAGGCCCTGCTCTTGTTCTTACTCATTTATTTAATTGTGGGTTTATTTCCTTTTATACCCATACCTTCTTTCCATTCCTCTTTCTCCTTAGGCCACTATGTTGATGTGTTCTGTGTATATGTTTTTATTCTATTTGAACTTCACTTTGAAAGTTGTGTAGATCGAGATTCTCCTTTATTTTTGAGCGCAGCATCTCTGTGTTGTCTTTGCATTGCCACGTGTGTGTCTCAATTGCTTTTACTGCTGCATGGTGGAGACCATCCGTGTCTCCTTTGCACACCAGCTGCCCTCCACGTCTTCACCCCCAAGCTTTAGCACAGTGAGTCGTGACTGGTGGCTGCTGCACGGATGGTGGTGTGAGTGACTGAGTTTTGACAATGCTTTACCAGGAAGAAAATGCAAGTAGTTGGGGCAGCAGGAGTGAAGACATGATTTGGGTATGTTGAAACAGCTGTCTGGGTTTGGTGACTCATCTGTAAGTTCCAGGGGGCTTCAGAAAGTCCATGGAAAGATGGAATTAGAAGACCACACACAGGGCAGGTGCTTGGCCTCGCAAATAGGATTCCTGCGTTCAACATCTGAGTACCTCTGGGTCCTGAGTCCAGCTTCCTGCTAATGCACACCCTGAGATGCTGCAGTGAGAGCTCACAGGATTGGGCCCCTGGCCCCCCACGGGAAACCTGCTGGGCCAAGCTCCCGACTTTGACCCGACCCAGCCTCAGTCGTTGTAGACATTGGGGGAGTGCACCAGTGAATGGACGCTCTTTCTGTCCTTCTCTACATAAAAGAAAAAAATGTTTCTGTGCTTTTTCCATGTCTTCTTGGGTGTGGGTGTGTGTAGAGAGTGGTGGGAAGGCCCAGAAAGGGGGCGCAGTGCCTGGATTGTGTGAGCGTGCTGGGGCGAAGGGTTGGTGATGGACAGAAATTCAAGCAATGCGCTAGCGGTCTCCATTGTGAGCACTTGTCTGTCGCTAGTGATGGACAGACTATAAATCTGTGTGGAACGTGTACTTGTGCTGTTAGCACAGGGGCACATGATCAACAAATGACGATCATTCAATACAATTGTCCATCGCTGCTTAGAGGATTGCTTTAAATATTTTTAAATATTGCAGATCCCTGCTCCCACCATAACTTTCGATAGATTTATCAAAGCATTTGGTTTTTCTTATGCCCAAGTTCCTTACACTTTTGAACAAACTGTCTTCCTCCTCGCTGAGGAGCTAAGAGGTGTAGCCACTGATAAAGGTGTGACTAATACCAGTGTTGGCATGGAGAGAAAGTTAAAGGATAAACATGCTCTTTGTGAACTAGGAAAGTGCACTAGGAAAGTTCTACTGAACATCTCCCTCTTTTTTTTTTTTTTTCCAGATTAACACGTGGAAGACAGAGCTGAACCAGGCCCTGCCTTCGCCTCTCTGTCACATTGAAGGGTGGCTTCAGGAGCTGGAGGAGCTTGTGGGTGAGGAGCTGCCTGCCTCCCAGAACTACTCTGAAGCCATGATCCTGACCCAGGAGAAAATGACCTTGTTCAAGGTTGGAAGAGAAAAATGGATGTGGGAAAAATTTATGCTTTGTTAAGGACTTTTTTTTCTTAAAGATGTATTTTATTTATTTGAAAGATAGAGAGCCAGAAAGAGAGAGAGGTCTGTCATCCGCTGGTTCACTCCCCAAATGGCCACAACAGCCAGAGCTGAGCTGATCCGAAGTTAGGAGCCAGGAGCTTCTTCCAGGTCTCCCATGTGGGTGCAGGGCTCATGCACTTGGACCATCTTCTACTGCTTTCCCAGGCCACAGCAGAGAGCTGGATCAGAAGTGGAGCAGCCGGGACTCGAACTGGCACCCATCTGGGATCCCGGCACCGCAGGCTGGGGCTTTAACCTGCTGTGCTACAGCTCTGGCCCCAAGGACTCTTCTTGAGGAAGACTTTGTTCTAGAAGGAAAGATAGTGGGTATTTGAGGATAATTTAACGTGATTCCCCCTTGGGAGTTCTTTAAAATTAATCAATTTACGTAAGAGAGAGGGTATCCCCCATCTGCTGGTTCACTCCCCACATGCCTGCATCAGCCCGTGACTGGGAGCTGGGAACTCAACACAGGTCTCCCACGGGACAACAGGGACCCGACCACTTGAGCATCATTGCTGCCTCTAGCAAGAAGCTGATGGCAGGGGCCCTGCACTGTGGCACAGCAGGTTAAGCCACTGCCTGCGATTCCAGCATCCCATATCCGGGAGGTGGTTGGGGTCCCAGCGACTTCACTTCTGATGCAGCTCCCTGTCGCTCCCCCTCTTCGTGGAGGAACGACACTAAACCCTGCGCTGTTCTTTTCGTCTGCTCGGCCCTCCCCGGGTTTGCTGCTGGTTCTTCCCGGGTTGGCTACTATCCCTTCCACCTCCGTGGAAGGGCAGTTCCCCCTGGCCACATTCCCCACTTCCACAGGGGAGCGGCACACCACCGGCCGGCTCTTCTCGGGGGCTGCACAGGTGTTATTCGGATAGATGTTCCCCTTAGATGTTCCCTGGTGCATGCCGTCTCTCTCCTCCTTTATAGTCCTCCTCCGCCAATCCCAACTCGGCTGCCCACACGCCGAGTACGCTGCTCTCCTCCAATCAGTAGCAAGTCCTACAGTTTATTGGTTGAACTGGAGGCAGCTGTGTGGAAGCTGTTTACTTCTCTCCCAGCGCCATATTGTGGGAGAGCAGATGCATAGAATAAGTCTTAATTCCAGTAACTCAGTCCAGTCCGGGCTGCTCCCCACAGCTCCCTGCTCATGTGCCTGGGAAGGCAGCAGGAAATGGCTTAGGGCTCCTGCTACCCTCATGGAGACCCAGATGGAGTTCTTAGCTCCTGGCTTCAGGCTGGCCCAGCATTGGCTAGTGAGGTCATTTGAGGATGGAACTAGTGGATGGAAGTTCTCTCTGTGTCTCCCTCTCTTTCTCTGTCGATCTGCCTTTCAAGTAAGAAAATAAATCTTTAAAAAATGAAAACAGAAAACAAGAACTAGAGTCAGGAGTGGAGCCTGGCATTGAACCCAGGTACTCTGATACAGGACACGGGCATTTCAACCATGGTCTTACTGGCAAGGGCAAATGATCCAGCCCCCTGCTAATGGGCCTGGGAAAACAGCAAAAGATGGTCCAAGTGCTTGGGCCTATGCACCTAAGGGGAAACCTGGATGAAGCTCCAGGCTCCTAGCTTCAGCCTGGCCCAGCCCAGGCCATTGTGGCCATTTGGGGAGAGGACCAGCAGATGGCAAATATGTCTCTCTGCCTCTCCTCCTCCTTCTGTCACTCTGCCTTTCAAATAAATTCATAAAAAGAAAGAAAAAGATCAATTGGTCAAGACATAATTCTAAAAAAAAGGAATAACATGGAAGAATTCCATATGTGAGATTTATGGCATTTGAGTCCACAAATAGACAATACACTAGCCAGCAAAATATTTTGATAATAGTTTTACCAAGGAAATTGAGTCTGCCTGTCTGTAAGACATCCAAACTTAAGGCATGGATGAGGAATACATTTACTCACAAATCTTAATTAAAAAGAAAGTGCATTTGTTGTCTTCTTGTGGCTGCAGTGAAATACGCAAGGCAACTAACTCAGAGGAAAGGTTTATTTAGCTCACAGCTGGAGTGTCTCCAAGTCTAGACAGCATGATGCAGGTTTTAGGACTCACATGGAGCCTGGGGCAGACAGTGGAGAGATCACAGGCTGAGCCGGGCAGAAGAGAGAGTGGCTGGGCCCACACTCAGGCTTTTATACCAGCCCTCTGGAGAAAGCCACGCCTCCACTGACCGAAGGACCTCCCACTCGGCCTCTCCTCCAGAAAATCCTGCCGCCTCCAGGCAGCACCACCCCGGGGACGGGACGAAGCCTTGAGAAACCATCCAATAGCTAAAGTAATATCCAAGCCACAACAGAAAGAAAGGGGCCTTGTGCTTTTGTTTTTAAAACACACTATGTATGAGAGATTAACATACCGTTGATTGTGGTATAAAATCTGATGTGTGTCATCTGTGGCTTCCTTCCAGAGTCTGATGGATAGATGTGACAGCAATTCAAATACGCTCATGGCGTTTGAAAACAGAGATGAAAAGCACCTGCCATTGGTGCCGCCTAACAAATTGGAGGAGATGAAGAGACGGTTTGTAACACTGCTATTTCACAGCTGCTGGTACCATTCGTGTTAGTGCTGCAGGGACCACAAAGTGCAGAGTTTGAGATAATTTCTGAAAACATCACTTTTCAGGTTTTAGTTAATATTAACGTTGTATTATGCTAACATAATTCCTTTCTTATTGGATCATAAGTACTGCATGGAAGGTGTTTTAGACTTACAGCAGACTCTGATCTCTGTCTTTTTGAGTATGGCTCCTCATTTGTAAATACGTAGGAGATATATTTGCATGGATATAGGATGTGCATATACTTAAATAGCCTAGGTATTTACATATATACATATATGCATGCAAATAGATACATATATGTAAATATATAGGATAATGATAGTCGCTCTGTCCCTGTCTCAAGGGATACTAGATCAAATGTGAGGAGCTATACAAAGGCATTTTATTAATTGTGAAATATTATAAAGATTATTTAATTGATGTTTTTCTACAACATTTTCTCTTTAATTATTGCTTATAAGCAATTTATTACCATAGGAGGATGTTGTAAGCCTTAGCAATGAAAACTGTTTTAATATGTCAGCTTTTAAATTATAGTTGCACTAAGTTGCATAGAAATTTTTAAAGGTAGCAAAATATTTTATAAATCAACTTTTTTTTACAGAATTTCTCAATGGAGGACTATTTTTCTTTAGAGAATGTTCTTTGTTAAGTGTTTCACCCTAGAAATCATTGTTTTCCATCTAGACACATGATTTACACTGTTTAAAAAGAAACCTTTCTATGTTATAGCTAAGTTCCTTGTGTTTAAAGCTCCAATATTTTTTAAAATGCCAGGTTTCTTACATTAGGTGGATAATATTATGCTAATCATTAAAAATGTGCATTATTTTCCAGACTGAACAACATTTTGGAGAGAAGATTCGCTTTGCTTCTAGAATTCCATTACTATAAGTGCTGGGTTCTTGGTTTGCTGGAGGAAGTGAAATCCAAGTTGGACGTGTGGAACGTTCGCTACGGGAACAAGGCCTCGGTGGAATTGCTGCAGGAAGACTGGCATGTGAGCTGTGGAGTTTTGTGCTTAGGCAACTGTTCCCCACATCTGGGTGCTGGGGTTGCACTTCCGCTTGGCAAGATTTCCCAGGAACTCTGCAGGTTCTGAGGTGGATTTTCTTGGTGGTTCTCATTAGCCTGCATGTTGCCCGGATGGAATCCGACAGCAGGTGTAGGGAAGAGAAAGGGAAAGCACCATTTTTCATTTCCCAACTTCTCCGGATCCTTGCCTGGGTCGGTTAGGTGGTGACCAGCCCGGTCAACACGCTAGAGAAGATTCCAATCATTTTTTTCCTCTAAAAATTCTTTTTTTCACTTGCTGAAAATCTTGTATAATTTTTTTTCCTTCTGACATTCATGGTTCCCCTCAATCATTAAACATTTTTATCTTAGCCTCTCAAAAATTTGTAGTAGGAAAAACAGTATGTTTCTGTTTTGTCTTAGGGTTTTTTTTTACTTTAGTTTTTCCAATTCATAGGGAAAAGTGTTTCAGGTGCTTTAAATTTAAGTGTGCTTGTGTCTAGATCTAAACTAAAGCAACATAGAAGCGCCAGTTACACAGGCCTCTCCTTCTCTCGTTTTTCCATCCATTTGAAAATGGAGGGGAAAGCAAGCAAAATCCAGGAATCTGGGTATAGATTCCAATGTGAAACTGAAAACAATGATGAAGAGAGATTCAGAATTTATTTACAATTTATGATTTGAATACTGTATGTTCCCAAAAAGGGAGCACCCTTCTAGATAGATTTTGAGTATATTTTTAACCTTCTTTGAATTTTTGTTCTTCCATTTAAATCATCATACCATTTATATATAATTAGCTTACAAAGAAATGTATTTTTTCATAGCAGAATTTGATTAATGGTAGTTTCTGAGTTTTTTTGTAATCAATAATATCTGTTAATGTAATCTAAAATTTTGAATAAAAATTATTGATAAAATATATGGAATAAGATAAACTGATACAATTATGCAATATTAATAAGATATGTGAGGTAGGAGATTTTGAAATTGCTATCAATCCTTAATTTATCTTTTCCCACAAAAGGAACCCCACTGTAGAGCTGTCTCACTGCATCAAGATAACTTGTCACATGTCATTCCTATCTAGTGCTCATACAATTATGGGTCCTTGGAACTCTGACCTTTTCGTGAACTGCTTCTCCTGTTCTCTTATCTAAATCTGTAGTATTAAGGTCCCAAAGAAATGTTGGCAACTGTGCACTTCATCAGTATCCACGAGGGGTCTTCAAAAAGTTAACAGAAAATGCATATTATGAAAAAATGGTGCATGGATTTAAAACTTGTTTTACACCAAGATCAGCAGATTTTTAATTTTGCTTTTCCTTGAACTTCTCGAATGGCCCTCATATATGTCATAATCTGGATTTCTTGGCGCACATTGAATAGAAGGCATAGTCAATGTTTTTTTTCTCTTTTTACCGCCAGAAATTTATTGAAGAAAAAGGGTTCCTAGTTCAGCTGGATACTTCTTTTCAAAAATGTGAAGAAATTTATAAGCATCTGGGTAAGGCAGTTTAATTAGTTTTCAATGGAATGACCTCTTCAAAATGTCATTTCATCTATTTTACTTTCTTTATAATTTAATGCTTTAGGAATTACTTTTACAGGCGTGTTTTCCTTGGGAAATTCTTGCTTTCACTTTAGCATTGTCAGAATATGTATTGATTTTGCCATTGTCTATTAACATGCAAATAGTTTTCTTAACAGTGTCATTTTATTAACAAAAACCTATTTCCTAAGATTAATTTCTTGTTTTGCTAATATTGTAGCTGGAGAGTGTCAGAATATCAATGAACAATACACAGTGATGGAAAGCAACATTTGCATGTATAAAAAGTATCTATATAATGTAAAGTCCACTCTGCAGAAAGTGCTGGCGAGTTGGGCAACGTACATGGAAAAGCTTCGCTCACTGAAGGCTTGTTTTGAGGAGACAAAGAAGGAACAAATTAAAGAGGTATTTACCATTTTAGGGCACCTGCTCAAGTTTACTTTTTCTTTTCTTTCTTTTTTTTTTTTTTTTTGTTTGGGGACCCTCAGTTTCAACCCAAAGATGAGAATCCAGAGAGCAGTTAACATGTCTTCTGGAAAATTTTCCAAGGTTTTTGGAAAGAGTTTCTTCCCAATGTGATTGCCTAAAAATGTTGTCTGCACATGATAGGTTTTGCAGACACACACACACACACCCCTTTATTGAGGTCTAAGTTGTATATACAGAATTGCTTATGGAAAGTGCAAGGAGGAGGACATTTGGCCTCACAGTTAAGGCACAACGTGGGGAGGCCAGTGTTGGGCACAGCAGGTTAAGCCACTGCCTGGGACCCGCAGCATCCCATATGAGTGAGAGCTGAGTCCCAGTTGCTCCACTTCTGATCCAGCTCTCTGCTGTTGTGCCTGGAAGGGCAGCTGAATACGACCCAAGTACTTGGGCCCTGGCCACTCACATGGGCGAGAGACCTAGAGGGAGTTCCAGGCTCCTGGATTTGTCCTGGCCCAGCCCTGGCTGTTGTAGCCATTTGAGGAGTGAACCAGCAGATAGAAGATCTCTCTCTCTCTCTCCTCTCTCTCTCTCTCTCTCTCTCTCTCTCTCTCTCTCTCTCTCCTCTCTGTTGCTCTTTCAAAAGTAAAAGTAAATGAATGAAACCTTAAAATAATGACATTTTAAAAAGTTTTATTTTTCCATTTGGTTGATATCTTTCAGCTCTAAAACCTTTTTGAGTTTCTAGAGGAGGAAATCAAAATCCTTTAGACTTAAGGGCAGACTTGTGGAAGAAGTGTCATTGCCATTTATTGTTGTTTTCATTTGTTGTTCGTACAGTAGTCTGCTTTATAATTATCTTAGGTCATTTTTCTTTCTTTTATTTTCAACTAGATGTGGGTACCGTTTTAAAATTTTGTTTAAGATTTATTTATTTATTTGAAAGTCAGCGTTACCCAGAGAGAGGTCTTCCATTTGCTGGTTCACTCCCTAATTGGCCACAACAGCCAGAGCTGTGCCGATCTGAAACCAGGAGCCATGAGCTTATTCCAGGTCTCTCACGCAGGTGCAGAGACCCAAGCACTTGGGCCATCTTCTACTGCTTTCCCAGGCTATAGCAGAGAGCTGGATCAGAAGTGGAGCAGCCGGGACTAGAACCGGTGCCCATATGGGATGCTGGCACTGCAGATGGCGGCTTTACCTGCTGCACCACAGTGCTGGCCCAGATGTAGATAGCTTTTTAAGAGGAAAGATTTTTCCAAGTGGAAACTAAAATTACTCAAGCAAAAATGGGTTATCAGTGTAAAAGGAAAATTGGTGATAAGCTGTGGGTGTGACAGTGGAGCTCTTGTGGGCTTGTGGAGTCATCACTTCTGCCTGTCGCCGGGATCCTGGAAATTCACATCTTTGGCTTCCGACAGCCTTTCAAGGACAGAAGGTCTTCTATTAAAATGCACATAACTGTGCGAGAAGTAACTTGCTTTAAGACTGCAATGCCCAGCCTCTGCTGCAGAGCCCGGGGCCTGCAAAGAGAACTTGCAGGATTCTTAAGATTTTGAAGGAGACACAGCACGTCTGTCTCTTGGACACCATGCCACTTCCAAGTTATTGACCTGACTCCTGAAAAATGGGGGCTGGCAGCTGCTAGGTAATTTTTTGGCCTGGCGACTCCAAGAGAAAATGAAGGAGATGTGAGGGCTGTATTGCTTGGTCGAGTATGGAACCTCTTATCTAAGTTCATCAGCTACTTAAAAGGTAGACCAGATGCTTCCTCAGAGTCCACGCTGGCTGGCACTTGCCAGACAGGAATTGGAGATGATAAGCTCAGGTGATCGGGTGATAGGCATGGGCAGTCTAGATCTTTGCATAAAATAAAAAACTCTTTATATCTGCTTTTGCTTAGAATTATCCTTGGTAAGGACTTATTCTAGGTAATAGACAAAATACTATGTCATGAAGTGTTTATGTTGCTCAAATGTTCCGTAGGTTCCCTTTGAGATCTTATCCCAGTGGAATGTGGAGCACATTACTTTAAATGAAGTGGGGAATTTCTTAATTGGAGTCAGCAACGATGAAGTGGGAGCATCTATTTCTAAGGAACTGAGGCGGCTGAATAAGCGATGGAGAAAGTTCATTTCAAAAACTCAGCTGGTATGTGCCTTTGTTGGGAACAACCTTTTTGAGATACAATTTAAATACGGTACCACTCACTCATTGAAAGCATTATCAATCCATGCTGTTTAGCATATTCACAGAGCTGTTGGGCAGCCATCACCATTGTCAATTCTAAAACGTTTTCATCACTTTAAAGAAACTCTGCACACATTTGTAGTCACTCCGTTTCTTCCCAGCCCTGGACAACCGCAAGTCCACTTTGTTGGGTATAGATTTGCCTATTATGGATATGTCACAGATATATGTGTTATACCATTTGTGGTTTCTGCTGCCTGCCTTATCTGACTTGGCATACTGTTTTTAAGGTTCATCTACATTTTTTTTAAAGATTTTTTTTTATTTGAAAGACAGTTACAGAGAGAGGTAGAGACAGAGAGAGAGAGGTCTTCTATCACTGGTTCACTCCCCAAATGCCTGCAATGGCCAGAGCTGTGCCGATCCAAAGCCGGGAGCCAGGAGCTTTTTCTGGGTCTCCACATGGGTGCAGGGGCCCAAGCACTTGGGCCATCTTCTACTGCTTTCCCAGGCCATAGCAGAGAGCTGGATCAGAAGTGGAGCAGCTGGGACTTGAACGAGCGCCCATATGGGATGCTGGCATTTGGGGCCGGGGCTTTAACCCCCTGCTCCACAGCGCCATCCCTGGTTCACCCACATTGCACCATGTATGTGATAGACTTCATCTTTTTCACTGGAAAACAACCACCATTGTACGGATAGACCATATTCTATTTACCTGTCCAGTTGATCACATTTGTGTTCTTCCCACTTTTCCGGCTGCCGTGAGCCATGCAGCTATGAACAGGGCTGCGTAGTGTTCATGTGGATTATGTTTTCATTCCTCCTGCGTGCCCAAGCCAGCTTTTATTTCTTAAACCTTGCCACACTCGGCCGGCGCTGCGGCTCACTAGGCTAATCCTCCGCCTTGCGGTGCCAGCACACCGGGTTCTAGTCCTGGTCGGGGCACCGGATTCTGTCCCAGTTGCCCCTCTTCCAGGCCAGCTCTCTGCTGTGGCCCCGGAGTGCAGTGGAGGATGGCCCGAGTCCTTGGGCCCTGCACCCCATGGGAGACCAGGAGAAGCACCTGGCTCCTGCCATCGGATCAGCGCAGTGTGCCGGCCATGGCGGCCATTGGAGGGTGAACCAACGGCAAAGGAAGACCTTTCTCTCTGTCTCTCTCTCTCACTGTCCACTCTGCCTGTCAAAAAAACATATATATATATATATATATATATATATATATAAAACCTTACCACACTCAGCTTTCTTGTTGAAATTCATTTACCACTAAATAACAACATATGCGTTGTTTTGCCTATTAGATTTCAAGCTCTTTGAGAACATACAATGAGCCTTATTTATCTTATATTTCATATAATGCCTCATAAAAGCAGAAGTTAGTAAATTCTTAAACTATTCTATTCTTTATTTTTAACAATATGAAGCTTAGATGTTTTCTGAGAAATTCCCAAATTTTATAACATTTTTGCTGAATGGTAAATCCTAAAAATATATTTCTTTTTTAAATGTTTTTTTTTTTTTAAGATTTATCTTATTTATTTGAAAGACAGAGTTACAGAGAGAGGTAGAGACACAGAGAGAGGTCTTCCATCTGCTCGTTCACTCCCAGATGGCCGCAATGGCCGGAGCTACGCCAATCCTGAGCCAGGAGCTTCCTCTTGGTCTCTCACGCAGGTGCAGGGGCCCAAGGACTTGGGCCATTTTCCCCTGCTTTCCCAGGCCATATCAGAGAGCTGGATTGGAAGAGGAGCAGCTGGGACTAGAACCGGCGCCCATATGAGATGCCTGCACTTCAAGCCAGGGCTTTAACCCGCTATGGCACAGTGCCAGCCCCCCCTAAAATATATATTTCAACATAATATAGCCATATCTTGGCTCTTATATGGAAGCCTACAAATCTAAACATAAGCATTAACTTTCATGCAATTAATTTTTTACAGGAAATGAAGCTCCCACTTATTAAAAAACAAGATCAGCCCATTCCCGACACTTCTGGAAATATTCTACCATCTAAAGAAGAAAAGCCAACTGCTGATGTTTTGACAGACGCATCGACCGAACTTTCTGGAGATCATGACTGGAACATAAGGGTGAAGGAGTCCTACTTTTTGTGTTTCATTTGCGTATTGAAAAAATTTAGCTTTGCTGTTTTTCTTTTAAAAGCACCAAGCTGTTGAAACAGTACCTTGTGAATGTATGGATTACTGTATCTGGTTGAGAACTTGTTACTGTCCAGGAAAATGCATAGGTTATTGTCTTCACAGAGTGGGCCTTAGCGTGAGTGCACTATGTCACCTCTGATTGCACTGTGGACTTCTGCAGACACGCAGAAGCAGGGAGGACTCTGGGTGCTGTAAATCAACGTGGTCTCTAGATTACCTCCTACTACTGCTCACAAGTAGTGCAGCTTAGGGCTGGCGCCTGGGCCCTGCTTCCCCTTGCTAAAAGGGTGGGGAATGCAACTGTTCTCCTTGTTTTGTTGGATAATTTGGAGGGTGACCTTGACTATAGGTAGGAATATGAAAACGGGACAAAGAAATGAATTAAAAATCATGTACATGTAGGATGCAGGACCTGCAGTTTGGGAGATGGGCCTCCTTTAGAATCGCAACTTCTACAGCTATACTTAGAGGATCATTTTAACTGCTCTAGCCAGCTGTCAGGACAGAGTGCTGGTGTTTCCCTGCTGTGGGAATGCCTGATGGGGGGATGGGCATTTGGCCCAGCCGCTTACACACTGATGTCCCACCTCTGAGTACCTGGGTCTGATACCAGGCTCCCTAGGCTCCTGACTCCAGCTTCCTGTTAATGCAAACCTGGGAGGCAGCAGGGTGAGTGAGGTGGTGGGGCTCCTGGCATGCACACCTGAGACCTGGATTGAACTCCTGCTCTCAGCTTTGGCCTCAGCCCAGCTGCTGCAGACAAGCTCTCTCTGTCTGTCTCTTTAATAAACGTATGTGTATACAAACAACTTTAATAGCATATCCATCATGTGGCGCTGTGGTGTTATCAACCTACAGAATACGGAGAGAGTATCAGGGGAAAAGATTTCATTTCATCGACACTTGATTCTGTGTTTTTTCTTTCTTTTTTTTTTTTTTTTAAAGATTTATTTATTTATCTGAAAGTCAGAGTTACACAGAGAAAGGAGAGGCAGAGAGAGAGAGAGAGAGAGAGAGAGAGAGAGAGAGGTCTTTCATCCACTGGTTCATTCCCCAATTGGCCGCAACGGCCGGAGCTGTGCCAATCCGAATCCAGGAGCCAGGAGCTTCTTCCTGGTCTCCCATGCAGGTGTAGGGGCCCAAGCACTTGGGCCATCTTCTACTGCTTTCCCAGGCCATAGCAGAGAGCTGGATTGGAAGTGGAACAGCTGGGTCTCGAACCGGTGCCCATATGGGATGCCGGCACTTCAGGCCAAGGCATTAACCCGCTGCGCCATAGTGCTGGCCCCATTTTTTTCTTTGTTAAATTTCAATTTTGGTGTCATCATTTTATTTGTAAGGCAGAGAGAGAGAAAGAGATCTTCCATCTGTTGGTTCATTCCCCAAATGTTTGCTAGAGACGGAGAAAAGCTAGACCAAAGCTAGGAGCCAGGAACTTCCTCTGAGTGTCCCAGATGGGTGGCAGAGACCCAGGCACTTGAGCCATCACCTGCTACTTCCCAGGGTGCACATTAGCAGGAAGCTGGACCAGAAATGGAGGAGCTGGGGTCGGTTGAACATGGATACGGTGTCCCAGCTAGCAAAGGAGAGAGATCTTTGATCCACTGGTTCTCCCCAAACGACCACAACGGCCGGGTCTGAGCAAGCCTGAAGCCAGGAGGCAGGATCTCTTTCTGGGTCTCCCACTTAGGTATCAGGGGCCCAGCTACCTGGGGCCATCTCTTACTGTGTTCCCAAGTGCACGGGTTAGAAATGGGGCAGCCGGGACTAAAACTGGCACTCCGATAGGGACTGCCTGTGTTACAAACTGGGGCTTTACCTGCGGTGCCACCACACCCGCTCCTCTCCGGAGTTTCTTCCTGATGCCAATACCTGTGTTTAATTAAACTGTAGGTGAATCTTAGAAATGTGTTTATAGAGTGAATACCCTAATTTCCCAAGCTTTGATCTTATCTATAAAGTGGTGATACCGGTATCTGTAAATGATAGGGATGGTATAATTAAGAAAATATACGTGAACAAACCTTTTAATTTGGAGCGTGATACATGTTGTCATAAAGCACGCCTCACCCTTGTCCACAGCCCAGGTCTGTGTCATTAAAATATGTTGAATTAGTTCTCAGTGGAAAAACTGTTTTATCCCATACGTGTTGACTGTTTCCTCGTGGTAACTTTGACTATCGTAGGCTGGAGGAGAAGGTGAAAAGGAGAAGGAAGAATTCCCGGGGCAGCTCAAAGTGGCTGAAGAGGTGGAGAAGCTCAGCGGACGGGTGGAGATCTGGGAGGCGGAAACCGCGTCTGTTTTGGATCTTCTGAGGCAGGGAGATGACGCGGGGACATCCATGGAGGAACCCTTGCAGGTGCGAATGAGAAAGGGTTAAGGGGGGGCACTGTCAAAAAGAAGTGAGCTTAACGTGGAGATGCAATGACTCTGAGCAGCCCTTGTCTCCACCGCTGTGGAGCGATTTTGTTTTTGTTTTTGTTTTATGGTGCAAATTGTTGAACTCTTTACTTAGCATAGAGTTGGTCTTCTGTGTCTGAAAATTGAAAATGGATGTTAGTGGAGAATGGGACTGGGAGTGGGGGAGGGAGGGGGGAGGGGTGGGAGTGTGTGTGGGAGGGCGGGGATGGTGGGAAGAATCACTGTGTTCCTAAAGTTGTGCTTACGAAATGCATGAAGTTTGTATTCCTTAAATAAAAGGTTTCTTTGGGGCGGGGCGGGGGACGGAAGAGCACCATCACGGTACCAAGCACTTGGCGCTTGCACTTTTCATAGCTTGAGACGCTTTAAGGTCATTTAAAAACTGGCAAAAGAAACAGTCATGCCATTTTCCTTTTCTTTGTTGGGAGTTTCAAAAATGGCGTGGATTCTCCCCGCCGGGGGTTGTCTGTTAGGATTCTGCTTGAAGGCAGTGGATCAATGAGGCAAGCACTGATACACTGCATGAACTGGAGTTCTGGGACTAATTCTCCCAGCCCCAGGATGGGAATGGGAACTAAGATATTCCCTCCCGGCAGAGGGCAAAAGGAGATACGTGAGTTCAGTCCCACCTAGCCCCGTGCCGTGCCGCGCTGTGCCCTGCCGTGCTGTGTGCCCACAGGAGATGATTCAATTAAGCTTCGAAGGTTCTCCTTCTGACTACTTGCCTCTCCCCCACCTGCAGCGGGGAGGGGAGCTTGCCTGGTGTCCTCCGCATTCCCTGCTGTCTTTCTCCCTAGGCAACTGACTCGCTGCAGAGCAATGAGGCAAGGGTGTGTTTTAATATCACGGAGTTCTCCCTGGAAGGAAGTTCTGATCGAGGTGTTTACTCGGCTCCAGCTCAGCTGTAAAATTTTACAACAGGACGGGGAGTCCCCACAACAGAGATGCATTCCCACAATTTTTCTAAATTCGCATCTCTGAGGGATGAAAGCTTTGCCATTATTTTGCGTTTTCCTTGTTTGTGAGAGTGAGCCTTTTTATTGCACTGGAAATTACCACCTGTTCACAGAACCTTTAAAACTTTCATACTTATTTGCTCCATCTGGAATTTATTTTCGTGACAGAGATGAGGTAGAGATTCAGAATTTAAGAAGTTATTTTAAAAGTGTTATTTTTAAATTTAAGACCATTCAAAATGTTTTCAGAACAATAATGATTCTTCTTGTGAATGGTGGAAATGCCCAAATATACCCTTGTTAATAGAGAAGTAGGGGTCGGCACCGCGGCTCACTAGGCTAATCCTCCGCCTGCGGCACCGGCACCCCAGGTTCTAGTCCCGGTTGGGGCGCCGGATTCTGTCCTGGTTGCTCCTCTTCCAGTCCAGCTCTCTGCTCTGGCCCTGGAGGGCAGTGGAGGATGGCCCAGGTGCTTGGGCCCTGCACCCCATGGGAGACCAGGAGGAAGCACCTGGCTCCTGGCTTCGGATCAGCGCAGTGCGCCGGCCACAGCGGCCATTGGAGGGTGAACCAAAGGCAAAGGAAGACCTTTCTCTCTGTCTCTCTCTCTCACTGTCCACTCTGCCTGTCAAAAAAAAAAAAAAAAAAAAATAGAGGAGTAGGTAGATCTCTATTGGATCAAGATACAAGCTCAAGATATGTTTAAAGTAAGAAATGCAGACTGTGGAGCAGTTAGGGCCATGTGGTCCTGTTTGTGTTTTTAAAAAGTTATGTTTTTATGATTTGTGTTTTTATATCTGTAAAATTATTTACAGATATGTAACTGAGTCTGTCTCTTGATTTGTGTTATACCCAGCTCAAAGAGCAGTTCATGGCGCATGGTAGACATACAATAAACCTTTTTATCTTTTATTTATTTATTTTTAAAGATTTACTTACTTATTTGAAAAGCTGAGTTCTAGACAGAGAGAGGGAGAGGAGTCTTCCATCTGCTTGTTCATTCCCAGGTGGTCGCAACAGCCAGAGGTGGGCTGACCCGAAGCCAGGAGCCAGGAGCTTCTTCCGGGTCTCCCTCCTGGGTGCAGGGACCCAAACACCTGGGCCATCTTCTGCTGTTTTCCCAAATGTATTAGCAGGGAGATGGATCAGAAGTGGAGCAGCTGGGGCTCAAACCGGTGCCCATATGGGATGCCGGCACCACTGGTGGAGGCTTAACCCACTATGCCATAGCACTGGTCCCCAAAATAAACCTTTTTAATATCAATCTGTGAATGATTTATTAAATGACAACCAGTGGGGCTGTAGGGAAAAGGAGGGACTTTTTCTTTACAAGCTGCACCATTCTGTTCTTGTTTGAAGTCTTTTAATTGAGCTTTTTGTTCCTTTTGTAACTTCAAAAGAAAAAGCTGAAATTATAAACAGTGTGCTAATGTCAAAGAATGAAAATCACCAGAATTTCACTATTGTATGATTAAAAAGATCTGTAGGGGTACTTTAAAAAAGTTCATGGAAAATAGATATTATGAATTATGCATGATTTTTTAAAATTTTTGCACCAAAATAAGCTTATATTTAATTCTACTACCCATGAACTGTTGAGGTACCTGGACACACTTACACAGGTTTTATTGCACAGTATAATTTCTGTTTTATCATACTCATGCTACCCTTGAGTTTCAATTTTTCTTTTTACTAATTTGACAACTCATTTAGTTTTTAATCAACATTACATATAAGCTCTTATGTGATTCTTTGATTACATATGAAATTGAATTATCTTTTCTGTATTTATTAGACATGTATTTCTGTGAGTTAGCCATTATTGTATTTTCAGACTTTTCTTTGGACTCTTTTTTCTTTTTGATCTAAGCAAACTCTTTTTCAACTTTTAATTTTGACATACTTATCGACTTCTAGGACATTTGTAAAACTTCTGAAAGAACTCCCATACATTCTTGGCCCAGTTTCCTAAGTCTTCCCCTGTTCTGTGTGAGTGTGCATACACACGTGAGCCTACACATAGGCAAACTTTTTTCTAAATTGTTGCAGTCAGTTGCAGATATGATGCCCTTTACCCCAAAAATATTTCACCATGCCTTTCCTAAAAGTAGACATTCTGTTACTATCTAATTACCAAAATCAGAAGAGCAACAATGTTAAAATCATCTAATCTGAGACTTACTCAGAATTCGCTACTTGTCCCAGTAATGTCACTTTATAGCAAAAGAAAATCCAAATCATGCACTGTGCTCATTTGTTATACCTGGCTGGTCTGCTTCAGTCTGGACAACTCCTCAGTACTTTTATTTTTTTTTTATGTTGACCTTTGGAGAGGTTTGGCCCTGCTGTTGTGTAGCCTCTCCCTCTATCTGCGTCTGTCTGGTGTTTCCTCTTGATTAGATTCAGATTTGCACTTGTGGCGGGAGTGGCCCCACAGTGCCATTTCCTTCTCAACACATCACATCCGTGGACACGTGATGCTCATTTGTCCCTGACTTCAGGGATCTGAGAATCCCACCAGTGAGGGCGTGGTGGTGCCCAGAGGTACTTGGCACTCACAGCGGGGCCTTGGGCACTTTCTGTTGAATGTGAGCTATTTCCCAGAACTTCAGCACCAGGCAAGGCCGCACTGTGGCCTTGGGACGGGCCCATTCTGTTATCGGGTCAGGAACATGTTCCTTATCGCACAAATGGCCAAGTCCGCCTCCCTCCTGGCTGCTGTGACGGCCTCTGCTTCCTCCCCAGCTCTAGCCTCAGCCCAGTCCTTCTGCCTTCTGCCCAAGATGGAGTGAGAGCCTCGAAGGTAGACTTAATCTCACTTCCTGACGGTGTACAGTGCAGAAGCACGTCCTTGAACCTCTCCCCAGATCACCGAGCTCAGGCCCGCATTCTCCCTCGAGTCCTGCGTGGTGCGTGTTCTCTCTCACGTGGCCCTTGATCAATGCAGCTTGTTCAGCCACAGGTGTGACACTTGACGCTGGTGGCAGTATGCTGGTCAGTTGGTTGATTAATGGGTTTGTCTGGCAGGTGTATGCATTATAAAGTTACTGTTTTCCATTTGTAATTAATATGTACCTGTAGGCAATGCTTTGCAGCTGTGTAACTATCCTGTTCCTTCTGTAACTTTCTCTTTTTTAAGAAAGATTTATTTATTTATTTATTTATTTGAAAGGCAAAGTTACAGAGAGGCAGAGGCAGAGAGAGAGAGAGTTCTTCCATTGGCTGGTTTACTCCCCTGATGGCTGTAACGGAGCTGAGCTGATCCGAAGCCAGGAGCCAGGAGCTTCTTCTGGGTCTCCCAGATGGGTACAGGGACCCAAAAACTTGGGCCATCTTCTACTGCTTTCCCAGGCCATAGCAGAGAGCTGGATTGGAAGTGGAGCAGTCGGGACTCGAACCAGCACCCATATGGGATGCTGGCATTGCAGGTGGCTGCTTTACCCGCTACGCCACAGCGCTGGCCTTCCTATAACTCTCTAGTGCTCACTTTTGCTTATTTATTTTTCTAAGTTTGGTTTGCTAGAACTTATTAATTATATTTTTTTATTTCATGGATGGTAATTGCACGCCTAATTTTTCTGGGGTGCTGTGTGACATTTCAGTACATACACAACTGTAGAAAGATTGGATCAGGCTATTAGGCAAATCTATCACCTTAGACACTCATCATTTCTTTGTATGGGGACCATCCACAACCCTCTCTCCTAGCAATTTTGAAATACTGGATTACTTGTTGTTGACCGTGGTTTTCTTCCCGTTGGAGGTCGTTCCTCCTATCCTACTGCACTCTTGAATCTGTTAACCATTCCTTCTCCACTCCTTCCTCCCCCACACCCTTCCCAGTCTCTCAGAACACTGTTCTGTTCTCTAATTCTTTGCGATCTACTTTTTAGCTTCCTCCTGCTGTGAGAATTTGTGGTATTTGATTCTGTGCCAGACTTATTTTACTGAACATAATGTTATCTAGTTCTGTATTGCTGTGAGGGACAGAATTCCATTCATTTTATGGCTGAACTGTATCCACACGTGCACACGTGTGTGTGTGTGTGTGTGACATGTTTTCCCTCCTCTCACCCATCAATGGACACCTCAGCTGATTCCTGATCTTGGCTGTTGTGAATAGTGTAGCAATAATATGTGAGTGCTGATGTCCCTCTGGTATTTGGATGTTAATTTCTATGAATATATACTCGGCAGTAGAATTGCTAGATCATGCGCTAGTTTCATTGCTGGGTTTTGAGGAACCTGTCTACTGTTTCCCATAATGTCGTTGTGCTCATTCACATTCCCACCAGTGGTGTAGAGAGTTCCCCTTTCTGTGCATGCTTGCCAGCATTTGCTTGTGTGTGTGTGTGTGTGTGTGTGCGTGTATGTGTGTGTGTGTGATAATAGCCATTCTGAGATGAAATCTCAGAATGGTTTTGAATTGCATTTCTCTCCTCATTAGTGATGTGGAACATTGTTTTCAACAACTTGCTGGCCATTTGTATGTCATTTGTTGGATAAATACCTGTTCAAGCCAATTGTCCTTTTAAAAATTGGTTTGTACGTTTTTTGCTGTTTGGGTTCCACATAATTTCCAGAAAGGAATCTCTTATTGATGAGTAGGCTGCAAATATTTTCTCCTGGTCTGTAGGTGGTCTCTGCAATTGGTTTCCTTTGCTGTGCAGAGAATCTTTAGTTTGATGTGGTCCTATTTTTCCATTTTTATTTTGTGCCTGTGTTTTGGGGGTTATATCTAGAAAAATCTTTGCCCAGCTTTATGTCTTGAAGTGGTTTTCCTACATTTTCTTCTACTAGTCTCATAGTTTTGAGTCTTAGATTTGAGTCTGATTCATTTTGAGTTGATTTTTTTTTAATGTGGTGAAATTAAGGGGTCTAGTTTCTTTCTTTTTTTAAGATTTATTTTATTTATTTGGAAGACAGAGTTACCGAGAGGGGTAGAGCCAGAGAGGGAGAGAGGTCTTCCATCTGCTGTCTCATTCCCCAAATGATTGCAATGACTAGAGCTGAGCTGATCCAAAGCCAGGAGCCAGGAGCTTCTTCCAGGTCTCCCACGTGGGTGCAGGGGCCCAAGGACATGGGCCATCCTCCACTGCTTTCTCAGGCCATAGCATAGAGCTGGATCGGAAGTGGAGCAGCCAGGACTTAAACCGGTGCCCATATGGGATGCCAGTGCTGCAGGCTGGGGATTTAACCCACTGCACCACAGCACCAGCCCCGGGGTCTAGTTTCTTTATTCTGCATATTGATATGTAGTTTCCCCAGAATCAATCATTGAAGAAGCAGTTCTTTCTCCAGTGTATTTCCTTGCTGCCTTTGTTAAAAACCAGTTGGCTATAGATGCATTGGTTTATTTCTGTGTTTGCTCTCTGTTCCTTTGATCTGTGTATCGGTTTTTATGTTAATACCATGCTGTTTTGCTTATTATCACTTTATAATATGTTTTGAAGTAAGGCATTTGATGCTTCCAGCTTTGTTCTTTTTGCTTAGGATTGTTTTAATTATTTGTTTTTTTTTTAAGATTTATTTATTTATTTTTAAAGACTTATTTATTTGAAAGACAGAGTTACAGAGAGAGGTTGAGTCAGAGAGAGAGGTCTTCCATCCACTGGTTCACTCCCCAGATGGCCGCAATAGCCGGAGCTGTGCGGATCCGAAGCCAGGAGCCAGGAGCTTCCTCCGGGTCTCCCATGTGGGTGCAGGGACTCAAGGACCTGGGCCATCCTCCACTGCTATCTCAGGCCATAGCAGAGAACTGGATCGGAAGCGGAGCAGCCGGGACTTGAACCGGTGCCCATATGGGATGCTGGCACTGCAGGCGGCGGCTTTAACCACTACGCCACAGCGCTGGCCCCCCAAGACGCTTCTTAACTGCAGTGCCAAATACCTGTGCCTGTTTGTCTTGTTTGGTGCTCGCGTGGAGGGAGGCATGCCAGGCACTGCAGGCCACCACCCTGCTGACATCACCTCAGCTGACTTTTCTGTTATTGAATTACAGAGGGGCTTTACATATGCGGTGGCTCTCTCCACCCTTGTGCTCAAAGAGACCCTCTGGACCAAGAGAGGAGATCAAGATTGATGGATATATGTTCTTTTTATGACTTCTTTTTCTTAAAAGATTCATTTATTTATTTGAAAGGCAGAGAGAGAGAGAGAGAGGGAAAGCGACAGAGACAGAACAGAGAGAGAGAGAGAGAGAGGCGGAGTCTTCCTTCCGCTGGTTCACTCCTGAAATGACTGCAACATCCAGAGCTGTGCTGATCCAAAGCCAGGAGCTTCCTCCAGGTCTCCCACATGGGTGCAGACGCTCAAGGACTTGGGTCATCTTCTACTGCTTTCCCAGGTCATAGCAGGGAGCTGGATCAGAAGTGGAGCAGCTGGGACTAGAACTGGTGCCCTTGTGGAATGCTGGCATTGCCAGCAGAGGCTTAACCCACTATGCCACAGCACTGGCCCCGTGGCGTCTTATTTTCTGTATGACTTTGTAGAATATCTGGAGTTGATTTTTAATATATTGTGTAAAGCATCGCCTAAAAAGTTTATTTTGTGTAGCTGTTTTCTCCAATAAGCACTTGTTAAATTTCCGTCCTCACTAATTTGTCTTAGAACCGTTTCAGTTTGGGGTGTATTATTATTTCAGCTGACCATGTATCAGTTTTAGCCTTTATTTTATTGATGGATAAACAATAACCTATACTCTATAAAAGACCATATTTTTCAGAATTTGATTGTTTTTTGGGGCCGGTGCTGTGGTGTAGTGGGTAAAGCCACCACCTGCCAGGCTGGCATCCCACATGGGCACTGGTTCGAGTCCCGGCAGCTCCACTTCCAATCCAGCTCTCTGTTATGGCCTGAAAAAGCAGTAGAAGATGGCCCAAGTCCTTGGGCCCCTGTACTGTCATGAGAGATCCAGAAGAAGCTCCTGGCTCCTGGCTTTGGATTGGCCCAGCTCTGACCATTGTGGCCATCTGGGGAGTGAACCACTGGATGGAAGACTTCTCTCTCTCTCTCTCTCTGCCTCTCTGTAACTCTGCCTTTCAAATAAATAAATAAATCTTAGAAAAAAAGGAATTTGATTGTTTTTATATAAAATTTCAAAATTGATTTTTTACAATAGCATTTTTCACAATATGGATTTCCCTCATTTTGGGTTAACAATTAACATGTTGTGGTTTCCTGATGAGATTGTTAGACTAATGTCTCATGTAGACTCAGAATGCTTCTTGTGATCGCCTTTCCTCTTGTTTTAACAGCATCTCCTTGCCAAAGGCTCCATGTACGAAGAGCTAGTGGCCAGAACCGAAGATACATTACAAATGGATATTCAGAATATTTCCAGCCAGGAGTCCCTTCAACACGTTCTCACGGCTGGACTACAGGCCAAGATTCAAGAAGCTAAAGAGAAAATCCAGGTGTCTCCTTCAGAGTCCCTCTTTAGAGAATTCATTCTTTTTTTTTTTTTTAAAGATTTATTTTATTTATTTGAAAGACAGAGTTACAGAGAGAGGTAGAGACAGAGAGAGAAAGAGAGGTCTTCCCTCTGCTGGTTCACTCCCCAGCTGGCTGCAACAGCCAGAGCTGTGCCAATCCAAAGCCAGAAGCCAGGAGCTTCTTCCAGGTCTCCCACGCAGGTGCAGGGGCCCAAGGACTTGGGCCATCTTCCACTGCTTTCCCAGGCCATAGCAGAGAGCTGGATCGACACTGAAGCAGCCGGGACTAGAACCAGCTCCCATATGGGATGCCGGTGCTTCAGGCCAGGGCTTTAACACACTGCGCCAGCCCAGAGAATTCATTCTTTAAAACTGAATAGTTAGGAGGTGGGTTAGAAAGGTAGCAGTAAGTGGCTGTATGGCTTGGAAAAAATATGTAAAGTAGTATTTGTGACCTGCAGCATTTTGGACGATATAAATGCAATAAATGAAGTCTCTCTGTGTCTAGTGGGGAGTTAGAAATTGCTTTTCCACACTCTATTAGCTTTTGAATTCACTGGGAAAGTTGGACAGAGTGTTCATCTGAGACCTTTTTATTTGTTTTTGCCTGTCCAGATCAATGTGGTAAAACTCATGGCAGCATCAAAGACCTCAAGTGATGTTTCAGCAGGCTTGGATGCCAGGCTGCAGCTAGAGGAGTCACGGAAGGAGCTGGAATCACACATGGCCAAGGCTGAGCAGCTACTGGAGCAGCGAGAGCGCCCCGGTGCCCTCATCTCAAAGTACAAGGTGGGAGCCTTTAGGTTGTCCTTTGCTACCCATCTGGTTTGAAACACAAATGCAAAGTTACTGTGACTTGAAGAGCATCCTGGTTTTAATGCATTCTTCCCCGGAGGCTTTTAAAAATTAACATGGTGGGGTGGGGTGGGGAGGGGATGGATGGGCAACTTCTAGTCCATTGGTGAAGAGGCTGTCATCCCACACTGGATTTCCTGTTAGATTCCCAGCTCTGACTCCCGACTCCAGACCCTGGCAGGCAGCAGTGGTGCTCAAGTAGTTGGGTCTCTGCCAGCCACGTGAAAGACCCAGACTGCACCCCTGCTCCTGGCTCCTGGCTCCTGGCTCCAGCCCTGGCCTTCGCAGGCGTTTGAGGAGTGAACCAGTGGATGGCAGCTCTGTATTTCTTTCTTTTTTTTTTTTTTTAAGATTTATTTTATCTATTTGACAGAGTTACAGAGAGGCAGAGGCAAAGAGAGAGAGAGAGAGAATGAGAGCGAGAGTGAGAGAGAGAGAGATCTTCCATCCACTGGTTCCCTCCCTAAATGGCTGCAGCAGCTGGGACTGGACCAGGCCAAAGCCGGGAGCCTGGAACTCCATTCCAGATTCCCATATGGGTGGCAGGGGTCCGAGCACTTGGGCTACCTTCTGCTGTTGTCTCAGTTGCTTTAGCAAGGAGCTAGATTGGAAATGGAGCATCTGGGATTTGAACTGGCACCCATATAGAATGCTGGAGTCGCAGGTGGCAGCTTAACCTACTGTGCCACAATACTGGCCCCAAAACTGTGAACCTAAAAATGTCCTAACTGCTAAGCTAGATGCCTGTCCAACTTATTTTTTAATTCCATTTTTCACGGACTTTTGGTTGTACCTACAAACATTAGCCTTGTTGATTGGGCAGTGTGAGACTTCCATGTTCTGGTTTACATTTTTTTTTTTCTTTTTAGGAAGCATTAATACTTCTTAATACTAAGTGTATGGCGAAGTACTTGAGAGCTGTGGAAGAAATGAAGGGTAGTGTAACGGAGGACGTGCAGCTGTCTTGGGAAGAAGAGAGCAGAGCTGTCTGTGCCAAGTGGGAGGTATGACGTGCACACCCACCTGTGCCTTGCACTGCCTGGGTCTGATCCAGTGCCTCCTGGGGCTCCTGTCCACTCTGCGTTACACGGAGGGGCTCACCTGTGCAGGCTGCCGCCGCAGGCTCCGCATCAGCTGCCTTCGGTCTGCCTTCGGCCAATGACAACCCTGTGTAGAGACTTGAGGGTCGTGGAAGAGGAAGAGAGATTTCTTTCCCTCCCTGATTTGGGCAGTGTCTCAGGCAGCAGCTGGGGCTCCTCCTGGCTCCAGCTGCCCGTGGGTGTCCCTGGTCCCCGGGCTGTGCTGCAAAGCCCCCAGCCCAGGGGGAGCCATGTCCCCTGCTGGACTTCTCTGCACTGTCACCTCCTGTGTCATCAATTCCCTGCCTTAATTGAATGACTGAATGAATGACTACTTAATGGCCTGCGTTGTCTTCAGAGCGTTTTCTGGTTTCCTGGTTGGATCCAAGAAACCAAATACGTGCACAGAGCAGTGCTTCTTAGAGACGCAGGTGCAGGCTTAGGTGGCAGGTGAACTTGGAGCCAGCTGTTGTGACCCTGGACAAGTTACTGAGCCTCAGGAGCCTCACTGATAAAATGGGAGTGACAGCGCCTCCCTGGCAGCATCAGTGCTAAAGGTTTTTATGCAGCTTCTTCCACAGAGATGATGCTGAGTAGATGGTGGTTAATACGATGCAAGCAAATCTCTGTGTATAGTAAGGCCTCCTACTGTATACAGCAAATCTCTATAAATCATACGGTAAGATAGTATATGCTATGTATTACGCGTCCATGGAATGGAACAACCACTACTAACAGTCCTCCTAAAATGCTGTATAAAGTAGACTTCCTCGTTACAAAATGGCCTTAGATATATAGAATAAGGGATGGCAGCCATGACGCAGGGACCTCCAGGACGGCCCCCTCCCCAGATCCTCCCATTACTGATATCTTAGCAGAATACTTTGGTCACAGTGAGTGGGCCAATACTGATGCATTCTTGTTCCCTGGAGTCTGTACTTTTTCAGATTTCCACCATTTCCTCCTCATGTTGCTTTGGCCAATTTCAGGAATAGGATGCACATTATCGGGTCCCTGCCTTGAGGCTCAGCTGTGCGTCGGGCATCCCTCCCAGTCTGCTGCTGTTTCCATTCTGTTAGCTGTGTATTTCACAGCTGAAACACATTTGTAGTTGCTAGAAAAAAATACCCGTGTATGCATGAGGCTGGGACGTTTTTAAACATTCTCCCCAGAGATGCAGGGATGGATCCGCATATTATGTAGGCTCTGTTTCCGTCCTTTGGTCACCGCCACCGTTTCTGTTGTTAGTACAAGTATGTTTTCAGTAGGTTCTGTTCCCAGGCTTGACAGTTTCCTTGGTTTTTCTCCAGTCTCTTCATCATGAGTTGTCTTTGTATATTCAACAACTGAAGATAGATATTGAGAAAGGAAAGCTGAGTGACACGATTTCAAAACTCGAAAAGCAAATAAATAAAGAGAAGAAACTTATTCGCAGAGGAAGGACCAAGGGCCTGCTCCAGGAACACGAGGTGATGCAGCCTGTTTCCGGTTGATCCCGTCACCGCTGTGGGGTTTAGCTCACACGGTCGCACGCGCGTGTGTCTTTAGCCTGGGGTTGAATCACCCCTGGGATTCCTTGCACCTTCGTTCCTTGTGGGTGATGAACAACCTTGGGACTCAAGCGCTGACAAGAGCCTGTGCGTCTCACTGGGGGGCAGTAAGAAAATTCAGACCTGGGTTCTTGTTTCGTGATGTCCCTGGGAAGGGCTGGGTGTCGCCTGTCTTGAGAGAGTCGGGTCACAAAGGCACCAGTGTCACTGAAGTGCCCCCCTGGTTGCGTAAGTCAGGGGTCCCGTCCTTGGAAGCACAGCTTCGTGAAAGGAAGTCAATCAGAGAATAGGACACCTGAGTCAGATCCCATGAGCTCCGTGTGCTCCCTCTCCTCCTTGATAGCTTCCGTGTGTTTCACAGTGCTGATCTCTCTCTTCAGTTCTTTTTTAAAGATTTATTTATTTATTTGAAAGTCAGAGTTACACAGAGAAAGGAGAGGGGGAGAGAGAGAGAGAGAGAGAGAGAGAGAGAGAGAGAGAGAGAGAGAGAGAGAGAGAGGTCTTCCATCCACTGGTTCACTCCCCAGTTGGCTGCAACAGCCAGAGCTGCACCGATCCGAAGCCTTGAGCCAGGAGCTTCTTCCAGGTCTCCCACGTTGGTGCAGGGGCCCAAGCACTTGGGCCATCTTCTACTGCTTTCCCAGGCCATAGCAGAGAGCTGGATCGGAAGTGGAGCAGCCGGGACTCGAACCGACGTCCATATGGGATGCTGGCACTGCAGGCGGTGGCTTTACCCGCTATGCCACAATGCCGGCCCCTTCATTTCTTTTTGTCTTTGCTTGGCTATGGCCCTTCCATTATCAGTCTTTATCACTTTTGTATAAGCAGTCTTCATAAAGTTCATGGAAAATTGGAATTCCAAAAAAAAAAAAAAAAAAACCCGCATGAATTTCAAATTTTTTTTTGCACCAAAGTCTTTCTTTTAATTCCATTTTCCATGAACTTGGTGAAGCACCTTCTGGGCATTTCTGTGTGTGTACCGCTATGTAAACAAGCTATGTATATAATTTGGAAGTCTTTTTTTCTTCTGTCATCCTTTTTTTTTTTTTTTAAGAAAATGCCTTATTAAAATTATTTTATGTGGCAGAAAGAGAGTGAGAATGCTCATCTGCTGATTCGTTCCCCAAAAGCCAGTGGCAGCCAGGGCTAGGCCAGGCCAAAGCCAAGAGCCCAGAATTCCATCTGGGTTTCCCGTGTGGGTGGCGGGGGCCATGAACTTAGCCATCCCTGCTGCCTCCCAGCGTGGGCAGTAGCAGGAACCTGGACTCAGGAGTGGAGCTGACACTCCTGTTACTCTGATGTGGAAGGTGGGTGTCCCAACCAGAGGCTTAACCTGCACCCAACGTCCACCCCATCCCCTGTCACCTTAATGTGTGCCTTTCAGGGGGTACCCTCCGCTCTGGGCCAGTGTCTTGTGTCCCCTGGGTGATTCTGTGCTCTCTGGGTCCTCTCTCTGCAATGATGGCACCTCCATTGTTTCCTCCGGCTGAGGCCTTTCCCCTGGGCTCCTGTGCTGTTTCTGACAGCCTGGCAGGTGTCCCTTCAGCCACTCCCTGCGGCCTGTCCAAGGCGGAAGTGATCTCCTCTCGGGCTCTGCTTCCCCTCCTGTCCCACTCAGCCTTCACTGAGGTCTCTGCTAAGTCCTCTGTCTGGGACTCTTCAGAACAGCTTCTTGGATGTACTCCAGAAAGTTCGGGGAAATGGAATTAAAAGACCATTTTATTTAGGTGCAAACAATTTTTAAATACTTGCATGATTTTTTCATAGTGCTTATTTATCATGGACGCTTCAAGGTGGCTTCGTATTCTTCCTTCCTGCTGGTGTTGCCACTTCCCTGGCATGGGCTCTTTTCTCAGTGTGATGACAGCTGAGACCCAGCACCTGTTCCTACTGCATCCACTTGGATGGCTCTCTGGGCTTTCTCTGACTCCATAGGACAGGGAATGGCTCCATCATAGCGCTTGACCACACCAGGTGCTAATCATTTGTGTGGACAGCACTGAACTGCAAATTCTTTAGGGCTGAGATCCTCACCTTTTGGCTACCCTTCTGTGTTAGTCAGGTTTTTGTTACTACATTACAAATACTCTGGGGTGAGCATTTGGTGCAGTGGTTAGGACAAAACACTGCTTGAAAGACTTCTGTGTCCCGTATCAGAGTTCCTGGTTCAAGTTAGAGTTCCTGGGTTCAAGCTCTGGTGTCTTCCAATTACAGCTTCTGCTAATGAGCACTCTAACAGGTATGGGTGATGGATCAAGTACCTGGGTCCCTGCCACCCATGTGGGAGACCTGGATGGGGCTCCTGGCTCCTGGCTCTGACCTGGCCCAGCCCTTGCAGTTGCAGGCATTTAGACAGTAAACCAGTAGATGGGAAATCGCTGTCTCTTCCTTTTAAATTCATTAAACAAAAAATTAAAATAACAATAACAACCACAGATAGTTAAGAGGAGCTTCTTAGGAAGGAAGGTTGATTTGGGCTTACGGTTTTGGAGGTTCACAGTCCAAGATCGGGCAGTCACCTTGGGCCAGACATCTGCATGATGCAGGCATGGTGACATGGTGAGCCAGGAACACAGAGAGTAATTGGGCCCAGCTCTGCTTGTACAATCAACCCTCTGGCGAGAACTGCCTTTTGTAGGCACACCCCAGTGACCCAAAGCCCTCCCACTGAGCCGGTCTCCTGGATCAAGTTAGATCAAGTCTCCACCCTGAACGTGTTAACCATTAACATTACTCTTTTAACGATTACCATAGGACTTTAGGGACCAAGCCCGTAATACATGGGCCTTTGGGCAGTACCCCAACTATTATCCAAAACACAACACAAGCCACACCCGCAGGAAATGGACTATAAACAGAACATGTTGCTTGAGGCATACACTTCTGCCGGGGAGTGGGCGGGGGGGGGGCGGCTCTTCCTGGTAGACTCGGCATGCAAGGCGGCTGCAGCTCACGTCTCAAGTCTCACTCCGTTCCTCCCGCAGGCTTGCTTCTCTAAGGAAGGCATCCTGCCCCAGCTCCATCAGCACATGGATGTCCTCAGGGAGCTGTGTGAGGAGCTCCCTTCACAGCACAGTCAGCAGGAAGGGAAGCGAGCACTCCGGGACTATGAACAAAAGATAGAAAGACTTCTGAGATGTGCGACGGAGATTCACGCCACCCTGCAGGCCACCGCGGGAGACCCGTCGGGGAACAAGTCAGTGCTTTCTTCAGGGTGAAGCCAGAAGCAAGTCTCTTGCAAAATCCAAACGACAAGAGGGACTCTTCCATGGCTGTTAGGCTTCATTTTTCTTGCTCTGTATTAATGTTGCAATTTTGATTGCTTTCTAGGGGGACTGTGGCCACGACTGAGAATGGAGGAAGGGATTCCCACGGGGAGGTGCCATTTGCAAAACCTGATCATCAGCCGCCAACGGAACAGGTGTTAAGTGTGGATAATGTCTTTTAGAAGCAAACCCAATGAAAAAAAAAAAAACCTAGAGTGTCCAAGAATCCTCTTCCTGTTAATTAAGTGTTGGTTTCAGTGATCTCATTGGTTTCATCAGCTGGGAATTCCCTCTTCCCTAGTGCCAGGAAGACTATGTTTCCAAGAAGAAGAATGCAAGACTGTAGCAAGCATAGCTCAGCCTTCCTCCGGGACAACTGTTTCCAACAGAGACCCTTTTGAACTATTATTGAGTGTTTGCCAGCTCCATTACTACTGACAGTGGAAGGGGTGGCGCTCCATCCGGACACAGCCCTCCATTTCAGGGACATGCACTTTTATTGGTTGTCCTTTTTTTTTTTATTAGAATGATTTCACTTTCCTTGCGAATTGAATTTTCTGAATTCTTGGGGTCTACAGTTGGCTTTTATATACACGCATTCTTCAGTAAGTTAATATGAACTTGGGATTTGGGATAAGGTCATTTGGGTGCAACAAATTTTGAAATCCATGCAGTTTTTTTCATACTGGGCATTGCCATGAACTTTCTGAAAATATTTTGCACAAAAATAAACATCTTTTGATTGCATTTCTATGAACGTTTTGAAGTGCCAACCTACAGCATAACCCAGACTGCCAGTGAGGACGTGTGGGAAAAGAACGCACTTATTGGTGTTTGTGGTTCTGTTCCCACAAGTGTTGGGGTTCTTTTGGCTATGGCTGGGAGTTCTTGGGCGGGATCAGCATTTAGGAGCTGGGCGTATTTCATCACCGTGCCATCATCCCTATTAGGAGGCGAGAATGAGTCTCATAAATCTCTCTCCCCTGGGAAGGCTTTTCTCCCAGCTGTTGAAATCTCAGAAATTGTCTTAAGTCCTAGGGTGGGATATAAAGGATCAATGTAAGTCATTCGTCTTCTCCAGGCAATGAAGCACGTCTAAGACATTATGTGTACTCTTTGCCTGTCTGCTTAGGCGATGGAGCCAGCTAACTTCGTGCCTGCATCGGAGGTAAAGCCTCAACAAGAAGCAAGCGTCGCGGAGCAGCATGAGAAGGAACACAGCCTCACTCTAGACAGTTTACAGAAGAGGTACCCTCGCGCTCGGCCACCCTGAGAACTTTCGTCCATGAAAACTTGCACTTGGCTAAAAGTTTTATTGATTTCTTTATTTGAAAGGCAGAGTGACAGAGAGAGAGAGAGAGAGACGTGTTAGACTTTAAAACACATTTTAAGGCCAGTGCTGGGGTGTGGTGGGCTGGGCCTCTGCCTGCTGCTGCTGTATCCCACGTGGGCGCTGGTTGCTAGTCCTAGTTGCCCCACTTCCGATCCAGCTCTCTGCTGTGGCCTGGGAAAGCAGTGGAAGATGGCCCAAGTGCTTGGGCCCCTGCACCCACATGGGAGATGCAGAAGAGGCTCCTGGTTTTGGATCTGCCCAGCTCCAGCCGTTGTGGCCATTTGGGGACTGAACCAGTGGATGGAAGACCTTTCTCTCCGTCTCTCTCTCTCTGTGACTCTACCCCTCAAGTAAATAAATAAATATCTATAAAGAGAAAAAACATTTTATTATCCTTTAGTTCTAACTTTTGGTCTAGTAACTTATACAGAAATTCCATAGGATTTCCTGATGCACATGTGATGGCGCTTAAGCATATTTTTGTCTTATTTTGGATGTTGAATAATTTTGCATATAATCTTTCTCCCAGGTATGTTACACAGAAGGAAATTCTTGAACTACACCTTCAAAGCAACAAATTCAGGATAACTTCTGCGTTCTCCAGTGAAAATGAAGAGAGTAGTGCTTGCTTACGGGACAAACTGACCGATCTCCAGGTAATTACCAAATATAATTTCTCTAGTTATCTGTTTTATAAGGAAATAGCACCACCAGGGGTGTGGACATCACTCTCTGTTGGATTGCATTTCCAGTGTCACGCTGTTCCAGAGAGAGATTTGCTTCCAACTGCTAAACCTAGGAAGGCCTTTGGTACAGGGTCCTGATCTACTGCTTATGCTCTGATCTGCGGCTGCGGATAACTCTGTTTGCAGAGTTTTTGATTATGCTTGGACTTCTGGATGAATTATGAAAAACAAGGGGTATAAGGCGACTTCAATCTGCTCCTGCATTGCTGCCAAATTGATAAACCAGTGACTGGATATATTTTTTTTAGTTGTTTATTATCTTTTTTTTTTTTGACAGGCAGAGTGGACAGTGAGAGAGAGAGACAGAGAGAAAGGTCTTCCTTTGCCGTTGGTTCACCCTCCAATGGCCGCCACGGCCAGCGCACCACGCTGATCCGAAGGCAGGAGCCAGGTGCTTCTCCTGGTCTCCCCTGGTGTGCCGGGGCCCAAGCACTTGGGCCATCCTCCACTGCACTCCCGGGCCATAGCAGAGGGCTGGCCTGGAAGAGGGGCAACCGGGACAGAATCCAGTTCCCCAACCGGGACTAGAACCCGCTGTGCCAGCGCTGCAGGAGGAGGATTAGCCTATTGAGCCACGGCACCGGCAGTTGTTTATTATCTTTTAACAAAACTTAATGTATTTGAAAGATAGAGTGAGAGAGAGCGACAGGATTCCCATCCTCTGGTTTACTGTCCAAATGCCTGCAATGACTGCGCCTGGGCCAAGCCAAAGCTGTGAACTGGGAACTCAGTACTACGGGTCTCCCAATTACTTGAGCCATCACCCACTGCCTCCCAGGGGGGCGCAGTAGCAAGAAACTGGAGTCAGGAGCCAGAGCAGGCATTGAACACCTGAATGGGATCAAGGTGTCTCAACTGGCGTCTTCATCACTAGCCCAAATGCCCACGCCTGTTCATCAGCTTGACCGAATCGTCTTATTGACTACAATTGCTGTCCCCCAGTCATTGGGCAACGGGGGCAGGTGGTAGAGAGAATTGCATGCAGTCTGAGCGGTCGTCTTCCCAGAATATCTGTCTATGTGGAAGTCTCGCACTTGGCCAAGGAGCTTGAGTGTGGGCACCAGAGCATAAGCTGTCCTTATTCTCACGACTGTCCTTACACGCAGGGCATCCTTACTGCGTGCTTGTGAACACGTGAGCCCTCACAGGTTGAATCCATCATCAGGGAGCAAGAGGGTCCTGCGAGGTCCTCCGCTGTCCCCTCCCCGTGTTTTCTAGTCTCCTTCTTTTACGGTTCTTGGTCACACTCCGCCATCTGGCTCCTCTGTGGTTTTCATCTCCTTAGGCAGAATGTATATGCATTCAAATCCCTGTTCAAGTCATGGATCCAGCATGTTTTCATCTCAATTAAGAAAGTGTCTTGAGCCCTTTCCCTAGGGACTGAATAATGAGTTGCTTAGAGAAGCTGCTTCCAGTCTTCGGGAAAATGGAAGAACAGATTATGTTGCTGATCCCTCCATAGAATTCTGTAACAATGCCTTGGAAACAGCAACAGCAGAAGAACCAAGATACAGAATGATGGCTGTTTAATACTAAGCCATAAATTCAGTGCATTCTCTTCTTATTTGTATAGAAGTAGTTTTGAGGCACTCCAGTTTTCTTTTTTCTTAAAGAGTTATTTATTTATTTATTTGAAAGTCAGAGTTACAGAGAGAGAGAGAGGGAGAGGCAGAGAGAGAGAGAGGTGTCTTCCATCTGCTGGTTCACGCCCCAATTGGCCGCAACAGCCAGAGCTGCACCAATCCAAAGCCAGCAGCCAGGAGATTCTTCTGGGTCTCCCATGAAGGTGCAGAGGCCCAAGGACTTGGGCCATCTTCTACTGCTTTCCTAGGTCATAGCAGAGAGCTGGATTGGAAGTGGAGCAGTCGGGACTCAAACTGGCGCCCATATGGGATGCTGGCACTACAGACAGCAGCTTTACTTGCTACGCCACAGCGCCGGCCCCTCCGGTTTTATTTTAATTTAGAAGATAGTGAAGGTTTAGTATCCAGAAGAAGAGACTGTCTTTTCATACATCTGTATCTGTCTTTCTGAACTGTATTCTTTGTAGCTGCTTAGGAGAGGGGGTTTGGATACCTTTCCAAGTCCTGTTTTTGGGGCTGGTGCTGTGGTCCAGCAGGTAAAGCTGCCAACTGCAGTGCCAGCATCCCATACGGGCACTGGTTCGAGTCCCGGCTGCTCCACTTCCGATCCAGCTCTCTGCTATGGCCTGGGAAAGCAGTGGAGGATGGCCCAAGTCCTTGGGCCCCTGCACCCACGTGGGAGACCTGGAGGAAGCTACTGGCTCCTGGCTTCAGATCAGCCCAGCTCTGGCCATTGTGGCCAGTTAGACAGTGAACCAGCGGATAAAAGACCTCTCTCTCTCTCTCTCTCTCTGCCTCTCCTCTCTTTGTGTAACTGTGACTTTCAAATAAATAAAATAGATCTTTTAAAAAAAAGGAAAAAAGTCCTGTTTTTGATGTCTTGAACTTCAGCAAATGGGTCCTCTGAAGAGTGCAGTTAATATTGTTATTGCCTACAGGATAGTTTACTTGCAAACGGCTGTAAGATATTTTAAATGCATGATCAGGGCCGGGGTTGTGGCACAGTGGGTTAAGCCGCTGCCTTCAATGCTTGCATCCCATAACAGAGCACTGTTTCAGAACTTGGCTGCTCCACTTCAGATCCAGCTTCCTGCTAACGCACCTGGGAAAGCAGTGGAGGATGGCCCAAGTGCTTGGACCCTTGTACCCACATGGGAGACCCAGACGAAGTTCCTGGTTCCTGCCTTTGGCCTGGCCTATCTCTGGCTATTTCAGCCATTTGGGGAGTGAACCAACAGATGGGTGCTCTCTCTCTTTCTTTCTCTATTACTCTGCCTTTCAAATTAATAAATAAATCTTCCCAGAAAGTGCATTGTCCTGTGCAATGTTGCTTTTGCTGCTATACTTGGTATATGTCTCATTTTCTATGAACAGAATCATTCTGGCTATTATCCTGTTAGTTGATGAATTAATTTTTTCCTTGCATATAGGGCTTAAAAAATGAAACTGATGCTTACTGGAAGGAGTTTGAAATCACCTCCCTGAAATTAGAAAATCTTGTGAGTGATGTGGAGAAGCCTGCGATAGTTAAGGCACGAGATGGACTAAAGGAAAAAGAAGGGGAGCTTCACCTAACCCTTCACGCCAGGTATGACTCTGGCATCTGTTAGCCAGGAGTTTCAGAAACTTCGTCATTTGCAAATGCCATTCTTAGCAAGCCTTTTCTACACTGAATGTGTCACTGTATTTAGCTGCCTTATGGAAGACAGTTTGCTGTTATGACTGCTGTTTCGCTGATAAGGAAACTGCTGTGCAGAAATAATGAAGTAACCAGGCCACTCCACTAGCCAGAGACTTGTGCAGGGACTTGACAAGGTTCCGGAAGAATGGAATGAAGAGACTGGTTGCTATGGTGCAGAACAATTTTTGAAATTCAGGCGTAGTTTTTTCATAATACATGTCATTCAAGAACTGTATGGTGACCTCTCACATGCATAGATTTCAGTTTTTTTTTTTTAAAAAGATTTATTTATTTGAAAGGCAGAGTTATATATATAGTTATATATATAAGGCAGAGAGGCAGAGAGAGAGGTCTTCCATCCGCTGGTTCACTCCCCAGGTGGTCACAATGGCCAGAGCTGTGCCAGTCCAAAGCAGGAAGACAGGAGCTTCCTCTGGGTCTCCCATATGGGTGCAGGGGCCCAAGGACTTGGACCATCTTCTGCTGCTTTCCCAAGCACATTAGCAAGGAGCTGGATCAGAAGTGGAGCAGCTGGGATGTGAACCAGTGCCCATATGGGATGCTGGCACTGCAGGTGGTGGCTTTACCCGCTATGCCACAGTGCTGGCCCCATCAGTACTAATGATGTTGAAACAGCAGCAGTGAATTGGCCTTGTCCTGAAGCAGTGGATTAGGATGAGCTTAGCTCTGCTGCCTCTCACTAAATAAATGTCTCTTGAATGAAGGAATAAATTGGTCCGTGGATTGAAAAAAAAAAAGGCTTGAATATAGCCAACAGCTCATTCTTTGGTATTTTGCTTCTACGTTTTTAAAAATAATTTACTTATTTATTTATTTGAAAGGCAGAAGAACAAAGAGAGAAAGACAGAGAGACCCACTCCACTGACAGGACTGGGCCGGGCTGACACCAGGAGCCGTGAACTCAATATGGGTCGCACAGGTGGATGGCAGGGATCCAACCATTTGCGCCATCAGCTGGTGCCTTCCGGGGGACGCATTAGCAGACAGCTGGAACGGATCAGAAAGCAGTGGGGACTGGAAGCAGGCACTCCGGTGTGCTGTACGCTGCACACACCTTCCACTCCTGGGCTTGGGTTTTCATGTGATGGTCTGTGCATATCGTGTATTGTTATTGGATAGCCATTTTCTGCTGTTGGTTAAGTAATGGTATGAATATGCTGTAGGGATAATTTTCTGCTGCACATCCCCCTCATGTCTGTTACATTTTTCCCCAGGCTGAAGTCTTTGGAGACAGCACTGCAGACTGTGTCCCCTGTAGAGAGGGAGACAGTGTTTCTCTGTGGCTTGGATTTGTCCCTTCCTGAAATTGTCATCCAGGACTTTCATCTTGTCAATGTTGATGGCATCTATCAACACCTGAGGGTAAATATAAGCAAATCTAAACTTAAATAAGTAAATGTAGATATCATTGTATAGATTTAGACTATAAGCCACAATAAAAACTTCAACAATTTTGATTGTTACAGAAGAGGGTACATTTAAGAGTTTCCAGAAAATGGAATTAAAAATTCAAATTCCATGCATACAAAGATCTTCAAAAAATTTATGAAAAGTGCATATTAGGAATAGGAATGCATATAGGAAAAAACTATGTGTGGATTCCAACATATTCTTAGGTCAAAATAAACTTTTCTTTTAATTACATTTTTCCACAAACTTTTTTGACATATACTTGTACTTCTCAACCTTTTGATTTCTTGCAAATTTGGAGGTAGGTACCCTGGCGTAAATTATGGGACATCTTCTGAGAATTCAAGATGAAGCCTTGTTTATGAGTGTCTCCTTCAGCGTCTGAGTTCCTAAACACACGAGACACCGAGGCTTACCTCGACATATTCTGCCGTTTACTTACTTACATCCCGTCTGAAATGAAAAATCTTTGATTTATTTTCCTGATGACGCAGCAGATGTCTCAATAGCTTGTCGCTAGTCGCTTGCTTTGGCGTAGATAACTTCCATGTTTGCTTTCTTTGGGGGGTTGAAACATCAGCAAGGACACTGGGTAATGAAACAGCGGGGCCAGCCGATCATTTGTCATTTAAATGTTCCCTTGTGTCCAAACTGTCAGCTTTGGTTGCACTCATAAGCATTTTTCTAGACCAAATCTCATAAATTAGGGACTGGTTTCTGATGCTTTCTGGACCCAAGTCTTTTTTGGCGTTTCCTACCTTTATTTTAGGACATCCAGGACTCCGTAGCAAAGCAGATTGAAATCTGTAATGAAGAGTTGGACAGCTTCGCATCAAAGGAATTGCACCCATCTGACGTGCAGGCAGCACAGAACATTACACTGACCTGCAAAGCGCAACTTGAAGGAATGAGCCACAAGGTGCAGACCAGGGACGGCGCCCTCAGAGCTCTGGAAGACTTTCTGGAATGTCTAGGAACAGCTAAACCCTCTGCTGAGGGCACCGCAGACCGGCCAGCCGAGCAGAACCCGGAAGCACCAGGAAACGCCTCCAACGCAGAAAACGAAGTGGGCGCAACTCAGCTGCTGAAAGACAGGGCCAGGCATTTGGACGAAAGTTTGGAGGTGCTTGGCGTCAGCCTTAAAGATGTGCAGCAAGGCGAAGACACGTCCTGTGAAAAGCTGCTGGAGGCTTCGAGCCTGAGGGTACTGGGGTCCTGTGGCTCCAGCCCACGGGAGGAGCTCACCGAGGAAGCCAGATTACTGGAAGCTTGCATTCTCAGAAATAACGAGCTCTTCAAAAACATTCAAGATGTACAGAGCCAGATCGGTAAACTTGGCCTTAAGGACCCTACCATCCCAGCCGTGAAGCATCGGTAAGCACCGGGTGGTCTCCGGCGCACTGGTCTGTGGTTTTGAATCTCCGAGGGTGACGCGGCGGCTCCCTGCGTCTCAAGTCAGCGTCCTCCTGATTGATCCTTGCCTTTCCAAAATGAGACGCGGTTCATTTTCCCGTCTCTGAAGCGTGTGTTCCCCGCGGGTGTGGAGGGCAGGAGGTCCTTCAGATTCTCTTGTGCTTCCGTGTGGTTAGTGCGGGTCCTTGCGGGAGGAGACTGACACACCCACGCTTGGGACGCAGCAGGTGCAGGAGGCGGGACATGCGCCTGCGCGACTCACTGCTGCTGCGTTCGGGCGGGTTACTGAGTCTCTTCCCTATAGGATGAGGCTGGGGGCCGAGTGGGCGGGCCTGGGGCTGAATCCAGAGTCTGGCTCAGGTTGGCGTTCGTGCTGGAGACCGAGCAGAGCCGTGCAGGCTGGTGGGGACCTCAGAAAGTTCATGGAAAAATGGCATTAAAACAGAAATTCATTTTGGTGCAAAAATGAATAAATTCAGTAGTTAGTTAATTTGAGAAGCAAAGAGACAGAGTTTCCATCCACTGGTTCACTCTCCAAACTCCTGCAGGTTCTGGGGAACTGGAACTGGGAACTCAATCCCAGAATCCCATGTGGGTACCAGGAACCCAGTTACGTGGGTCCACACTGCTGCCTCCCAGGGTCTGCATTCGCAGGAAGCTGGAGTCGGGAGCCAGAGCCAAGACTCCGGCTCAGACGCTCCCGTGTGGGATGCAGGCATCTTAAATGTTAGGCTAAAGTCCTCTCCTTCCGGAAATTTGAAATCCATGCATGTGAGAGATCTTCCAAAGTTTTTGGGAAATGCATGGTTTTTGCAAAAACTATGCATGGATTGCAACCTTTATTTTGGACCAAAATAAACTGGTCTTTTAATGCCATTTTCCACAGGCTTTTTAAAAAAGGTTTACTTATTTATTTGAAATGAAGAGAGAGAAAGAGAGAGAGGGATCTTCCATCCACTAATTCATTCCCCAAATGGCCGCAACAGTCAGGGCTGGGCCAGACTGAAGCCAGGAGCCAGGAGCTTCCTCTGGGGCTCCCATGTGGAGCTGACCAGGTCCCTCTGTAGAGCTGCGTGTGCCCCTCCCTCTGCCATTGCCCTGTGCCCTCGCTCCCCACGAGATTCTTATACCTAGAGTGCCCCAGTTCAATCTGATGTCCTGGAATAAAAATTAGATTCTACTTGAATCCATTGTAATTATCAATTTGTAAATGGATCATAGGTAAGTATGACTTTATAAATGAAAACCACATATTGATATACTTATTAATAATTACTACATAAAATAAATGCCTTTAGTGATTGATGTAGCTATTAACAGAACAGCTATGCATTGTCTCCAGGCACTTTTTAGGTATTGAGAGAGCAACAGTGATGACAAAATAGGTAAAAATTCTTGTGCCTCATAGAATTTATTAAAAAAATGCATGCTGAGAAAAAATTATGCATGGATTTTTAAAATGTTTTGCACCAAGAGAAGCTTAAAAATTCTTGTAGAACTTATTTAGTAACTTATTTTGGAGAGAGAGAACACTCGCATCTGCTGGTTTACTCCCCAAGTGCCCTCAATGGCTGGACCTGGGCCAGGCTGAAACCAGGAAGTGAGAACCCAGTCTGGGTCTCCTACGTGAGCCATCACTACTGCCACCAAGGCATGGCTTAGGGAGCTGGCACTGCAAGTGGAAGCTGGACTTGAACCCAGGCTCTCTGACATGGGATGCAGGCGTCCCAAGTGGCTTCCTACCCACTCAGCCAAGCACCTGCCCGGAAACTTACCTTTCCGTTGCATTTCCCATGAGCCTTTTGAAGTGCCCTCTGTGTCTGGTGGTGCTAACATCTGTGGAGAATCAGTAAGGGGAGGGCTGCAGTTCAGTAGGGTCATCAGGCGAGGCCTCACTGAGGGTGACCTTTGAGTAAGATGAGTTACCAGAACAAAGCCACGTGCCTTCCTGGAGGAAATGTCTTCTAGGCTCAGGACGCAGTAGCGACAGCAGAGAAATGAGTGGAGGTCCCGGAGGTGATGTTGGGACAGGGCTGTGATGTGTGCTACAGGATGTAGGCCAGATGGTGCTTTGACTTTTCCTTTGAGTGACTGGAAGTCTTGGAACGTTCTGAACAGAAATGATTGGGTGTTCATCGTAGTTCTCTCTGGCTGCGGTGTTGAAAGTAGGCTGCAGGAGTCGAGAGAAGTCCCGGGAAGTCTGGCTTGATCTATTGCAATCCTCCCTGTAAGCGGGGATGATGGCACGGGCAGGGGGAGGTGGTGGCCGGTGCTAAGCGTCTGTGTGTCTTGAAGACAGAGGACACAGGCTGGCTGACACCTGGGCTCTGGGGCCTGAAAGGAACTTCAGAGCCAGCAGTGATGGCCAGGTTTGACCTGAGCAGTTGGAGGAATGGAGAATTCAGTGAGATGAGAAAGACAGATGCTTATCTGGGATCGATGGAGCGGTCAGGTGTGCTTGGTCTTAGAAATGAGGGCTATTTTGACATTAAAGTAGTGATAGCCAAAAGACTTTTTCAAAAATTTGTATTTATTTATTTGAGTTACAAAGAGAGGGATCTTCCACCTGCTGGTTCACTCCCCAAATAGCCGCAAAGGCTGGAGCTGGGCCGATCAGAAGCCAGGAGCTTCTTTCAGGTCTCCCACATGGGTGCAGGGACCCAAGCACTTGGGCCATCTTCTACTGCTTTCCGAGGCCCTAGCAGAGAGCTGGATCAGAAGTGGAGCAGCTAGGACTTGAACCAGCGCCCATATGGGATGCCGGCGCCGCAGGTGGAGGCTTAGCCTACTACACCACAGTGCCAGCCTCACCCACAAGACTCTTGAAGACAGATGGCTTCAGGAGACAGGAGAGAGGTCTGGGCCACTTGCAGCCTGGGACTGGCCAGCGCGGCCCCAGGAGGGAGCTATGTAGGCTTCTCAAGAGAAGGTTCAGGTTGAACATTCTGGGGTTTTCCACGTAAAGGTGAGGGAGGTGAAGGAGAACCAGTGTGAGATACTGGGAAGGAGCTGCGAGTGCTTTAGGGGGAAAGTCAGCAGAGCCTGGGGCCAGGTGAGGCGGGCATTTCAAGTGAGGAGGAGGTGACCCCTGGGTCAGACCCTGCAGAGCACCCACGCAAGGTGCAGCTTGGGAATGGTACGTGCATTTCCCGGTGTGCAGGGTGCTGGAGATCTTGACCGCAGTTTTGATGGAGCAGGAGGCAGTGAAAGCCTTAGGGCAGTGCATTTAAGAGAAGCTGCGGGGCTCGCGCTGTGGTGCAGCGGATTAAAACCCCAGCCTGCCACACTGGCATCTCCTATGGGCACTGGTTCAATTCCTGGCTGCTCCACTTCCGATCCAGCTCTCTGCTATGGCCTGGGAAAGCAGTAGAACATGGCCCAAGTTCTTGGGCCCCTGCACCCACGTGGAAGGCCCGGAAGAAGCTCCTGGTTTCTGGCTTTGGATCGGCACAGCTCCGGCCATTGCGGCCATCTGGGGAGTGAACCAGCGAGTGGAAGACCTCTCTCTCTCTCTCTCTGCCTCTCCTCTCTGTGTAACTCTGACTTTCAAACAAATAAATAAATCTTTAAAAAAAAAAAAAAGAAGCTGCAGGAGAGGAAGTAGAGGCGTGAGCAGTTGCACAGTGTTGGTTAGGTGAAAGGTGTTCATCCCACCAGAACTCATTTACAGGTTAAACCCTGCATTAAATGAGCCTTTTGATGTATGAGAGCTTTTCATACGTGGTACTTTGAAACATTTGTGGAGCATGGAACTAAAACATGCATTTATTCTGGTGCAAAAGTTTTTGAAACCCATACATAGATTTTTTTTTTTATTTTTTATTTTTTGACAGTCAGAGTGGACAGTGAGAGAGAGAGACAGAGAGAAAGGTCTTCCTTTGCCGTTGGTTCACCCTCCAATGGCCGCCGCGGCTGGCGCGCTGCGGCACCGCGCTGATCCGATGGCAGGAGCCAGGAGCCAGGTGCTTTTCCTGGTCTCCCATGGGGTGCAGGGCCCAAGCACCTGGGCCATCCTCCACTGCACTCCCGGGCCACAGCAGAGAGCTGGCCTGGAAGAGGGGCAGCCGGGACAGAATCTGGCACCCCAACCGGGACTAGAACCCGGTGTGCCAGCGCCGCTAGGCGGAGGATTAGCCTAGTGAGCCGCAGCGCCGGCCCATACATAGATTTTTTTATAATCAGCATTTTCTTTGTTGTTGTGGTTTTAAAGATTGATTGATTGATTTGAAAGTCGGTGTTACAGAGAGGGAGAGACAGAGAGATCTTCCAGGTGCTGGTTCACTCCCCAAATGGCCTCAACAGCCAGAGCTGGGCCAGGCTGAAGCCAGGAGCCAGGGCTTCCTCTGTGTCTCCCGCGTGGGTACAGGGGCCCAAACACCTGGGCCATCCTCTGCTGCTTTCCCAGGCCCATTAGCAGGGAGCTGGATCAGAAGCGGAGCAGCCAGGTCTCCAGTCGGCGCTCATACAGGATGCTGGTGTCCCAAGGCAGTTCAACCCGTTGTGTTCCCATCATGCCAGTCCTGATAGAATAGGCATTTTTGGTGAGCTTTTGAATACTCCCATATCTGCAAGAATTTCAAAAATTTTTGCACTAAAGTAAACTACGAATAATTGCATTTCCCTATCAGCTTTGTAAAGTGTCCTTGGACAAAGGGCAAAAGAGCAAGCCTGCCCTAGCTCTCTCTGTTCTCCGTGGCCTCTCCCACCCTTCCCTCATCCAACTCTGATCTCAACATTTCACACATACTCACACACACTCGCTCTGTGTTCTCAACCCCCAATCCGTCCCCACCATTACCTGTATTTGTATTGGGTCATGTTGGTTAACAGTTCTTTACCAAGCTCTTTTCCATAATGCAGGAAAAAATCATTAATCAGACTGGATAAGGATCTGGATGGATACGAGGAAGAGAAGAAGCACCTTCAAGAATTGGCTCTTTCTCTCCCGCAATTCCACGATGGCAGAGAACTCGTACTGAGTCAGCAATGCCACCGTACCGTGCGCCTGTGGGAGAACACGAAAGCTGCGCTGGCCGAATGGTAAGAGAAGACGCCGCTCCTCTGCACAGCTAGCTCTTGGGAACATGTACGCTGAGATACATTCGCAGGGGGCGTAAACGTGAGGCGCGCAGGGGGCGTAAACGTGAGGCGCGCAGGGGGCGTAAACGTGAGGCGCGCAGGGACGTAAACGTGAGGTGCGCAGGGGACGTAAACGTGAGGCGCGCAGGGGCGTAAACGTGAGGCGCGCAGGGGGCGTAAACGTGAGGCGCGCAGGGGGCGTAAACGTGAGGCGCGCAGGGGACGTAAACGTGAGGCGCGCAGGGGGCGTAAACGTGAGGCGCGCAGGGGCGTAAACGTGAGGCGCGCAGGGGGCGTAAACGTGAGGCGCGCAGGGACGTAAACGTGAGGTGCGCAGGGGACGTAAACGTGAGGCGCGCAGGGGGCGTAAACGTGAGGCGCGCACCCTGGTGCTCTCGGGACTGGCGCCTGGGTGTGCGGTTCTGGCACCTGCCTCTCTCTAACTCTGCCTTTCAAATACATAAATAAATATTTATAAATTTGAAAACCAAGGTAGTAAAGCATGACACGTGGAAAGTGCTTTCTTAGCTTACCTAGGTCGTTCTTGCAGGATCCTAAGAGAAGCAATGATTTACAATGTTACTTGCAGACACGTAGCTATTTTCCTTTTCTCTCTGCACAGCCTTGAACAATGTGGAAGAGTTTTGGAGCTCCTAAAACAATATCATAATTTTAAAAGCAGCTTGACCACTTTGATTCAGAAAGAAGAGAACGCCATCTCCCTCCAGGCTTCGTACATGGGAAGGGAAAACCTGAAGAAGAGGATCACAGAGGTGAGTCCTGTTCCCAAAGAAAGCCTACACAGTGAGCTCAGGGAGGATACTGGAGCCTCAGTGATTTTTCAGGGCAGGCATTACGGTGCAGTGGGTTAAGCTGCACTCGGAACACCTGCATCCCATATCAAGGTGCCTGGTTCGAGTCCTGGCTCCTCCACTTCCCATCCAGCTTCCTGCTAATGTGTGTCCCTGGGGACAGCAGGCCGATGGCTCAAGTACTTCAGTCCCTGCCACCTGTGTGGGAGACCTGGCTTGAGTTCCAGTCTCCTGGCTTCAGCCTGTCCCAGCCCTGGCTGCTGTGGGCATTTGGGGACTGAACCAGCAGATGGATGATTCTCTCTCTCTCTCTCTCTCCCTCTCTCTCTCTCTCTCTCGCTCTCTCTATTTTAATTAAGTAAAAATAAATACACACTTATAAATAAATTCAGTAACTTTTGAAACTTGATATAAAATAAGTTACTAGTGACTCTTGTCTTAGCAGATATCTAGGAATTTATTGAATTTATCACCAGGGCTTGCAAAACATCAGTTCCGGGGGGATGCTGGGTTGCATCTGCTGTTTGGGCTTTGGTAGCTGGAGCGGTGGTTCTGCTGAAGCCCTGAGGCCCCTGCTGCTGCCTCTGTAAGTTTGTAGCAGGCTTTGTACCCACCTTCCACCTACAGGAACCTGAACCTGCGCCACAGGCTTGAGCGAAGGCAGACGAGAGGAAAATCGTCTCTTGCGAGTGGACAAGGGGAAAATGGCATTTCTATTCCTCTCTGGGTTGTGTAAGCTCATCTTCACATTGCTCTGTGTATGGCCTCCCTAATCACCACTTCATGTTTTAGGAAGTGTAACAGTTTTGGACACTAGATGTCATTATTTTCTGTGATTTGTGTACAGCAGTCGTCAACCAGAGAAGTGAAGAATGGAATAATTAGAAGACATCCCTGTACCATTTCACGAGACACAAGAAAGTTGCTTTTCCTGATTTTTTAAAAAATTTATTTATTTATTTGAAAGGAAGAGTTACAGAGAGGCAGAGGCAGAGAGAGAGAGAGAATTATGTCTTCTATCTGATGGTTCACTCCCCAGTTGGCTGCAACCGCCGGAGCTGCACCAATCTGAATGAGGCCAGGAGCCAGGAGCTTCTTCCTGGTCTCCCATGTGGGTGCAGGGGCCCAAGCACTTGGGCCATCCTCCACTGCTTTCCCAAGCCATAGCAGAGAGCTGGATTGGAAGAGGAGCAGCTGGGACTAGAACTGGCACCCATATGGGATGCCGGCACCACAGGTGTAGGATTAAGCTACTGCGCCATGGCACAGGCCCCGAAATTATCTTTTAATCCTATGTTCCCATGAACTTTTTGAAATATCCTCACCTTCCTGGATGTTAGAGAGTGATTTTGGTCAACTTCCCCAGCTGTTGAAAGCAACACCAGTGCAGCCTTCAGCTACCAGATTGGTACACGCCATTTCATTTTGATCGGGAATGATTAACCCCCAAGGCTTAGGTGACAGAGTGTTGGGCAAAGCTCTTATCTCAGATCCACTCTCTCAGACTCACTTTTGAAACGCTGACCAGTGGGAAAGAGCACAGTACACATCCTAGTTGTCCAATAGGTGTCTGTGGCCGTGGCTTCCTGTCCGACCCAACTGCAGGAGGCTGAGACCCTGGGCAGGACGGTGGTGTGCTCAGATGCAGCCCTTGTGGTTCCACGCAGTGGAGCCTGCTTCTGGGGACCTGGGAGCACCGGCCCTCGTTCCACTGGATTCTTTTTTTTTTTTAAAGGTTTATTTATTTTTTTGAAAGGCAGAGTTACAGAGAGAGAGAAAAAGAGAAAGAGAGAGAGATGTCTTTCATCTGCTGGCTTACTCCCCAAATGGCTGCAACATTCAGAGCTGGGCTGATCCAAAGTCAGGAGCCAGGAGCTTCTTCCAGGTCTCCCACACAGGTGCAGGGCCCAGGCACTTGGGCCATCTTCCACTGCTTTCCCAGGCCATAGCAGAGAGCTGGATCGGAAGTGGGGCAGCCGGGACTCAAACTGGCACTCATATGGGATGCTGGCACTGCAGGTGGCTGTACCCATTGAGCCACAGTGCCAGCCCCCATTTGATTGGATTTGGAGAGCTCTGATTTCCATTGCTGTAGGAGTCCAGCGTGTTCAGCCTTACAAGATCTTCTTGGACTTGTGTCCCTGTTTGCATCACCACCCTTCTGTGTGCCCTGATGCCAGATCTCCTGCATGGTGCGTTTGTTCCAGGGTCAAGGTCTCAGCCTTGTTCCATAGACCCTGAACCTTTTCCTTGTATACTGACAGATGCCTGGTTCCTCTTGCCTTGCTGCTTCTCTGTTTGTGCAAATCCCTCTCAGTTCAGGAGCCCCGCCTTAGCCCTGCTAAGTGTGATCCAGTTAGCAGCAGACCCTACCTTTCTGGATTTGCCGAGGTAGCACCTGTCAGTCCTTAGCCAGGGCTCCTTGGTTCAGTGCCAGAGACTTAATCAGCAGCTATGATACCCACTCTGTGTGTGACCTGTCGGATAGCTGTAGGACCCCATAACTGTAAACTCGACTTCCTAGAAGCTTCCTCCTGCCCCCCTATTGGCAGGTGGCCCCCGTCCTGGGTGCTACTCTCTCTGTCAGTACTAACTCCTCCATGGCTGTTGAAACAGGACCCAGCTCTGTCCTCTAGAGCAGGTCAAGGTCTTCATCTAGCAGGGTTTGGAGGGAGTCCATCTCACCAGGTGCTGGAACCCTGGATCTAACCTTGGTTCCCTCCTCTCCCTGTGTGGCTGACTGCATGTCTGCCCCTTTGAGTACCTCCAGGGAATGTCTAACCCTTTTCTGGATTCTGTGACATGGACATGGACGGACTGACTTCTTATTGGCTCCTCCCTTCCCCCTTCCCCCTGTCTCCTTTCTAGACCAGGATTTCGGCCATCTCTGGGTCGTTAATTACTTGCTGCTCATTCTTGAGCTTTGCCCTTTGCTGGCTCTTCGTCTCTCACCAGAAACTCTCATCCCCTGTTGTTGTGTTTGTGGGATTGTGCCATGTCATTACAGTAGCCTCTGGTGAGAGAATGGAGACAAACATGGACTTGGTCCTGTGTGCTACACTTGGACTCTAGATTTATGTGTTTATTTGTTAGAAGAACATGAAATACAGACTACCATCCCTTTCCACTAGATGTCTTACTACGATATCTGTAGGCTGGTTTTGTGTTTAAGGGGTCCTCGAAAGGGTCCTGGGAAATGGAACTGCGTGATAAGCTTATTTTGGTGCTAACATTTTGGAAATCTATACATATGATGAAAGTATAAAAAACACAGAAGATAAAAAGTTCATGGAAAATACATGATTAAAAACATAGAGCTATACATATACTCATGCAATATTGAATTCTGGGTTGTTGTTTAACATTGTAAGCATTTCCTATATGTTTGTACATATGTGAGAGGAAAGAATTTTGTATAGTTTTAAAGCTATCTGTTAAAAAAATTAATTGTTAATCCATAAGACTTATAAAAGAGAGAAATGCTTCCAAAAATTCCTAAATATGATATAAATGCCCAGTTCCGGGTTGCTAATTGCAACAAGATCTGTAAGGTCGTAGACAAGATTGTTCACCGTGAAACTGATGGGCAATGTCGATAGTAAGATTCTGCCAGTTATAACAGATGTCCCAATTTGTGATGAAAATCTAGTTGACAACAGTTATGACATACATTGAGCTTCAAAACACAGATGTCAGAAATCTCTTCATATTTTGCTCAAAAAGTCCACTATAAGCTGAAAGGTATATATTTCTTTTTTTAACTTTTAAAAATATTTATTTATTTATTTGAGAGACAGAGTTACAGAGAGAGAGAGAGAGAGAGAGAGAGAGAGAGAGATCTTCCATCTGTTGGTGTGCTCCCTAAATGCCTACAACAGCTAGAGCTAAGCTAGGCAGAAGCCAGGAACTCACAACTCCATCTGGGTCTTCCACATGGGTGGCAGGGACATAATTCCTTAGCCATCCTCTGCTGCTTTCCCAGGTGCAATAGCAGGAAGCTGGATTGGAAGCGGAGTAGCCAGGACTCAAACTGGCACTCCTATAAGGGATGCAGGTGTCCCAAACAGTGACTTAGCCTGATGCCTCACAATGCCTGCCCCAGCTTCTCATTTCAACAGTAGTTTCAATCATGGATATGTTAAAGAATATGAGCTTTTAAATATAAAGGATTCTTTTATACAGAGTTCATATTTACACTTTAATAAGTTTGTTTAAACCTGCCTCATATATGGAATTTATTATTAAAGTACATTTTAAATTATTTAATCATTAAGTAATGCTATGGAATAGAAAAATACTTTTAATAAATTTGATAGCATTAGGTTTGCAATAGTACATAGGGAACTGGTTGAAATTAGTCAGAAACAGCACTGTGATCCTAATGGATATTTTTATATAGGAAAGAAGTTAACAGTTGCCAAGAGACATAGTTCAACCTCGCTGGTGATCAAAGAACACCCAAACTGCTTGACATCATCTTTTTTTAAAGATATATTTATTTATTTGTAAGGCAGAGGTACAGAGATATAGAGGCAGAGGGGGAGAGAAAGAGAGAGAGAGAGAGAATCTTTCATCTGCTGATTGATTCACTCCCCAAATGGCCACAACAGCCAGGGCTGGGCCAGGCCAAAACCAGGAGCCAGGAGCTTCATCCCGGTCTCCCATGTGGATGCAGGGGCCCAAGCACTTGGGTCATCCTCTGCTATTTTTCCAGGTGCATTAGCAGGGAGCTGGATCAGAAGTGGAGCAGCCAGGACTCATATGGGTGCCAGTGCTGCAGGCTTTTCCCACTGTGCCACAATGCTAGCCCCTGCTATTTTTCAGAACACAATGTGGTAGAACTCTCTAGTAAAGCCCCCTGGATTGTAAATTTCTTTGGGGGAAATTTCTACATTATACACTCAATTTCGTTAGTATTGACGGGTCTATTTATGTTACGTATTTAATATTGGATGAGCTGTGGTAGTTGGTAGTGGTTCATTTCATCTGAGTGTGTAGTTATTTGTAACATTCCCATGCTTCCTCTTGCTAACTGCAGCGTCTCATGACATCCCTGGCTTCACTCCTAATACTGCTGTTGCTTTCTTTTTATGCTTAGTCTTGCTAGAGGTTTGTCAGTTTCCCCGATCTTTCTAAGAATAGCTCTCCGTTTTACTGAAGTTTCTCTAATGTTCTTGTATTTTTAATTTAGCTGATTTTAATTTTTATTATTTCCTTCTCTCTGCTAGCTTTTTTTTTTTTTTCCCTAGCTTCTTGAATTGGTACCTTAGGTTATGGATTTGAGACTTTCCTCTTTTCTTTTTTTTTTTTTAAGATTTATTTATTTTGCTTGTAAGTCAGAGTTACACAGAGAGAGAGAGAGAGAGAGAGAGAGAGAGAGAGAGAATCTTCCATCTGCTGGTTCACTCCCCAATTGGCCGCAACAGTCAGAGCTGAACCAATCCGAAGCCAGGATCCAGGACCTTCTTCCAGGTCTCCCACACGGGCGCAGGGGCCCAAGGACTTGGGCCATCTTCTACTGCTTTCCCAGGCCACAGCAGAGAGCTGGATCAGAAGTGGAGCAGCCAGGACTTGAACCAGCACCCATATGGGATGCCGGCACAGCAGGCGGCGGCTTTACCTGCTATGCCGCAGCGCTGGCCCCTTTCATCTTTTCTGATGTGTGCATTTAATGCAATAAACCTCCCTTTCCACTGTGTCTCACAAGTTGTGATGTTTTGCTTTCATTTACAGTTTGTTTATTGCAGTTTAAAATTTCCCTTGGGACTTCTTTGATCCATATTTAGAAGTGTGCTGTTTACTTTCCAACAGAGTAGAGATTTTTGTCTGTGTCGCCATCTCAAAAACATGCTTTCTATCTCTTTTACAGATTGAGACGATCAAGGAAGAATTTAATGAACATGTAGAAGTTGTAGACAAGATAAACCAGATCTGCAAAAATCTACAATTTCATTTAAATAAAATGAAAACCTTTGAAGAACCACCTTTTGAAAAAGAGGCTAATATCATTGTGGACAGATGGCTTGATGTATGTGTTGACTTCATTGCCAATTCTATTTCTTGCACAATGATGAAATTCATCTTTTTTCTAATGTTCTTGGCATTTTTATCTGTTTTCAAAATTTAAAAATATTCATTGAGAAAATGTTCAAATAGTGTACAATGTATGGCTTTGTAATTAATTAATTTCACTCCCAGAATTAGACACTGCTAACAAGTGAGTCTGTAGTCTTCCATTTAATTTATTTAAAATTAATTAAAACATTACCCATTCATGCAGGACGCTGGTGTTCAACGACAAATCTAAAGTAGTACGTTTTTGGTTAAGTAGTAATAATATTTTTGGATTACAGACTGAGAATTTATCTTCATCGTGTTTTCATATGGATTTAAAAGCATCTTTTTTTTTTCAACTGTGCTTCAGAAATTAGATTTTGCCTCTAATTGGGCATAGCTATCAGAAATCAGATAAGACTTTTGTTTTTAAAAAAAAACCTCGATGATACATGTTAAAGCAAATGCTTTGTTGATAAGTAAAACAAATCATTTAGTCAGTAATGGCAAACTCAGATTTAATTTTAAAACATTATTTGGCTGAAACAATGGTTTTCATACTTTCCCCATGACTTGTGTTACTTCTGTTTCACAATTCTGGTAGATAAACGAGAAGACAGAAGACCACTATGAAAATCTTGGTCGCGCTCTAGCTTTGTGGGACAAACTTTATAACATGAAAAACGTCTGTGATGAGTGGACCGAAGAGGTTGTTCAAAAGATGGAGCTCCATCCGCTGACTGCTGAGGACAGAGACAGGCTGGAGGTATTGACAGATTAAAATCTATGCTTTTTCTCTACAGCTGATATTTATTGAGTTTGCCTTCTTGGAGCAGAGTGACAAGAAAATCTTTATTTCTGTCATTATCCCCTTGGAGACACCTGGACTCTCCCGCTTCCATGATGATATGCAGGAGGACTGGAGCAGGTGTTACTATTTCTCAGGGGGAAAGGCACGGATAAAATGATCTTGTGTGGAAAAGGTTTGCGTTTTTATTTTCATGAACGTCTGACTACAATGTAGCATTTGTTTCCATTCTGAATGTAGCCAACAAACAGTACAATGACATTATATATAACTTAGTTACCAAGAAAATCACAGGAAGTCGGCCCAGGTGCTTAGGGAGCTGCCACCAGTGCGGGAGACCAGGCCGGAGCTCCTGGGCCTGGCTCAGACCCGGCTGTTGTGGGCATTTGGGCAGTGAGCCATCAGTTGGAAAATCTCTCTCTCTCTTTCTCTCTCTTCCCCTCTGTCACTCTGCCTTTCAAATAGATGATAGGTCTTTTTAAAAAGAAAAAGGAACGTCACTGATATTTTCAGATCCCTCAAGTTTTGTTTTTCAAATATTATTATGCGAAGGGTCTGCAGGCTTTACCAGAGAGGGTTGTGGTACGGAAGGCTAAGAACTGGGGCCAGTGTTCTGACAGATCCCGTGTGAGCACTGATTTGAGTCCCAGCTGCTCCTCTTCCGATCCAGCTCTCTGCTGTGGCCTGGGAAAGCAGTAGAAGATGGCCCAAGTGCAAGGGCCCTGCACCCACGTGGGAGACCCGGAAGAAGCTCCTGGCTCCAGGCTCTGCCCTGGCCCAGCTCCCATCATTGTGGTCATTTGGGGAGTGAACCAGTGGGTGGAAGATCTCCCTCCCTTTCTCTCTCTCTCCCCCCCCCCCCAACTCTGCCTTTCAAAAAATAAATAAAATCTTTAAAAAATAATAAAAAAAATAAAATCTTTAAGAAAGATTCAGAATTTCTATCAGAAGTCCCCATAAGATACATCATTGTCCCCTTGTGGTCATTCTATAGGCTGCAAGGGAGGAAAACTTTTCCTTTCAGAGCCAAAAAGGGACGCAGCACAACCTCCCAGAGGAGGTGGAGGAGTGGCTGTGGAACCCCCAACACCAGATGCACAGAAAGCCAATCGCTGACACCGGTTGGTGGAAGGAAGTGGGTGTTTTATTTACAAAGCACAGAGTAAGAGCGAGTGGTTAAGGGTGAAATGTTTTTTTCTTTAAAGATGTATTTTATTAATATGAGAGTTACAGAGGGAGAGGTCTTCCTTCCAGTGGCTCACTCCCCAAATGTCTGCAATGGCAGGAGCGGGGCTGATCTGAAGCCAGGAGCCAGGAGCTTCTTCTGGGTCTCCCACGTGGGTGCAGGGGCCCAAGGACTTGGGCATCTTCCACTGCTTTCCTAGGTATGTTAGCAGGGAGCTTGATCAGAAGTGGAGCAACCAGGACTCAAACCAGTGCCCATATGGGAAGCCGGTGCTGCAGGCGGTGGCTTAACCAGCTATGCCGCAGCACCAGTCCCCATCATCAGAAGAAATGACTCCTTGAATCTCCTAGGGCCACAACCACTCCCTCAATTCAGTGAATTCCCTTTGGTGAGTGGTTAATCCTGAAGGACAAGTAAGGATACGTCGGGCTAAGGGGGACAGAGGCCAGGCTGGGTCTTGCTTCTACGTTAGGGACACATATAGAGTGGATCAGTCTCGACAGTATATATTCTGTGCCAGCAAATTCTTCTGCTCAGTCTTACTGTTGTAGCAAGAAAATAGTGATGGGAAATAGATAAATGCTTGGAAGTAGCTATGTTCAATAAAACTTTATTTACAAAAACAGGCTTTTGCCATAGATTGCTTGTTTGTAATCTAGACCATGAATAGGGGCACCTTTCTTCATTATTTGAACTAAACAGTCCTTCAAAAAGATTAGAAAGAACAGAAGGTGAACACCAACATCCTTTTCTTCTTTTCTTTTCTTTTTTTTTTAAAGATTTATTTATTTATTTGAAAGAGTTACACAGAGAGAGAAGGAGAGACAGAGAGAGACAGAGAGAGAGAGATTCCATCTGCTGGTTCACTCCCCAATTGGCTGCAACAGCCAGAGCTGTGCTGATCTGAAGCCAGGAGCCAGGAGCTTCTTCCGGGTCTCCCATGCAGGTGCAGGGGCCCAAGGACTTGGGCCATCTTCCACTGCTTTCCCAGGCCATAGCAGAGAGCCAGATTGGAAGTGGAGCAGCCAGGTCTCGAACCGGCGTTCATATGGGATGCTGGCACTGCTGGTGGCAATTTTACCATCTATGCCACAGTGCCACCCCTCCCTTTTTTTTTTTTTTTGAGAGCTCTTACCCACTGATTCACTTCAGATGCCCTCAGCAGCAGTGGATGGGTCCTGGGAGCCGGGAACTCAATGCGATCTGCTAGGCTGTGGCAGGAGCTCGGTCACGTGAGCTGTCCCTGCTGCCTCCCAGGATCTGCGTTCACAGGGAGCTGGAGTCAGGAGCAGGCATTCTCAGACAGCTGTGGCCTTGGCTCCCAGGCCAAGCACCTGCTGCCAACATCTTGTAAAGATAATGTCGTCCAATTTGGGGGGAAAGAAGTTCTCTCTTTAACTCCTGGAAGAAAACTTTCTAATTGCTTGTTTGTTTATATGTTTTTAGCTCAAATCATATTAAATCAGCTCTCAAATGTTGGCAATTGTATGTGACTCCATGTAGCATAAAAATGCATATATGTGCTTGCAGTTAATGCTTCAGGTCTCATTCTATTCTATCTCTAATTCTTGCTAGTTTGATTCACCTTTAATATTCAAATTTGTGCATTTGGAAAAAGGTTTTAAAATGGATGTACAGTCTAGTTTCCTGGATGTATTATGATAGTTATGAAGTCAAACTGGGAGAGTCCTCTAAATTTGTCTTGAACTGTAGGTAGTTTCAAAATCTGATGTCAGATTCCTGCGCTTGTCAGCCTGAGGGCCAGAGTCCCCGAACTCGTGTCTGTGCTGTGTGTGCATGCGTGCATACACCTGTACCTCATGTCTATCAGGGTAAAAGCTCTTAGAAAAATGGAATTAAAACTATGAGTTTATTTTGATCCAAAAATTTTTTCAAATCCCTATGTAGCTTTTTCATCATATGCGTTTTCCACATATTATGAAAAACATTTTTTTTTGCACAAAGTAAACTCTTACTTTTCATTCCATTTTCCAGGCCAGACAATGGGTGCAGTTGTTAAGGTGCTGCCTAGTGGGGTTTGGGGGTAAGGCTGCTTGGGACACCTGGGTTTGAGTCCCAGCTCCACTCCCAAGTCCAGCTTCCTGCTAATAACATTGCGAGTGTGTGTGTGTATGTGTGTGTGTGTGCGTGCGCACACCCTGGGAGGCTGGTGATGGCTCAAGTAATTAGGGTCCTTGCCATCAACGTGGGAGACTTGGATTGTGTTCTTGGCTTGCACGCATCTGGGGAGTGAAGCAATGGATGAAAATCTCTGTGCCCATCCATCTGTCTGTCTCAAGTTTCTTATGAAAAATTCTGTTTTCCAAAGCTTATGTCCGGGTATTCATAGACATGGAGCCTTGTACCTGTCTATTATTCATCCGCGAAATTGTAACACCTTTGGCCAAGGCATGCATCCTCGACTGCCTTAAACCAAAGCTAGAAAGTTGTACTTGGGGCCGGCACTGTGGTGCAGTGGGTTAAAGCCCTGGCCTGAAGCGCCGGCATCCCATATGGGCACCGGTTCAAGTCTCAGCTGCTCCTCTTCCCATCCAGCTCTCTGCTATGGCCTGGGAAAGCAGTGGAAGATGGCCCAAGTCTTTGGGCTCCTGCACCCGCATGGGAGACCTGGAAGAAGCTCCTGACTTCAGACTGGCGCAGCTCCAGCCGTTGTGGCCATCTGGGGAGTGAACCAGCGGATGGAAGACCTCTCTCTCTGTCTCTACCTCTCTCCGTAACTCTGTCTTTCAAATAAATAAAATAAAGCTTTTTTTTTTTAAAGAAAGAAAGTTGCCCTTGGCCCTGGGATTTGCAGGAAGCCCGAAGGCACTTGGGCTTGGACCTCTAGGACTTTGTCAAAACACAAGTAATTAGTGGCAACTACAGGGCTCTCTCTTTCTGTGTATCCGCAGTGATAACCTTGGGCACCAGAAAATAAAACATGAACTAGGAAGATAATTTCTTTTAAAATCATGTGTTTTAGGAAGAGTTACAAGTCCACGAGCAGAAAGTTGCGGAGTTTTCCAGGAGGGTGGCTGAAATACAGTTTTTGCTGCAAAGCAGTGAAAAACCACTTGAACTCCAGGTAAGAGGGTTTTTATTTAAAATTCCAAATGACGGCTCTGTACTCACGTGCCCTCTAAAGCAACGCTCACAAACCACGCACACTAATCCATAAAGGTAAAATGCAACTGGGATTATTATTTTCAGTCCCCGTGTTGAATCCGACCAAATCTTTAACGTTTGGCGATGCTAATTATACCTGTTCTCTCTGTAGCCTGCATACTGTTGCATTTTCTCTTGTCGCTGGCTTCACAGGGCTGTTGTGTGTGTTGGGGAGGTGGGGTGGGAAGGTTGCCTGGGCGCCCACATAAAAGAGCAGTGGTGTCCTGTGTCTTGAATACGGGAGAGAGAACACGGCTTGAGGGACCCGCGGGATATTCGTTGCTAGGTGGATCAACAGGAAGATTGTCCCTGTGTGATTCCTGTTGTATGAGGAGGGGACTTTCGGTTTTCGTCAGCGCAGGGGCTTAGTGGTTGGATATGAGATCTGCAGCCTACCAGCTTAGAGACCTGGGCAATTTATTGAGCTTTCTTAAGCCTGTCTTATCATGTGCATGGAGTGCTTACCATGATTTTGCGTCCCAAATGCTGACTTTTTTTCTGTCTGTTTTCATCTCATCTGTATGTTTTTTATTTTCCCCTCTGCGTTTTATCTCATAAGCACCACAAGATGGCACCTCAATTGCTGGGCTATTTTAGGATGAAGAATTCAAACGAATCTCTCTCTCTCTTTCTCTTTTTTTTAAAGATTTGGAGTATCTTTTTTTTTTTTTTTTTTTTTTGGCAGGTAGAGTTAGACAGTGAGAGAGAGACAGAGAGAACGGTCTTCCTTCCATTGGTTCACCCCCCAAATGACCGCTATGGCTGGCGCGCTGTGGGCAGTGCGCCGTGCCGATCCAAAGCCAGGAGCCAGGTGCTTCTCCTGGTTTCCCATGCAGGTGCAGGTGCCCAAGCACTTGGGCCATCCTCCACTGCACTCCCGGGCCACAGCAGAGAGTTGGACTGGAAGAGGAGCAACTGGGACTAGAACCTGGCGCCCATATGGGATGCCGGTGCCGCAGGCAGAGGATTAACCAAGTGAGCCACAGTGCTGCCCCCAAACGAATCTCTTAAGCAAAGTCAGAACTTTCGTCTTTCCCTCTGCCTCTTTGTTCTCCTGGAGGCACTGTTGGAATGGTTACATCAAGCAGGTGCAGGATGGCGAGAGGAATTTAATCAGGTTGGACTGAAGCAAGCTCTGCTCATCAGTAGTAATGCCGGTGTCTTAAAGCTTGTGAGAGGCCGGCGCTGTAGTGCAGTGGGTTAAAGCCCTGGCCTGCAGTGCTTGCATCCCATATGGGCGCCGGTTCGAGTCCCGGCTGCTCCACTTCTGATCCAGCTCTATGCTGTGGCCTGGGAAAGCAGTAGAAGATGGCCCAAGTCCTTGGGCCCCTGCACCCGTGTGGAAGACCTGGAAGAAGCTTCTGGCTCCTGGCTTTGGATTGGCGCAGCTCCGGCCGTTTTGGCCAATTGGGGAGTGAACCAGTGGATGGAAGACCTCTCTCCCTCCCTCCCTCTCTCTCTTTCCCTCTCTCTGTAACTCTTTCAAATAAATAAAATAAATCTTAAAAAAAAAAAAGATTATGAAATACAGTTCATGCCTGTGCTCCCTGTCTTTGTCATTTCAGGTCATGGAGTCCTCTATTTTGAAGCAGATGGAACAAGTGAAACAGTGTTTAACTGGAGCTTCGAGCTGTTCTGCACTGGCAGACAACGCTGCCGAGCTGCGGGAGGATCTAGACCAGGCCAAGACCCAGATTGGGGTGACAGAGTCCCTCCTAAAAGCCCTGTCCCCTTCTGACAGCTTGGAAATCTTCACTAAGCTTGAGGTTCCCATTTACAGTCACGCTGACTTCTTAAACTTTTCTTTCGTTATTTACTTTTGTTTAGTTGAAAAGTTAAGAGATCTCTCATTGCTGATTGACTCTCCCAGGTGCCTGCATGGGCCGGGGCTGGGCCAGGCTGCAGCCAGGAGCCTGGAGCTCGTCAGGGTCTCCCATGTGGGTGGCAGGGACCCAAGTACTTGAGCCGCCAGCCACCTGCTACGTCGCAGGGTGTGCATTAGCAGGTCGTCACGGTCATAAGCTGAGCCAAGACTCAAGCCCGGGCTATGTGGTGTGAGACGGGGGCATCCCCCTCTGCATCTTGACCCCCACACTTACTTTTGAGGGTTTCACCCCTTGAGGTTTGCAAAAATTGTAAGAAATTAATGAAAGTTGGGGGAAAAGTCAAGAAAACAGTTTGTTTATATTTATCATGTTCCCCTTTGGATTTCTTTGTAGACAGTAATTAGGTCGTATTAGATTGCACTGTATTGGCTGTGTATTTACTAGCAAAGACAAAGTGAGTCCACTTAATAGAAAGTCCTCAAGGTTTTTATAAAATCATGGTGATCGATGTTTTGGGTAGTTGGAGCCTGTTTTAAAACTTAACAGTAGGGGTCAGGGTTGTGGAGCAGCAGATTAAGCCGCGGCCTGCAATGCCAGCACCCGTATGAGTGGATGAAAGATCTCTTTTTCCATCTGTCCCTGTTTCTCTGTAACTCAGCCTTTCAAATAAACAAATAAATCTTTTTTAAAAAAATTTGTTTATTTGAAAGGCAGAGTGAGAGAGAGAGAGCACAAGATCTTCCATCAGCTGGTTCACTCGCCAAGTGGCCCCAACAGCTGGAGCTGGGCCCATCCGAAGCCAGGAACTTCTTCCTAGTCTCCCACATGGGTGCAGGAGCCCAAAGACTTGGGCCATCCTCTGCTGCTTTCCCAGGCTATCAGCAGGGAGCTGTATCGAAGAGGAGCAGCCGGGACACAAACCAGTGCCCATGTGAGATACCTGTGGCTTTATTCACTATGCCACGGCACCAGCCCCAGTAAATAAATAGTTAAAGAAAAAAAGAGTTGGGGCCGGCATGTGACAGCTTCCACCTGTGGTTCCGGCATCCCATAGGGACACCAGTTCATGTCCTGGCTGCTCCTCTTCCAATCCAGCTCTCTTCCATGGCCTGGGACAGCAGTGGAGGATGGCCCAAGTCCTTGGCACCCGTTTGGGAGACCCAGAAGTTGTTCCTGGCTCCTGGCTTCGGATCAGATCAGCTCTGGCTGTTGGCAAACCATTTGGGGAGTGAACCAGCAGACGGAAGACCTCTCTCTCTCTCTCTCTCCCTCTCTCTGACTATAACTCTACTTTTTTAATAAATAAATAAATAAATAAAATCTTAGAAAAGCAAAAGGACTTGATGGAGGCTGTTTGCTGTTTGGGGATTCAGGAGATCCAGCAGCAGATTCTGCAGCAGAAGCACAGTATGACTGTCCTTGAGACGCAGGTCGGCTGTATGACTCCTGAGCTCGCGGAGCTGAAAAAGCAATACGAGAGCGTCAGCGATTTGTTCACTGCCAAGAAGAGTGTTCTGCAGGATCACTTTTCCAAGTTACTGAACGGTGAGTGCCGCGTTAGTGTTTCCCTTACTCCGTCTCTGGGGAATCTCGGAGTAGGAATCTAGCCCCGTGAACACAGAGGCTTAGCTGAGCCCGACTGAGGCACCGTTTGTACAGCGGTATATGATGTTGAGGTCCATCTTTTAGGGGGAACACTTGCGATCTGTGCCTCATCAGTGACAGTTACTTCTTACAAGCCTATCAATACAGATCAATACATATCATTATAGATATGTATTTCATGGAAGAAAATCTCCGAGTTCCTGCATTTCACCTGCTCGCTGAGGTCGTTGGCTCCGGGGAGGCTGCCTCTGAAGCCGTCTCTGGGTGGCCTGTGGGCTTAGGAAGGGGGTTTGATGTAGGAAACACACCAGGATTTGGTACGATGCTTTGTTAGCCCTGGAAATTGGGTTTTGAAGTTAATGATCTCATTAGTCCCATGGCCTGGGGAAGCGTTACAAAATCTTGCACCAAAAAAAGAAAATTTAAATGTTTACCATCAAGTTTTATTGCAGCACAGCATACGTATAAGTGGCCCTTTCTCTTTTACTGGGAAATGAACAGGCACTAGGTGGATGGTGTAGTGAGCTTCCCCAGGGGGCGCACCTGTGTCACTGGAGCAGAACATGAGCAGCGATCCACAGGGTCCTGCCTCACCCCTTCCACTCACTCCCCTGCCTCCGGCGTAGCCACCACCCGCCCCTAGAATGTCACCGATGAGTTTTGGATTCTTTTGAACTCTAGGTAGATAGAATTGTGTCGTGTGCTCTGCTTTATTTCTTTTGCTTAGCGTTATCTTTATGATGTCTGTCTATGTATTTCCATGCATCATTAGGCTAGATTGCTTATTATTGTTGTGTAGTGTTAAGTTGTAGAGTTATTGTATAATTTGTTCATTTCACGGTAAATGGATTTTGGAACTTCTGTTTCAGGGTTATTATGACAGCATTGTCTTTCATCTTCAACAAGTTCATGGAAAATGTACATTATGTCATGCTTGGATTTCTGATTTTTTAAAAAAGATTTATAGGCCGGTGCTGTGGCTCAATAGGCTAATCCTCTGCCTGCGGCGCCGGCACACCCGGTTCTAGTCCTGGTCAGGGCGCTGGATTCTGTCCCGGTTGCCCCTCTTCCAGGCCAGCTCTCTGCTGTGGCCAGGGAGTGCAGTGGAGGATGGCCCAAGTGCTTGGGCCCTGCACCCCATGGGAGACCAGGAAAAGCACCTGGCTCCTGGCTTCGGATCAGCACGATGTGCCGGCCGCAGCACACCAGCCATGGTGGCCATTGGAGAGTGAACCAACGGCAAAAGGAAGACCTTTCTCTGTCTCTCACTCTCTCTCTCACTGTCCACTCTGCCTGTTAAAAATAAAATAATAATAACAATAATAATAAAAAATAAAAAAAGATTTATTTATTCATTTGAAAGTCAGAGTTACAGAGAGAGAAGGAGTGGCAGAGAGAGAGAGAGAGAGGTCTTCCATCTGCTGGTTCATTCTCCAGTTGGCCACCACAGTTGGAGCTGCGCTGATCTGAAGCCAGGAGCCAGGAGCTTCTTCTGGGTCTTCCCAACAGGTGCAGGGGCCCAAGGACTTGGGCCATCCTCTACTGCTTTCCCAGGCCGTAGCAGAGAGCTGGATCAGAAGTGGAGCAGCCGGGACTCGAACCAGCGTCCATATGGGATGTCGGCATTGCAGGCGGTGGCTTTACCTGCTACACCACAGCGCCGGCCCCGATTTCTGATGTTTTTAACACTAAAATAAACTCTAAAAATTATTTGTTTGTTTGAGAGGGAAAGAAAGAGGGAGTGCTAGTCTGTTCCTATCTACTGGTTCATTCCTCAAATGTCCACAATGGTCAGGACTGGGCCAGGCCAATGCCTGGAGCTGGTCGCTCCATCCAGGTCTCCCACGTGGGTGGCAGGGACCCAGGTCTTTGAGTCATCCCCACTGCTTCCTGGGGTGCACATTAGCAAGAAGCTAGAATCAGCTTCAGAGCCCAGGACTCAAATCCAGACGTGGTGATGCGGGACATGGACATCTCAAGTGGTGGCTTACTCTATACCAAGCGCCCACCCCTAAACATATCTTTGCATTCCACTTTTGCATGAACCTTTTGAAGTCTCCTGTATAAGCATTTGCATTGGGAACAACCTGCTTTGGACAAGGAGTATTTTCTCCCTTGTCTCTAAAGCTGAGTCGTAGCTTATTAACAGTTGTTCTGATTTCCATTTGTTCTTCTGCTGGAGATGGTAAAGGTGTGAAAAGACCATATCTCAAAATCTGAGAACTTCTCTGCCTGGGAAGGAGTTTGTGCTGCGTCATCCCAGGGGCTGGGAGTCAAGACCTAGGCCCTGTCGGGTTCAGCCTGGTGAAGGCACAGCGGTGGCTTTGAGGTCCCTTGACATGACAGAAGGTGTGGAGAGGCAAAGAGGACCACAAATCTCTCAGTGTACACAGGTCTATGAAGTCCTGCTTGGATAAAAAGCTCTTTTTTTCCTCCCTCCTTCTCCTGCAGATCAATGCAAGAACTTCAACGACTGGTTCAGCAACGTTAAAATGAACCTCAAGGAGTGTTTCGAGTCATCAGAAACCAAAAAGAATGTGGAACAAAAGCTACAAAAACTTTCTGTAAGATATTTATGTAAATCTTAAAGTTGATGGAAAATAAAATTTAGCAACTATATTTAAGTAGATTGGGTACTGAGCCTTTGACTCACTATTTCTGTCCATAAAAATTAGTATTTCCAAATCACCTGGCTTTTTTTTCTAAATACCTTGGAATTCTATGATTACTAGTTTAACAGATTCCTTGCTCACGATTATTCTAAGATGCTGTTCAATTTTGTGTTCACTGTAAAGTTAGCTGTTAAAGTCATATTTGATAAAGACTCTACCTAATTTAGACCCTAAGTAGCCTTTACTTTCTTGAGAAAGGTCTCTTGACTTTTTCTGAGTATTTTTCCAGTCATCCTCATTTTAAAACTTGCATTTGAACTTCAATACTCTGCTGGTTGGAGTGTGTGGAGGGGAGCCTGAACTAATAGTGCCCAGCGCATTTAAAATGCCGGTGGCATCATCCAGTCGTGGTCACTGCAGATTGGATTATCTACTACTTCAGAGTTCTGGCGATAAGTCATGCTCCAAAGCTTGTCAATGCTCTGAATGTTCTCTCTGTAATTCCTTGCTTTGCTGGTAGTATTCTTTATTGATAGAATCACCTCTCTCTCTCTGTCTCTATCTCTCTCTGTCTCTGTCTCTCTTTCCCTCTCTGATTTTGTCATTCATTTCACCTACTGAATGACCCTCAGTCATTGATGCCAAAACCTGGAAACACAAACATTGAAATAAATTCTGATCCGGGCCAAAGTTCATGGAGCAAGGTCTGTTTAGTCTTACATAATGATTGCCAGGAAGGAGCCATTGTTTAGGAGAAGCTAAGCAGAGCCAGGGTGGAGAAATCTCTTTCCTGGTCTTGCACTAGCGGCACTGCACGAGCTGCGAGTGCCAATGTGCACACAGCTTCTAGAACTGCCCCAAGGCATCGCCTTTGGAGAAGCCGTGTCTCCCAAGCCTCTCTTTTGTCTAGGTGGTGAACCAGGTGGGTGCTATGTCTGTGTGCTGTTGGGAACAGTCTCACGGGGGTGGCAGAGACCACCTTTCAGCGCTGACAGGAGGTTGTAATTGGCTTTTGTCTTCCTGAAGGATTTCCTGACCCTGGAAGGAAGAAGCAGCAAAATCCAGCAGGTGGAAACAGTCGTGAGACACGTGACCAAGCATCTGCCCCACGCGCGTGTTGCAGAGCTCAACAGTTGGCTTTTGAGTCAAGAACTGGAACTGGGACAGATGGAGTCTGTGTGCCGGGCTCGAGCCAAGGAGCTGGCTGAGCTGTTGCAGCAGCTCCTGAGGTAGGAGGGAGAGGTCCTGTCTAAGTAGCGTGTTCTCAGGATATCTTCATGCAAAGGGACTCCAGAAAATGTGTGGAGCATGGAATGCAATGCCGAGTTTATTTTGTGCAAAAAAAAAAAAAAATTGAAATCCATGCATAGTTTTTCCTGATCTACTTCTCGAAGTGCCCTCAGCCGTACTCTGCCTCTGCACAGCGTGGGCTAGGATGGATGATACCCGCAAGTTTCACAGATAAAATAGGCCCGGGTGTTCCTTAGGTGACTGCAGGATATTGGTTCCGGGAGCCCCAAAGCTCATATTATTTATTCCAGAGTGCAAAGGGCACTGACGTCCCTTATATAAAATGCCTTCGTATTCTCCTGCGACCTACACATATGCTCCCAAGTACTTCGGCACCTGATGCAATAGAAATGCATTGTAAATGTGGGTCAGCCTGTATTGTTGGGGGACAGTGACAAGGAGGAAAGGTCTCTACATGTTCCATACAGGTGCAGTTTTTCCCCTAGAATATTTCTAGTCCCTGATTAGTTGAATCCACAGATTCAGAGCCTAATAGCTATGGAGAGCCTACATATTTTTATTTATTTACTTATTTATTTATTTTTAAAGATTTATTTATTGAAAGTCAGAGTTACACAGAGAGAGAAGGAGAGGCAGAGAGAGAGAGAGAGAGGTTTTCCATCTGCTGGTTCACTCCTGAAATGACTGCAGCAGCCAGAGCTGAGCCGATCCGAAGCCAGGAGCCAGGAGCTTCTTCCGGGTCTCTCACGTGGGTGCAGGGGCCCATGGACTTGGGCCCTCTTGTAGTGCTTTCCCAGGCCATATCAGAGAGCTGGATCAGAAGTGGAGCAGCTGGGACTTGAACCGGTGTCCATATGGGATGCCATCACTGCGGGTGGCAGCTTTACCCCACTGTGCCACAGCGCTGGTCCCATATTTTTAAATCTGGTTTTAGGCCTAGGATTATAAAAGATGGGAGAATCTTTCAAATTATCTAATATGGCAAAGGGTTGGGGCAGCATCCAAACATGTTTTCTATTTTTTTGCTGTTCCTTATGATACATTCATATGGTTCATTGCTTTAATAGAATTCCTCTCTAAAAAAATTCAGTTATTATTCAGATTTTGATACATTACAAGTTAAAATTTCTCTGAAAAAGAGCAGTACAGAAAAAACCTGGCTCACTCACAAAGTTTTTGCCATCTCTGTCTTTGATATAAATAAGCGCACTCTTCTTATTTTGTATTCTTATTTGTGGAACGTTCTTGTAGACTCCAAGATGACCACAGAAATCTTAGTAAATGGTTGACTAATCAAGAAGATAAGTGGAAAGAAATGCAAGAATCGGGAGAGAAAGCTGAGCTGTTTTGCCAAGCTTTGGCTAGAAAGAGGTATGGCTGATCTTGCGTGAAATACACCCCCAGGAATACGATTTCTCCCGTGGTATAGTGTCTCCTATAAACTTCCAACGTTTGGAATTCACAGGGAACAATTCGAATCTATGGCCCAATTGAACAACTCATTGAAGGAACAGGGGCTGACCGAGGAAGAAGACATAATAATGGAATCAGCACGTTTGATTGACAAATACCAGACATTATTGAGACAAGGACACGGAATTGAGGAAGAGGCCCAGTTAGCACCTGCTGAGGACCAGGGTTTTAATGATCTTGCACACGATGTAATTCACTGGATAAAGGAGATTAAAGAATCGCTTATGGCTTTGAATTCATCGGAAGGCAAAATGCCGCTGGAGGAGAGGATCCGAAAGATAAAGGTATAACCTTGGAAACGAGATGTCAGGGGGCAGAGTGAACTGTAATTTGGAACACAGTTAGAAGAAAACTACACAGATTTGTTTCTTAATGGGAAGTATGGTTGGTGTGAAATGGCTGAAGCCATTTAGATCACAGGGCTGTGATAGAGTTAACGTGGTTTTCAATGCTTCCGAAGGAGGAAGCGTATGTCCTGTGTTCCTGCCTAAGTGTTTGCATTTTTTACTGGGTACAGAAGCAAAGGCAGCAGACCAGAGCTGCAGGAAGTGCGAGTTTTTAGGATATTAAAAGAACACAGAGGTACTTCGAAAAGTTCACTTAACAGTGGAGTTAAAAGATGAGTTTGTTCTAGGGCAAAATAATTTTTTTAAAGATTTACTTATTTGAAATGTAGGGCAAACAGAGAGAAGAGAGAGAGAGAGAGCTTTTTAAAAGATTTATTTTGCGGCCGGCGCCGTGGCTCAATAGGCTAATCCTCTGCCTTGAGGCGCCGGCACACTGGGTTCTAGTCCCAGTCAGGGCGCCAGATTCTGTCCCGGTTGCCCTTCTTCCAGGCCAGCTCTCTGCTATGGCCCAGGAGTGCAGTGGAGGATGGCCCAAGTGCTTGGGCCCTGCATCCCATGGGAGACCAGGAGAAGCACCTGGCTCCTGCCATCAGATCAGCGCAGTGCACCAGCCAGCCGCGGCGGCCATTGGAGGGTGAACCAACGGCAAAAGGAAGACCTTTCTGTCTCTCTCTCTCACTGTCCACTCTGCCTGTCAAAAAATAAAAATAAAATAAAATAAATAAAATAAAAAAGATTTATTTTACTTTTTGAAAGGCAGCGTAATAGGGAGAAAGACAAAGAGACAGAAAGAGAGAATCTTTTATCCACCGGTTCACTCACCGAATGGCTGCAAATGGCCAGAGCTGGGCCAGACTGGAACCAGGAATCCAGAACACCTTTCAGGTCTCCCACGTGAGTGGCAGACGCCCATGGACTTGAGCCATCTTCCACTGCATTCCCAGGTGCATTTAGCAGGCAGTGGGTTCAGAAGCGGAGCAGCCGGGACTCAACCAGCACTCCAGTATGGGATGTGGGCATCAGAGGCGGAGGCTTATCCCACTCTCCCATGGCGCTGATCCCTGGTACAAAACATGCTGAAATCCCTGTATAGTTTTTTTCATAATACGTGTTTCCCACAAACTTTTTGGACTCCCCCATCCATGTGGGGAGAGCAGAGGCATCAGTAATTTCCAGGGCAGGGGTGGAGAGGAATTATTTGGGGGGCGTATGAGTGGTTTGTAAAAGGCGGTTGGATGCTGAGTGTGTCTAGAGGACCAGGGGGTCTCAAGCTCCCGCAAGCTCATTTTCTGTCTCAGGGGAGATCCAGTCAACTTTGCTGGTTAAAAATACAGCGGACATCACGCAAAGGAGCTCCTCCTGGTGGTTCAGTCCTGGGAGAAGTGAAGTTGCGTTAGTTGAAACATTGTTAGAAGAACTATGTGATCAGGAGTAGCGAGTTCCAAGGGTGGGCGAGATTTAGTAAGGTAGCGGAGTTGTGGGGGATTATGTCCAAAAGTTTCCCCAGAGAAGGCGAAACTTGAGTAGCATTTCCAGGCAGGGAAGAGGCGTGGTTATCAGAGCTAGGGAGAGAAAGAGAACAGGGAGCAGGACTTAATTATGTCAGGTGGAAAGGCGAGAGGTAGCAGGAGGGACCCTGTGTTTGCTTGCGGGAAGCCCTAGATCTGATGTTGGGTGTATGAGAATGTCTTGAGGTTGTTAGCCTAACTCTCCATCTGTAAATCATTGAGTGGAGGGGTGGTATTTAGCCCGCTTCTCGTGTTGGAGTGTGTGGGCTCAGTGCTCAGCTCTGGCTCCTGACTCCAGCTTCCTGCTATGGCAGACGCCGGGAGGCAGCAGTGATGGCTCCAGCAATCAGGTTCCTGCGCCCACGTGGGAGACCTGTGCTGGTTCCGAGCTCCTGGACCACTGAGGGCAACTGGGGAATGAGTGAATGGGAGCTCTCTTCCTCGCTGTCTCCCTGCCTCTCCAAATAAAATCAAACGAAATAATAGAAAGGAGGATTTCGCAGGGCTTTTTTTTTTTAAGATTTATTTATTTATATGAAAATCAGAGTTATGCAGAGTGAGGAGAGGCAGAGGCAGAGAGAGAGAGGTCTTTCATCTGCTGGTTCACTCTCCAAATAGCCGTAACAGCCAGAGCTGCACCGATATGAAGCCAGGAGCCAGGAGCTTCTTCCAGGTCTCCCATGTGGGCGCAGGGGCCCAAGAACTTGGGCCATCCTCCACTAATTTCCCAGGCCATAGCAGAGAGCTGGATTGGAAGTGGAGCAGCCGGGACTTGAACCGGTGCCCATATGGGATGCCAGCACTGCAGGTGGCGGCTTTACCTGCTACTCCACAGCGCTGGCCCCTCCAGGGTTTTTTTTTTTTTTTTAAACCAGATAATAAAAAGAAGGAGCTTGAAAATCAAGAAGAGAGTATGGAAGTAATCAGCTCAGACCAACATACTGACGTATTGAGAACCATTGCTATGTGGCATGAAAGGGGCTATCTTCGTCTTTGGGGCAGACTTCAAAATGAAAAGGCGATTAGGAGGATCTCCCAGGGAGATTCACCATGATCTAAGCTACAGGAGCTCTCCCAAGCCCCTTGTATATATGTGCACCCCATGCTTCTTTACTGGATTGAACTCTTCCTAAGATATTGCGGTCGGGATTACGTAGGTCAGACCCCAATCTCACACCTACCTGTTTCCTCGCGGTGTCTGCGCCTGGTACTTCACCCTCCCAGGTCAGCAGCTGCTAGTTCTCCATGCACTGAGCTAGATGCAGGGATCTCCCACCACGGGAAGGGGCTCACACGCAGATTGAGATCATCACAGGGAAATAAAACAATGCTTCTTCATCTTGTTACAATAGCAAAGAAAGGATTATTTTGAAAGATACTCTGCCGTTAATATCCTTGTCTAAAGCTGACAGACAGAAAGATACCGTATGTAATATCCCTGCGTCATGAGAAGGAAATAAGATCGTTTTTATTGAATCCAGGAAATCATTTTGCTAAAACCTGAAGGGGATGCCAAAATACAGACCCTCCTGAGAGAGGCCGGGAGCAGCGAGGCCCTGTCTGTCCAGGAGACCCTCGGCGACATCAGGAGCCAGTGGGACAGCACGCTGCATTTAGCCAGCACGTACCTGAGGTAAGCACTGCCTGCCCTTCTCATCTCGCTTTGGCCGCTGACGCTGTACCAGGCCCGCTGCGGCTGCCTCCTGGGCTCGGACGTGCTATCTGCTGGGGAGGAAGTTGGTACTGTCAGGGGCGTCTTGCGAGGGGACCAGCTCACCTGGCCAGATGTGAGACCACACCCGGTGCAGCTGCTGTAGCCACCTGGGGAGTTCTCGTGGACCAGTTCTCACCGGCTGTTATCCGCCCTTCAACACCACCCTTCTGTCCCAGACTCCCTCAGTGTCCACAGGGCATCATGGGAGAAATGGGAGACGACTGACTGCTGTCACATACTTATTCTGAGAGATGCTTGATTCGTTGCAGGTCTTAAAGGGCGCATTGAATTTCTGGAAAGGTGTGTTATGTTTTTCTAAGGAGACAATCAGATCAAAACTAAATGTAAGCCATGGAAGGCATATACTAAATGTACCAAATAGTTGGTAAACATACTGAATGTTTATTTTGCTTCTGTGAGAAGTTAAGTGTAGGGTAATACACTTAAGTATAATAACAATGCTGAGGACTAGTTTGAAACCCAAATTATTGAATATTCTGTGGTCAAACTACAAAACAACACAAATTGGATTTTAGTAATACTCCAAAGATGTCTACTTTGATTTAGGAGCTAGGCTGATGCTATGTAGCATGTCATACTAGTGCTGTCTGAACGCTGTTTATTATCATGGATAAGCACTTCAGAACGTTTGTGGAAATGGAATTCAAAAACAAGTGTATTCCGATGCAAACTGTCTGAAGTCCCCTTGTGCACAGCCGGTGTCCCTCCATCGCGCTCAATGTAATTTCACTGACAAACTACTTTGTGATATGCAGCCATCAAGAAATGCTTCTGCTCGAGGGAGAGAAGTACCTGCAAAGCAAGGAGGACCTGAGACTGATGCTCACGGAGCTGAGGAAGAAGCAGGAGGCGGGCTTTGCTCTGCAGCACGGCCTGCAGGAGAAGAAAGCGCAGCTGAAAATCTGTAAGAAGTTCCTGGAGAAAGCGCAGGACTTGACGTCCTTGCTGAAGGAGCTGAGAGCTCAGGGAAGCTACCTGCTGCAGTGCACCAACAACCCCAGCTTCAGCGAGGAGCCCTGGCTGGAGATAAAGCGTCTACACCAAAGTCTTCTTCAGCAGCTCCAGGTGAGAGGTCCACGCGAGGTTCTCGGGGGCTGCGCGAGCAGGCAGCATTTGCATACGGAGCTGTTTTTTGCTGCTAGTGTTGCTCTTTTGGTCAACCAAAAAGCCTGCAGAATTTAGTTTGTCCTTTTTAGGTGAACATGCAAAGGGGTTTGGGCTGGTGTTGGGGTGTAGCAGGTTGAACCACTGCCTGTGACACCAGCATCCCATGTGGGTGCTGGTTCGAGACCCGGCTGCTCCACTTCTGATCCAACTCCCTGCTAATGTGCCTGGGAAAGCAGCAGAGGATGGCCCAAGTGCTTGGGACTCTGCACCCATGTGGGAGACCTGGAAAAAGCTCATGGCTCCAGGCTTTGGCCTGGCATAGCCTTGGCCATTGTGATCATTTGGGCAGTGAACAGCGGATGGAAGACCTCTCTCTCTCTCTCTCTCTCTCTCTCTCTCTGTCACTGTCTGTCTCTGTCTTTCCCTTTCTCTCTGTAACTCTTTCAAATAAATAAAAAATAAATCTTAAAAAACAAAAAAGGCAAAGGACAGGCATTGGGTTTGGCTGTCAAGATGCTGCTTGGGCGTCAGTTTGAATCCCAGCTGCTCCTCTTGCCTATCCAGCTCCCTGCTAATGTGCCTGAGAAAGCAGTGGAGAACAGCCCAAGTATTGACTCAAACTGGCACGCATAGGGGACGCCTGCACTGCAGGTGGCACCTTAACCCACTGTGCCACTCCAGCACCAAGATGTTTGTAATTTAATGATGTAATTTGTCACCATTTTGTTTCACAAACTTCATGAAAGAAATAAAGATAAAGAAACATGGGCAAAATGAATGTGCTTTCGATGAGATGGGAGAGGTACAGAATTGGCAGTAAAATATCTGAAATACTATAATCTTTGCTTAATCATTCTGGATGATTTATTGTCCCGTTGCTGTTTCAAGATGGAGGCTACTTAAGCAAACATTGTGAGTTACGTCATGATCGGTGAAGAGATTCGGAGAGAAATCACTGTACGTTGTTGATGGTCTGGTTTTCAGGACTCCGTGCAGAAGCTGGAAGGTCACGTTCAGGAGCACCAGTCCTACCAGGTTTGCCTCACGGAATCGAATGCCGCGCTGGACAGTCTCTCCAAGGAACTCGCCAGTTTTGCCGATCAGCCTGTGGATCGAATCGCAGTGGAGGAGAAGCTGCAGAAACTAGAGGTATTAAACCATGTCCAGACGCGATCGATGTTTTTAAAAATAGGCCTGAGTTACAACTGGGTTCGAATCATCAATGTCTTCTGCAGACGGCTCTTGGACAACTAAAGCTCTGACCAGTCATAAAAAAAAAAACGAGAAAGTTCTTTAGTGGCCAAATCCTTTGATAATCTTGGTTGAACCGTGCTTTGTGAAATGCCCAAGTTAATTAACTTTGTAAGGAGGAGAGCTTTAGCTAGGTCCAAGTCCAGCCGGCACCGCGGCTCACTAGGCTAATCCTCTGCCTTGTGGCGCCAGCACACCGGGTTCTAGTCCCGGTCAGGGCGCTGGATTCTGTCCCGGTTACCCCTCTTCCAGGCCAGCTCTCTGCTGTGGCCAGGGAGTGCAGTGGAGGATGGCCCAAGTGCTTGGGCCCTGCACCCCATGGGAGACCAGGAAAAGCACCTGGCTCCTGGCTTCGGATCAGTGCAGTGCGCCGGCCGCAGCGCACCAGCCGCGGCGGCCATTGGAGGGTGAACCAACGGCAAAGGAAGACCTTTCTCTCTGTCTCTCTCTCTCACTGTCCACTCTGCCTGTCAAAAATAAAAAATAAAAAATAAATAAAAATGATAGGTCCAAGTCCAGGATCAGGCAGCCCTATTGGCTGGCATCTGGTGAGGGTGGCAGTGGTTGTACAAGGTGACCCAGGCAGCAGAGTGGGTGGCTGGGCCCAACTCAGGCTTTTAAAACCAACCGTCTCATGAGAGCTGCCTTCTGAGAGTGTGTCCCAGCGTCCTAAGGCCTCCCAACAGGCCCACTCCCCAAATGTCCATAGTTAGATTAAGTTTCCACCTTTGGGACAGGCAGTTGTCACAGCAGATAAGATGCTGATTGGTACGGCCAGTGCCGGGCCGTAGAAGGTTAAGCCTCTGCCTGCGGTGCTGGCATCCCATGTGGGCACCAGTTCGAGTCCCGGCCACTCCACTTCCAATCTAGCCCCGAAGATGGCCTAAGTGCTTGGGCCTCTGCCACGCACATGGGAGACCCGGAAAAAGCTCCTGGCTTCCCTGAATGTTGAGGCCATTTGGAGAGTGAACCAGAGGGTGGACGATCTTTCTCTCTACATTTATATAAATATATAACTCTGCCTTTCAAATAAATAAAATAAATCTTAAAAAAAAGCAGCTAGTTGGATTACCCACATCCCATATCAGTCTGCCTGGGTTGAAATCATGACTCTGCTCCCAATTCCAGCTTCCTGCTAATGTGCGCCCTGCGATGCAGCCAGGTGATGGTACAAGTAGTTGGGCTTCTGCCTCCCACACAGGAAACCAGGATTAAGTTCCAGTTTCCTGGTTTTGGCTTGGCTGAGCCCTGGTTGTATTGGGCATTTGGGGGAGGAACCAGTGAATGGAAGATCTCTCTCTCTCAAATAGAAATAAATACAATTTTGTATACACCCTCTTGTTATCATTAACTTACGGAAACTTTGGTGCTTGGGTGTGTTAACACCAGCGTGAGGTCAGGGGTCACATCTCACTCAAACCTCAGCAAGCACCTTGCTCATGGCCCTTGGAGAGCAGCCTGTGGCTCCGGGAAGCAGCCTGGTGGTTCCAGGACTCACTGCCTGGCCGAAGGATGCATCCAACCATACAGCAAGCCCTGGCGGGTGTGGGGGGATGTTTCCAGTTTAGCATTTTCCTCACGGGTGGTTAGAAGTTACGTGATTTTTACTTTATTCATTGCACCCCAGGATAAGGTTGAGCTCGTGTAAGGCTTCCAAGAATCTCAGCCTCCCTCCCACAGCTCCCAGCCGTAGGCGGTGAGAGGCCTGCAGCCTGTTCTCTGCATCCCCCAAACCCCTTCCTTGGTTTCTCATGATTTCCACACCCGAGCGACGTCTTCTCAGCCACCGCTTTCCCCGGCACCTGTGTTCAGCCGCTGCGGGCGCAGGCCTGGGAATTTCTCACGCCTTCCACCAAGAGACCTGGGCTTCCGGCAGAGCATCCCTTCCAGGGTGGCCCGACGCTGAGACAGGGCTGCCTCCTGTTTCAGTCGTGGGAATCTGGCAAATGCACTGGCTTCCAGTGTTCCAGGTGTGGCCTGGCTGCTGCTGCTGAAGCGTGAGACAGGAGTCTCGCTCTCAGGAGCGCGGGCACCTGCTGAATGTGTGTTTGGTTCACTGCCTGGAACAGCCAAGGCTGGGCCAGGCCGAAGCGGGCAGCGAGGGACTCAATCTAGGTTTCCCACGTGGAGAGAAGGATCCCAATGACCTGAGCCCTCACCTGCTGCCTTCCAGGGTGTCCAATATTAGCAGGAAGCTGGAGTCAGGAGTCAGTCAGGAGTTGAACCCAGGTTCTTTGATGTGAACACATCAAATATGCAACTTTTTGTGTAGTTGTTACCATAGATTTTTTTCCCCTATTCTATTGCAACTGTTTACACCTGCGTCTGTCCTGCTGGACTGCAGGAACTTAAAGGAACTGTATTTTACTCATTTATGGAACCCAGTACATATCTTAGTGCTTGGCTGTCAGTTGAATGAATGAATGAATGAGTGCTTACTGTGCAGCCCCATAAGCTAATGGTTAATGAATCCTGCCTGACTGACTTAGTAATTAAGGGTTATTCTATTTCTACAGTAACATCAGTAATTGCTATCATACCTCAAATTCCTTTTGAGTCTAAGTTTTCAAATTAGCCACATTCCTTCAAGCAGTTATTAAATATTAAGTTCTTGCTGTATATGTAAGGTGGTACATTAGAAGGGTTGATATCTTTTTTTTAATAAAGATTTATTTATTTGAAAGACAAAGTTACAGAGAGAGAGGGGGAGAGGTAGAGAGAGAGAGAGAAAGAGAGAGAGATCTTCCAAATTCTGGTTCACTCCCCAAATGGCCACAATGGCCAGGGCTGGCCCAGACGGAAGCCAGGAGCCAGGAGCTTCTTCTAGGTCTCCCATGATGTGCAGGAGCCCAATTACTTGAGCCATCTTCCACTGCCTTCCCAGGCACATCAGCAGGGATGCTGAATGGGAAGTGGAGAGCCAGGTCTCAAACTGCTGCCCGTATGGGATGCTGGTGCTGCAGCCCTGGGCTTTAACCTGCCACGCCACAGCTGCCAGCCTCTGAAAAGGCTGTGTTTAAACAGAGTATATTCAGCACTTAGCTATTCATTGCCTCCCGTGTCCCACAAACTGCACTGCAAACATGTTCTGTGTGGCTTGTTCCAAACCTCCTGGAACTTAGAAAATCCGCTTGAGAGTGGGATGCTCCATTGGCTTAGTTTTTCCCCCAAGTTTCTTCTTTGTGAGATGAATTGAGAAGTTTGCTTTCTTAAAGAAAAAAAAATTCCACTGGGGATGCAGAATACCTGGTGGTTTGCAAAAGCTCATGAACTCTTCTGGCAACTGCCCAGCGACTGCATTTTGTAATTGTGTCCTCTCCGCTCATAGGAGTTCCAACATCAACTCAGTTTACAGGGCGGCGCGTTAGACAAGATTTCAGCTTTAGCCAAGTCCGTCCAGCAAAACACGTCGTCTGTGGGACAGAAGGTTATCAAAGAGGATGTAAAATCACTTCAGCATAAACAAAAAGATTTGGAAAGCAGAATCGAGTCTGCTAAGCAGGAGGCTGAAAGTCAGCTCCACAGTGCTCACCTCCAGTTGCAACGCGCAAAGGAAGGGACAGGGGAGTTGACTGTGCCCGGCGGGGAGCAGCAGGAGGGCAGCCCGGAGGAGGCGGCTGCAGTGGGAAAGTTGGAGGAAGACGGAGACATAAACAAGGTAAGGGCTGGGAGGGCGCTCTTAGTCATGGAGACTGGGCGTGAAGAGGCGTTCAGCTCTGAAAAGCGGGTCGTGATTTCGCTATTAAGTCCTCAACGTGCGGCTATTTACGAAGCCCACTTACAGAAAGAGCCCGGCTTTCAGCGGGGAGACATTCCCGCTGAGGCCGTGGAAATGTCAGTCATCAATTTCGGCTTATTATTCTCGCTGGTAGGTAATCAGATACACTGCCTTGGGTCAAGGGCACAAACGAAAATTAGAAAAGGCAAAAGAAAAGAAAATGTGCTTTATCCTGTTTCTCAGAAAAAAAAAATCCAAGAGCCCCATTTTGTTGTTGCTGTTGTTGTCGATTTTGATAATGAAGCAGAGACTGTTTGAAAGGCTGCGGTTTCTCTCTTTTTCCTTTGTTAACCCTGTAGTGGAAATGCGCTTTCCCGTGTGGTCACGTCACTTCCCGGGAGGTTAGCAGCGTTCAGACTCTGATTCTCGCTGGGGAGAAGGAACAATGTTTCCTTGGTTTCATCCTCAGCCAATGGGTTGCGTTTCCCTCTGGTCGCCAAAGCGCTTTCTCCTGACTTGTGGGTTGACATGGAAGAGGCACGAGGGGGCTATCCTGGGAACTGTGCTGGGAAAGGGGTCTCCCCAGCAGGCTGCTTCTCACCCTGTGGGGGCCACTTGGACAGCAGCAAAGGTTAGACCCGGCCAGGGTGAGCTCACCACCTGGCTTCACTGGCTTCGTAAATAGAATAAGCGGTTTCCGTGGAAGAGCCCTTGTATGCATGGATTTCAGGCATTTTCAAGTGCCCTAGTATTTCAGGAGCAAGAGATATGTTTTTTTAAAAACAAAACAAAACTTGTAAGGGCAGGCATGTGTTACAACCAAGACACTGCTTGGAGTGCCTGCATCCCGTATTGGAGTGTCTGTCGGCTCTGCTTCTTCCTCGCTTCCAATCCAGCTTGCTGCTACTGCACCCAGGAGGCAGCTAACGATGCACCAAGTACTTGGGCTGCTGCCACCCAAGTGGGAGACCCAGATGGAGTTTGTGGCTCCTGCCTTCCGCCTGGTCTAGCTCTGTGGTTGTGGCTGTTTAGAGAGAAACCAGTGGGTAGAAGATCTCTGTCTGTCTGGCCATCTTTGTCTGCCTGTCTCTGCCTTTCAAATAAAATGAATAAAAATATATGCATACAATCCTAAAATGATTTTTTCAGAGCAGATGAAAGGACTTAAGTATTTAAATAATTTTCACAAATCTAGATGACAGAAAACTAGTTTAAGTTCTCAAACAACATTTTATGCTTTTGCTCTTTTGTAACAGGAATTTTTTGTGAATCTATGTTTCTTTTTTTTTTTTCTTTATTATCTATTTATTTATTTGAATGAGAGAGAAGGAGAGGCAGAGAGAGAGAGAGAGGTCTTCCATCCACTGGTTCACTCCCCAGTTGGCCACAATGGCCGGAGCTGTGCCCATCTGAAACCAGAAGCCAGGACTTTTTCCAGGTCTCCCATGCTGGTGCAGGGGCCCAAGGACCTGGGCCATCTTCCACTGCTTTCCCAGGCCACAGCAGAGAGCTGGATCAGAAGAGGAGCAGCCGGGACTCGAACCGGTGCCCATATGGGATGCCAGCACTGCAGGTGGCGGCTTTACGCCTGAAAAAAGGTTCTTTCTTCTTTCTATTCTTTTCTTTTTTTTCAACAGGCAGAGTGGACAGTGAGAGAGAGACAGAGAGAAAGGTCTTCCTTTTGCCGTTGGTTCACCCTCCAATGGCTGCCGCGGCTGGCGCGCTGCGCTGATCCGATGGCAGGAGCCAGGTACTTCTCCTGGTCTCCCATGGGGTGCAGGGCCCAAGTACTTGGGCCATCCTCCACTGCACTCCCTGGCCACAGCAGAGAGCTGGCCTGGAAGAGGGGCAACCGGGACAGAATCTGGCGCCTCGACCGGGACTAGAACCCCGTGTGCTGGCGCCACAGGCGGAGGATTAGCCTAGTGAGCCACGGCGCTGGCCCACTGAATATATGTTTCTTATTTTCTCTACCATAAGTACTGACTGTGTTTACTTTTATGTAGTATGAGGGCACTTTAAAAAGTCTGGGGAAAATGGAATTAAATGGTAGTTTATTTTGGTGCAAAAAAAATTTGAAATCCATGCATATGAAGGATCTTCAAAAAGTTAATTAAGATGCTTCTTATGAACATATTGTATGGATTTCAAAAATGGTTGCACCAAATTTATCTTCTAACTCCATTTTCCATGAACTTTTGAAAGGGCCTTTGTATTAGATTCTGTAACGTTCGGCTATGTAAGGTGAAGAGCAACTTTAAGGTTGAACAACTAGTAAAAGAGTTCAAGTATGTGCATTGACAAATATGATACAGGTATGTAATGCGACAAATGCAGTAACTTAATGTAAACGACGTACGCAGGAATCTAAATTGTACCAGATACACAGAGTGCATAAAAGCACAATCGACTGACTTACAAATCTGACTCATCTGAAACTATTGTACTAATGGAAATGATTATTAACTCATTGAGAACAGTCAGACACCTCTTTGGCACGAGTTATTTTGCCCAAATGTGAGGATACGGTCATCAGAGCTTAAACGCTAACACTATAGGGGCCGGCGCTGTGGCGTAGTGGGTAAAACCTCTGCCTGCAGTGCCAGCATCCCATATAGGCGCTGGTTCAAGTCCCGGCTGCTCTGCTTCCGATCCAGCTCTCTGCAGTAGAAGATGGCCCAGATGCTTGGGCCCCTGTGCCCATGTGGGAGACCAGAAGAAGCTCCTGGCTCCTGGTTCGGGTTGGCTCAGCTCTGGCTGTTGCAGCCATTTGGAGGTGAGCCAGCAGATGGAAGGTCTCTCTCTCTCTCTCTCTCTCTCTGTCTCTGTCTCTCTCTCTGCCTCTCCTTCTCTCTCTGTGTAACTCTGACTTTCAAGTAAATAGATAAATAAATCTTTTTTTTTTTTAAAGATGTTTTCAACTTACAATGGCTTTGTTGGGAAGGACTCCTGTCTTACGTCAAGGAGCATCTATAATATCCAATTTTACATACTTTTGGGAATCTAGTGGACTTTTAGCTTTTTATTTTCTTTAGCCTCCCCAGAATTTTTAGGAAATGTATATTTCCTTTTGCTTTTTCTGTAGTAAATTTCATTCACCTTGGAGTGTTCTTGGACGTGTGATTGCACTTTTCAAAAATTGCCGTCGTACGAGTGTTTATTTGAATCCATTGTCAAGAATTTCATTTTAGATGAAATTAGAGATATTTTGGTTTTTTGTTGTTGTTATTTTGAGAGGCAGAAAGAGACAGACAGACAGACAGAGCTTTTATGTACGTTTCATTCCCCAGGTGCCCACTATGGCTGGGGCTGGACAGAAGTCGGGAGCCAGGAGTGAATGCAGTCCAGGTCACCTGTGTGCATGTCAGGGACCAAACTACTTGAGCCATCACTGCTGCCTCCCAGGGTCTGCGTTAGCAGGAAACTGGAGCTGAAGAGTGAGCCCAGATCCTCTAACGTGGCATGGGGGCGTCTTAACCACCAGGCTAACCACCTGTTCCCGCAAGGGGGGTTTTAGATCCGAACCTCTGGTTGGCTTTTTCTTTAATGTCAGAAATATTAAGGCAGAACCAGAGGCGAAAGAACTTACCAGCTTTGTGGTCTGAAGGTATGGGTGTTTATGATCCATACCCTACTGCATATTTTTGCCTGTGAATTTCTAAGATTTTTTCAGTGTGATCAGACAGAACCAACATCCACCACCCCCTTCCTGTATGCATTAGTAACAAATTAAAGCATGGTTTAAAGTGAGAATGAGAACTGTCTAATCCCTTACGGTTTTAGATGTCCCTAAACAGAAATGATAAAGAAGAAAATCAAAGAAACGTGTACATTCATAATTTATTCTTTTTCTAAGATTTTATTTATTTATTTATTTGAGAGGTAGAGTTACTGACAGTGAGAGGGAGAGCCAGAGAGAGAGGTCTTCCACCTGCTGGTTCACTCCCTAATTGACCACAACGGCCTGACCTGCGCCGATCCGAAGCCAGGAACCAGGAGCTTCTTCTGGGTCTCCCACATGGGTGTAGCGTCCCAAGCACTTGGACCATCTTCTACTGCTTTCCCAGGCCACAGCAGAGAGCTGGATCAGAAGTGGAGCAGCCGGGACTCGAACCGGCGCCCATCTAGGATGCTGGCGCCACAGGAGGAGGATTAACCTACTGTGCCACCACACTGGCCCCGTAATTTATTATTTTTCTAAAAAAACATAAAGTGGCATCACAATTGCACTGGCATTTTAATCTTTCTTGTCCCATTGCTCGCAAATGGCAATCTACGTGACAAAGTTGCCTTTAGTCAAATACCAGCAGGAGAGTGTTTGCCGTCCTGGTTAAGACACTCCCAGCCAGGGTCCTGGCATGGTGGCACGCTGGATGAAGCTGCCGCTTGCAGTGTGATTCAAGAGACCCAGCTGCTCTGCTTCTGATCCAGCTTCCTGCCAATGATAAAGAGGCTCACGTCCCTTATGAGGGTGCCTGGTTCAAGTCCTGACTCTGACTCCTGACTCCAGCTTCCCGCTAACGCAGATCCTGGGAGGCAGCAGCTGATGGCTCAAGTACTTGGGTGCCTGCCACTCACGGGGCAGCCCTGGATGGAGTTCTTTCTGTCTGGGGAGCTCGCCTCCCTCTTCCCCTCCCTCTTCCACCCCATCCCTCCCTTCCTCCTTCTCTCTCACATAATAAATACATTTTTTAAAAAAAGATAGGGAAAAATAATCCTTATACCATTCATCTGTAATCACCTCTTTAACCTCCTGGTTACTGGGTCTAATCATATTTCTGAATTGTTTTCTGTTCATTTCCTAAATTTCTGAGCCTTTAGAGTTTGATGGTTAAGAAAGCATCTGTCGTAAGGCCGGGGAAGGAGATGACGGCAGGTGCAGCAGAATGCACAGGGCTTGCAGCTCGCGGTGACGGCAGCGAAAGCGCCGAGTTAGTACTGGGATAACAAGGGGAGCCGCCTACAGGAGAGAGTTTTCAGCCTTGTCCTGAACGGTCTCTATCCTGGTAGCTTAGCAGACCTGACAAACTGCGGTGCCTCGTTGGGCTGTGTGCCAGCCCTGTCCTTGTCTCACAGCTTTGCTCTCTCTGCTCAGTGTCCAAGTTTTGCCTCTTACTCTGGAGGCGTTTCCACAGTCCGGGCTCGATTCCTTGCTAGGATAAATGACTCACACAGTGTGCATATTAACCGCTGTCTCCAAGCAACATGTGTTTGAAAACACGCTCCCACATCCTAAAATCTCAGGCAGATGGAGAGGAGACATTAGACCTTCGCAGCCGTTGTATTTCTGGCTAGGACACTGAAGTCCAGCCGAGCTAGGATGGGACCCCGCACATCCTGTCTGGAATGCTGGCCTGACACTTAGAACTTGACCATTGCACAAAATATGCTGCACGGGTGGAAAAATTGAGGTCCAAGTTAAGTTCTCGGGACACGTGGCTAAACGCGTTCAAATAGGGTTTCTATACCCTGCGACCTTCTAGAGCCGCACGGTGGTGCCCTGCTGTGCTGTCTGACCTCTGTGGGGACTGTGTTCAGTTCGGGCTTCTCCATCCTGGAATCCCAGCCCTTGTGTCACGTCCCCTGCAGCCACTCCTGACCTTGCTCACGGGTGTCTGGTCCTCGAGTTATTTCCACGCCGCTCTGTAACCCACTGTGAGTGCTGACAATAGAAGACCGAGCGCAGCCCCCGTGTTTTCCCTCTCATTGACTGAACGGGCAGTGAGCACTCAGACACTCGTACAATCTGTGTTCTCTAGGCAGAGTCTGACTATGGGCACAGACGGGAAGAAGCCCAGTTCCATAAGAGCTTCTAGCCAAGGGCTGTGCCCTGGGTGCCTGCGTCAGAGAGCGCTCCCCTCAGGGCTGACCCCTGTGGTCTAAGACTCTGGGTCAGTTGCAGATAACAGGGCACAGGCCTGGGCGTGGGGAGTATTTGTGGCCCAGGATGTCGTGAGCTTGAGGAGTTTCAGCCGCTGTGGCTGGAGCCCGACGTAGAGGGAGGTGACAGTGAGAGACTGAGTAGCAGGTGTGGTGGCGACACCTGTGTGCCCCACGTCAACGCTGTGGACGTCGGTCTGTGACCGTGGCACCCTCTGAGTCTGTCGCTCTGCCTTTTGGTCTTCTCTCTGATGGCGCTAACGCTGAGGTTAGAATTGCCTTTCACTGCTGAGCTGCAGGAGGCGAAGAGACCCAGGGTGCTTCAGAAAGTCCGCGGATAATGAAATTAAAAGATAAGTTTCTATTGGTGCCTGCGAAGTTTTCTCAGAATAGCCATTTCCCCTGACTTCTTGGAGATCCTCCTTCCAGGGTGGCAGGGGAAGAATGGTTAGGAGAGAATTTTCTTGGAAGCCAATCAGGTCCTGGGGTCTGGGTTCTAAGCTCCATGATGCGAGCAAAGGAACACCACCTTTGTCATTTGAAGCTCTCGTGTGACGGATTCTGTTGAATCCCTCAACGGCCAGAGTAGGAACGTGGCTTTGGGGTTGGTTGACAGAGGGAGTTCTGGGGTCCTTTCAGGTTCCCAAGTGTAGCTTTTCTGGCTGTGAAAGGCAGCCATCACACACGTCGCTGGTGTTTTCCTGGGTAAGCGCGGTCTTCAGGCATGTGTTCATCAGGTAAGCGAGACCAAGTACTCCAAATTCTTACTTAGATAAAGAGGGGTGGGCGTTTGGTCTGGTGGCTCAATCCCTCATGGGGAGAGGGCACGAAATGACCTGTGCTAAGGGCCAATTAAGAATTTCAAAGGGCCTGCCCCTGTGGTGTGGGGGGTGGGGCCACCGCCTGCAGTGCCAGCATCCCATGTGGGCGCTGGTTCGGGTCCCGGCTGCTCCACTTCCGATCCAGCTCTCTGCTGTGGCCTGGGAAAGCAGTGAAAGATGGCCCAACTCTTTGGGCCCCTGCACCCACTGTGGGAGACCTGGAGGAAGCTCCTGGCTCAGATCGGTGCAGCTCTGGCCATTGCGGCCAACTGGGGAGTGAACCATCAGATGGAAGACCTCTCTCTCTCTCTGCCTCTCCCCTCTCTCTCTCTGTAACTCTGACTTTCAAGTGGATAAATAAATCTTAAAAAAAAAAAGAACAAACCCAGTAACCCTACATAGCTGGGATTTTCTACCAGTTAGAAATGGTGAAGCTCCCAACACTATTTATTTTATTAAAAAAACAAAACAAAACAAAACTTGATTTTAGAATAGTTTTACAGAAAAGTTGCCAACATGGTACAGAAAATTTCCTTATGCTTCTGCATGCAATTTCCACTCATGTTAACATCTGATAGTACTGTCTTGGGATATATTTTTTTAAAGATTTATTTATTTATTTGAAAGTCAGAGTTACACAGAGAGAGAAGGAGAGAGAGAGAGAGAGAGAGGTCTTCCATCTGCTGGTTCACTCCTTAGTAGGCCACAACAGCCAAACTGGGCCAATCCGAAGCCAGGAGCCAGGAGTTTTTTCCAGATCTCCCACACTGGAACAGGTGCCCAAGCACCCGTGCCATCTTCTACTGATTTCACAGGCCACAAGAGAGCTAGACTGGAAGTGCAGCAGCCGGGGCTCGAACTGGCATCCATATGGGATGCCAGCACCGCAGATGACAGCTTTACCCGCTATGCCACAGCACCAGCCCCTCTCTTGGGATGTGTGTGTGTGTGTATATATATATATATATATATTTTTTTTTTTTTTTTTGACAGGCAGAGTGGACAGTGAGAGAGAGAGACAGAGAGAAAGGTCTTCCTTCCTTTGGTTCACCCCCCAATAGCCGCTGCGGCCGGTACGCCGCGCTGATCCGAAGCCAGGAGCCAGGTGCTTCTCCTGGTCTCCCATGGGGTGCAGGGCCCAATACTTGGGCCATCCTCCACTGCACTCCCGGGCCACAGCAGAAAGCTGGCCTGGAAGAGGAGCAACTGGGACAGAATCCGGCGCCCCGACCAGGATTAGAATCCGTGACACTGGCCGGGATATTTTTAAGACAATATTGTCGGGCTGGCGCCGTGGCTCACTTGGTTAATCCTCCGCCTTCGGCGCCAGAATCCCACATGGGCATCGGGTTCTAGTCCCGGTTGCTCCTCTTCCAGTCCAGCTCTCTGCTGTGGCCCGGGAGTGCAGTGGAGGATGGCCCAAGTGCTTGGGCCTTGAACCCGCATGGGAGACTGGAGGAAGCACCTGGCTCCTGGCTTCCAATCGGTGCGGCGTGCAGGCCTTAGCGGCCATTTGGGGGGTGAACCAACAGAAGGAAGACCTTTCTCTCTCTCTCTCCCTCTCACTCTCTGTAACTCTACCTGTCAAATAAATAAATAAAAAATCTTTAAAAAAAAAAGACAATATTGTCATCCTTATTTGCAGTCGTGGACTCATTTTAGTCACTTTATGGATTTCATGTCCTACATATGGTAGAATTACATGACTTTTCATTTGTAATTCAACCTGAAAGTAAAAATTAATTCCTTGGCACACTGATGGGAAGTTTTCCGAATCACTGAGGTGGTACCTGGTTCGTGCAAGCGCTCAGCAAACACAGGGGCACTTCACCGAGTTGGTGGGCAATAGAAAGGAAAGGGAAATCCGTGCGTAGTTCTATCAGGATGAGCATTTCTCGTGACCCTTTATAGGCCCTTCCTCCGCAGAAGGAATGAACAGGTGGATGGAGGTTCTCTGTCTATGTGTCCGTGGAGGGCCTCGGAGTTTTAGAACTCTCTCCAAAGATGGGATTTCTCCACACGCAACCTTCCTGTCTTACCCCGGCTGTAATTCTTACTGCCAGCTGTCTTCAGGTGTGGCTTACTGTTGGTACCATAGCGTCTTGGTGTCCCTTCCTCCTACCCACTGAAACTACCCCTGGGCCACAGTAAAACATTATTTTTCTTATTCTTGCCATCGCAGTAAATACCAAATATAAGTAGACTTCAAAGAGTTCATGGAAAATGGAGTTAAAGGATGTTTATTTTCATACAAAAAATGTTGAAGTCTATGCATACAAAGATCTCCAGAAAGTTTATGAAAAATGCCTAGTATGAAAAACTGCATAGATTGAAACCGACTTGTGCCACAATAAATCTGTGTTGTAATTTCATTTTTCCATGTCAGTTTTGAAGCACCCTTGTACACATATTGGAACTTTTGTTTTTTCCTGTATCTGTGTTCTTTAAGATTATAGATTATGGGGTTGGCGCTGTAGCGTAGCAGATAAACCTGCCGCCTGCATTGCCGACATCCCATATGGGCGCTGGTTCGAGTCCTGGCTGCTCCACTTCCGATCCAGCTCTGGGAAAGCAGTGGAAGATGGCCAAAGTGCTTGGGCCCCTGCAGCTGTGTGGGAGATCAGGAAGAAGCTCCTGGCTCCTGGCTTCTGATCAGCTCAGCTCTGGCCGTTGTGGCCAATTGGCGAGTGAACCAGCAGATGGAACACCCCTGTCTCTCTCTCTCTCTCTCTCTGCCTCTCCTCTCTCTCTCTGCCTCTCCTCTCCTCTCTCTTTGTAACTCTGACTTTCAAATAAATAAATAGATAAATAAATTTAAAAAATAAAAAGATTATAGATTATGCCCCAGTATTTAAGGAAGCAATGCTAGTTCCTGTATTTTCTCATGAGAAAAAGTTGTATGGAAAAAAAAAAGTTGCCTTTGGTAGTGCCCAAATATATCTCTTCAAAGCCTTTACTCCAACTAAATAGAAGCATCTGAAAAGTTTTTATCAAGAAAAATAAAAATCATTCCTTTGGAAGGGGGACTGCTCAGCAATTAATCTCTTTATGCTTTCAGAATTCAGCTGTGGAGATGATTTTGTCAAAACAACTTTCCCTTGGCGTTCAAGAAAGCATGAAAAACAGCGAAGATGAGCAGAAAGTCAGGGGGCTGCAAGATCAACCTTTAGAATTGGATGTCGTGTTAAGAAATGAACAATTAAAAGAGATAGAGGTACTGGCAACATGATTGCATCGTTTACCCAGTGCAATACAATATGCGTTAATTACCAAGAACTTCCTCGCACCGAGTGAAAAGTCTTATTTAACCTCTGCCTGATGATCAATTTGGTAACTGTATAATTATGTACTCATCAGTGAGTTGCATCAGTCTTTCCATTTACAAAGTGGAAGATTTAATGAACATTAGTCTTCTTTCTCTTGCACAAAGTTCCCGAAAACTTACTCAGTAAGAAAACTTGGAGATTTTGACTTGTCATTGTTCCTTTTCTTGGTCACACGTATTCTTCTGATTCTGACACAGCCCTTTTATTTCTTCCTAATGATCAACATTATGGGGTCTTCCTGTTTTGTTTTTACAGCTGTGTTTATGTATTTATGTACTTAAAACTATGTGATCTAAAAATCCAATACGTGGCTGTGTTTTTAAAAGCGGGATTATAGATGATCCCTACAGTTTTAGCTAAGTTTACGTTACAGTAAATATGTATAGGTGCGGGTTCAAGACCCGGCTGCTCCACTTCTGATCCAGAGCTCTGCTATGGCCTGGGAAAGCAGTAGATGGCCCAGGTCCTTGGGCCTCTGCAGCCACATGGGAGACCCAGAAGAGGCTCCTGGCTGCTGGCTTTGGATTGTTTGTATTGGCACAACTCCAGCCATTGTGGCCAATTGGGGAGTGAACCAGTGGATGGAAGACCTCTCTCTCTCTCTCTCTCTCTGTCTCTCCTTCTCTCTGTGTAACTCTGACTTTCAAATAAATAAATAAATCTTAAAAAAAAATACATGTATTTGAAACAGCAGAGAGAAGTGATAGGTGTAAATAATAAAAATCAGGCGAATGTCCCTTTAGACCTGGTAGAATCTTTGAAGAGAACGGGATGAAGTTTTAGTCTTGGTTTTAACTTGATTCTAGGGGAAAATACTTTAAAGTATTTTAAGGACGTTTGTTTCTCTGTGGACAAAGGAAATAAGTGGGGACTTCGAAAAGTGCATGGAAAATGGAACTTGAAAAATTTTTGTTTTCCTGTAAATCAAGTTTGCGATCAATGCACAGTTTTCTCATCCCGTGCATTTTTCATGCAACCCTTGGAGACCCTTTGGGTTTAAAACAGGGTCTTGTGGAATGTACTACTCGAGGGGAGGAGGAAAGGGAAGAAGTGAATGAATGAACCAGGGAATGAATGCTTCACTGGGTTGCCTGCTTGCTTTTAGGAATTATACGCCCAGCTGGAAGCAAAGAGAGCAGCCATCGAAACACTGGCCGAAGCCAGCGCCTTGGGTCTCCACGACACCGGAGACCCCGCCCAGCACTTGGACACGCTGCTCCAGGCTCTTGCGACTTTGAAGGAAGACAGAGAAAGCCAGTATTGTCTCCTTGCAGATTTCCAGGGGCAGCTCAGCGTGGCCGCCACCTCCGTGAAAGCCTGGTTGGCGGAAAAAGAAAATCTGAAAGGGTAAGTCTGAGAACTTGGGACTTCGCGTTCAAGGCGCTGTCTCTTCTGCCTTGGCCGGGCAGAGTTTTAAGACTGGCTGCCGGGGAATGATGTCGTGACCTGAGGAGTACACGGTAGGAAGCCGTGCGTGTGGGAGCCCTCTGAATCTCTCTGGGTTGCCGACACAAGACCTCGTGGATTAGACGGGAATTTATTTCTCACGGTTCAAGGTGCTGGCAAGTCCGAGATGGAGACCGTGGCAGGGGCAGGCATGTGGTGCAGAGGGCTGAGCTGCTCTGTGGGATGCCTGCATCCCGGATTGGAGCCTCTGGATTGGAGTCCTGCCTCCTGCTCCTGATCCCGCTTCCTGCTGGATGTGCCCCTCGGCAGGCAGCACTGGGGATTTCAAGTACTTGGATCCCTGCCACCCACGCAGCAGAGACCTGGCTGGAGCCCCTGGTTCCTGGCTTCCGCGTGTGTGACCCAGCCCCAGCTGTTGCAGCCATCTGGGAGTGAACCAGTAGATGAAGATCTCTCTCCCTCTCCCTCTCCCTCTCCCTCTGCCTCTCCCTCTCCCTCTCCCTCTCCCTCTCCCTCTCCCTCTCCGTCTCCGTCTCCGTCTCCGTCTCCGTCTCCGTCTCCGTCTCTTACTCTGCCTTTTGGATAAATGAAAGTAGATAAATAAATAAGGTTTTGAATACCGAGGCCCTTGCAGGTACATTGTCTAGTTTGTTGTGCACTTGGCAGAAGAAACAGGAAACTTCTGTGGGTTCCTTTTGGTAAGGGACTCAGCCCATTCGTAAGGGACCCCCTGCCATGACCTAATCACCTCCCACAGATTGTCTGCCAACACTGTCACATTAGTGATTGGGTTTGCAACATACGGACCTGGGGGGATACAGACAATCAACTCAGTGCCGGCCCCTCCTGTGGTTCTTTGTTTTTATTATTATTGTTTTACAGCTGAGACTTTTACATTGTCACACACTGAAAGCTATAGTTTAGAAGATTCTGCTTTTTATTTTCAGAAATGAGTGCTGTTATAGACACCCTCAATGTTTTCTGTGCATTCAAAGCAGAGCCAGTTTCTCCTATGCCGTCAAGCCCCGTGTTGCTGTCTACTAAATACTAAGAAGCTCTATCCCCCTCTTTCCTTTTCTAGAGGTTCCCTGGACATTGCAGCCCATCTGGACAAAATTAAAAAACTGTTGGCATCGATAGAAGAAGAGAAAGGATTGCTAAGCAAGCTGAAAATGGAATGGGAAAATGTTTCAGAACATCTGACTGGCATGGATCAGAAGTTGTTGGAAAGCCAGATGAAGCAGCTTGAACGTGGGTGGGAGCAAGTAGAACAGCTGCTTCAGAAGAAGTATTCCCAGCGAGCAGTGGAGCGCGACGCATTCGCCTCCCTCGTGAGCAAGATCCGCGACCTGGAGATGTCCCTGCAAAAGCAGCAGCAACGTCTGCGCTCAAGGCTGAGCTCAGCAGGAGCCCAGGAGGGAGACCAGAGTGTGGTCGCCTCGGCCACTGAACTCCAGACGCTGAAGCAGGGGTTTTCTGTCTTGAAGGGGCAGGCTGAACTTCAGATGAAGAGGCTCTGGGGAGAAAAAGACAAGACGATCCTGGAAGACGCAATAAATAATCTGAAAAGTCAGTTGGACGCGTTGGAGCCGTTAAGTCTAGAGGTAGAAAATCAGATGAAGAAGTGTGAGATGAGCAGCGAGGTGAGGGAGACCATCCTGTGGGTCAAGAATCTGTTGGGGGAACTCGTTCACCCCGTTTCCCTTCTCCCAGAGGACATTTTGTCACAGATCCGAAAACGCAAGGTGACACACGACAGCATACTGGAAAAGCAGCAGGCCGTGGAATCGTTGGCCGAAAAGGTCAAAGATCACATTTCTAATCTTCCGGCAGACGAGAGCAGTGATTTGCAGTACCTGCTCGAGTATTTACAGAATCAGTACCAAATGCTAGTTCTAAAATCAACAGAAAGATCCCAGCAGTTAGAATGTCAACTGGAAGAGAGAAGCAGACTTTTCGCGGTGATAGGGAAGGTGCATTCGACGCTGCAGGAAAGTGAGATGCTGATGACAGACAAGATGGGAGCCACCTGCACAGAAGCGGAGCTGGGACGCCACCTCGTCACTTTGAAAGGATCTCAGGAGGAACTGCAGGAAGTTGAGAGGCTAATCTCAACACAGCTCCCGGAACTCGCCACCATCTCCGAGGATCTCAATGTGTTTGAACGATTATTTCTGGATGACCAATTGAAAAATCTTAAGACTAGGGTCAGCAGAACACAGAGATTCATCGAGAATAGATGCGGGGAAGTAGAACACAAAGTAAAGTTTTTCAGAGAATTCCAGGAAAAAATATCCGTGCTGCAGAAGGAAGTTGACGATCTACAGCACAAGGAGCTGCTGCTCACTCAAGAAATAAACCAGGATGCAAAACAAGAGTTTCGCACTCTGAAAGACAGACTCGCCGGTATTCAGTGCGGCGTCTTACAGATGTTGAAACTTAAAGAAGTGTTTGAGATTATGGGCCTAGAGTGGGATCATTCGCGACTGGACCAATTACAAAGCCAAGTGAATGAAAAAGAAAAGGAGCTTGAAGAACAAATGAAACAGGTGGACCTGTTTGTGACCGCGCGTGACAAATATCAGGAGTCCCTGGATAACATGAGGGCTGTGGACCTGCACGTTGAGAACAGGGCTGAAGGCCTTCTGAACGCTCCTGGCGCATCACCAGAAAGCTGTCTGCTCCAGGCCCAGATTCTGGACCAGAGACTCGAGAAGACCAAGTGCTCATACGATGACCTGATGAAGCAGCTGACTGAAAGCGAGGCCTTCGACGACTCATTCAAAGAGAAGGAAATAGCACACATAATGCAAAAAGCAGAAGAAAAGGATAACTTACGCAAGCTCCTGCAAAACATGATCTCACACTTCCAGCCGAAAGACACGGATGAGAAGAATTTGCAGGACAGACTCGAACGTTCCTTACGTCTTTTAAATCAGATAGAACGTCAACTACAGCAGCCTTTACTTATACACTTGGACGTTGCACACATTCAAAACGAAAAGGACAACTGTGAAGCATTTTGGGAGCAGGTTCAGGCAGAAATGTGTGCTGTTAGAGCTGTGGCTGTGCCCGAGACGCAAAGGGAGGAGAGAACCCCTCCTGAAAGCAGGGGTGTGCACGCAACACTGCGTGACGTTGAAGATCTTCAGAGGCAGCTCCGCACAAGCATTGACTTGCGCAAAGTGAGTTTTGTTTTTTTAAATTGGGCTGTTTTAATTCCATGGTTTTCTGTTTTACTCTGTTAATATTTGTACTTCTAAATAAATATAGGTTCTATAGGAGACTTCTCTTCAGGGTAATTTCTGAAGAGTTGCAATGAGCCAGTGCAGAATCTTGACTCATTCTGTATGTAAATGCAATGCTTTATACTTTGAGAAAAAGGTCTGACGTTTTTGCTTCTCATACTATCTAGAGAGCTCAGAAGGCAGTGTGTGTGTGCGTGTGTGTGTCCTTGTTTGCTTGTTTTAGAGATAGTACGGTGTCATGGAAGAAGTATGAGGGTTCTTGGTAAAGTCTGGAAAGCGGAGTTAAAAGATGAGCTCATTTTGATACAAAAGCATTTTGAACTCCATGCATGTGAAGGGGCTTCACAAAGTTCATGGGAAATACATATTATGAAAAATTATGCGTGAATGTTTTTAAAATTTGCACCCAAATAAACATCTTTGGGTTCCATTTTCCGTGAACTTTTTGAAGTATGGTAGAAGAAAGAACACCAGATAACATCTGACATTTATTTAAAGCTTGCAATGCGCAAACCACTCCAGTTTTCATCTTCATGGCCCCTGCACCCACCTGGGAGACCCAGATGAAGCTCCTGGCTCCTGGCTTCATCCTGCTGCAGCCCTGGCCATTTGACTCTTGTGTTTCAGTGAGAAGAGTTGGTACAGGGACATCCTTGGTGCTCCCAAGCTAAAATGGTGGCACTGCTATGAATCTTAAAAACAGAAGTCTGTAGTTTCTGTGTGCTTTGTCTTCATTTGTTCAAAAATACTGATTAAGGCCATATCCATTAGTCATTGTCAATGGCTTTATTTAGTTCTTGATCTAGCAGGAGTTTCAGAACAGGGCCATGCATCAGGAGACATGAGTTTTGAGATATTATTTTGAATTTGGTTTAGATTTCTTAGAAAATCTGAAAACAATTTTCGTTTGTGCAAAAAAGCTATTCACTATTCATTCTTTTAAATTTTATTTTTATTCATTTGAAATGCGGACAGAAAGAGACACGCAGACAGAGTTCTGTCTCCCGGTTCATTCCCCAAATGCCTGCAAGAGCCCAGCTGGGCCAGGCTGACGCCAGGAGCCTGGAACTTGATCTGGATTTCCCGTGTTGCTGGCAGGGACCCAAGCACATGAGCCATCTCTGCTGCCTACCAGGTGTGCACTAGCAGGAAGCTGCAGTCAGGAGTGGAGCTGGGCCTTCAGGATGGGATGTGGGCATCCCAAGTGACATCTTAGATGCTGCCCCAACTGCCTTTCCCTAATTTTTAAATAATAGTAGAGGGCCGGTGCTGTGGTGCAGTAGGTTAGTCTTCTGCCTGTGGTGTTGGCATCCCAAATGGGTACTGGTTCTAGTCCCAGCTGCTCCTCTTCTGATCCAGCTCTCTGCTATGGCCTGGGAAAGCAGTAGAAGATGGCCCAAGTCCTTGGGCCCCTGCACCTGTGTGGGAGACCTGGAAGAAGCTCCTGGCTCCTGGCTTCAGATCGGTACAGCTCCAGCTGTTGCGGCCATTTGGGGAGTGAACCATCGGATGGGAGACCTTTCTCTCTGTCTCTCCTCTCTGTCTGTAACCCTACCTTTACCTCTCAAGTAAATAAATAGATATATTTTTTAAAAATAATAGTATAGTATTGTCAAATTGTGAGAATGAGAAGCTAACTCTTATTGTAAGACTGAAATACATAATATGAATGCATCATGAAAAATCAAGAGTTGAGGTGAGTGTTGTGGCACAGCGGGTTAAACCACCACCTGGGATGCCAGCCTCCAATGTGGGCCCTGATTCGAGTCGTGGCTCTTCCACTTCTGATCCAGCTTCCTGCTAATGTGCCTGGAAAGGCAGCAGAAGATGTTGCAAGTACTGCAGCCCATGTGGGAGACCCGAATAGAGTTCCAGGCTCCTGACTTCAGCCTGGCCCAGCCCCAGCCTTCGCGGCCATTTTGGGAATGAACCAGAGGATAGAAGATATCTCTTTCTCGTCAGTAAATAAATAAATAGTCTTTTCAAAAAGACTATTCATTTATTTATTTGAAAGGTGGAGTTACAGAGGCAGAGAGAGAGAGACGTCATTCATTCACTGGTTTACTCCCCAAATGGCTGTAACAGTTGGAGCTAAGATGATCCGAAGCCAGGAGCCAGGAGCTTCTTCCTGGTCTCCCACGCAGGTGCAGGGGACCAAGCATTTGGGCCATCTTCTGCTTTCCCAGGCCATAGCAGAGAGCTGGATCGGAAGTGGAGTAGCCGGGACTCGAACCGGCACCCATGTGGGATGCCAGAACTGCAGGTGGCAACTTAACCTGCTATGCCACAGTGCCAGCCCCCAAATCAACCTTTTTTAAAATAAAAAAATCAAGAATGACAAAGTCCCAACTATTCTGGCAGTTCGGTCACAGCATTTAATCTCCTGTTCAACAGAATGTGTTGAGTGATGCTCATGAAAATGTCATTCGCTACAACGAAGCAGTCACCAGGGCAGTGGGGATCATCGCGTCCCTCGGAGCCACCTGTGCATCGCACCCAGTAGACCTGGACAATCTGGAAGAATCACTGGCAGCGCCTCGGCGCAAGCAGGAGGAGCTGGAATCCACTCTAGCGGACATCCAGGGCCTCGCGGAGAGGCTGGGCACTGTGTGCAGCCCCCAGGCCCAGCGGCAGCTGCAGTGCACTTTGCAGGAACTGGTTGCGAAGAAGTCAGCCTTGCAGGAGGCAGCCAGAGGAGCGGACGCTGAGCAAGCAAGGTAGGTCTCCTGTTAGAGGTTCTGCTTTGAGAATATAAAAATACTCTTGTCTTTATAGTTCACATATACACGTGAGATAATGTGGAAAATATGGAAAAGTAAAAGAAGAAAAATGAAAGAAACCGTGGTAGGCATTTCCATGAATTTTTTTGAAGTGCCCCTTGTTCTTTTGTGTTTTTAATATTCTCTACACCAACAGAAGATTTATAAAAGTAAATATATGGGGGCCGGCGCCGCAGCTCACCAGGCTAATCCTCCGCCTTGCGGCGCCAGCACACCGGGTTCTAGTCCCGGTCGGAGCGCCGGATTCTGTCCCGGTTGCCCCTCTGCTGTGGCCAGGGAGTGCAGTGGAGGATGGCCCAAGTGCTTGGGCCCTGCACCCCATGGGAGACCAGGAGAAGCACCTGGCTCCTGCCTTCGGATCAGCGCAGTGTGTAGGCCACAGCGTGCCGGCCGCGGCGGCCATTGGAGGGTGAACCAACTGCAAAGGAAGACCTTTCTCTCTGTCTCTCTCTCTCACTGTCCACTCTGCCTGTCAAAAAAAAAAAAAAAAAAAAAAAGTAAATGTATGGGAAATGCATGTATCTTGAGGAGGGATTAAGATGGCAGAGTAGGGAGGGAGCTTACTGCTCTAGTCTAGGAGAAGATAGTTTTTAAAAAGTGGAGAGAGTGTAGTCTCAGGGACGAGATAGGGAGAAAACAGCAGAGGAAACTCCAGGCAAGTTGGAGGGACATGGTGGATCTATGAGGAGGACAAGGATTCTCACAGCTCTGGACCCCAGCAGCCAAGAGCCTCTGCACCCGCGTTGGAGAGTGAGGTGAGACCAGACTGCAGCAGCCCAATCCACTGGTGATAAAGCTGCAGAAACAGCCTAGAGAGAATCCCTGTGGGGGATAGTGTACCTGACAAACTAGAGGAGAAAAACAAAGGTGCGGCACGTTTCTCTCTCCCCGATCACCCTGCAGTGGTGTCCTGTAACAAGCTGACAGAGAGCAAGTGCCGTTTCAGACATACGTAACAGCTGCACCAGCTCATGTCTGCACCGAGCAACCAGCCGAGTGGAGACTCCTGAGTCCAGTGGGGAGAACAGACAGGGGCTGGGTGCTCATGACTGGGGGAGGCTTGTGTGCTGGGACTGTGAAAACACTGAGGCTGTGTGGGAGAACTCAGGGTGTGGTTGGGACTCTGGGCAGGCATTGTGGGAGACTCCACATGCTCAGGGCTCCCTGGTTCCCTGGTGAGGGACACTGCTGGGAATCTGTGCTTACACTGAGGACTGCACAGATCCTTTGTGTGGTCCTTGTGGCAGAACAGATGAATAATTGAATAATATACTCACTGGGGCCAGCACCCAGGTACTGGTCTCCTTTGAGAAAAGCTCTGCCAAGTCTACACCAATGGAGAAGAGCAAACCTCTCCTCTGATTAAAAAAAAAAAAAAGGATATTTACCCTGGATGTGTCACCTCAGACACACCCTTCACCCTGGAGCACTGAACAGATCTCTCTGGCCACACCCACCACACACCTCTAGGTATTCCCTGAAAGCAGACATTCCACATTCCACTAATCCACACAGACATAGTCTAAAGATAAAAGCCCCCACAGCAAAAAGAAAAAAGAAACCAACAAGTATCTCCACAAATGCTGAATAATAAATGCACCAATTCAAGAAACAAGAATAAGGAAGACAACAAGACACCCCAAAAAGAACACAACACTTCAATACTAGATTGTGAAGATAGTGAGATGAAAGAAATGCAAGAAATGGAATTCAAAAAATTGATCATAAGATTACATAGAAGTAATCAGAAGCAAATGAATGAACTAATGAAATCCATACATGACACGAAAGAAAATTTCTCCCACAACATTGAGATCTTAAAGAGAAATCAAAATGAAATCTTGGAAATGAAGAATTCAATAGAACAAATGACAAATGTGGTGGAAAGCCTTAACAACAGAATCGGTGAAGCAAAAGGGAGAATAACGACTTAGAAGACAAAACACAGGAAATTACACAGTCAGACCAAACACAAGAAATTAGAAAACTAAAAAACACTGTTGGGAATCTACAGGATACTATCAAACGACCCAACATACAGCTTCTAGGAGTTCCTGAAGGCATGAAAGGGAGAAGAAATTCTAGAAGGCCTTTTTAATGAAATAATAACAGAAGAATTCCCTAATTTGGAGAAAGAAAAGGACATCCAAGTACAGGAAGCACATAGAAACTCCTAATAGACATGACCAGAAAAGTTCTTCACCATGACACATTGTAATCAAACTCTCCACAGTGAAACATAAAGAGAAGATTCTAAAATGTGCACGAGAGAAACACCAGATTACTTTCAGAGGAACTCCAGTTAGACTCACAGCAGACTTCTCATCAGAAACCCTACAGGCTAGGAGAGAATGGCAAGACATAGTCCAAGTCTTAAGAGAAAAGAACTGTCAACCCAGAATACTATACCCTGCAACGCTCTCATTTATGAATGAAGGTGAAATAAAGACCTTCTAAGACAAACAGAAATTGAAGGAATTTGTCACCACCCATCCTGCCCTGCAGAAGATGCTTAAGAATGTGCTGCACACAGAAACACAGAAATATGGTCATTAGTACAAAATAAGGTAAAAGAAGGAAATCTCCAGTAAAAGTACAAAGGAAATCCGAAGTAAAAAGTAGGAATTTATCTGGAAAAATGGCAGAGCAAAGTCATACTTATCAGTAGTCACTTTGAATGTAAATGGCCTCACCTTTCCTGTTAAAAGACACAGACTGGCTGAATGGATTAAAAAACAAAACCCTCTATTTGCTGCCTACAAAAACAAATCTTACCAACAAAGACGCACACAGACTGAATATGAAATGATGGAAAAAGACATTTCATACTAACAGAAACCAAAAAAGAGCTGGTGTCACCATTCCTAATATTGGACAAAATAGATTTTAATACAAAAACTGTTAAAAGAGACAAGGAAGGGCACCATGTAATGATTAAGGGATCAACTCAACAGGAAGATGTAACTATTATAAATGTATATGCACCTAATTACAGGGAAACTGGCTATTTAAAAGAAATGTTAAGGGATGTAAAGGGAGACATAGACTCCAATATAATAGTAATGGAGGGATTTCAATACCCCACTTTCAGCAATGGACAGATCACCCAGACAGAAAATCAGCAAGGAAACAGCAGAGACCAAATGGACCGAACAGATATCAACTGTTAATCCTATAGTTGCAGAATACACATTCTTCTCTGCAGTACATGGAACTTTCTCTGGGATTGACCACAGGGTAGGCCATAAAGCAAGTTTCAGCAAATTCAAAAAAAGCTAGATCAAGCCATGAATCTTCTTAGACTGCAATGGAATGAAACTAGAAATCAGCAACTCAGGAATTTGTAGAACATACGCGAACACATGGAGACTGAACAACATGCTCCTGAATGAACAGTGGGCCATTGGAGAACTCAAAACATTTCTGGAAACAAATGAAGACAACAATACAACATATCAAAACTTATGGGGTACAGTAAAAGCAGTGTTAAGAGGAGAGCTTATAGCTATTGGTGTCTACCTCAAGAAATTTGAAAGGCACCAAATAAATGAACTATCAGTACATCTCAAGGATCTAGAATAATAATAGCAAACCAAACCCAAAACTAGTAGGAGAAAAGAAATAATTAATATTAGAGAAGAAATCTATAAAATTGAAACCAAAGAAAAAATACAAAAGATAAGCAAAACAAAGGGCTGTTTTTTTGAAAAAATAAACAAAATTGACACAACTAACCAAAAAAAGCAGAGAGAGAAGACCAAAATCAATAATATCAGAGATGTAAAAGAAAGTGTAACAACGGACACCACAGAAATAAAATGAATCATCAGAAATTACTACAAAGAGCTGTATGCCAACAAACTGGGAAAACTAGAAGAAACGAGTAGATTCCTGGACACATGCAACCTACCTAAACTGACCCATGAAGACATAGAAAACCTAAACAGACCCATTAACAAAACAGAAATTGAATCAGTAATAAAAACTCTCCCAATAAACAAAAGCCCAGGACTGGATGGCTTCACTGCTGAATTCTTCCAGACATTTAAGGAAGAACTAACTCCAGTTCTTCTCAAGTTTTTCACAACAATTGAAAGGGAGGGAATTCTCCTAGATTCTTTCTATGAAGCCAGCATTATCTTAATTCCTTAACTCAGAAAAGACGCAACAGAGATTGAACTACAGTCCAGTTTCTCTGATGAACATAGACGTAAAAATCCTCAACAAAATTATAGCCAACCAAATCCAAGAACACATCATACAGATTATTCACCCAGATCAAGTAGGATTTATACCTAGTATATCAATATACTATGATCAATCAATGTAGTAAATATATAATATATATATAGCAAATAATATGATCCACAAATCAATCAATGTGATACCTCATATTAACAAACTGAAAAACAAAACCATATGATTCTTTCAGTAGATGCAGAGAAAGCGTTTGATAAAATACATCACCACTACATGATAAAAATTGGATATAGAAGGAACATTCCTCAGCACAATGAAGGAAATTTATGACAAACCTGTGGCCAGTGTCCTACGGAATGGGGAAAAGTTGGAAGCATTCCCACTGAGATCTGGAACCAAGCAAGGATGCCCACTCTCACCATTGCTATTCAATATAGTCCTGGAAGTTTCAGCCAGGACCATTAGGCAATAAAAATAAAATCAAAGGGATACAAATTGGGAAAGAGGAAATCAAACTAACCCTATTTGCAGATGACATGATTCTATAATATAAGATCTAAAAGACTCCATCAAGGACTATTGGAACTCATAGAAGAGTTTGGTAAACTAGCAGGATATGAAATCAATACACAAAAATCAACAGTCTTTGTATACACAGACAATTCCTTGGCTGAGAAAGAACTTCTGAGATCAATTCCATTCACAATAGCTACAAAGAAAATGAAATACCTTGGAATAGATTTAACCAAGGATGTCAAAGATCTCTTCAGTGAGAATTACAAAACATTAAAGAAAGAAATAGAAGAGGATACCAAAAAAAAAAAAGGGAAAATCTTCCATGCTCATGGATTGGAAGAATCAATATCATCAAAATGTCCATTCTCCCAAAAGCAATTTATAGATTCAATGTGATTCCAATCAAAATACCAAAGACATTCTTCTCAGATCTGGAAAAAAATGATGCTGAAATTCATATGGAGGCACAGGAGACCTTGAATAGCTAAAGCAATCTTGTACAACAAGAACAAAGCCAGAGGCATCACAATACCAGATTTCAGGACATACTACAGGGCAGTTGCAATCAAAACAGCATGGTACTGGTACAGAAACATGGATAGACCAATGGAACAGAATAGAAGCACCAGAAATCAATCCAAACATCTACAGCCAACCTATATTTGATCAAGGATCTAAAACCAATTCCTGAAGCAAGGGTAGTCTATTCAACAAATGGTGCTGGGAAAACTGGATTTCCACATGCAGAAGCATGAAGCAAGACCCCTACCTTACACCTTACACAAAAATCCACTCAACATGGATTAAAGATCTAAATCTATGACCCAACACCGTCAAATTATTAGAGAACATTGGAGAAACCCTGCAAGATGTAGGCACAGGCAAAGACTTTTTGGAAAAGACCCTGGAGGCACAGGCAGTCAAAGCCAAAATTAACAATTGGGATTGCCTCAAATTGAGAAATTTCTGTTCTGCAAAAGAAGCAGTCAGGAAAGTGGAGAGGCAACCAACAGAATGGGAAAAATATTTGCAAATTATGCAACCAATAAAAGATTAATAACCAGAATTTACAAAGATCAAGAAACTCCAAAACAACAAAACAAACAACCCACTTCAGAGATGGGCCAAGGACCTCAATAGACATTTTCAAAAGAGGAAATCCAAATGGCCAACAGACACATGAAAAAATGTTCAGGATCACTAGCCATCAGGGAAATGCAAATCAAAACCACACTGAGGTTTCACCTCACCCCGGTGAGAATGGCTCACATTCAGAAATCTACCAACAACAGATGCTGGCGAGGATGTGGGGAAAAAGAAAAGAAAAAAAAAAACTAATTGGGTGGGAAGGTGGGTATGGTGGGAAGATTACTATATTCCTAAAGTTGTACTTAAGAAATTAGTACTCATTAAATAAAAGGTTTCTTAGGGAAATAAAGAGTAAGTGTATGGTATAAAGGACAAATGACAGCGCAAACATCTCAGAATGCAGAAGTTCAAAGACAGACGTTGATTTTACTTCTCTTGTGTTGGGCTGGCGCCATGTTGCAGTAGGTTAAGCCACTGGTTGTGAAGCTGGCATCTGCAGACTGCCAGTTCAAGCCCTGGCCGCTCTGCATCTGATCCAGCTCCCTGCTGACGCATCCTGGGAAGGCAGCAGATGATGGCCAAGTGCTTCGGCCTCTGCATTGGCCTTGGCGACCCAGATGGACTTCCTGGATCCTGGAGATTTATGTGTGTCCTTCTCTGTAGTGAAATTCATTCACCCATTCACGAACATTTGGGCTGTTTTTAGTTTTTATATTCACAAACAATGCTGTTAGAAACGTTTTTAAATGGAAGAAGGAGAGAGAGAGAGAGAAAGAGAGAGAGAGATTGTCCATGTCAAAAGGTATTCACATGTTAAATTCTTTACACCAAATAATTTTTTTAAGATTTATTTTTTTTATTTGAAAGAGTTCCAGAGAGGAGAGGAGAGAAAAAGAGAAAGAGAGAGGTCTTCCATCTGCTTGTTTACTCCCTAAATGGCCACAATGTTCATGGCTGGGTCGGCCTGAAGCCAGGAGACAGGAGTTTCTTCTGGGTCTTCCATGAGGGTGCAGGGGCCTAAGCACTTGGGCCATCATTTGCTGCTTTTCCAGGCTCGTCAGGAGGAAGCTGGATCGGAAGAGGTGCAGCTGGGCCTCAAACTGGCACCCATATGGGATGTTGGTGTTGTAGGCAGAGGCTTAACCTTCTATAATACCACAATGTTGGCCCCATGATTTTTACCAATTTCAACTTATAAACACAACATCTAGTTATTACAGTTGTCCCATGTTCTTGTCAACACTTGATGTTGCAAAACTTAATCTTTGTCCACCTGATGAGTAAGAAGTGGATACCATTGTGGTTTAAATTTGCATTTCTCAGACTGCTAATGAGTTTGATCTGCTTTTTGAATGCTTGTTGGTCCTTTCTATATCCTCTTCTGTAAAAAGTCTATTCAAGCCTTTATGTAATTTTATTGGTTCATCCATCTCTGTCTTACTGGTTTCTAGAAATTTATTCTATATTTTAGAGACCCATTCTTTATAGTTCTGTGAGTTCAAATATCTTTAGAGAGTGGGTTTCCTATTAGACACCCATCCTGGGGTTAGCTTTAAGAAGCATAGAAAACTCAAACTTGACCAACACTGGCTCTGTGACTTTGCTTATTTCTGTATATTTGCATATCATGGAGTTTGGGTCCTCCATTCCTTGGCACTATACTAGTCTGTTTTAAGAAATTTTTGAGGGGGAGCCAGAACTGTGGTGCAGCAGGTTAAACTGCCATCTGCAGTGCCAGCATTCCTTATGGGCACTGGTTAGAGTCCCAACTGCTCCATTTCTGACCCAGCACCCTACTGATGCACCTGGGACATCAGTGGAGGATGGCCCGAGTGCTTGGGCCCCTGCCACCCATGTGGGAGACCCAGATGAAGCTCCTGGCTTCTGGCTTTGGCCTGGCCCAGCCCTGGTCATTACAACCATTTAGGGAGTGAACCAGCAGATAGAAAATTGCGCTCTCTCCCTCTGTCTCTCCTTCTCTCTCTGGAACTCTGACTTTTAAATAATAAATAAATAAATCTTAAAAAAAAAAAACACTTTGATTTAATTAGGTTTTTTTTTTTTTTTTTTTTTTTTTTTTGACAGGCAGAGTAGATAGTGAGAGAGAGAAACAGAGAGAAAGGTTCACCCTCCAATGGCCAGCACACTGCGGCTGGCGCACTGCGCTGATCCGATGGCAGGAGCCAGGTGCTTATCCTGGTCTCCCATGGGGTGCAGGGCCCAAGCACTTGGGCCATCCTCCACTGCACTCCCTGGCCACAGCAGAGAGCTGGCCTGGAAGAGGGGCAACCGGGACAGAATCTGGTGCCCCGACCAGGACTAGAACCCGGTGTGCCGGCACCGCAAGGCTGAGGATTAGCCTAGTGAGCCGCGGCGCCGGCCTAGTTGATTACTTTCATTGAGAGATAAGAGAGAGAAAAAGCCCCCACTTACCAGCTTACTCCCTAAGGGCTTCAATAGCTAGGGCTGGGACCTGTCTGGCTGGACCAGGTTGAAGGTAGCAGCTCGGCACTCAGTCCAGGTCTCCCAAGAGGGTCGCAGGGATCTGACTACTTGGGCCATTACTGCTGCATCCCAGGGTCTGCATTTGACGGAAGATGGAGTCAGAAACCAAAACTGAGTGTCGAACCCAGGTACTCTGATTTGGGAGTACCAGGGGTTGCAACTAGCATCTTGTTTTTAAAATTTATTTATTTGAGAGGCAGACTTACAGACAGAGAGAAGGAGAGACAGAGAGAGAGGTCTTCCATACACTAGTTCACTCCCCAAATGGCCACAACAGCCGGAGCTGAGCCAATCTGAAGCCAGGAGCTTCTTCCAGGTCTCCCACATGAGTGCAGGGGACCAAGCACTTGGGCCATCCTCTGCTGTTTTCCCAGGCTCATTAAAAGGGAGCTAGATCGAAGAGGAGCAGACAGGATTCGAACTTGCACCCCTACTGGATGCTGGTACCACAGGCAGAGGCTTAGCCTACTATACCACAGTGCTGGCCCCTGTAACTGGCATCTTAATTGCTATGCAAAATATGTACCCCAAGAGGCTTTTTAAAAAATTTTTTGTAAAGAATTTTTAATTGTTCTTAGTAATTTAGTCTGTGTTATATATGTAATAGATGTATTATGTATATGTTGTATATGTAATTGTATAGTGTTTTATAATACATCACAATATTATATTCTAGATAAAATATAAAACATCCTATTTAATTGTTTTGCTGTGTAACATTAACTTTCTTTTGTTATAACAAAACCTTTATAAAAGTAATTGCAGATGTTACATAGTATTTTATATAATGGTGGTTGTAGTTAACATACCTTTTGTTAGACAAAAAGGGTATTGCAATTTTTGACATTTTAATGAATCCTCTAATGCAAAAGGTTTTATCGTGTTTAGGATAAATTCCTTATGTTTAGGATTAATTCCTTAGGGTAAATTGCAGAAGCTGAATGAATGGCTCAACAGTAGGAATGTTTTTAAGACTGAATTGTTTCCAGCAAGCCTGTACCAATCTGTAGTTCATCAGCAGTGGTCGGGAATGCAGCTTTCACTTCACTGAGCTTGTTTTGAGTAATTTCCCCAGTTCAGGGGTTCTCAGGTCTGCCCTACCTGCCTTTTAAAATCTGCATTGAAAGCAGATCCCTTTGGGGGTGACTTGTCAGTAGAGACAGTGAAATGCATTGAAGAGGAGCAAAGAACATTGTCAGAGCCCCTTTTGAATATTCATACTAAGTGTGGGGAACCCACTGTATGAAGTTATTTTGTTGTCTTAAATTTAGTATTACTTTTTCTTGCTCAACCGTGTCTCGTTAGGTATCTCCAGAATTACAAGAACTATGGGAAAATTAAAGAGAAAATTTGTGCCAACCTCAAGAAAATGGGGACAGTGCTTGGGCAGTCCATCTCCCCACTGCCTGTGTCTTACAAAGAAGCCCTGGAGCGCTTGGAGGAGAGCAAGGTGAGAGACTGGCAAGGCTGCAGGAAGGGCGTGGGCAGACGCCCTGCAGAACACGCGGCCGGGGTGGCCGAGGGTGTGGCTCAGTTACCACCCAGGAAATCCGCACACTGAGTGCAGACCCATGAAACACGCTGGAATCAGAAGCTCAGGGCTAAGGAACAGAATGACGACTCTGCGCGGTTTCCTTAACTGAGCCTGGAGACAGCCCTCCCCCAGCACCATCCTGTCCTAGGGACACTGCTGGGACAGTGATGGGACTTGGTTGTCCACTGAGCACTTATGCAACCGTCAAAACCGAATTCCGGATACTGCTTGAACCCTCTTCCTAAGTGATTGTAGTGTTGGCGTATTCTCTTCTGTTAAAATCAGTGCTATTATTTTGCTAAGGACTTGAATGAGATCATTGCCAGGCATCTATGCTTAACATCCACCAAAAACCAAACCAAAAATAAAAAAAGTGCCTAAATATTTTGTTGGTGGTTGCAGTAAGTATTTCGCAAATGAGCTACCTAGTAAAATAAGAGACTTAAGTTACAATAATCAAGTGTGCTTCTAGAATATTGTACCTTGAAAATATATTCCTCCTGGGGAAATCTGCCATAGTTTCCATAGTCTCAATTACACAATGACTACTGTAATAAATAATCCATGGCAGATTCTCCTCTGTACCAGATTGACTTCCAAATGGATGAGGACTAAGTCACAATACTTTCAGCAGAGTTAAGTCATTCGTTGTTCAATATTTAAGAGAGTTCATAAATTCAGAAAAAGCAGCAGGTGCAATGTCCTACCTCTTCTTTTCTTTCTTGAGGTTCTGGTGTCAAACGCCGAGTCAGCCGAGGAAGACCTGCTGGAACTACGCCAGGTGGTCAGACGCCTGAGCGCCAGGTGCACAGAGGGTGACAGAGTCCATTTGCAGCGGATCCTGCTGGCCCTGTGGGAGGAATGGCTGAGGCTGCTGGAAGCTGCCAGAGCGTGGGAGATGTGGTGCGAGACCCTGAAGCAGGGCTGGAAGTTCGTCAGTGAAGAAGTGAGTGCCTCATTGGCTGCGAGAGTTAATTACATTCCTTCTATTACTCTCACTGTCTTTAAGTAAAGCAGATAGTTCCTCAAATGTGCACATCACACACACACTGCTGTAGGTATTTATGGAGGTCAGACCCCATTAAAACGACCTCCGAGGTGGCGGGGGGGGGGCAGCCCTGCTGCTCGGGTTCCTTGTTTCAGCCTGTTCCGACCCTGGGTGTCGTGGACATTCGGGGAGTGAACCCATCAGTGGAAGGTCTCCCTCTGTCTCTGTCTCTCTGTCTCTCTCATAAAAAATAATAAATTAAGTTGGGATACACTAGCAATCATGTGGGAGACCTAGATGGAATTCTGGGCTCCTGGCTTTGGCCTGGACCAATCCTGGCTGTTGCAGGCATTTGGGGACTCAACTAGGGATGAAAGATTCTCTCTCTCTCTCTCTCTCTCTCTCTCTCTCTCCTTCTCCCCCTCCCCTTCCCTTTCCCCTCCCCCTCTCCCCTCCTCTCTCCCCCCACCCCGCTCTGTGTGTGTGTGTGTGTGTGTGTGTGTCTGTGTCTTACAAAGAAATAAAAATAAACCCAGAAACACTTTGAGAAGCTGGCACTGTGGCACAGTGGGTTAGTCACACTACCTGTTGTTACTCTGGCATCTCACATTGGAGGGCTGGTTTGAGTCAGGGCTGCTCCACTTCTGGTACAGCTTTCTGCTCTATTGGACCTAATTTTTGAGCATTGTGGCATCAGGAATGAAAGAAGAGACCTGCGAGAAAATGCCCCATACCCTGTAGTTTTGCAGTTGGGTGGAGTTGTTATTCCTTACCTGATGTGGATCTCGCGAGATTTGCCGCTTCATGATGGAAACCTGAACCAGAGGTCATTGGTCACGAAAATATTCCATAGCAATTGTGTCTCAGCCACAGCAGCAGTATTTCATTCTGTTCACTGATCTACACCAGCAATAGCTGGGTTCTTTCAAGCTCTGGTAATAGACAACTAATACGCCGCTCCTTTATAGCATTCATGATAAAAGGGAGTGAAAAGATAAGTTTGTTTTGGTGCAAAAAAATTGAAATCTATCTATAGTTTTTTCATAATACTCATTTTTCATGAACTTTTCTTTTAAGATTTATTTTGTTTATTTGGTAGAGTTACAGAGAGAGGTAGAGAGAGAGAGAGAGAGGGAGAAAGATCTTCTGAACCATCCACTGGTTCAGTCCCCAGATGGCTGCAATGGTTGGAGCTGAGCTTATCTGAAGCCAGGAGCCAGCAGCTTCTTCCAGGTCTCCCAAGGTGGTGCAGGGGCCCAAGGATTTGCGCTATCTTCCTCTGCTTTCCCAGGTGCATTAGCAGGGAGCTGGATCGGAAGTGGAGCAGCCAGGACTTGAACCGGCACCTATATTGGATGCTGGCACTGCAGGCTGGGGCTTTAACCCACTGTGCCTCAGTGCCGGCCCCTTTCAAGAACTTCTTGAAGATGTCTCATAGCATAGATTTTGGGATGTTTTTCCATCAAAATAAACTCATAATTCCATTGTTCATGAGCATTTTGAAATGCCTTAGTATTCCTAGCTGCTGGAGGACAAATGTTACTTTGAGTTGGGATATGCATGATGTCAAGAACCCTCTGATTACTAAAGAGCACACAAAAATGAAGACTGCTAAGGTCTGCTTCAGGTCCAGAAATGGTTGAGAGGCTGTTTACTTAGCTCATTCTCTCTCTCTCTCTCTTTCTTGGCTTATTGAATTAGATGGAACGAGAAGCAATTATTTTAGATAATCTTCAAGAGGAACTTCCAGAAGTTTCCAAAACAAGAGAGGCAGCCCCCAAAGAGGAGCTGTGTGAGCTGTTGGAGAGCCTGAGCCAGTGTGAGCAGCACGTGGAGAAGCAGCAGCTGCTGCTGAACCTCCTGCTCGAGCGCATGAAGAGTGTCCAGAATGTTCCAGAAGGCCCCGGGGCTGGGACGACCACCCCAGCACTGCAAGAGGTCACTTCTATGCATGACCGATGCAACAGGTAAGGTCTAGGAGAGCTATCAAGGAAACCGCTTGACAATTCTGGCTCAAAATTTTAAAACTGTCACATTTAGAACATATGAAAATGGTATAGAATAATGGCAAAGGGGACTGCAGAACTGAGTGGAGCCACTCTGAGGTACAAAAGGGCTTGGAAGGGCTGGCGTTGTGGCAGAGCGGTAAAGCCGCTGCCTGAGACACAGGCATCCCATCTGGGCACCTGTTCCAGTCCCAGCTGCTTCGTCCCTGATCCAGCTGCCTGCTAATGCCCCTGGGAGAGCAGCAGAAGATGGCCCAACTGCTTGGGCCCTGCACCCACGTGGGAGACCCAGAGGAAGCTTCTGGCTTTAGGCTGGCCCAGCCCTGGCTGTTGCGACACTTGGGGAGTGAACCAGCAGATGGAAGAGCTCTCTCTGGCTCTCCTTCTCTCTCTGGCACTCTGACTTTCAAATAAATGAATGAATCTTTAGAAACACACACACACACACACACACACACACACACACAAAACAAGAAGATACGGAAAAAGTAACAGCTATAATTAAAACTAGCATATGTTCTCCAGCCTGGTATTAGGGTGCTTTGGAAAGCTCATGGAAAAATGGAATTTATTTTGGTGCCAAAACATTTTGAAATTGATCCATATGTTTTCCATAGTGTTTTCCAAGACTCATTTTGTTGCTGATGTTGAAAAGTCCTCAAAATTTAAAAAAAAAGAAGTTTGCTGATTTTTTTTCTTTAATGCATGTGTCAGTTTCTTTATTCTTTTATATGATTTATTTATTTATCTGAAAGGCGGAGTGAAAGCAGAGAGAGAGGAATCTTCCATCTGCTGGTTCACTCTCCAAATGGCTACAACAGCTGGGGCTGGGCCAGGCCCAAGCCAGGAGCTCCTTCATCCGGGTCTCCCACGTGGGTGCAGGGGCCCAAGCCCATCTTCTGCTGCCTACTTGGGTGCATCAACAGGGAGCTGGATTGGAAGTGGAGCAGCCAGTACTCGAATCGGCACTCATATGGCCCCTGTTTTTTCAAGTATAACAATACACATTCATTATAGGAATTTTAGATAATGTGAAAAATTATAAATATTAATATAAAATCCCTCCTTTAGAGCTTTCATTGTCTGTCTCTCTGCCTCTCAAATAAATACATATTTTTAAAAATCACTTTTAATTCACTCCCCAAATGGCTGCAGTGGCCGGAGCTGAAATGATCCAAAGCCAGGAACTGGGGGCTTCTTCTGGGTCTCACACATGGATGCAGGGGCCCAAGCACTTGGGCCATCTTCTACTGCTTTGCCATGCCACAGCAGAGAGCTGGCTTGGACTAGAACCGGTGCCCATGTGGGATGCCGGTGCTTCAGGCCAGGGCTTTAACCCACTGCACCACAGTGCCAGCCCCTACACATGCTTTTTTTTTTTTTTTATACACAGAAGATTGATTTATTATATATTGAGTAAAGATTTCATCAGTTTGCACCCACACAGAAACACAAAGTGTAAAATACTGTTTCAGTACTAGTTATAGCATTACTTCACATTGGACAACACATTAAGGACAGATCCCACATGAGAAGTAAGTACACAGTGACTCCTGTTGTTGACTTAACAATTTGACACTCTTGTTTATGGCGTCAGTAATCTCCCTAGGCTCTAGTCATGAGTTGCCAAGGCTATGGAAGCCTTTTGAGTTCACCAGCTCTGATCTTATTCCAACAGAGTCATAGTCAAAGTGGAAGTTCTCTCCTCCCTTCAGATAAAAGTACCACCTTTTTTGATGGCCTGTTCTTTCCACTGGGATCTCACTTGCAGAGATCTTTCATTTAGGTTTGTTGTGTGTGTTGGTGTTGTTGTTGGTTGTTGTTTTGTTTTTTTTTTGCCAGAGTGTCTTGGCTTTCCATGCCTAAAATACTCTCATGGGCTCTTCAGCCAGATCCGAATGCCTTAAGGGCTGATTCTGAGGCCAGAGTGCTGTTTAGGACATCTGCCATTCTATGAGTCTGCTGTGTATCCCGCTTCCCATGATGGATCGTTCTCTCCCTTTTTGATTCTATCAGCTAGTATTAGCAGACACTAGTCTTGTTTGTGTGATCCCTTTGACTCTTAGACCTATCAGTGTGATCAATTGTGAACTGAAATTGATCACTTGGACTAGTGAGATGGCATTGGTACATGCCACCTTGATGGGATTGTATTGGAATCCCCTGGCACGTTTCTAACTTCACCATTTGGGGCAAGTCCAATTGAGCATGTCCCAAATTGTACATCTCCTCCCTCTCTTATTCCCACTGTAACATTTAACAGGGATCACTTTTCAGTTAAAATTTAAACACCTAAAATAATTGTGTGTTAATTACAGAGTTCAACCAATAGTACTAGAACAAAACAAAGAGAAAATACTAAAATGGATAAAGTATTACATTGTACATCAACAGTCAGCACAAGAGCTGATCAAGTCACTGTTTCTCATAGTGTCCATTTCACTTCAACAGGTTTCCCCTTTGGTGCTCAGTTAGTTGTCGCCGATCAGGGAGAACATATGATATTTGTCCCTTTGGGACTGGCTTAATTCACTCAGCATAATGTTTTCCAGATTCCTCCATCTTGTTGCAAATGACCAGATTTCATTGTTTTTGACTGCTGTATAGTATTCTATAGAGTACATGTCCCATAATTTCTTTATCCAGTCTACTGTTGATGGGCATTTGGGTTGGTTCCAGGTCTTAGCTATTGTGAATTGAGCTGCAGTAAACATTAATGTGCAGACAGGTTTTTTGTTTGCCAATTCAATTTCCTTTGGGTAAATTCCAAGGAGTGGGATGGCTGGGTTGTGTGGTAGGGTTATATTCAGGTTTCTGAGGAGTCTCCAAACTGACTTCCATAGTGGCTTGACCAGTTTGTATTCCCCCAACAGTGGGTTAGTGTCCCTTTTTCCCCACATCCTCGCCAGCATCTGTTGTTGGTGGATTTCTGAATGTGAGCCATTCTAACTGGGGTGAGGTGGAACCTCATTGTGGTTTTGATTTGCATTTCCCTGATTGCTAGTGATCTTGAACATTTTTTCATGTGCCTGTTGGCCATTTGGATTTCCTCTTTTGAAAAATGTCTATTGAGGTCCTTGGCCCATCTCTTAAGTGGGTTGTTGGTTTTGATGTTGTGGAGTTTCTTGATTTCTTTGTAGATTCTGGTTATCAACCCTTTATCTGTTGCGTAGCAATGCATTTACATTGGTAGATTCAAAACTTACTTCATCATTGGAAATGAACTTGAGGTCTCTAGTGCAAGTTTTTCTCCCAAAGCTAAAAATGGTTTCTATGTATCGTATCATAAACTGAGACTACTTACAAGATGATTGGGCCTGGGCCAGGCCAAAGGCAGGAGCCAGGAACTTCTTCTGGGTCTCCCATAGAGCTGCAGAGGCCCAAGTATTGGGCCATCTTGTGCTGCCTTCCCAGGTGCACTAGCAGGGAGCTAGATCGGAAGTGGAGCAGCCAGGTCTCTAACCAGCGCCCATATGGGATGCCGGTGTCACAGGCAGCTCCTTTACCCACCACGCCACAGCTCCAGCCCCGGCTGATACTTGCTGCACCCACAGCAGATGAGGTCAGCAGAGGAGAAAATGAGCAGTGGGCTGGTCTTCACGCCAGGGCCCACCATGCTCCATCCTCACCTCTTAAGTCATTTTCCTGGGAGCTCAAGGATTACTTGGAGAGACGAATGATGCCTTGAGTGGACAGACATGCAATCTGAGTGCAAAGTGTGGGCAGAGGGTATTTGGGGATGAATGCTTTCAAGAGGATTTTGATTAAGTGATGGGATTTGTCATACACGTGTTTGTGTATGTGGTATGGAAATCATTGGAAACTGGGACATTTTTCCTTGAGGGAAAATAATGTGTTGTGAACTAGTCAGAGATTTTGTTAATTGTTGAATTAAAACTGCTTCAGAGAAGAGCAGGATGGAGTGGTAATTATACTTTAATATTCTATTTTGGCCGGCGCCGTGGCTCACTAGGCTAATCCTCCGCCTTGCGGCGCCGGCACACCGGGTTCTAGTCCCGGTCGGGGCGCCGGATTCTGTCCCGGTTGCCCCTCTTCCAGGCCAGCTCTCTGCTGTGGCCAGGGAGTGCAGTGGAGGATGGCCCAAGTGCTTGGGCCCTGCACCCCATGGGAGACCAGGAGAAGCACCTGGCTCCTGCCATCGGATCAGCGCGGTGCACCAGCCACAGCGGCCATTGGAGGGTGAACCAACGGCAAAAGGAAGACCTTTCTCTCTGTCTCTCTCTCTCTCACTGTCCACTCTGCCTGTCAAAAAATAAATAAATAAAAAAAATAAATAAATATTCTATTTTAGGCTTTTTCAAAAAGTCCAAAAAAGTAAGGAATTGATGCAGACTGAAATCCAGGAGAGACACGCCTTCACGAGAGAAATCGTTGCTTTGAAGCATTTATTTCAACAGACTGCAACTTCTTTCCAAAATGCAACGCAGGAGCACCCGTTAAAGGCCGAGCAGCTGGAGGTAAGGGAGGAAGGAGCTGGCTCTGCAGGCTCATCCCAGTCCACAGTTCTGTAGGCAGAGTCCTTGCAGCAGAGATAACTCAGTCGCTAGGGTTGGGAGAGTGGTCCGAGGGACAGGAAGCACACGCCAAGGCCCTGTGGCACGTGTGGGCAGGGCTCTGGGAAATGCAAGCAGTCCCTTTTCACTCGGGTGTGATGGAGAGCAGGGTTGACGCTAGGCTGGGAGCGAGTGTTGCAGGTGTGTTTGGTAAACTGAGGCTCCAGCCTGCTCCCGAGTAGCACGCTGGGTTTCCTGGAGTATCTCTTATCTCTCATCCTCCGATCAGAGTTCCCAACAGGCTGTTCCTCATCTGGAAACTCCCCTCTTCAGAATGATCTCACATTTCCATCCAAAATCAACAGCCCAAAGTGGCATCTGCAAAGTTTATTGAAAAGCCACCTGCTGTTCTTCGCCAGAGCTTTTGGTTATTGATGTTGAGACAGGACACCTGCTGTCACTCCCAGAAACCATCTCTGGGTGGCGCCCTCGCCACCAGGTCTAGATAAAACGGGATGGCAGTGACACTCAGACTCCGCCTCTGTGTCAAGAGCCCTGGTCTCTAACTTGCCCCCTCTCCATTTATTCTCTGCGGAGGATTAGGAAAGGGAAACAGTGACGCATCACGGAGGCCTTTAAAATCCTGCCATTCTTCCTAGCCGTGACTCACCCCATTAACACACCGAATGCTACTGAACAGTCACTGTGCAAACAACACAAACAACAAAAAAGCCACAGTGGAGTCAAGAAGGAGTTTTCCACTTGATCTTTGGGAAACTTTCCCAAACAAATGAGTTTCTTCTTTATGATAGCTGCAGGAGAACGTGGATCAGATTCTGTTCCTGGCCACGGCCAATAGACTATTTGTTCAGGGCTCTTTTATCTGCTGAAACCTGCATTCTTCGCATGGAACTGGACCCTGGCTTTTCAAAGCAGTTGAACTCAGCTGGGCCATCTAATTACACGAAAGAAGACACTTCTCTTAGCCCTGGGGCTTTTAGTGGCCTTGAGTCATTGTGATGATAATGTTGAAGAAGTAGAAATTGCAACAAGTTAACAAACAACAAAAAAAACACTCTTGGAAATTTTTGCTACTTGTGGCTTTTTAGATCCGGAGGCTACCCCTTAAATCCTAGGTCCTAGAGGTACTTGAGAACCAGGGAGATTGCCATGTCTTTTCCCAAGGATGCCCTGAGGCTGTGAAGAGAGATCAAGTTGAATTCTTACAAATTAGGAAGCATCACCCTACACTGGGTATCTGGCAGTTTTCACCAGCTTGCATCCAGAGTGAAGTTTTGTCATGCAAACTTCACTTATTTAAATGTTAAGGACGTGCAGCTGGGGGAGCTGGTTTTTTTTTTTTTTTTTTTTTTTCCAGGTAAACTTTTGTTCCCTATCCTGGGCGGGGTTGGGAGGGGGCCACAAGTGTTGAAACTCCTGCCCTGTGACGTTTTTAGGAGCTCCAAAGCATTCTTAGGGAAGGGAAGCGAACCTTTGAGACTCTGATGGAGAAGCTGCGGATCAAGTACTCGGAGATGTACACCATCGTCCCCGCGGAGGTTGGCTCCCAGGTGGAGGAATGCCGGAGAGCCCTGGAGGACACCGAGGAGAAGGTACACAGCGCTGTGTGTCTGGTGTCGTCGTCGGTGCGGGTGCCGTCTAGACGAGCGTGTCTCTGAACGCCGCGTTTCAGTTGCCCCCATTTTTACTGATATGGTTTGTTCATAGAGTTTTAGTTCATGTGTGTTGAATATTGAGATTAAGGTACTCTAGATAAGTGACATAGATACAGAATATTGGGTAATCTGTGTATTTTTAATTGTCGAGGTGCTTAGATTTCACTTTTTATACTAGCGTTATATTGTCTTTTACTTGGCTATTTTTTTTTTTACCTGCACAGTAACTTAAAAATTGTGGGCATGACTAATACTTTGCTTTAAAGGCGGTAAGAGTACAGATTTTACAGCTCCCTAGGAGCAGCGCTTAGCGTGAATGGCTAATGATGAGGTGAACAGAATTCTCAAAGACAGTTCTGGGAAAATCTTTGTATCTGAAAGTTTAGATTTGAAGAAAGGGTTGGAAATATTTTAAAGCATAAAGACATAGGAACCTAGGAAGACAGTTTTATTCCAACAGAACAAAACTGTTTGGCTCAGCACACACAGAAGGAGCTTTATATTGTTGTTGATTCCTGGTATAAGTATGACTTGATAAATAAAATAGACCTTCAGTGCAATAAAAAAAAATCAAGGTTTCAAACTCAGATACTAGAATCAGTCATTAACTTCCATGACACATTTCTTAGGAAAATGTTAATTAAAAAAAATTATGTTCCTAACATACAGATCTTTGTGATTCAACACACAGTAAAATCCCTGTGCTTTGCTTCAGGATCATGGACTACGGATGTCATTTTAAGAGAATATTAAATGTCTTGGGAGATACTGTTATTCTCTTGGGTACTTCCTGTGAAAATCACAAACAAAAGAAATGAATCAAAGCTAGTCTTTCAAATAGAAGGTTGACAATGGTCGTTGTGAACTTGTAGGTTTGCAACAGCAGACACGGAGGGACTGTGAATCATTCAGATGGCTGCTCACTTTCCCCAGTCATGATCTCGCCCGGTATATCTAAATGGAAGGCATTTCTACCAGAGAACGCTGCCCAGAATATCAGACAATTTCATGTTCTGGTCATTTGTTACACAGGCAGCCATAAGAAACTAATGCCAGCTCCAAGTGGAATCCCACCCCCTCCTCCACCAATAATCTTGCCTAGGAAGGCAAGGTCTCTGTGGAATAAAAACAGTATCAGCCTCCTAATGTTGTGAGCCAAGCCTTGAACTTGAACTTGAGGCCGGGGAACTTGGGGGCTTCTGGGGGCAAGTTCAAATGCCCCCAGACATGACCTGAGCAGCTACTCAGCTTGTATTGTAGTTTCTTCGTCTGTGGGCTATCAGTGTAGGGCAGTTTTGGTCTTAATTGTTATACAGGTAGAGTGGGAATTAAAAGAATTATACAGAAAAGCATTAGGTTATTTAGTGGCTGCTTGGAGAAAGCCTTATCAACATAGCTTCAACAAACAAGAATGCAAACGAATCAGGCATTCGGAAAATGATACATTCAATGTCCATTTAATTATCTTTTCTAGCACATGTTATTTTCTTAAAATCACTTAGATAAAAAAATTACAGTGTTCGGCAGCTGGATTTCTGGTTGCTGGGAAAACATACACTAGAAAAAGTTATTCAGAGAAAAATTAAGCTCTGGGCATCTTCAGGAAATGCTACTTCATGCAAATGATGGTTGAGGTGGGGGTTACATTTCTGAACAATGTTGGCTTGAGAAGAAGTTTGCTTTTATGGAAAGCAGATCTGTGCAGAGGATTTTCTCATAAAATGGAGAGATCATTTAAGAATTTATCTTCTTGGAATTGTGCGTTTTATGTACTCTACCAAGTTAGTTTTTTGTTCAACACAGCACAAATCTCTGTACACACTGTGAGTTACAGTCCACAAATTCTTATTTTTATTTTATTCATGGAGGGATCTTCAAAACTTCATGAAAAATCTAATTATGAAAAAAATATGCATTTCAAAATTCTCTTGTATCAAAATGAAATGAATTTATCTTTTACTTCCATTTGTCTATGAACTTTTTGAATTATCTTCAGTATGTATGTATGTGTATTTATTTATTAAAATTGAATTTAAATGATCAAGTAAATACAGTTGTTAATTAGTAGTCTGCTAATCTAGCCTCTCATTTTCTTTTTTTTTAAAGATTTACTTTATTGGGCCTTACTGTGGCGTAGCGGGTAAAGCCACTGCCTGTAGTGCCAGCATCCCATATGAGCATGGGTTTGAGTCCCGGCTACTCTGCTTCCAATCTAGCTCTCTGTTATGGCCCGGGAAAGCAGCAGAGGATGGCCCAAGTCCTTGGGCCCCTGCACCCATGTGGGAGACCCAGAAGAAGAAGCTCCTGGCTTCAGATTGGCCTGGCTCGGACTGTTGAGGCCATTTGGGGAGTGAACCAACAGATGGAAGACTTTTCTCTATATATCTCCCTCTCTGTGTCACTCTGCCTCTCAAATAAATAAATCTTAAAAAAGATTTACTTTATTTGAATGGCAGAGAGGGAGAGAGAGAGAGACAGAGAAAGAGAGAGAGAGAGAGACCTTCCATCCACTGGTTTGCTCCCCAGATGGCTCAGGGTTGAGCCCCGCCTAGGCCAGGCCAGGGCCAGGAATTCCACTTGGGCCATCTTCCACTGCCTGCTCAGGCACACTGGCAGGGGAATGAGTCAGAAGGAGGGCAGCTGGGCTTGAGCTGGTGCTCTGGTCTGGGATGCTGGCACCACAGGCTGTGGCGTGACCTGTGGCTCCACACCCACGCCTCTCTATCCTCTGATTGAGTCACTAGCCAGTGTGGTTTGGGACGCTTGAAAGGACAAGCAGAGTGGCTACCTCTTTGGTTGCTTCAGCCTTTGAATGGAGCGCACCTTTCTCCCTTGTAACAGATCAGCAACGAAGTCTTGAAGAGTTCCCCGTCATATGCCATGAGTAGAAAAATAGAAGAAATTAACAGCGGACTTCAAAATGTTGAAAAGATGTTGCAGCAGAAGAGCAAAAATATTGAGAAAGCTCAAGAAATTCAAAAGGTAAGTGCCCCCTCTCCGCCGCCCCGCCCAGTCTGCACCTGCGTCTCAGACCACACTCATCTGGGCAGTATTGCTAAGTGAGTTCTTTGCATGGGTCTGAAGCACTGTCCCTGGACAGAGCCACAGCATCAGTGGGAGTATCCTCCCTGGGCGTGTCCCCTGCAGAGGCTGGCTAGAGAAGGTGGTGTTGAATCATTGTTGCCAGGTTGTTTTTTTTTTTTTTGTGGGAGGGTTCCACCCACACTCACCAGAGCCTCTGATTTTGAACTAGATAGGAAATGAAAAATCTTATCTTGGGAAGACTGATGTAAAAAATAATTCAATAAAATATGAAAAGTCATAATAGCTTTAAAGGTGCATTTATTTATTTGAGAGGCAGAGTTACAGATAGAGGGAGGGAGAGAGAGAGAGAGAGGCCTTCTATCTGCTGATTCACTCCCCAGTTGACCACAATGGCTGGAACTGAGCTGATCTGAAGCCAGGAGCCAGGAGCTTCCTCTGGGTCTCCCATGTGTGTATGAGGGCCCCAGCACTTGGGCCATCTTCTGCTGCTTTTCCAGGTCGTAGCAGAGAGCTGGGTCAGAAGTAGAGCAGCTGGGACTTGAGCCAGTACCCATATGGGATGCCAGTGCTGCGACGAGTCTTAACCTACTATGTGCCACAGCGCTGGCCCCCAGTCGTTAAATCTTGATTAATCATTAAGTCATTAAAACTTGAATATTTTACCTTTGAAAGAGAGAGAGAAATATCTTCCATCCCCTGGTTCACTCCCCAAATGATCACAAGAACCAGGGATGAGCCAGGCTGAAGATAGAAACCTAGAATTCCATCCACGTCTCCCACGTGGATGGCAGGGGCCCAAGCACTTAGGAAGTGGAGCAGCCAGGACTCTAACTGGCACTCAACATGGGATGTTGGCATTGCAAGTGGTAGCTTAACCTGCTGGCCCCTGTCAACAGTTGTTTTTTTAAAGTTAAAAATTCCTTAATTTTTTATTCCTGGTATGACTACCACAATTTACAGGGCAATACACCTGATGTAATTAAAAAGAAAAGACAAAGCTACAACAGATAAGAGACCTCAGGAATGTACATCTAATTGACAGTACATTGCATTAATCAAGAGCTGCACTTCTTGAAAACTGTGGCTATGACAGCCCTGAGCAAACTGTTTAAGCTGCAGTCATTTTTCGGACTATGGATCATCATTTCTTCTGTGGTGGAATTTTACAGTTCCTCTAATGCGTTTGGGACAACAGTCTCAAAGTAGCCTGCCACTTTCCCAACAACTCCTCGCTGTCCCTCCTGCTAAGAACTGTAGCCCTTTTCTGCTGTTGCTAGAACCTTCTGCTACCATAGACACCCCTTCCACCACCAGATCCATAACCACCACCATAGGGACTGCCCAAGCTTCTTCCACCAACACTACCATACTTTGATTACGTTGTCCACTATAATTTCCAAAATCATTGTAGGCTCCACCACCACCATACCAGAATTTCCTCCTCCATTGTAACCATCGTATCCTCCTCCTCCACCATACCTGCCACCTTGGTTTCCATATCCTGGTCCACCCCCACCACAGCCTCCTCCGATCTGAGTGCTCGAGTTCAGTGGCTGGTTCCAGCTCTTGTCTCCAGCTTCCTGCTAATGCAGGTTTGGGAGGCAGCAGTGATAATTCAAGCAGTCGGGTTCCTGCCACTCTTGTAGGAGATATGGATTGCATTGCTGGGCTCTGGCTGTGCCCAGTCCCAGCCATGTGGGCATTTGGGGAGTGAACCAGTGGATGGGAGTGTTCTTCCTTCTCTCTCTCTCTCTCCCAGGTAAGCATGTGTATATACGTACCCTAGTCTGATGAGCCTTTTAAAGCATAATGTTTACCTCGTCACTCTTGGAAGATTAGGGCAGGGCCAGCGCTGCGGCTCACTAGGCTAATCCTCCACCTAGTGGCGCCAGCACACCGGGTTCTAGTCCTGGTCGGGGCGCCGGATTCTGTCCTGGTTGCCTCTCTTCCAGGCCAGCTCTCTGCTGTGACCAGGGAGTGCAGTGGAGGATGGCCCAAGTGCTTGGGCCCTGCACCCCATGGGAGACCAGGAGAAGCACCTGGCTCCTGCCATCGGATCAGCGCGGTGCGCCAGCCGTGGCAGCCATTGGAGGGTGAACCAACGGCAAAGGAAGACCTTTCTCTCTGTCTCTCTCTCTCTAACTCTGCCTGTCAAAAAAAAAAAAAAAAAAAAAAAAAAAAAAAAAAAAAAAAAAAGAAAGAAAGAAAGAAAGATTAGGGCTGTGTTGACCTTGATGGCCATCCTTCATTTCTGGAGACATCTAGGTCTTTCTGTTCTCCGCATATAGTTTGTACTGAAATGAATACAGCTGCAGTTAAGCAGTCTCAGAGGTTGCTGTGTATAAAGAACTATGCCTGTGATGTTGTTCTGATGTTGCGAACAGCACATGGAAACAGCACCACCACAGTACAGCATGGCATCCTCATTCCGACTGATTTCCTTTTCCAGAAAACGTGGGATGAGCTCGATCTCTGGCACGCCAGGCTCAATGAACTGGATGCTGAAGTCCAGGACGTTGTTGAACAGGACCCAGTGCAGGCCCAGGAGTGGATGGACCACCTGATGATTCCTCTCCAGCGGTATCAGCAAGTGTCCCAGAGAGCGGAATCCAGAACCTCGCAATTAAATAAGGTGGGGCCGTCACACACTTGGTGCTACTGAGAAGGATTTAAATAGAACAAAGCAAAAAATATACCTGGGGGCAGCCAGTTTCCCTTGAATTGTACTGAATCTGGAGCCCAGTGAGGGGAGAGTTTAGTGCTGTTGTGGCAGGAAGTCAGACTAAGCAGGCAGACAAGATCCAAAAGTCAGGCCACAGTGGAAGTCCAGGTGAGCGCTGGGATTCCCCACAGGTGGATGAAGACCAGTGACGGGGACTTAGGTCAGGTAACCCTTAGAATGTCCAGCTAGGGAAGAATTGTCACTGGGAACAAAATACCTAACCCTGTTGCAAATAGGAGCCAACCATGGTTGTGTGAGTTGTGGGTAACCTAACAAGAGTGAGGCAGGTCCTAGCCATACAAGAAATGGGGTACTACAAGGCAGGGCCTTATGGAGGAAGACCAAGTACAAGTCCAGTTTTCAGAATGAAGTGTAAACAGGAATCAGACTGGTAGAGTCAGCTTTTCACTGCTATCATGGAATACCCAAGAAAACTGACTTTACAAAGAGAAAGGTTTCTGTTGGTTTGTGATTTGGGAGGTTCGCAGTCTAAGATCAGGTGGCTCCATTGTTGGACATCAGGTGAGGGCAGAGTCCTGGGGTGCGCAGAGCATCTGCTGACAAGGGGGAGCCCGTGTGTTTGCCCATCCGTGTCATCTCTTAGGAAGCCACCAGGATTTAACCACGGGGCTCCAACCTAATGACCCAATCCAATCGACTCCCAAAAGCCCTACCTTTAAACTCTGTAATTGGCTTAATTTTCTACCTTCTTAGTTCCATTAACCCCAAGGCTATGGGGACCAACCCTTTAACACACGTCCCTTTGGGAGACATTCACCATCCCGGCTCATACCCAGACCACAGCACAGAATACTGCAAGGCTAACACAGAACTCTCTGTGAGGCCCACCGTATCGGGGTAGAACATCTTGTGTCCTTTCTACTCGTGGTCCAGATTCGTCCTGAAAGTTGGGGGGATCCCAGGTAGTGGGTGGGCGTGTGCCCCAGCCAAGGGTTGCCTAGACCTGCCAGGCCTGAAACCCCTGACAAGTAGCAGCGACCTCATTGTTCAGCCCCAGAAACAAGAATCTGACTAGGTTGGGCCTCATCTCTCTTGCAGGCCACGATCAAGATGGAGGAATACAGTGAGCTTCTGAAGAGCATTGAGGTTTGGGTAGAGAATACCAGTCGTCTGCTGGCCAATCCTGCTGACTACGACTCTGCCAAGACACTGAGTCACCATGCTAGCACCCTCCAGGTAGGTGTGTTCTGGGAGGATTCCTTACTGTCAGAGAATCTACACGATTTCATGGCTCCGCCCATCGTCATCATCGTCACCATCACCATCATCATCCTCATCACCATCATCATCACCATCACCATCACCATCACCATCACCATCATCATCATCTTCTTCGTCTTCTTCTTCAATTCTTCCCTATAAAGTCAGCCTTAATCTCTAGCCATGCCAAGTGGCACAGCGAAGCTTGGAAGAGTGGCAGGCACAAGAGAGGGATTTTATGCACCAGGATCTGCATCTTTCTGTCTTGCTAACTATTCATGACTCTCTGAATAAGTGAGTGTATGTTCCGTGAGCCTCAGGTTCCCCCGTTGGAGTGTTTCCACCACTGGGTGGTGCTGGTGGCTTTGGTTGCCTGACCTGTGTCATCCCTCCCTTGGGTGCACAGGAACATGAATATTTAGAACAGTGGCTCCGTAGTTAGGCCATGTTGTGTGGCTGCGGCAGTGGGAGAGTCACTGCTATGAAAGCTTGATTAATCCTGATTATGTGGTTATTTGAAGACTCCCTAGTAGTAGAGAAGGCCCCTGTTGGCTTAAAGAAACCTGCTGCGTTTTGACTGAGCCGTGGGGTGAGGGCCCGGTGGTGGTTTCTAGAATCTCAGAGCAACCCTTCAGCCAACAGCCAGCAAGGAAACAGAGACCTCAGTTCTATAAGTGAAATTGCCAACAGCGTGAATGAACTTGGAAGAGAACCTTAGCTCCGGATGTTTCCTTCTTTCCTAGAGAGAGAGAGAGAGAGTGAGAGAACGAGAGAGAGAGCGCAAGCTTCCATCTGCTGGTTTACTCCTCAAAAGCCCACAACAGAGCCAGGAACTCAACCCGGGTCTCCCATGTGGGTGTCTGGGACTCTCTGACTTGAGCCATCAGCACTGCTCTGTGGGTCTGCATAGGTGGGAAACCAGAGGCAGGAGCTGGGGCCGGGAATGGAACCCAGGCACTCGATGTGGGACACAGGTGTCAAAGCTGCTGGGCTAAATGCAAACCACTAGGTGGCTTCTTGATTGCAGGGTTGTAACATCCTGAGCATAGGACCAGCCCAAGCTGCCCCCGAAGTCTTGGCCCATGCAATGTAGGAGTTACTATTCTGGGGGTGGGTATTTGGCACAGCACTTAAGATGCCGCTTCGAATGCCCAAATCCCATATCAGAGTGCCTGAGTTCAAATCCCAGTTCTGCTTCCAGTCCCAGCTTCCTGCTCGTGTGCAACCTGGGAGGCAACAGGTAATGACTCGGGTACTTGGGCACCCGCCACCCCTGCGGGAGACCCAGTTGAGTTCCTGAGTCCTGGCTGCTGCAGGCATCAGGAGAACAGAACCTAGAGACCTAGAGAAGGTCTCTCCAGTTTTCAAAAACAATTACACAAGTAAAAATTTGAATGAGAAGAGAATGTGCTTAGTTGTGGTAGTTCCAAAGCAAGAGAAATCCAACCCGTGGTGCCCCCCAGCTCTAACATGCCCTGACTCCACGCTTCCTGTCCTTTCCGGTGCTCCGCAGGTGCCCCAAGGTCCCAGGCCAACTGACACAGACAGAGCAACTAACTGCGAGGATTTTCCTGCTTGGGCCAGGACGGCAAGGGCGCCTCCTGCTGCTGAGTCCTGCCGAGGTTTCCCTCGGCTCCCACTGCGCAGCCCCCAGCAAGAATCCCTTTACTTTTAACAGTTTTTACAGTAATCAGAACTCAATGATAATCAAGGCCCTTTCATATCTGTAGAAGAGCACAGTGTGTTCCTAGTGGGCGGCTGACCTCTGACTCCCAGGGTGTTGAGATTTGGCAGCGGTTCTTTTCCTGCGCTAGGGTAAACACTCGACATTTTCACTTATTTGTTTCTTTTCTTTCTCCTGCTCGATCTCCTTGGTTTGACATCCCACATCCCAAGCCATGTTATTTTGTTGTTGTTTTAAAGATTTATTTACTTGAGAGAGTGATGGAAAGGGAGGGGAGGCGGCGCTGTGGCATAGCAGGTAAAGCTGCCCGCCAGCAATGCCAGCATCCCATATGCGCACCGGTTCGAGTCCTGGCTGCTCCACTTCTGATCCAGGTCCCTGATAATGTGCCTGGGAAAAGCAGCAGAGGGTGGCTCAAGTGCTTGGGTCCTTGTACCCACAGGGGAGACCCGGAAGAAGCTCTTGGCTCCTGGCTTCAGCCTGGCCCAGCCCTGGCTGTTGCAGCCATCTGGGACAGAAGACCTGTCTCTCTGTAACTCTGACTTTAAAATAAATCTAAAGAGAGAGAGAGCGAAGGGGTGGGGGTGGGGGTGATGGTCTTCCATTCATGGTTCACCTCCAAATATCCACAACAGCCAGAGCGTTGCCAGGCCGAAGCCAGGAGCCAGGAACTCCTTCCAGGTCTCCCACGTGGGTGTCAGGGCCCCAAGTACTTGGTCATCATCTCTGCTTCCCGCGAGCATTAGCAGGAAGCTGGATCAGAAGCAGAGCAGCCAGGACGCCAACCCACATTCCGCTATGTGATGTGGGTGTCCCAGATGGCATCTTAACCCAGTGCGTCACCGTGCCCGCCCCTGTTTTTTTGGTTTTAGTCACCTGTATGAGTTACTGTTTTTGAGGAGTTTGTCAAGAGACAGAAGAATTGAATGATTTAAGATGCTTGAATTTTTAAAAAATGCTATGAAAATGAGCTCAGGGCAAAGGCGCTGGGCCAGGCTGCCTTCTAGTATCGCTCAGCAATTCTGCTGGCTGCATTCTAGACTTTATATCTGAGCTAGAACTGAGCAGAGGACAAAGGAGAAGGGAAAGGTGAGTTCACTTTCCTTAGGATCGATCCTAATGAATTTCCCCCAATGAAACGGAAGTCTCAGATAACAAGTCCAAGGTGAAAATCCCATTTTGTCCCTATAATGAAAATAGTTGTCCTACTTTTAGGAAACTTTTTCCACTTTCTAGTATAGGCCAGATATTACTTTTTAAAATGAACTCTCAGTGAACTATAAGAATTCTCAACTTAGCTTTACAAAGTTTGTTTTTTTTATAAAAAGATTTTATTTATTTATTTGAAAGGCAGAGTTACAGAAAGAGAGAGAACGAAAGAGAGAGATCTTCCATCCACTGGTTTACTCCCCAAATGGCTGCAATGACCAGAGCTGGGCCAGGCCAAAGCCAGGAGCCAGGAGCTTCTTCCAGGTCTCCCCCATGGGTGCAGGGGCTCAAGCACTTGGGCCGCCCTCTGCTGCTTCCCCAGGCACATTAGCAGGGAGCTGGATTGGAAGGGGAGCAGCTGGGACTTGAAGCAGGGCTCAGATGGATGCCGATGCTGCAGGCCTTGGCTTTAACCTGCTGTGCCGCTGCACTGGTCACTCAATTGTATTCTTACCCAAAATCCTGAGCCCAGAACAAACAAGGACATACGTGTTTTTAGCTTCTTTGCCTCCCTTATATTTTATTGGATATTCTAATGCTACATGGCAGCTATAGGAATTGATACAGTACTGCGCATGCATACATAGTTACTGATGATGTTTAACTAGTTTCCCTTAATACATTTAGAATTTCTTCCACACACATAGTGGGCTGTGTACTATCTCTATCACAGGGCCAGGCTGAAGTCAGGAACCAGGGTCTCCCACATGGGTGGCAGGGGCCCAAGCACTTGGACCATCTTCCACTGCTTTTCCCTAACTCTTAACAGAGAGTTGGATTGGAAGTGGAACAGCTGGGACACGAACCAGTGTTCATATGGGATGCCGGGTGTTGGATGCGGCAGTTTTGCCTGCTGTGCCAGCCCCTAAAGAAGTTTGTTTTAATTGCACTAAAGTCTTCTACTTAGATTGCATTTGTTGAAATATGTTTGTACACCTAATGGTGATTCTACAAAATACTTCTGTTGTGATTAACAATCATTGAAAAGTAAATTGTCATTGCAAAAATTGAAAACTAACTTCTTGCTTTTTTTAAAAATAAACTTCATTGAGGCATAATTTACATACAGTAGAATACACCCATTTTTTGGTATGCAGTTAGAAGAGTTTTGATAAAGGTGTAATTATGTTACCACTCCCATTATCAATATAAAAAACATTTTTGCCGGCACCGCAGCTCACTAGGCTAATCTTCCGCCTGCAGTGCTGGCACACCGGGTTCTAGTCCCGCTTGGGGCACCGGATTCTGTCCCGGTTGCCCCTCTTCCAGGCCAGCTCTCTGCTGTAGCCCGGGAGTGCAGTGGAGGATGGCCCAGGTCCTTGGGCCCTGCACCCACATGGGAGACCAGGAGAGGCACCTGGCTCCTGGCTTCAGATCGGCGCAGTGCGCCGGCCATAGTGGCCATTTGGGGGTGAACCAACGGAGGGAAGACCGTTCTCTCTGTCTCTCTCTCACTGTCTAAATCTGTCCAAAAAAAAATAAAAATTTTTATCACCCCTAAAATTCCCCTCCTGCCCGTTTGCAGTCACTCCCTTTCACTTAGCCCTGGAGAATCACTTCTTGTTGCTTTCTGTTACTATTATTTCACCTTTTCCATCCGCTGGTTCACTCCCCAAATGGGTGCAATGGCTGGGGCTATGCCGATCCGAAGCCAGGAGCTGAGAGCTTCTTCCGGGTCTCCCTTGTGGGTGCAGGAACCGAAAACTTGGGCCGTCTTCTATTGCTCTCCCAGGCTCATCAGCAGGGAGCTGGATCAGAAGTGGAGCAACCTGGACACAAACCAGCACCCATCTCTGATGTCAGCATCGCAAGCAGTAGCTTAACTGGCCACGCCATGATGCCAGCCCCTATTTTGCCTCTTCTAGGTTATCATATAACTGGAGTCATCCGGCAGGTGTTCTTTGCTGACTGGCGTGTTTAACTTAACAAGATGCTGCTGTGACATCCTCTAGTCTACTGCATTTCTCAGTAATTGATTCTTCTGATGGCTGAGTAGTGGTTCATTTATGGGAATCAACAGTTTGTGTATCCATGCGCTGGTTGATGGATATTTGGGTGGTTTCTTTTTTTCTTTTCATTTCTTCTTCTTTTTTTTTTTTTTTTTAAGATTTATTTGAGGCCGGCATTGCAGCTCAGTAGGCTAATCCTCTGCCTAGCGGCGCCGGCACACCAGGTTCTAGTCCCGGTCAGGGCACCGGATTCTGTCCCGGTTGCCCCTCTTCCAGGCCAGCTCTCTGCTGTGGCCAGGGAGTGCAGTGGAGGATGGCCCAAGTGCTTGGGCCCTGCACCCCCTGGGAGACCAGGAGAAGCACCTGGCTCCTGCCTTCGGATCAGCGCAGTGCGCCGGCCTCGGTGGCCATTGGAGGGTGAACCAATGGCAAAAGGAAGACCTTTCTCTCTGTCTCTCTCTCTCACTGTCCACTCTGCCTGTCAAAAAAAAAAAAAAAAAAAAGAACTTCGTGTTAGCTAGTGCTATGTCACAAGTTAGCACGAGAGTTAGCCACTTAAAACAACACTTACTGTCTCGTCGTTTCTTTGGGTCAGGGGTCCAGGCGTGGCTTGGATGTGTGTCTGTGCCTCAAGGTCTCTCATGGGGCTGCAGTCTCAATGTCAGAAAGTCTGCAGGCTTGAATGGATGCTTGATTTGGATGAGGGCAAGATGCGATCCACTTCCGGGCTTCAGACAGTTCTCAATCGATCTCCGGTGATCCACTTCCACCCCTAGGCACATGGGCCTCTCTGCCCAAGACTGCCTTGTGGCATGGCTGCTGTCTTCCCTCAGCATCAACCTTCTGAAAGAGAGGAGCAAGGGCTCCCAACAGAAGGCACAGCCTTCGCTATCTAATCTTGGAAATGACATCACTTCTGCCATAGTTCACATAGCAATGTTTCCAGCCTGCTTCCCAGGGAGCCGTGTGAGTCTGTTTCTTGCTGCTGTAGCAGATTATCGGGGACTGGGTAATATGCAGTGAACAGAAATGTGTTTGGCTCACGGTCCTGGGGGCTGGGAAGTTCAAGAGCATGGCAGCTGCAAGGGCCTCCCATGGTGAGAGGCGGAAGGGCAAGCGAGTGCTTGAGAGAGCATTTCTATGTCACGACAGCGGCTCTGGTACATTCCTGAGGGCCATGGCTCCATGTCCCCGTCCTCCTGTGAAGGTCCCATGGACTGGGGATTCAGCTCCTAAGGCATGCTTTGGGAGTGTGTGCTCACACCTGTAGCAGGTGCTGGTTATAACAGCATGGACTCCAGGAAGTGGGGATTCTCTCTGGGGCCACCTCACAGGCTGCCCCCTGCAGGCTGTTATGAGCAAAGCTGCTATGAGTATTTATGTACAAATCTTTCTGTGGGTGTATGTTTGCATTTCATCTCAATAGATAAATATCAAAGGGTAGAACTACTATTTTTATGGCAAGTATTTGCCTAAATAAGAAATTGCCAATCTGGTTCTCAAGAAGACGGTACCATTTGTTCATTCCTATCAATAATGCAAGTTCAAGTTCTCTATATTTTCAAATTTATTTGTTTATTTAAAAGGGAGACTGAGACAGCACTGGCCCCAATAAATCTCTAAAAACAAAAGAGTGAAGCAGACGGGGCTCAAACTGGTGATCACATGGGATGCCAGCATCGTTTGCTCCATATTTTCTTCAGCACTTGGCATTGTCTATCATTTAAACTTGAGCTGTTCTCCTGATGTGCAGTTCAAATGGCACCATTTGTGGTTCAATTGGTGTTTATCTAATGGCAAATCATTAGATTTTGAGCACTTAATTCATGTTCTTATTTGTCATTTTGACACTTCTATTGTGAAATGTCTCTTCAATACTTTTTGCTCATTTTGCAACTGAGTTGTGTTTTCTGATTATTAACTTGGAAGAATTACTTGTAAAACAGCCTGCGAACCATCCCATTGTCATATATGTGGTCTGCAGTTACTGTCATTCTACAGCTTTTCTTTTCGTTCTCTTAATACTTGTTTTTTAATTAATTAATTTATTTGAAAGGCAGAGTTACAGAGAGAGAGAGAGAGAGAGAGATCTTCCATCCCTTAGTTCACTCCCCAGATGGTCACAAACAGCCAGAGCTAGGCTGATCTGAAGCCAGGAGCTTCTTCTGGGTCTCCCACACAGGTGCAGGGGCCCAAGCACTTGGGCCATCTTCCACTGCTTTCCCAGGCACACTAGCAGGGAGCTGAATTGGAAGTGCAGCAGCTGAGACTCCGACTGGTGCCCACATGGGGTGCCGGCACCAGGCTTTACCCGCAGCCCCTCTCTCAATACTGTTTTAGAGAGCGAATGTTATTAATTTGATGAAATTAAATTTATCAGTATTTTCTTTAATGTATTATTCTTGTGTGTTATATGTAAGAAATACTTACAGATTTACCTATGTTTTCTTGCACAAACTTGATAGATTTAACTCTCAATTTTTAGGTCTGTGATCCGTTTCATGTTAATTGTGATACATGGTTTGAATCAAGGATTAAATTTCATTTTTTCAAAAAGATTTATGTGAAAAGCAGCATGGGGCCGGCACTGTGCCATAGTGGGTAAAGTCACCGCCTGCAGTGCTGGCATCCCACATGAGCACAAGTTCGAGTCCCGGCTGCTCCACTTCCGATCCAGCTCTCTGCTGTGGCCTGGGAAAGCAGTAGAAGATGGCCCAAGTGCTTGGGCCCCTGCACCCACGTGGGAGACCTGGAGGAAGCTCCTGGCTCCTGACTTGGGATCGGCTCAGTTCCAGCCATTACAGCCATTTGGGGAGTGAATCAGGGGATGGAAGACTCTCTCTCTCTCTCTGCCTCTGCCTCTGCCTCTGCCTCTCTGTAACTCTTTCAAATAAATAAATAAACATTTAAAAAGGAAAAAAGAAAAGCAGGGTGGGAGGGAGAAGGAGATCTTCCATCTGCTCGTGCACTCCCTCAAATGGCTGCAATGGCCTGGGCTGGGCCAGGCAGAAGCCAGGAGGCTGGAACTGCATCTGGGTCCCCCACGTGGGTGACAGGGGCCCATGCGTTCAGACCATCTTCAGCTGCTTTCCCAGATACATTGCAGGGAGCTGGACCCGAAGCAGGGCAGCCAGTACTCAGAGTGGCAATCTGATGCAGGATGCAGACAGTGGGTTCACCTGCTGTATCACAACGCCCGCCCCTTGAGGCTTATTCCATAGTGATGGCTAATGTGCCGGGATGAGTTGTTGAAATGCTCGCCCTGGCACTACTTTGGCACCTCGCTGAAGCTCAGTTGACCTCACACTTACTTGGACGTGTGGGCCTGTTTCGGGGCTAGGAGTTGGGGGTGAAGACCGCATATACACGACTCTTGGTGTGTCCCCATGCTCGGGGATGCTCTGAGGTCATCCATTATATTGAGACAGACACCATTCATTGTTCCTTAAGTAACTAGACGGGACCAGGAATTCGAAATGCTGAAACTAATTTACATTTTCTGTGATAGTTTTTAATGAATTTGTTTCAATATCTAGGTGTATTGATATGTCTCTCCCTCTCCCTCTCTCTCCTCTCTCTCTCTCTCTCTCTCTCTCTCTGTCTCTGTCTCTCCCCAGATGGCTTTGGAAGACTCAGAACAGAAGCACAGTCTGCTACACTCTGTTCTCACGGACCTGGAAGAGCTGTCCACAATTTTCGATACGGATGACCTCACGCAGTCCATCCAGGGGTTGAGCAGTCAAATCACTGCTTTACAGCAGAAGTTACTGGAGAGCCTTCCACAGATTCAGCGCATGGCTGATGTAAGTGGGGGTGTGAGTTTTCTCTGTTAATTTACATTTCCTCGGCTGATTGGAGTATACTAGTGCATGTCCAGATTATACGGAGACACATGGATGGTAAACTTTGCATTTGTGTTCTTATGGCTTGAATTATGTTGTGTTTTACTTTGTAACCTGTATTATAGCTATAATAAAAAGCACATGTGCGCACACATGCACACACACACACACACACACGTCTCAATCCAGAAGCTATCTGTTTAAAGGAGAGTCAGGATCAAGTAAGCGCCATGTTTTCTCCTTCTCCAAGAGAAGATAATGTTGGTTTAAAAGCATTGATGAGGGGTCGGCGCGGCGGCTCACTAGGCTAATCCTCTGCCTTGCGGCGCCGGCACACCGGGTTCTAGTCCCGGTCGGGGCGCCGGATTCTGTCCCGGTTGCCCCTCTTCCAGGCCAGCTCTCTGCTGTGGCCCGGGAGTGCAGTGGAGGATGGCCCAAGTGCTTGGGCCCTGCACCCCATGGGAGACCAGGAAAAGCACCTGGCTCCTGGCTCCTGCCATCGGATCAACGCAGTGCGCCGGCCGCAGCACGCCGGCCGCGGCGGCCATTGGAGGGTGAACCAACGGCAAAGGAAGACCTTTCTCTCTGTCTCTCTCTCTCACCGTCCACTCTGCCTGTCAAAAAAAAAAAAAAAAAAAAAAAAGGCATTGATGAGGAAAGAGGGAATTAAAGTATGCAATCTTAAGTCTTTTTTCACCACTAACAAATATTTACTGAGGGGCTGCTCTGCGCAAGTCACTAGATTTTTAAATAATTTTGTTTGCTTGAAATATGAGGCATTTTTTTAAAATGTTGATTTATTTGTTTGCAAGGCAGAGTGACAGAGAGAGGGAGCGACAGAGAGGGTGAGTTCTTCCCATCCCATGGTTCACTGCCCAGATGTCCACTACAGCCATGGATGAGCCAGGAGCCAGGAGCTTCATCCAGTTCTCCCCTGTGGGTAGCAGGCGCCCAAACACTTGGGCCATCTTCTGCTGCTTTCCCAGGCCATCAGCAGAGCTGAACCCCAGAAGTGGCGCAGCTGGGACACAAACCAGCGCCCACACGGAATTCCAGTGTCTCAGGTGGTGGCTTTACCCGCTGTGCCACAATTTTTGTTTTTTAATTATATTTCCTATACCACACTCAAATAACTTTGAGGATTAAAAAGTACTGGAGTAATCTTGGTTACTGAAGCTTATTCTATTTTTTTTAGCTTTTTTTTTTTTTTTTTTTTTTTTTTTTTTTTTTTTTACAGATAGAGTTATAGACAGTGAGAGAGAGAGACAGAGAGAAAGGTCTTCCTTCCACTGGTTCACCCCCCAAATGGCCACAACGGCTGGCGCTGCGCCGATCCAAAGCCAGGAGCCAGGTGCTTCTTCCTGGTCTCCCAAGTGGGTGCAGGGGCCCAAGGACTTGGGCCATCCTCCACTGCCCTCCTGGGCCACAGCAGAGAGCTGGACTGGAAGAGGAGCAACCGGGACTAGAACCCGGCGCCCATATGGGATGCCGGTGCCGCAGGTGGAGGATTAACCAAGTGAGGATTAACCACAGCGCCGGCCCCTGGATTCTTTTTTTTTTTTTTAATTATTTTATTTATTTGAAAGACAGAGTTACAGAGAGGAAGAGAGAGAGAGAGAGAGAGAAGAGATAGAGGGCTTCCATCTGCTGGTTCACTCCCCAAATGGCCTCAATGGCCGGAGCTGAGCCAGGAGCCAGGAGCTTCTTCCAGGTCTCCCTCGTAGCTGCAGGGGCCCAAGTACCTGGGCCATCCTCCTGCTGTTTTTCCCAGGCCATTAATAGGGTCATCCTCCACTGCTTTCCCAGGTGCATTAGCAGGGAGCTGGATCAGAAGTGGAGCAGGCAGGACTAGAACTGGCACCTATATGGGATGCCAGCCTGCAGGCTGGGGCTTTAACCGACTATACCACAGGGCCCGCCCCTGCACTGAATTCTAAAGTGAGAATCTGAGGGCTGTCCTACTGTGGGTGGACTTCCCTCTGTAGGTTTTACAGCAGACACTTGAACTTATTTTTGCAACAGTTTCACTTGAAGGTTCTTGGCCAGGTTCTGGGTGTTGACGTTGATGAGGAACAAGCTCCGGACAAATGATCTGCTGTTTCAGTGACTCTGAGCAGCTTCTAAAATAACCCAGTGCCATTCTCCTGGGCAACAGTCGATGAGGAGGTTGACAAGGAAATCTTTCCAGTTTCCGGGCTCCTGTGTGTTGGCTTCTCAAGGCTTGCTTTATCATATTACTTCAAGTAGTGGAATTTTTAACATGCCAGACCCACTTGTAGTCAGGCGTTTAAACACATTCCAAAGATGAATTGGAAGAGTTTCTAGATCATTGAGAGTTTATTCAAAAACTGGGTTGGGTGCATAGTACCTTTGTTCTCATGGTATGAGTGAGAACTGGCTCTATGCTTTTTTTTAAGATTTACTTATTTTATTTGAAAGGCAGAGTTACAGAGAGAGAGAGGGAGAGACAGAGATACAGAGGTACAGAGCTGGACCAGGCCAAAGCCAGGAACCAGAAGCTTCATCCGGGTGTCCCACGTGGGTGGCAGGGGCCCAAGTACCTGGGCCATCTTCTGCTGTTTGTCCCAGGCCATTAATAGGGAGCTGGATCCGAAGTGGAGCTGTGGTGGGTTTACCCGCTTTTTTTTTTTTTTTTTTTTTTGGTATAGATTTTTTTTTTTTGACAGGCAGAGTGGACAGTGAGAGAGAGAGACAGAGAGAAAGGTCTTCCTTTGCTGTTGGTTCACCCTCCAGTGGCCGCTGCGGCCGGCGCACTGCGCTGATCCGATGGCAGGAGCCAGGTGCTTCTCCTGGTCTCCCATGGGGTGCAGGGCCCAAGCACTTGGGCCATCCTCCACTGCACTCCCGGGCCACAGCAGAGAGCTGGCCTGGAAGAGAGGCAACTGGGACAGAATCCGGCGCCCCGACCGGGACTAGAACCCGGTGTGCCGGCGCCGCAAGGCAGAGGATTAGCCTAGTGAGCCGCAGCGCCGGCCCCCTGCTTGGTTCTTAAGATGTGTAGGTGGCAAGCACCCTTTGGTTAACTATGGGAACAGGATTAAAGGTCATAGATTTTGTTTCACAGACTGTTGATCACAGCATTAAATGGTATGAGCGAGTTTCTGTTTCTGAAATTCTAGGATGTGGTCGCTATTGAATCGGAAGTAAAATCAATGGAGAAAAAAGTCTCAAAAATTAAAACTATCCTGCTATCCAAAGAGATATTTGATTTTTCACCAGAAGAACATCTGAAACATGGGGAGGTAAGTGTGTACTACGTCTAAGTACTAAGTATAAAATACTTTTATTCAAAGTATTTTCTCCTAATGTTTATATCTGCTTTAAACCATGTAATCCTAGGATCTGATGCAAAGCATTTAATCTCGCTATTATCACAGGGAAACAGAGCGGAATGACTGTAAATATACTTTAAATCATTCTTAGTACTAACCATATAAAGATGATTGTCCTACGGGTTATTTTTTTTAAGTTTTGCCTACAAGTCAAATCCAGGTTGTGCTGAACTGGGTTCCAGCCCCAGCCACGGGGCCTATTGGCCGTGACTTTCAGTGTTTCCTGGACTCTCTTTCTTACCACTGCATTGGCAGCGAGATGATTACATTGGTCCGTTACAACACACGTAGAGCTCCCTGCTCGGGAGCCGAGAGGCTCCAAACACCAGAGGGAATTGATTCTCCCTCAGCCTCACGGTCAAGAGCAGTGCTTTCGGATCAGAAAGGCCTGGGTTCAAATCCTGCCCATTCCCTTAGCAGGGTCTTCTAACTTCTGTGCCCCTCCTCCCCCGCCTCGTTCCTTACCTGTGAAATCTAGGTTAGGAATCTTACTTCTCTGGGTAGTTTTGAGGGTTAAATAAAATGATTCATGGGGGTACTTTATAAAGTTGGTGGAAAAATGGGAATTAAACTATAAGTTTAGGGGCTGGAGTTTAAACCAGCAGTTAAGAGGCCCAGTGTTCTGGGTTTTTGTACCTGACTGCAGCTCCTGACCCCAGCTTCCGGCTAATGCACACTGGGAGCTGGCAGTGATGGCTCAAGGTATCTATCGGCTTTCTTGCCCAATAAATGGATTGAGTTCCGCTCCCGGGGTTTGGCCCTTGCTGTTGCAGGCACCTGGGGAATGAACCAGTGCATAAAAGCACACTCTCTCACGTGCTCTCTCTGCCTCGCAAATAAATTTTTTAAAGATTCATTTATAGGCCGGCACCGCGGCTCACTAGGCTAATCCTCCGCCTTGCGGCGCCGGCATACCAGGTTCTAGTCCCGGTCGGGGTGCCGGATTCTGTCCCGGTTGCCCCTCTTCCAGGCCAGCTCTCTGCTGTGGCCAGGGAGTGCAGTGGAGGATGGCCCAAGTGCTTGGGCCCTGCACCCCATGGGAGACCAGGATAAGTATCTGGCTCCTGCCATCGGATCAGCGCGGTGCGCCGGCCACAGCGCGCTGGCTGCATTGGCCATTGGAGGGTGAACCAACGGCAAAAAGGAAGACCTTTCTCTCTGTCTCTCTCTCTCTCACTGTCCACTCTGCCTGTCAAAAAAAAAAAAAAAAAGATTCATTTATTTGAAAATTAGTTACACAGAAAGAGAAGGAGAGGCAGAGAGAGAGAGTGAGGTCTTCTATCCGCTGGTTCACTCCCCAGATTGCTGTAACAGCCAGAGCTGCGCCAATCTGAAGGCAAGAAACAGGAGCTTCTCCTGCGTCTCCCATGCAGGTTTAGGGGCCCAAGGACTTGGGCCATCTTCTACTGCTTTCCCAGGCCACAGCAGAGAGTTGGATCGGAAGTGGAGCAGCCAGGACTCGAACCAGCGCCCATATGGGATGCCGGCACTGCAGGCGGCAGCTTTACCTGCTACGCCACAGCGCCGGCCCCTGCAAATAAATTAAAAAAAAAAAAAAAATTCAGATGAGTTGATTTTAGAGTAAAAACATTTTGAAGTGTTTTCAAAAACTTTCTGATCACCCCTCCTATATGGAGTACTTAGTACAGCGAGTGCCCTCTTTCTTTTGGTGGTTATGTAAGCCCAGACTTCTCTGGACCAGGTGTTATTAAAGCAAAATGCCATTACACTCCTGGGACTCACCACGTTAGGCAGGATGGTTGAACTCGGGAAGCGCTTCTTGGGGGCCCATTGTACGGGAAGCTGTTTGTTAAGAGCGATCAGTGTGTGAGTGGGACACAGTAAGACACAGCACCTGCCCTTACATAGCCCTCTGCCTGGGATGATGCATAGAGGGAAACAGCAGTTCTGCAGAGGGAGGGCGGGGAGGAGAGGAGGGGAGGAGGGGAGGAGGGGGAGGAGGAGGCTGGGCCCGATGCACTCAGCCGTGACAGGTCACTGTAGCCCCAGGTGCTCTTTCCCCAAGAGAGATCTTTAACTCCTTTGATCATAAGTGATGTCATAGCTATTTTCAGCCTGAGCCAAGGGAATGTTTCAAAAACTGAAACAAGAGACTACATGGTGCAGTTGCTTTAATGTAGCAGTGTGTGTGTGTGTGTGTGTGTGTGTGTGTGTGTGTGTGTGTTCATGCCCCGGGCCTCGCTCCCATCACACAGGTCATCCTGGACAACCTGCGGCCCATGAAGAAGACCATTGCTGAGATAGTGTCTTACCAAGTGGGGCTGCGGCTGCCGCAGGCGGGAAGGGGCCCTCTGCCCGTGTTCCAGCGCACAAGCCAACTTCTCCAGGACCTCAAGCTGCTGGAGAACGTGACTCAGGAGCAGAACGAGTTACTAAAGGTGAGCGGCTCGTGATGACACCAGCTCGGCAGGTGGAAGAGTCCCGCCAAAGCTGACTGAGTTTGCGATTGCCGTTGAAACTGACTATGATCCGGGAGGTGGCATCGGATACTTAAAAGCCTGTCTTTGTGCTCCGGTGGGACCCAGGCTGTTTTTCTCACTTCTTACCTTGCTCTGGTCGAAGACATTAAGGCAGACTGACCGTCTATTTAATTCCACCCTGCAGTTGTTAAGATTTCTGTGGCTAAAAAGCTGTGGGCACAGAATACAACCTGAGTGACACATCTAGCTCTCTGGAGGAATCATGATAAAGCCATTGTGTCTTCCCCTGGCCATCTTGATGGGGGGTAGCAACAGAGGATTAAAGGACTTGCTAAAAGACCACAGATGAATTTGTAGTGGGGGACTTTAGAAGTTCATGGAAAATGGAAAAAGCTAAGTTCAGAAGGTTCACGCAGAAGGTACATTATTAAACTATGTGTGGATTTCAAAATTTGTCACATCTAAATCTATTTTAGCTCCATTTGGCATGAACTTTTTTTTTTTTAAAGATTTATTTATTTGAAAGTCAGAGTTACACACAGAGAAAGAAGGAGAGGCAGAGAGAGAGAGAGAGAAAGGTCTTCCATCTGCTGGTTCACTCCCAATGGCCGGAGCTGAGCTGATCTGAAGCCAGGAGCCAGGAGCTGGGAGCTTCTTGTAGGTCTTCCACACAGGGGCAGGGGCCCAAGGACTTGGGCCATCTTCTACTGCTTTCCCAGGCCATAGCAGAGAGCTGGATCAGAAGTGGAGCAGCCTGGACTAGAACCGGTGCCCATATGGGATGCTGATACTGCAGGTGGTGGCTTTACCCGCTACACCACAGCGCCAGCCCCCCTAATTTAGATATTATAAGTGCCCTCATTGTGGAAAATGAGACAAAGTACTTTTGTGGGGAGAAAGGGGATGCAATTCATTATTGAGGCCAAAGCACAGGTGTGTTCAGTGCACATAGTTATTCATTTCTAGCCTGCAGCTAAAATTATGGTTAAATATTAAGGAAGATACAAGGAAGAATTGTGTGTTGGCCAGAAACTTTGTAGTTCCAGGGGCATTTTGCTTCAGGAGGAAGCGTTCGGAAAAAGAATCTGGACTTTGTTTTGAAGCCCCTTTCTTTACCTTTCATTAAGCTTTGAACCTATTATTTTGTCCACAACTAGGTCTGAGCCCTGCTCCTCCTCCAAGTAAATTCTGGTTTCTGTTCTGATTAGTTTTGCCATGTGCTGTAAATTCAGACTCCCCCTAAACCCGCAGCCTCTCAAGTGTGTATCACCGATCCCAAGGGATGCCGGGTGAGGCTGTGTCTGCATCCAGAAAAATCCATCACCATTCAAATCCCATGCCTGGGCCATTTTGGATCAGTAATATCACTTTTTCATGTAGAAACTCCCACACGGAGTGTGTATTAAAACGACATCAGTCATTTCATCAAACTTTGCGGCTTTATGTTAGCATGCCGTAAAAGCCCCCCAGAGTGAAACCCGTGGACTGGAAATACTAAGAGCAAAGGTGTGTCTAACTTCTTGGACTCCAAGCACTACCCAAGGTGCCCTGACATCTAATATGGCAAGAAGTCTAGGCACCAGCCCTGCAAACATTCTCTATATTTATAATATAAATGTAATATTAAAATATAAACATATTCTTACTAGAAAAACTCCTAGTTTGCCTATTGAAATCTGTATGAGTGGCATTGAATGGGAACTGATCCTAGGGATAAACAATGGAAATAGCCCGTTAATCTACATTATGACAAAGATTCTTTTTGGGGGGGGTGTTTTATAGGCAGTCATAAAACAGACTAATGAATATGATGAAGAAATACAGAAGTTCCAGCAGATCTTAAGCGATCACGCAGATGACGTCTCCCGTGAACACACGTCAGCAGGCCAGGCTGCCCACCTGCCACAGGCCCAGGTGCGTTTCTTTCACGCCTTCTTCCAAGTCCATTCCACCAGCACTCACTAAGCCCTTGGTGTCTGGCAGCCCTCAGGGTGGTGCAGTGTCACTTCCTACTTCTCTCTTGCCATTGATGGCATTTACTGTGTGTTTACTTTCTACCCTCATTTCATAAAATAGGTGGTTCTTTAATATCATTATTAAAAAGCAATGCAGCTGTAGACTGGACAGTCTCAGTCCGCACACTGGGCCAGTGATGCCCCGTCTGCTTCCTCAGTGGTGGGCTTTCCAACTGCCCCTCGCCGAGGCATGGTGCATTTGGTCTGGGTTGGCTCTGGTAGCAAAGGGGCTGGTGTCACATGGGGTATTGGGACAACTCGCCTTTCTGGACAGCTGATGGGACAGTTATAATGGTTTTCATGGCAAGCCTTTCCTGCTAGTTTTTTTAAATATTTATTTATTTATTTGAAAGTCAGAGTTACACAGAAAGAGAGAGAGAGAGGTCATCCATCCGTTGGTTCACTCCCCAATTGGCCACAATGGTTGGAGCTGCACCGACCCAAAGCCAGGAGCCAGGAGCTTCCGGGTCTCCCACATGGGTGCAGGGGCCCAAGGACTTAGACCATCTTCCACTGCTTTCCCAGGCCACAGCAGAGAGCTGGTTTGGAAGTGGAGCAGCTGGGACTAGAACCAGCGCCCACATGGGATGCCGGCACTGCAGGTGGAGGATTAACCTAGTGCGCCACGGCGCTGGTCCCAAGATCACAGATTTTCTTACGTGAAATTGGCAGGTTTTTACTCTAAGCACATCCTAGTGAAGAATTAGTAACTGCTATTATAGTGTCCTTACCTGGATTCATAGGAGGTGCCAGCAGCTTTGCTCATCACTGCTTTTGTGCCAGCTGTGCACCAGGCAAAAAGTTTCAGAGTGACCATGAAAATGGTCAGCTTGTGGGCAGTGCTGGATGGGAAGTGGAGCAGCCGGGACTCGAACCGGCATCCACATGGGATGCCAGCATCACAGGCAGTGGCTTTACTGTCTACACCACAGCGCCAGCCCCACCCCCATGCATTTCTAAAGATGAACCTGCAGAAAATGTACATGAATTCAGGGACACTAAGGAAGACTTGCAAGAAAATAATAAAAGATGAGATTTCAAACCTTGTTTACTCTCCGTGTCCACACACGCTAGCGTGCTTACGAAACTCTCCGTGTCCACACACGCTAGCGTGCTTACGAATCCCCTGGGAGGCAAGCCTGCCGGGAACATGCATTCTTAATCATCCGTGTGACCCGATGGGAATGCAGGGCCAGTGTCAGGATGCAGCAGGTTAAGCCACCACCTGCAATGCCAGCACCCCGTGTCAGGAGTGCCAGGTTGAGTCCTGGCTGCTCTGTTTCCCATCCAGCTAATGCATCTGTTAAGGCATCAGAAGATGGTCCAACTGCAAGTGCCTGGACCCCTGCCTCCAATGTGGGAAACCCAGGTGGAGCTCCAGGCTCCAGGCTTTGGCATGGCCCAGCCCTGGCTGTTGGGACCATTTGGGGGATGACACAGCAGCTGGAAGATCTCTCTCTCTCTCTCTCTCTCTCTCTCTCTCTTACTCTGCCTCCCAAATAAATAAATAATATATCTTTTAAAATTTCAAATAAATGAGAAGCGCGTTCCAGGCACTTCTGCTGTCATTAAACAGCAAACTCGCAGACCTGTGCCTGTGGGTTCTGCTTCTGTCCGCCCAGGGCCATGGCTGTCACTCTGTCCTCACCCCACAGTCACCCCTGGGACTTGCTACGGCTCCACCCCCAGACTCTGATTCTCAAGCTGCCTGGTGAGGCTGACACACGCGTACTCCGGAGTTCTCGGAAGTGAGGTTGCATGACGTTTATCCTGGTGCGACATTTTTGAAATCCATGCCTGCGAGGGATCTTCAGAAAGTTCATAGAAAATGCCTATTATGAAAAAATGATGCATGGATTTCAAAAAATCCACACCAACATAAACTTACCTTTTAATTCTGTTTTCTATGAGCTTTTTAAAAAATTGCTTTTAAAATCTGTTTGAGAGGCAGAGAGAGGGAGAGAAAACTTACATGCATTGTTTCATTCCCAAATGGCTGCAGCAGCCAAGGCTGGGCCAGGCCAAAGCCAGGAGCCAGATGCTTCCTCTGAGTCTCCCACATGGGTGGCAGGGGCCCAAGGACTTGGGCCATCTCCTACTGCTTTCCAAGGCGCATTAGCAGGGAGCTGGATCAGAAGTGGAGCAGCTGGGACTTGAACCGCTGCCCATACGGGATGCTGGTGTTGTAGGTGGCTGCTTAACCTGCGGCACCTTGATGCTGGCCTCTCTGTGAACTTTTAGAATTACCCTCCTAAACCTGACACAGGACCTCTGGAAATGTAGCTAGGATGGAAAAGAACAGTATTATATCAGCAGTCAGTTCCGGACTCTTCTGTCCACCCGACACCGCTACCCACACCCCTGCCCCCCAAAAAATACATAGCTTGGAAGACTCCCCATACCTCGCACTGGAGGAGGTAGGGTCTCCCAGGCAGGCCTCCGGCTCCCCAGATCAACACACACACTCTTTGTGCACAGGGAGAAGTGGAACAGGCGCAGAAGCAGATTCTGAGTTTAAACCAGAAAAAAGAAGAGGTGTTGGGGGACTTGAAGACTGCTGTGCTAACCCTTCACCGGCATTTGAAGCAAGACCAAGAAGAAGGGGAAAGACAGTTGCTTCCAGCCGGAGCGTCCGAGGAAGGTGGCGTGGCCGAAGGGGATATTTCTGAGTGGCAGGTGCGTGTGGCTTTGGGTTAAGGGCGGGCCCACCTTCCACAAGGCTGTTCTGTGGCCAGTAGTTTTCAGCTGAACAGTCCTTGGCCCCTTAGCAGGGGAGTTTGGGAAAGTGGAAATCTTCCACCTGAGTTTGTGTCTGTTGCAAGCAAATCCTTAGGGTGTATCCGTGTTGGACTCAACCCAGAAACTGTATGCCTGAGTGACCTGGGACGTGCTTTTAATTCCACGGGCCGGCGAGTGGGAGTGAACCCTTTGCAGTAGCTTCCTGCAGAGAAGTCAGCCCGTTGTCGACTCAGAAGTGGGCCAGCGCCTCCTGCAGCCCACTCTGAATCCGTATTCACGGGTCCGGCTTTTCGCTTACTGGATGAGGGACCACAGGGCTGAGGACAAGTGCAAAGGGCTCCAGGGTTTCACAGGATTTTTTGGCTGAATGAGCTTGCAGGTGCAGGACCCAGCGGCCAGCCGCTTGTGTGGGTGAGTGTCTCGGATGAAGGCAGCCCACATTAGCTACAGAAATGCAGCCAGGCCGGGATCCCGGCGCTGCTGGTCCGCAGACTGCCTGCACGTGTTCTGTGCTCCTGCCTTGCAGGTGAACCCGAGAGGCTCCATGTCTTTCCTGCCAGCACTCAAGGAAGAGGTGGAGGAGGGCTCCGTGAAGAGCGAAGTAAGGAAAAATGACTTTCTTGTTAAAGGTTGAGCCCAGGCTCAAAAGGAAAGGCAATGAAAACAGCTTAAAGATGAGTGGAGACCTAGAGATTTTAAAAGTAACACTGATAGGTATTGTAAAGGTACGGTTGAAATCGTTCTATGTTATTACTGTTGTTTAAGAGCGGCTAAGCCTACGTCACCACGTAAGAGTGGTAGAAATGGAACCCAGACATTGCCCTCACCAAGAAAATGAATTCTCTGTCGAATTCAGACTTCCGAGTACTTTCTCTGGAATTTTGAGAGTCCACGCGTTGCTTGGCACTCCTGCTGTGATGTTTAGAACTTTGTCTCCCCGATATTTGGCTTTGTCTTTTGGCCTAAAACGCTACCGTTGGTGACATGAGTTGTGCGAGACAACTACTGCCACTGAGTCTTTTTTTTTTCTTAAAGATTTATTTATTTATTTGAAAGTCAGAGTTACATAGAGATGGAGAGGCAGAGAAAGAGAGAGGGAGAGGTCTTCCATCCACTGGTTCACTCTCTAATTGGTTGCAATGGCTGGAGCTGTGCCTATCTGAAGCCAGGAGCCAGGAGCTTCTTCTGGGTCTCCCACGTGGGTGCAGGGGCCCAAGGTCTTGGGCCATCTTCCACCGCTTTCCCAGGCCACAGCAGAGAGCTGGACTGGAAGAGGAGCAGCCGGGATTCAAACAGGCGCCCATATGGGAGGCTGGCGCTCAGGCCAGGCGTTAACCCGCTACCCCACAGCGCCGGCCCCTGCCATTGCTTTGTACTGCTTCACTGTAGTTGAGCGGATGACATGTTTCTCGGCGGCCTACCTGATAGCAATTTCCATTTCCTCCTATAAAAAACAGAAGTTAGAATGGATCTTATGCCAAAAGGAAGACTGTCGCCACCACATAGCGTTTCCATGACTCCCCAGTGTCTCAGAAAACAGAATGTTTCTTTAACCAAGTGGAAGACGCTGTGTTGGTGATGCAGATGCTTAACACAGATGCATAAAAGAAGTCCAGGGCAAAAGGCAAAATCATGCTGCGCATGAGGCTGAGTCACTGGTCTGTTTTTTATGCCCATTCTAGACCGCGTTAAACAGTTCCATTTTCCCATAGATCATGCCCTTTGTCCTGTCGTGGGCCCCTAGGCCATGGTGGAGCTGAGTGCTAGTGCCAGGAATGGTATGGGTCTGCCCTGTAGTGTGAACTTGAGAATGAGGAGTGTTCCCACTCTGCCTCTTTGTGGCTGAGAGAATCACGGGGATGGGGAGGAGGCACCTGCCGTCAAGGAGTCTGCTTCTTCCGCGTCTCCCACGCGGGTGCAGGGGCCCAAAAACCTGGGCCACCCTCCACTGCTTTCCCAGGCCACAGCAGAGAGCTGGGTCGTAAGTGGAGCAGCCGGGACTCGAACCGGCACCCATGTGGGATGCTGGCACTGCAGGCTGGGGCTTTAACCCACTGCGCCACAGTGCAGCCCCTTCAGTGTGATTTTAATTGCAGCTTTGTGTTTGCTTCTGCACTGATGTGTTCACGGCATCAAGCTGGTACTTTTTAAATGAACAAGTACAATATGTCCTTCAGTGTACGCCATGATTAGATAGATGTAGCGGTGAGCTCATTGACACATGCATTTTTTTTTTTTTGACAGGCAGAGTGGACAGTGAGAGAGAGAGACAGAGAGAAAGGTCTTCCTTTGCCGTTGGTTCACCCTCCAATGGCCGCCGTGGCCGGTGTGCTGCGGCCGGCGCACTGCGCTGATCTGATGGCAGGAGCCAGGTGCTTCTCCTGGTCTCCCATGGGGTGCAGGGCCCAAGTACTTGGGCCATCCTCCACTGCACTCCCGGGCCACAGCAGAGAGCTGGAAGAGGGGCAACCGGGACAGAATCCGGCGCCCCAACCGGGACTAGAACCTGGGGTGCCAGCGCCGCAAGGCGGAGGATTAGCCTAGTGAGCCGCGGCGCCGGCCCGACACATGCATTCTTTCACACCGTGCCACTGTGTTGGTGTGCTGAAAACATTTAAAATCTACTCTCAGTAATTTTCCAGTGAGGATGTATTAATTGTAGCCTCCACGGTGTGCAGTAGAGATCTTGCAAACTTATTCTCCCCACCTAATTAAAAATTTGAAACCGTTGGCCAACATCTCCCCCACTCCCCACCCTGCAGAAAGACAGAGAGAGAGAGAGGTTTTCCATCCACTGGTTCACTCCCCAAATGGCTGCAGTGACCGGAGCTGCGCCAATCCAAAGCCTGGAGCCAGGAGCTTCTTCCAGGTCTCCCACACAGGTGCAGGGGCCCAAGGACTCGGACCATCTTCCACTGCTTACCCAGGCCACAGCATGGAGCTGGATCAGAAGTGGAGCTGCCGGGACTCGAACCCTCACCCGCATGGGATGCCGGCACTGCAGGTGGCGGCTTCAACCTGCTTCGCCACAGCACCAGCCCCTGTTTGAAACTTTTGAGAGCCTCCCTACTGCTCTCACCGTGGCTGTACTGTTCATTCCCATCAGCTGTGCACAGGATTCCCTTTTTTTCACATCTTCCTCAACACTTGCATTTCTTGTCTTTCAAAAAAAGGCATCCTGACAGGCATGAAGTGATATCTCCTTATGATTAATTCGCATTTCCCTGATGATCAGTCATTTTGGCCATTTTTTCTCCTATCCATTAAACTGTTATTTTAAAGATTGCATTTAAGATTACATTCGGCCGGTGCCGTGGCTCAATAGGCTAATCCTCCGCCTTGCGGCGCCGCACACCGGGTTCTAGTCCCGGTCGGGGCGCCAGATTCTGTCCCGGTTGCCCCTCTTCCAGGCCAGCTCTCTGCTGTGGCCTGGGAGTGCAGTGGAGGATGGCCCAAGTGCTTGGGCCCTGCACCCCATGGGAGACCAAGAGAAGCACCTGGATCCTGGCTCCTGCTTCGGATCAGCACGGTGTACCAGCCGCAGCGCGCTGGCCACGGTGGCCATTGGAGGGTGAACCAACAGCAAAGGAAGACCTTTCTCTCTGTTTCTCTCTCTCACTGTCCACTCTGCCTGTCAAAAATAAAAAATTAAAAAAAAAAGATTACATTCAAGTGGGCCAGCGCTGTGGCACAGTAGGTTAATCCTCCACCTGCGGCACCAGCATCCCATGTGGGCTCTTGGCTGCTCCACTTCTGATCCAGCTCTGCTATGGCCTGGGAAAGCAGTAGAAAATGGCCCAGGTCCTTGGGCCTCTGTACCTGCATGAGAGACCCCAAAGAAGCTCCTGGCTCCTGGCTTCAGATTGGCCCAGCTCCGGCCGTTGCGGCCATTTGGGGAGTGAAGCAGCAGGTGGAAGACCTCTCTCTCTGTCTCTCCTCATTGTCTATAACTCTACCTGTCAAATAAATAAATAATTTTTTAAAAGATCATTTTTTAAAAAAAATCATGGCCGGCGCCGCGGCTCACTAGGCTAATCCTCCGCCTTGCGGCGCCGGCACACCGGGTTCTAGTCCCGGTTGGGGCGCTGGATTCTGTCCCGGTTGCCCCTCTTCCAGGCCAGCTCTCTGCTGTGGCCGGGGAGTGCAGTGGAGGATGGCCCAAGTGCTTGGGCCCTGCACCCCGTGGGAGACCAGGAGAAGCACCTGGCTTCTGCCTTCGGATCAGTGCAGTGAGCTGGCCGCGGCGGTCATTGGAAGGTGAACCAACAGCAAAGGAAGACCTTTCTCTCTCTCTCTCTCACTGTCCACTCTGCCTGTCAAAAAAAAAAAAAAAATCATGCTAGCAGATTAACTTCCTGAAGACCTCCTTTGTGTGGCATGAGCCATCTCTCTACCTGTAAAAACAGTTTTTACGGGCAACACATTTGGCCTGGTGGTTAAGATGTTCCACTCATAACAGGTGCCTGGGTGCCAGTTCCCGCTCCACTCCTGATTCCAGCTTTCTGTGTCTGTGCACCGTGGGAGGCAGCAGGTGAGGCCTCGAAGGGTTGGCTCCCTGTCGCTGCCACCCACGTGGGAGACCTGGATTAAGTCCTTGACTCTGAGCTTCTGGGCATTTGGGGAGTGAAGCAGTGGATGGGAGTGTGTGTGTGTGTGTGTGTGTGTCTGCCTCTCAACTAAATAAAAACACATTTTAAAAGATTTACTGATTTATTTGAAAGGCAGAGTGATATATAGATAGAGACAGACAGAAAAAAAGAGTATGGTTTTCTATCTGCTGCTTCACTCCCCAAATGGCTGCGACAGCCAGGGCTGGGCCAGGCTAAAGCTAGGAGCCCAGAAATCCATCCAAGTCTCCTATGTGGGTGGCAGGGATGACCCAAGCCCTTGGCCATCATCTGCTGCTTTCCCAGGCGCCTTAGCAGGGAGCTGAATTGGAAGCTGAGCAACTGGGAATTGAACTGGCGCTGCATTGTGGATGGATGCCAGCAACACAGGCAGCAGCTGAGCCCGCTGCACCACAACACGGGTCCAGTCAATAGAAAGTCGAAAGCTGTATTGTGTAGGCTTTAGGAAGAGGAATCACATTTGGAAACAGGATTTAGTTCGGAAAAGAAATAGCTGACTCATGGCGCGTGTGGTGGAATCCAGGCTATGATTATAGCGCCTGGTGAGTTGATTTTTTTTAATGAATGCATTTTTTCATAGCTACAACTTGAGGAATACACTGGTTCTTTCCCCCATACCCACCCTCTCCCTGCCCCAGCTCCCATCCCACCTCCCTCTCCCTCTCCCATCTCCTTCTTCATTATGGTTCATTTTCAGTTTGACTGTACATACAGAGGACCACGGTGAGTTGACTCTTGTCTGAGAGGGATGGATAGGAGGTTGGCTATGGTGGTAGGAAATCGCTGCCTTTTGCTGACCAGTTGCTCCCCGTGGTAGACTGGAGATAAGAAGGCGGAGCCATCTTCTGCGTCGTGGTCTTTACCCTGGAAGCATGGCGAGGAGGTGGAGGAAGACCGAGCATCCTCATCGTCGGCCACCCTGGTTCAGGTGAGGCAGGGGCTGGGTGGGAGCCGGCCGCTCTTTGGCCTGACTTCCTGGGTTCTCTTCTCCCCTCTCCCCTCTGTTTGGTTTTCCATCCAGCTGCACTCAGACCTTTCGAGTGCCAACGCGTATTCCTGATAAGGAATGAAGATAAGGGACAGTACAGCCCTGTCTTGTTTGAAATAATGGGAAGGAGGGAACCAAAAAAATTTTTTTGGCAAATAAAAATTGTATGTGTAGTATAGAACGTGAGGTTTTTAAATATGTGTACTTGTGAAATGGCTATAGCAAGCTCATTAACATACGTATTACTTTTCATGGTTCTCATTTTTGGGGTGATAACACTTCAAATCTACACCTAGCAATTTTTTTCAGTCTTATGTAATCGCTAGTTATGAATGCATTCGGCTCGTAACACCTTGGACATTGGCTGTCCTGAGGTTATTCCTGTTGTCAACTGAAACTCTGCATCTGCTGAGCAGCACATTGCCAGCCCCCCCCCCCCAGCAGCCCCTGGTAACCCCTGTTCTGCTCTCTGCTTCTGTGAGTTCCACTTTGAGGGTCCACACAGGAGTGAGAGCCTTCAGCGTCTGTCCTGCCATGCCTGGCGTATAGTTCACGTAGCGTGGAGTCCTCCAGGTGCATCCACATTGTCACAAATGACAGGATTCCCCTCCTTTTGAAGGCTGCGTAGTATTCCCTCATGTGTACAGACCACTTTTGCTCTGCACTCATCTGTCAAAGGGCATTAGGTTGGTTCAGGGTCTCTGCTGTTGGGAGCTCTTTAGTCTCTCACAATTATCCCTGCGCAGATGCAAGACGTCCAGGGCCTTGCTTGTTTGCTTCTCTGTCGTACATTCAGCAGTCATCGCAGAGTCCTTTCTCTATAGAAAACTCCGTATGCGATCACTCAGGCTGACCAAGGTGTGAGTCCCGGGAGCCCCAAACGAACGCTTCCCCACAGCACTTCCCATGCTGCTTTTTTGAAAGTAGTTGCAGGAGGGTCTCCCCGGAATTCTTTGGTATTTTTAAAAATATTTATCTATTTATTTATTTATTTGAAAGTCAGAGTTACACAGAGGGAGAAGGAGAGGCAGGGAGAGAGAGTTCCATCCGTTGGTTCACTCTCCAATTGGCCGAAACAGCCAGAGCTGTGCCAATCCGGAGCCAGGAGCTTCTTCCAGGTTCGGGGGCCTAAGCACTTGGGCCATCTTCCACTGCTTCCCCAGGCCATAGCAGAGAGCTGGATTGGAAGAGGAGCAGCCGGGACTAGAACCAGTGCCCATATGGGATGCCGGCACTGCAGGTGGCAGCTTTACCCACTACACCACAGCGCCGGCCCCTGGAATGGTTTGTTAAAGAAAGTGCTGTGCAAGATAAATTAATGCAAGACGTCTTTTTCTCCTTAGGCCACTCTGAATCCTCCCCAGCCTCTCCGAACCTCACTTTAGAAAATCCTTATACGCTGGCAGTAAGCCAGCATCGTTGCCCGCTCCCGACAGGTGTCTGCCTCCTCCACCTCTGACGGGCTCCTGTCCAGGGCTCACCCCGCTTCCAGGCTGCCCCCCAGTAATCGCTGGCCCCTGCTCGCCTGTGCCCGCGTCTTCCCTCTCTGCCCTGGGCTGGGTTCCCCCTTCAGGAGTAGTCAGGTTTCCCTGCTAGGAAGCTCCCGCTGCTGTGACCCCATCCATCCAGCCGAGCTGCGGGGCCCCAACCCCAGCCTGTCCCTTCCGTCTCCTCTCTGCAGAGTCAGGGGCGTGCAGGCCCCCTGTGCACCTGCAGACTTCCTGCCCTTCCCCCAGGCCCGGCTCAGCTCCCCCCCTCCCTGGAAGCCTCCTGAGCACCTGCAGGGGCAGCGGCTTGCTTCCGCTTTTGAGTTCCCGTGGCACTCTGAACAGCAAGTCTGACTTAGCGCATTTTCACGCACACGTGCAGCACCGTTTCATGAATGCAGAAACTTTGTCTTCTACCTGTTTGTGTCCTGCACTTGGCTCCGCACGCTACTCGGATGAATGGGATCTCCTGGTCCCACCTCCCATCTTGATTTCATCTTGCTCTTTCCTTGATTGTTGAATGTCTTTGGTGCTGTGTGGTCTAGTTCTGGCCTCTGGCTACACGTCTGCTGCTGGCTGCTTCTGAAACACCAGTTTAGTCTGTTCATGTAGTCCTAATCCTTAATGACTTCTCCACCATGACAAGGACGACTGGCCGCCTCTTCCTTCCTGAACTGCAATGTTCTTTCAGATTAATTCTGCACTTTCTGGTCTTTGCTACCTCCAACTCCTCCTCCTCCTTCTCTTCCTTCTCTGCCTGTAGCTGTCCCTCTCCCCCTCTTCTCCTGTCCCTCTCTCATGGGGATTTTACCTCCTGCCACAGCTTTCATGGTCACCTCCACCAATGATCCCCAAATCAAACCTCTAATTTTTTTTTTAAGATTTTCTTTATTTATCTGAGAGGTAGAGTTACAGAGAGAGGGAGAGACAGAGAGAGAGGTCTTCTATCTGCTGGTTCACTCCCTAAATGGGTACAATGGCTGGAGCTGGGCCAATCCACAGCCAGGATTCAGGAGCTTCTTCCAGGTCTCCCATGTGGGTGCAGGGGCCCAAGGACCTGTGCCATCTTCTACTGCTTTCCCAGGCCATAGCAGAGAGCTGGATCAGAAGAGGAGCAGCCAGGACACGAACCGGTGCCCATATGGGATGCCAGCGCTGCAGGCAGAGGCTTAGCCCACTATGCCACAGTGCCAACCCCAAATCTCTAATCTTTTTTTTTTTAAAGATTTATTTATTTATTTGAAAGTCAGAGTCACACAGAGAGAGGAGAGGCAGCAAGAAACGGAGAAACAGAGAGAGAGGTCTTCCTTCTGCTGGTTCACTCCCTATATGGCTGCAACGGGAGGAGCTGTGCCAATCCAAAGCCAGGAGCCAGGAGCTTCTTCTGGATTTCCCACACAGGTACAGGGGCCCAAGGACTTGGGCCATCTTCTACTGCTTTCCCAGGCCACAGCAGAGAGCTGGATCGGAAGTGGAGCAGCCGGATGGGATGCCGCTGCTTAAGGCCAGGTTGTTAACCCACTGCACCACAGCACCGGGCCCCCCAAATCTCTAATCTTGACTATTGTCTTAAATCTATTCCACATTAAGCAGTCTGGGGAAGTTGAGTCTTTCCAATGAAGACAAACCTAAGGAAGCTGATTCTTTTTCCTAGTGAGCTTTCACTGAATGTACTTGATTGGGGCGAGCGTTGTGGTACAGAGGGTTAAGTGACCTCTTGCCATGCCAGCATCCCATAGGAGCACTGGTTCGAATCCCAGCTGCTCCACTTCCAATCCAGCTCTCTGCTATGGTCTGGGAAAGCAGCAGAGGATGGCCCAAGTGCTTGGGTCTCTGCACTCATGTGAAACACACAGAGGAAGTTCCTGGCTCCTGGCTTCAACCTGGCCCAGCCCCAGCTGATGTGGCCATTTAGGGAGTAAAACAGCAAATGAAAGCACGCTTTCTCTCTGTCTCTGCTTTTTGCATTAATAAAGTAATCTTTTTAAAAAGTAATTACGGCCGGTGCCGCAGATCACTAGGCTAATCCTCCGCCTAGCGGCGCCAGCACACCGGGTTCTAGTCCCTGTTGGGGCGCCGAATTCTGTCCCGGTTGCCCCTCTTCCAGGCCAGCCCTCTGCTGTGGCCCGGGAGTGCAGTGGAGGATGGCCCAGGTGCTTGGGCCCTGCACCCCATGGGAGACCAGGAAAAGCACCTGGCTCCTGGCTCCTGCCATCAGATCAGCGCGGTGCGCCGGCCGCAGCGCACCGGCCGCGGCGGCCATTGGAGGGTGAACCAACGGCAAAGGAAGACCTTTCTCTCTGTCTCTCTCTCTCACTGTCCACTCTGCCTGTCAAAAAAAAAAAAAAAAAGTAATTACTAAAAGCGATCGCCCTTGACCTTCCTGGGGATTTTGCTAGCTGTTGGGAGCGGGCACAGGAGGAAGAGCTTTGGGGGCACCTGTCAGGACCTCTGATTCTTTCCTTTACAGGAGGTGAATGGAAAAATAAGCACCTGTGACAGTTCCATGGCGCAGATTCTTGTACCAGCCACACCAAACACCGAGCAAGGCCCAGAATTCTCGCTGAGGCCCGGCCAAACAGAAGAGGTAAGTTCCTCTTGGTGAAATACCGCTGCTCAAACAAAGAGCTGACCAGCAGTCCTGCGTGTCTGTAGTCAAGTGCTGCTGATGAACTTGAACCTCTTCCTTTGGAGGTGCCGTGCAGCTGTGCAGCCGGAAGGTGCATCCTTGAGTCATTGCCTTGGAGAACGGGCGTGGCTCGAAGCCGCGAGAAAGTTTTCGATCATTTCTCGCGCGACAGCCTGAAGCAGTCTTTCATTAATGGCCACTGTAATCTGTAGATAGAACACGCCTGGCAGTGAGAGTGGAGACAGGCTGATGTCAGTTTCATGGCCCGTTTCGTTAGAGGCATATCTGTTTATCTGCTTAATTCTCAGATCATCCGAGGGTGCTTCCAAAACTTGGTGGAAGGATGTGATTCAAAGATAGCGTGCATTCTCCAGGAACTTTTTTTAAATTAATTAATTTATTTGAAAGTTAGAGTTACACAGACAGAGAAGGAGAGGCAGAGAGAGAGAGGTCTTCCATCCCTGGTTCACTCCCCAGTTGGCCGCAACGACCAGAGCACGCCGATCTGAAGCCAGGAGCTTCCTCCAGGTCTCCCACACGGGTGCAGAGGCCCAAACACTTGGGCCATCTTCCACTGCTTTCCCAGGCCACAGCAGAGAGCTGGATCAGAGGTGGAGCAGCCGGGACTTGAACAAGTGGGATGCCGGCACTGCAGGCAGCAGTTTTACCCACTACACCACAGCGCCGGCCCCTCTCCATGAACTCTTTGGAAGATCTCTTGGTTAAGGGTGACTCATATCTATCATACATTTATAAATGAAGGACTTAAAATGCAGGGAGGAGGCATACAGGTAGTCGGTGGGGTAGAAAAGACTCAAGCGCAGAATATCCCACTGCCTTCTCCATTTGAAATCCCCTGCCTCAGGAGTTTCCCCGGGGGACCCTCGGGGCTTCATTTCCCGGGTGAGTTCTGGCGTCAGCCGAGTCCAGAGCTCCAGGAGTCGCGCTGAGGGAGTGTCCCGAGGGAGACACCGACACACTGCTGCTGCTTTTCTTTGGTTCCCAGTTGTTACTGCTCTCCTTTTCTGCTCTGTTCTCTATTGTATTCTCCCCATCTTTTGTCTACACTTACAAAATATCCACATTAGCTGTCAGGTTGTGACTCGTCTCTGGGCTCCACCCTCCTCCCCTTTCTGTTCTCTGTCCTCTTAACAATAGTGAGGACTTCAGAAAATCCACCGGAGAGTGCAGTGAAAAGATGAGCTTGGGGCCCTAGCTTCCTGCTAATGTGCGCTCTGGAGGCAGTGGGTGGTGACTTAGTACTTGAGCACCTGCCACCGCCAAGCGGGAGACGTGGAGTTCTGGGCTCCTGGCTTCCACCTGGCCCAGCACTGCGATTGCAAGCAAACATTTGAGGAGTCAATGACCAGATTTGCAATCTCTTTCTCTCCCTCTCTCCCTCTCTCTCTCTCTCTGTGTGCTTTTCAAGTATTTTTAAAAGGGCTTATTTTGATGTAAATGCATTTTGAAATCTAGGCATTGTTTTTTTAATACACATTTTCATGAACTTTTTGAAGCTCCTTTGTGTACAGGGGTTTTCACAGTTTTCTTGAACAAAAACAAACATGTTTAGATTCCATTTTCCTTGGAGCTTGTTGAAGGACCTACATATATGCCCTGCAAGGTATTTCTTGGAAATAATTTCTTGGTATTTCCTTGGAAATCTGTACTTGGATTTTTCATATTGTATATTTTCCATATACCTCTTATAGTATTTTATATTTATCTGTTTTCATCTATTTGAAAGGCAGAGTGACAGAGGGAGAGAGACAGAGATCTTTGATCTGCTGATTTGCTCCCCAAATGCCTGCAATAGCTGGAGTTGGGCTAAGCTGAAGCCAGGAGCAAGGAACTCATGTGGGTCTCTCCCACCTCCCAGCATGCATTAGCAGGAACTTGGATCAGAAGTGCAGTAGCTGGACTTGAACCAGGAGGCCAAAATGGGATGCACGCATTCTAAGCAGCAGCTGAACCCACTGGGCCATAAGTCCCGCCCCTCCACAGGCCTTTTGAAGACTGTAGATTCTCTCTGTGGGTCCTCGCAACAGCCTGGATGAGTGAGATACTAGTATGACCCCACTTTACAGATGGAACACTTGAGGTTCAGCGAGATGAAAGGCCAGGTAGCCAGTAGTTGGCAGAGTTACGGGAACAGCCCACGTTGTTCGTGCCCGTGGGACCGGAAGCTGATCTTTTCACTAGGAGGCTGTGCTGACTGCTAAACTGACAACGCGTTTGGGTTCAAGGGCACCTCTGAAGGTCCATGGGATATAGAGTGAAAAGGTAAGCTTGTAGAGGGGCAAAGTTTTCTGAAGCCCATACAAGGATCTTGAAAACATTTCAGGAAAAATGTGTGTTATGAAATAAAACTCCGGCCGCAGCGCGCCGGTCGCGGCGGCCATTGGAGAGTGAACCAATGGCAAAAGGAAGACCTTTCTCTCTGTCTCTCTCTCTCACTGTCCACTCTGGCTGTCAAAAAAGAAAAAAGAAATAAAACTATGCATGGATTTCTAAATTTGCCCCGGGGACGGAGGCTGGTGGATCCTCAGAGGACCAAGAAGAGATGTCAGCTTTACTACAGTCCCTGCTGACCAGCCAGGAGCTCTTGTCCCCAGCTGCCCCGAGCCCCAGGGCTCTGATGTTTGGCTGTCTGCTCTGTGGTCATTTCCACCTCATTGGCACAGCACCAAACAGAGGCAAAGTGCAAACTGCCCCGAGACTGGGCAGCCGGTGCCGTCAGCTGCGTGTCAGCCTTGGCCATCCGTTGCTTTCAGAGGTGAAGTGCACCGGCTACATGAGCATTGTGTAATATTTAGTAGAACTCAGAGCCGTCTCCATATGACAACAAAGAAAAAAATGTGGTACAGAAAGATGGAAAACCAAGGAAGAGCCGGCCAAACAGTGTAAACCACCATCTCAGCCTTTTGGTGCAGGCCGCGTGTGTGCGTTTGTGAGTTAGCACTGCGCTTTAGACTGGCAGTTATCTTGTACGCCAGAAATACATGCAGTTAATCAGTGTTGGTCAGAAATTTTCTTTTTAAACAGTGCAAGGTGATGGAGAAACGCTAAACTAGCCAGATTGGACCACCCACTGGATACGAGTGTTGAATTATCACAATATACCCCCCCCAGTATGTAGAACTAAAATAACTTTTAAGTGTTTATGTATTTCTGTTTGTTTATTTCAGAGGCAGAGAGTGAGATCTTCCATAGGCTGGTTCACTCCCCAAACGTTCACAACATTTGGGGCTGGGCCAGGTCAAAGCCAGGAGGCCGGAACTCCATCCTGGTCTCTTACGTCATGCGTGGCAGGGACCCCAGTACTTGGGCCATTTTCTGCTGCCTTCCAAGCACATTAGCAGGAAGTTGGCTCAGATGCAGAAGCCGGACTTGGTCTCAGGCTCTCCAGTATGAGATATGGGCATTGTAAGCGGTAGCTTAACCCACTGTGCCACAGTGCCTGCCCCAATTAAAATCATTTTAAAATATCTCCCCCCACCAAAACAAAAAAACCCAAAAAGTGGGCAGAGATGTGCAGAACTGACTGTAAATGCAAAGGTTTGGTATTTTGGCATGAAAATTAGCCGTAGTCAGAAAATTAACTTGCATTTCCACTGTGTGTGGGAGTAGAACTCAAACATGCTGATTGCCCAGCTCAGGGGCTAGGGTGGATGTTGGAAGTGTGGTGAAATTAAGCCAAGAAGGGGCGCTTCTAGATTCCAGGGCGTGTGCCTCACGGATGGAAGTCGGGTGGTTGCGTGGCCATGGCGGTGTGGATTAGCGCCCTCTGCGTCAGTTTCTTCATTGTACACGGAGAATAGAAACAGGCTGTAGTTGAAGCCGGGGGGGCCTGTGGACCACACTTTGCGCAGCGTCTGGCTCATCCTAAGAGACCAGGGATCGTTCCCCCACACTTCTACTATAGGATGACATAATTCTTATTTAACATCATACTTCTCAGCCCTCCAAAATGTACATTTGGCTCTTCCGAGGGAGAGGATAGTTACAGGGGTGCTGTTGTGGACTTGGAGCTGAACGGTCACAGAGCTTTGTGACCTTGGGCCTGTGCTGCTGGGAGGTGTTGGGGTGGCGCGGCAGGCCAGAGAACTGGCGCAGTGTCAGAGTTTGGGTTTCTTTGTAAATAGAAGTGGGTGAGCTGGCTGTTGGTGGGTCCCTGGGGCCAGTTCCAGCTAAGTTCTAGCCAGTTCTAAGGTTGCAATTATTTTTTTTTTATTTGTTCCTCTTTGTATTCCTTCCAGGTTCAAGTAACTAGCAAATAAAGCCCAGATTAGTTGCCCTGCTGCATGTTTCCTCATTAATGTAGTGAGAGAGCAAAGAAACTCAAGCCTGTATCCGCTTTTAAAACCTGTATGGCATATGATAGGTGCGCAAATAAAATATTCTTAAATAAAGAAGGTAGATGGTGTATGTATTACAGATTAATTAATTAACGAATTAATACTACTAACAGATGGCAAAAAAGGGGGGATCCCCAAGTCTTTGCCATTAAGATAGAGCAATATTACTAGCAACCAGCTGGTCACATAACTAGAAATTGATGTCTGGCAGTAAAATTAAACAACTGTTGCTTTTTCCAAAATCAGGGTTAAAATAGAAAATTAACGGGTGAATGCCGTACCTGATGGTTCTATGCCCATGTTCCACATGGTTCCTGAGCTGATGGAACTCACTTCTGGCTGCTGACTCATGCTTCCTGCTAATGCAAGTCCCTAGGTTCCCTACCCGTATGGGAGACCTGGATGGGGTTCTTGGCTCCCTGCTTCAGCTCAAGCCATTGAGGGCATCTAGGTGTGTGAATCAGCAGATGGGAGCTGTCTCACTCCATTTCTGTCTATTTCTTCTCTCTGTTTCCTCTCTACTCTCCTCTCTCCCCTCTCCTCCCTCCTTCCTCCTCCTTCCTCTCTCCCCTCTCTCCCCTCTCCTCCCTCCTTCCTCCTCCTTCCTCTCTCCCCTCTCTCCCTCTCTCCCTCTCTCTCTCCTTCTTATAGATAAACAGTGATGGGTATTGTGGCTTAGCAGATTAAGCCACAACTTGGGGATGTCCACATCTCATATCAGAATTCCTGGTTCAAATCCTGGCTACTCTGCTTTGGATCCAGCTTCCTGTTAATGTGCATCCTGGGAAGGCAGCAGATAGTGGCTCAAGCACCTAGTATTTGCCACCCACATGGGAGCCCCAGAAGGAGTCCCAGGCTCCTGGCTTCAGCCTGACTCAGCCCTGGCTGTTGCTGGAATTTGGGGAGTGAACCAACTGGTGGAAGAGCTCTCTCTCTTGCTCTCTCTCGCTCTCTCTCAGACTCTCTTTCAATAAAATAAAAATAAATAAACAAACATTGTTTAAAATAAAAAAAAATAGTGACTCCAAGCATGGATGTGACTGTGTTTGAAGTTCAGAAAAAACAAAGACAAAACAGGACTTCTTTGAGTGCAGTACTGGATAGAAGTTATAAAAATAGACTGATGAAGGCAGAAGAAAAAGCCAAAAAGAGGAAATATGGGGGAGGGATTTGAAAAAGTTCATGGAAAATGGAAATAAGGAATGTTGGTTTTGGCACAGAAAGTGTTTTAAATCCGTGCCTAGCTTTCCATCACATCAGTCTTTTGAAGAACCTTTGTACACGTGGATCTCAAAATTTCACCACAAAATAAATGTATCGTGTTATTTTGCTTTCCATGAATTCTTGAAGTACTCTCGTATATTTAAAGTTAAGAAACAGTCAAAGGCAAAAAAAAAAAAAAAATACAGCCCAGAGATACTTTTATGATACTCCTCAGTGTGTGGAGTTGCGTAGCATTTTTATGCCCTATGTGTTTCCGTTACTGCTAACCGATTCTGCTCACTGTGTTTCTCTGAAAGTTCTATGTCAACCAGAATGCCACAGGCCAGGGAAGTGTGCGTTTATGCTGAGTTGGGGTGCACATCAGTGAGCAGCTCGCACTAGAAATCTGCCACTTAGCTCGAGTTCTGCTAAGATGGCAGCCTGTTAACAAAGGTTCACCTGGGAAACACTGCATTTTATCATAATCACAATCAGTCAATGAGATGCTTCTTTGACACCAGTCATTCTGTAGCACAGAGCACACATCCTGGGGGCGGGATTGTGGTGGAGCAGGTTAAACCACTGCTTCCAACACCTGCATCCCATATCAGAGTGCCAGCTACTCCTCTTCTGATCCAGCTCCCAGCTAATGTGCCTGGGAAGACAGTGGATGATGGCTCAAGGTTCCTGCCATACACATGGGAGACCTGGATGGAGGTCTGGGCTCCTGGCTTTGGCCTGGCCCAGCTCTGGCAGTTGCAGCCGTTTGGGGAGTGAACAGCAGATGGAAAATCACTTTGCCTTTCCAATAAATACACACACACACACACACACACTCCTTATTCCTAAGTGAATTTCTTTTTTTAGTGGGGGCCGGTGCCGTGGCTCACTTGGTTAATCCTCAGCCTGTGGTGCTGGCATCCCATATGGGCACTGGGTTCTAGTCCCGGTTGATCCTCTTCCAGTCCAGCTCTCTGCTGTGGCCCTGGAAGGCAGTGGAGGATGGCCCAAGTGCTTGGGCCCCTGCACTCTCATGGGAGACCAGGAAGAAGCACCTGGCTCCTGGCTTTGGATCAGCGCAGCGCCAGCCATGGCGGCCATTTAGGTGGTGAACCAACAGAAGGCAGACCTTTCTCTCTGTCTCTCTCACTGTCTGTATTTCTACCTGTCAAATAAAAAAAATGAAAATGTTCTACATTTAAAAAAAATTATTTTTTTAAAGATTTATTTATTTGAAAATCAGAGAGAAAAGGAAAGGCAGAGAGAGAGAGAGAGGTCTTCCATCTGCTGGTTCACTCCCCAAATAGCTGCAATGGCCAGAGCTGGGCCAATCCAAAGCCAGGAGCCAGGAGCTTCTTCCGGGTCTCCCATGCAGGTGCAGGGGCCCAAGGACTTGGACCATCTTCCACTGCTTTTCCAGTCACATTCGCATGGAGTAGGATTGGAAGTGGAGCAGCCAGGACTCGAACCAGCGCCCACATGGGATGCTGGCACTGGAGGTGGTGGCTTTACCTGCTGCACCACAGCACCAGCCCTGTTAAGTGAATTTCTCTAGAATGGCCAGTATAATCGGAGTATTCCAGAGAAGGATAGGGAGCACAGTGGGAGATAAATGTATCTCTGTATCAAATTATCTTTTACCTCTAAATTGAAAATGCCTAACAGATAATTACTGGACCATTCTTTCATTTCTGAGAAATATTCTACGGGGTCCATAAGCGATCCAGCTGTTTGAGTGCAGTGAGAACACAGCACTGACCTGTAAACTTTTGGTCCTTCACACAGCGATATCTCAGTGCTGAGTCGGTGAAAGTCCTACCAGGGACTCCTTATAAAGAACAGGAGATACTTTCAGATCGCCCTGCTGAAGGTCATGGTTTGACTCCAGCTGTTTGTAATCAGAAGTGCAGCTGAGTCATCCATGTTCCTTGTTATATCTATATATATGCACATGTATATAAAGCTAAATACTTCAGAGCCTACTTGAGAAGTGTGAAGTTAAAAGCGTGTGGTTTGCGAGAACACTTCAGAAGTTTATGGAATTCAAAGATCAGTTTATTTTGATGCAAGGCATATTTAAAATCCAGGCACAGTTTTCTCCTACGATGCATTTTCCATGAACTTTTTAAAGATCCACGCCTCCCCTCCTTGTATTTCATTGTATCCTGGCTGGTGTCGTAAAGAGTTATGTATTTATTTTAGTTATTTAGTTTTTGATGCTTGGTGTTTTTTTTTTCCCCTGATTCAATAGCGTGCACGCCAATGTAAGCGTTGCTTAATCGTGTGCTGTGCACCTTGAAACGCTGGCCAGTTCCCTGCAATGCCTGGGACGCCCACACCCGCACGCACACGCTCTCACCAGTCTCCTGGGGCTTCCCGCTAACGCCCGCACGCCCGTTGGCTTCCTCTGTTCCCCAGGAAGACCGTACCTGTGTACATGCAGCTCGGCTGCCTGGAAACCTGTGGCGCCGGGTCACGTGACTGTTGCTATGCCCGTGGAGGGGGCATTTTTCGCTTCTTTCTTCCTTCTTCTGCCCTTATTTTGTTTCTTTTAACTTGGGGGAAAATATCGGAGGCTCCCAGGTCTTGGCAGGTGCACATCTGAAAACTTTGGACTCCTGGCTTTTCACCCCGGGATTATCTGTGGATTTATCTTAGGGTGCCGCGCCTCCCATCCAGGTTCTGGACTTTTCTGAGGAGCCGGGAGCTGCCGGAGCCACGGTGGAGAGAGGTGGGCCTGAGCTTGCAGAAGTCCTCCATGCCTGCAGATCCCAGGTAGCCGAGCTGGAGCTGTGGCTGCAACAAGCCAACGTGGCATTCGAGCCGGAAACATTAAACGCAGACATGCAGCAGGTGGTGGAGCAGGAGTTGGTCGGCTGCCAGGTGAGACTGATGCCCAGAGTTCATGGTTTGCCTCTTGACCAATCAATTCGCTGCCAAGACCGAGTGAGTTTCTCTTAAAGCAACAGCAGGCTGCTTTCCACGCATTGGACCCTCCCATTTTCGATGGCCTCAGTTTGCGATTCCCAGGGTAATTCTTTAAAATGCTTTGTGTACGTGGTGTCTTTGGGAGGACAGGAATGGGTAATTACATGCCAGGATTCTAAAGCCCAAATCCAGCTCTGTCCCTTTAACTGTGGACTTGGGGGACCCCTCTGTACATGAGGGTTCTTCAGTAAATTTGGGGGACATATGTATTATGAAAAAACTGGGCATGAATTTCAACTTTCTCTGCACCAAAATAGACATAACTCTTGATTGCATTTTTCCAATGAACTCTTTGAGATCCCTTTATACAGTATAGTGGGTGATCTCCCAGTGTGTTTTTATAGGAATTCCATGAAATAGGGGGTGCAAAGCAGTGTCTGGAGCAGGAAGTATGTAAAAAGTGCCTGGGAGGTGCTGAGTGTGATTTGCACCAGGAGTGATTCACCAGAAATGAAACTGCTGATTTGCAAGGTTGCACGGAGGTGGAGAAGGCTTCGAGGCGCTCTGTGGTCTGAGCTGTGCAAGGGGCAGGCGGCAGCTTCTCTCCTCTCCCCACCTGGAGAAAAGCTCGGGGCCCAGCGCAGAGGCTGGGATCTGTGTCTTTTCAGGAGAGGCATCCAGCGGCACGAACCGCAGAAGCCTCTGCCTGCACCCGCGTTTAGGACACCTGCCTGCTGGCGTGTTTTTCTGCCAGGCCCAGGGAGCTCTGCCTGCACTGGCCTGTTGTGTGGTTGGGGTCACCTGCCCTCCCTCCATCAGTGGCGTCCAGTCTCCCCTTCTTCTCAGGCCCCAGCCACAACATCTAGTCGGGGAGGCTGGCAGATGGGCTGGCCTCTTTGGGGCAGCTTGGCACCCATGATTCCAAAGGTCTGTGGCCTGGCTGATGGGGGGTGGGGCACACACCTGCAGGAAAGAGCCAGCGTAGGAATCGTATTGCACGGGGCAGCACTGTGCTGACCTGAACCCGCGCCCTTGCAGATGGTGGCTGCAACCGTCAAGGATCTGTTTGCCCTCTGGGTGGTGCAGACTCCGTGCCAACTGCTCACTCGCCACCGAGATCCCATCCTTTATCAGAGCTTGTGTGTGTTGAGTTCAAGGTTTTCCGAGCTGCGCCAAGAAAAGATCTGACCACTAGATGGCAGTCGCACCCAGGCACAGGACGGTGATTGGTCTCTGAGGTTTACCCGGAAGGGGGCAGGTGCAGTTTTTGGGGAATATGGCACCAGTAGGCTTGGAGCTAATGGTTCTGGCGTGCTGTGAGGAAATAAACAACACAGGGGCCAAAGGCAAGGGCCACCTTTGGCTGATTTATGTATCAGTGTAACACCTACACTCTAATATGAGACCAGCAAAACGCCTCCCGACAGAAGCAAGCAAGGAAAATTATTTGGCAATTTAATAGCTGAGAAGACAGAATTTTTGCTAATATGATATCATCCCAGTGAACTCTGGGAAAATAGACCCTCCGCCGGCCGCTAGTTCTGTCTCCTTGGTTCGTTGCTTTGGGGAGGTCAGCCGTAGTAGGCATGGAAGATGTCCATCTTCTTTGACCTAATAATGCCGTCAGTTTACATTTGCCCTCTGAAAATCATCTAGAATGAGGAAAATGATGACATTGATGACAAAAGCGAAACACTGGAAAGACTTAGAAGGGGAACAAGATGGAAGTTGAAGAAGTTCACAAGTGAATCGTGGAATTGCCATGTGTGGAGTCACGCAGTGAGAAAAACGCATGAAACAGCTAAGCGGGAAAAACTGAGCACACGGTGTTTACAATCGCTTAAACATCAACGAGTGCAAATTGTTTCCTCTTCGAAGAATCTATGAAGCATAAATATCATTTGCTTAGATGAAGGAGTTACTAGATACTTGAAAAATTTGTTTTAAAGATGGAGTTCCTTAAGCTTCTCTCAACACACTGAACGTGCTCCTGTGCTGTTATGGTGCCAGTGGCGTGGGCGGGGTCCTTGGCCCCAGAGGGCACAGACCTCCCCTGGGGATACATGGGGAACTTGCTTCCAAAAAACTGGTTTGTTTCCAGACCTGTGTGTAAACTGGCCAGTTGCCTCAACGACTAAGTGTCTTAAGTTCCAGATTATTCTATTTTCAGAGCATATTTGGCTAAGGCAGGAGAAGGAATGAATTTTCAAATTGTGTAGAATTCTCTTTTAAGATTTATTTATTTATTTGAAAGGCACAGATACAGAGAGGCAGAAGCAGAGAGGGAGGGGGAGAGAGAGAGAGAGAGAGAGAGAGAGAGAGAGAGAGAGAGAGAGAGAGAGAGAAAGGTCTTCCATCTGCCAGTTCAATCCCCAAATGACTGCAACAGTCAGAGCTCCAAAGCCAGGAGCCAGAAGCTTCTTCCAGGTCTCCTATATGGGTGCAGGGACCCAGGAACTTGGGCCATCTTCCACTGCTTTTCCAGGCCATAGCAGAGAGCTGGATCAGAAGTAGAGTAGCTGGCCAGTGCCGGCTTACTAGGCTAATCCTCCACCTGTGGCACCGGCACCCTGGGTTCTAGTCCCCGTTGGGGCGCCGGATTCTGTCCCGGTTGCCCCTCTTCCAGTCCAGCTCTCTGCTGTGGTCCGGGAGTGCAGTGGAGGATGGCCCAAGTGCTTGGGCCCTGCACCCGCATGGGAGACCAGGAGGAAGCACCTGGCTCCTGGCTTCGGATCGGCACAGCGCACCAGCTGTAGCGGCCATTGAAGGGTGAACCAACGGAAGGAAGACCTTTCTCTCTGTCTCTCTCTCTCTCTAACTCTGCCTGTTACATCTCTCTAATCATCCTGACGTATTACAGCTGAAAGACTTGAACTGGCGCCCATATGGGATGCTAGACTGCAGGTGGTGTACCTGGGATTCTTTTTTTTTTCCTTCCCTCTTCAACACTTGGATTGGGAAGGTCGGGGCCGAGGCTGTGTCCTGTGCATGGATTTCACTTGTTAACCGCTCACATGACCCTAGGAAGTGAGGCCTGTATATTCCCATTTTACAGATGGTTCACACTCTGTAACAGAAGGGGGCAGTGTTTACACAGCGGCTAAGTGGCAAGGCTGGGATCCAAACCCTGACACTCTAGCCAGTGTCTTTGGTCTTCTGCTGTGTTTCCTAAAGTGATTATAGCCCCGCTTATTCTAATTGTTCCGCAGGTGACCTCTGTTCTCATTGCAATTCTGCTGCAAAGCACAGGAGTTCATGTACAAGGTTTGGGTTTCTCCAAGGTTCCTCCTGGCCTGGGCTTCTGAGACTTCTCATTTACAAGGGTATTTCTAAAAGTTCATGGAAAATGGAATGAGGAGATACGTTTGTTTTGGTGCAAAACTTTTTTATATTGCTGTAGTTTTTTAAATCCGAGAGACAGAGAGAGCTCCCGTGCACTGGTTCAACCCCATTATGGGTGCAGCAGGTGGGGCTGAGGCACTGGAGTCTCCCACACGGGTGGCAGGGACCCCAGTGTTTGCGCCGGCACCTGCTGCCTGCCAGAGTGCACTTTAGCAGGAAGCTGGGATGGGGACCGAAGCTGAGACCAGAACCCCGGGCACTCTGATATGGGAGGCAGGCACCCTAAGCAACACCTTACCTGCCCCACAGAAAAAATTTGAAACCCATGCCTATGAGAAGGCTTATTATGAAATTCCAATGCATGGATTTCAAAAAGAAAATTCTGCATCAAAATTATCTTTTAATTCCATCTTTCCAGCACACTTTTCCAAGGACCCTCCAGCGTTCAGGTCAGGGGAATCGATTATTTGGGGGGAACAATGCGTGTTTGAGCCCAGCACTCTGAGTGATGAGAGGATTCAGTTTCCTAGGCAGTAATGGCGTGGTTTTCTGTGCTAGGCTATGCTCACAGACATCGAGCACAAGGTCGCTTCCCTGTTGGAGACCTGCAGGGACCAGAGCCTGGGCGAGAGTGGAGCCATCCAGTACGAAGCGGAAGCCCTTTCTCTGAAACTCAGAACTGTCAAGTGCAACTTGGAGAAGGTCCAGATGATGTTGCAAGAGAAGTACAGTGAGGATCAGGTAAAACGCAGCTCCACGCAGGCATGCCTGCTGAGAGACGCGCGGACGGCAACCCCATGCCATGGGGTTAGAATTGTGGGTAGAAGTAACCAACCAACTACACAGAAACCGTGCTAAGAGTGGTGGTACAATGGTGGTACTTTCACAAAGTTGGTGGGAAGTGGAGTTGAGGACAGGTTTCTTTTGGTGCAAAATATTTGAAATCCAGGCACATGGCGGGGTCATTGAAAAGTTCACGGACAATGAGTGTTACGAAAAAACAATGCATAGATTTCAAAAATTTTTGTACCAAAATAAACTCATTGTTTAATCCAGTTTTCCACTAACGTTTTGAAGTTCTCTCTTACACATCTTAAAGCATCCAGGAATGGACCCACTGCTTTTGTTGTTTTTATTTTATTGTCAGTGATTGGTTTCTCGTCCAGGTTGTTGGTGAGGGTAGTGGTGTGTCTTGGTTGGTCTATTGGAGTTGAGTGAAGAGAAGGCACAGTGTAAGGCGTCTTCATACAAGAAGGGTGGGTTTGGAGGGCTTTTGCAACTCCAGTGGACTAGAAAACAAAGCCTGTAGAGATATGATTAGCAAAGCAAAACCTGTTTCCAGGGCACTTTTGTTACTCATTTACAAACATTTATGTATTTTTAAATATTTATTTATTTATTTGAAAGTCAGAGTTATACAGAGAGAAGCAGAGAGAGAGAGAGAGAGAGAGAGAGAGAGAGTCTTCCATCTGCTGGTTCACTCCCCAGGTGGCTGCAATGGCTAGAGCTGTGCCGATCAGAAGCCAGGAGCCAGGAGCTTCTGAGTCTCCCATGTGGGTGCAGGGGCCCAAGGACTTGGGCCATCTTCCACTCCTTTCCCAGGCCATAGCAGAGAGCTGGATCAGAAGTGGAGCAGCCAGGACTTGAATCAGTGCCCATATGGGATGCCAGCACTGCAGGCGGTGGCTTTACCCACTATGCCACAGCGCTGGCCCCAAATATTTATGAATGTTGATCAAAGTATCATAAGCTAAGGTGTTCTCATAATTTCTAAGGAATTCCATGTTTGTAAATGTCAGCGAGCATCCTGTGAGTAGGATCTTGCCATGTAAGATTTGCATCTGTGCTTGTTAGTGGCTCCTGCTTGTGGATTTACATTCAAAGAAGTGAGGTTGACCGCCCATACACAGGCCACATGATTCCTGTCTCATCTTAACATGCGCTATCTTTAAAAAGGGTGGGGCTGGTGCTGTGGCCTAGTGGATGAGGCTGCCACCTGCAGCACCAGCATCCCATGTGGGCACCAGTTGGAGTCCCGGCTGCTCCACTTCCAATCCAGCTCTCTGCTTTGGCCTGGGAATGCAGTGGAAGATGGCCCAAGTCCTTGGGCTCCTGCACCCACAGGGGAGACCTGGAAGAAGCTCCTGGCTCCTGGCTTCGGATTGGCACAGCTCCAGCCATTGCGGCCAACTGGGGAGTGAACCAGCGGATGGAAGAGATTCTCTCTCTCTCTCTCTCTCTCTCTCTCTCTGTCTGCCTCTCCTTCTCTCTCTTTCTGTGTAACTCTGACTTTCAAATAGATAAATATTTAAATAAATAAATAAAATAAAAATGCATGAGGATTCTTCAGAAAGTTCATGGAAATACAGCTTATGAAAAATGATGCACGTGTTTCTAAATTTTTTGCACTCAAATAAACATCTTTAACATCATTTTCCTTGCACTTTTTGAGATATCCACATGCTGTATGTAGACATGGAGCAAACCTGAGTCCACGGGTGGGCATTGTGGGGCAACAGGCAAAGCCTCTGCTCGCAACACCAACATCCCCTATCCAAGAGCCAGTCCTGGTCCAGGCCGCCCTGCCTCTGGTCCAGCTTCCTGCTAACGTAGCCTGGGAGGCAGCAGTGATGGCTCAAGTGCCTGGGCCCCTGCCACCCGCCTGGGGAACTCAAATGGAGCTCCAGGCTCTTGGCTTTGGCCTGGCCCAGCCTGGCTGTTGTGGGCATTTGGGGGGTGAACCAGCACAGGAAGGGTCAGTCAGGATCTCTCTCTCCAAGTAGATGAAAAAAATAAGTAAATAAACTTAAAAAAAATCTGAGCTCATAAGCATAGCACTGTTTCCTATGTGTGTGTGTGTGTGTGTGTGTGTGTATAATTTTACTTTGTTCTTAGGGGAAAAAGACAGTGTGTTTCGTAGCTGTGTGACTCATTGGGTGAATTGAGGGAAAAAGATGCCTTCCTCAAATGTAGTAGGTTTTGGAAGCTGTTCTGAAATAAATACATTGAATCACGAATACTGTCGTTTCATTTAGAAGTGTTCCCTGTGCAGTCCCGTTGTTAGAACTGAGATGCAGAGAGGTGTTTTTGACACAGCCTGCCCACGCGCCCCCCCCCTTTTTTTTTTGCAGCATCCTACCATTCTAAAGAAACCTCCAGATCATCAAGGCGTTCTACAACCAGGTGACCTTTCGGAATGGGAACGGACCGAAACGGAAAGGCCACAGTTCCACAGACAAAAAGATATCCTAGAACCACAGGTAATTTGAGAGTTGTCAGGACAAGACTCACGCTTCTGGTACGGAATGGCCCTTTGTCCTAAACTCTGACCTGCGTGCTGTGTGTCCAGGGTGGGTGTCTGCCCCAGCCCTGAGTGCCCAGCGTTCACGGCTCAGCTGCCTCTGCCCACCTCTGGGGACACTCAGCTTGGCTCCCTGATGAACTCGCAGCTCGGCTCTGCTAAGCAGACACCTGCTGGGGGAGACCTCACCTCTGCAGCTGATGTCCAAACGCGTTCTCAGAGTTTCCATGGGAGTAATGTAGTTGAAATGACACTTGATTAGGGTGTGAATGTTTCCATTGGCTTTGGAGAAATAGGAGTTAGCCAGAACCAGCAAGCAAGGAAGAGAAATAGCAAATGATTCAGGAAGTGGTTCAAAATTAGATTATTTAAAAAGAAGATACCCTTGGGTACTCATGGAGAAATTTGATTGACTGGACCTTTTAAATCTTATTCAATGGTGCTGGCGCTGTGGTATAGCAGGTAAAGCCGTCACCTTCTGTGCATCCCATATGGGCGCCAGTTCAAGTCCCGGCTGCTCCACTTCCGATCCAGCTCTCTGCTATGGCCTGGGAAAGCAGTAGAAGATGGCCCAAGTCCTTGGGACCCTGCATATGTGTGGAAAGACCCAGAGGAAACTCCTGGCTCCTGGCTTCAGATTGGCTCAGCTCCGGCTGTTGTGGCCAACTGGGGAGTGAACCGTTGGATAGAAGATCTCTCTCTCTCTCTCTCTCTCTCTCTCTCTCTCTCTCTCTCTCCTTCTCTCTTTATATGACTTTCAAATAAATGAATAAATCTTTTTTTAAGAGAAAAATCTTATTCAATTGTAGGTCATGGAGCTAAAACCAATGGAACAGAAAGATTTAATCAAATTCATAGAATTTAATACTAAGAAAATGTGGCCCCAGGATTGCCAGCATGAAAAAGATCCAACTCAGGAATCATCAATGAGGTAAAACCTTTGAAAACAATTGGGTATTCGTGGCTTTATGATTGGGAAACTTACGAGAGTTTCTTTAGCACTTGTCCATGAAATAGTATGTGAATGTAATACCACATTGTTTTAGGTTGATTATTCTCTTCGTCTTTTTTTTATTCCTTAAAAGCAATAGGGCCTCCAGCCCTGAAAATGATGCTCCAGACTCGGTGTCGTGGCCCCAGGGCCGCAGTGGCGGGAGGTGGCTGTATCTGCACCGTAAGCTGTCATCCAGAACCAGACCCGCCCTGCCACAGCTGGTGGAGCCGCAGGTGGGTCTGTGAGCATGCAGTGTGCGCAGCCTATTTGGCGTGGAAACCCCAGAAGCGCGAGGGCTCTTCAGAAAGTTTGTGGGAAAGTAGAATTCAAAGATGAATTTATTTTGGTGTAGAAATTTTTGAGGCCCACGTGTAGTCTGTCTGAAATACGCATTTCCCACGAACTTTCTGCAGTACCCGGCAGTCCATAAATGAACATGTGTGTTTCATGTTAATGTAGCTGTTGATTTTTTTTCTTTTATAAATGTTTTCTCTCTTCTATTCCAGGACCAGTATTTCCTTTGTTAGCATTAGCTGAGAGTCTCCTAGCTTTGCTGACTTTAATTTCTTTTTTTTTTTTAAAATATATTGATCTATTTGAAAGGCAGAGTTATAGAGAGGCAAAGGCAGAGAGAGAGAGCGAGAAAGAGCGAGAGAGAGAGAGAGAGAAAGCTATTCCATTACTGATTTACTCCCCCAAATGCCTGCAACTTCCAGGGCTGGGCTGGACTGAAGCCAGGAGCCTGGGATTCCATCCTGGTCTCGCACTTGGGTGGTAGGGACCCAAGCACTCAAGCTGTCACCTGGGCGCCTCAGGGTGCACAATTAGTAGGAAGCTGGATTGGAAGCAGCGCGGGGGCTCGAACCCAGGTACTTCAACGTGGAATACGGGCATCCTGAGCAGTGTCCTGACCACTGTGCTAAATGCTCTGTGGCTCAACTTTTATAACCCATCTTCTCAAGGACACGCCCCTATGACCTGAGGACCTCCCACCAGGCCCGCCTCCCAAATAACATAGTTGGATTCAGTTTCTGTCCTGTCGGCAGCATGAACTGAGTTTAGGGGACAAGCAGCTACTTGAGCTGGGGACCAAGTCTTGTTTGAACCGTAGCAAAGCCCACCTTAGAGGGAAGGAGTATCTCATTCGAAGAGTTGATTATACCGTGTGCCAACCAGTACGTGAACGAGTAAGCAAATAGAGGACAGGCTAGTAAAGGAACCAAATTCAGTGCTACTCAATGGAAAGAGTTTACTTTGTTTCTCCAATTACAATTCGTTTTCCCTCATTTTGATATCTTTTTTTTATCTTTTATTTAATGAATATAAATTTCCAAAGTACGACTTATGGATTACAATGGCTTCCCCCCCATACCGTCCCTCCCACCCACAACCCTCCCTTTTCCCACTCCCTCTCCCCTTCCATTCACATCAAGATTCATTTTCGATTATCTTAATATACAGAAGATCAGCTTAGTATACATTAAGTAAGGATTTCAACAGTTTGCTCCCACACAGAAACATAAAGTGAAAAATAATCGATGATTTTTTTTAAATGATGATGAAATCAGATCAGACCTATTGTCATGTTTAATCCCAGTGAGAGTCAAGTTGGGAATTGATAATTTCTTCTTCTTTTTTCTTTTTTAACAGAAGCTCAGTTTAGTATACATTAAGTAAAGATTTCAACAGTTTGCACCCCCATAGAAACACAAAGTGAAATATACTGTTTGAGTACTCATTATAGCATTAAGCCTCAATGTACAGCACATTAAGGACAGAGATCCTACATGAGGAGTAAGTGCACTGTGACTCCTGTTGTTGACTTTACAAATTGACACTCCTGTCTATGGCATCAGTAATCTCCCTATGCACCAGTCATGAGTTTCCAAGGCTATGGAAGCCCCTTGAGTTCTCTGACTCTTATCTTGTTTAGACAAGGTCATAGTCAAAGTGGAGGTTCTCTCCTCCCTTCAGAGAAAGGTACCTCCTTCTTTGAAGACCTGTTCTTTCCACTGGGATCTCACTCACAGAGATCTTTTTGCCAGAGTGTCTTGGCTTTCCATGCCTGAAATACTCTCATGGGCTTTTCAGCCAGATCCGAATGCCTTTAGGGCTGATTCTGAGGCCAGAGTGCTATTTAGGACATCTGCCATTCTATGAGTCTGCTGAGTATCTCACTTCCCATGTTGGATCACTCTCCCCTTTATTTATTCTATCGGTTAGTGTTAGCAGGTACTAGACTTGTTTATGTGCTCCCTTTGACTCTTAGTCCTTTCATTATGATCAATTGTGAACTGAAATTGATCACTTGGAATTGTGAGATGGCATTGGCACATGCCACCTTGATGGGATTGAATTGGAATCCCCTGGTATGTTTCTAACTCTACCAATTGGGGCAAGTCAGCTTGAGCATGTCCCAAATTATACATCTCTTCCCTCTCTTATTCCCACTCTTATGTTTAACAGGGATCACATTTCAGTTAATTTTCAATACTTAAGAATAACTGTGTGATAATTACAGAATTAAACCAGTCATATTAAGTAGAACAGACAAAAAAAAATACTAAGAGGGATAATGTATTAAGTTGTTCATTAACAGGGCTATGCTGATCAAGTCACCATTTCTCATAGTGTCCATTTCACTTCAGGAGGTTTCCTTTTTGGTGTTCAGTCAGTTGTCACCGATCAGGGAGAACATATGGTATTTGTCCCTTTGGGACTGGCTTACTTCACTCAGCATGATGTGTTCCAGATTCCTCCATTTTGTTGCAAATGACTGGATTTCGTTGTTTCTTACTGCGGTATAGTATTCTAAAGAATACATATCCCATAATTTCTTTATCCAGTCTACCGTTGATGGGCATTTAGGTTGGTTCCAGGTCTTGGCTATTGTGAATTGTGCTGCAATAAACATTAGGGTGCAGACCGCTTTTTTGTTTGTCAATTTAAACTCCTTTGGGTAAATTCCAAGGAGTGGGATGGCTGGGTCGAACGGTAGGGTTATCTTCAGGTTTCTGAGGAATCTCCAGACTGACTTCCATAGTGGCTTGACCAGTTTGCATTCCCACCAACAGTGGGTTAGTGTCCCTTTTTCCCCACATCCTCGCCAGCATCTGTTGTTGGTAGATTTCTGAATGTGAGCCATTCTAACCGGGGTGAGGTGAAACCTCATTGTGGTTTTGATTTGCATTTTCCTGATTGCTAGCGACCTTGAACATTTTTTCATGTGCCTGTTGGCCATTTGGATTTCCTCTTTTGAAAAATGTCTATTGAGGTCCTTGGCCCATCTCTTAAGTGGGTTGTTTGTTTTGTTTTTGTGGAGTTTCTTGATCTCTTTGTAGATTCTGGTTATTAACCCTTTATCTGTTGCATAGTTTGCAAATATTTTTTCCCATTCTGTCGGTTGTCTCTTCACTCTCCTGACTGTTTCTTTTGCAGTACAGAAACTTCTCAATTTGATGCAATCCCAATAATTGATTTTGGCTTTGACTGCCTGTGCCTCCTGGGTCTTTACCAGAAATTCTTTGCCTGTGCCAATATCTTGAAGGGTTTCTCCAATGTTCTCTAATAACTTAATGGTGTCAGGACGTAGATTTAGGTCTTTAATCCACATTGAGTGGATTTTTGTGTAAGGTGTAAGGTAGGGGTCTTGCTTCATGCTTCTGCACGTGGAAATCCAGTTTTCCCAGCACCATTTATTGAATAGACTGTCCTTGCTCCAGGAATTGGTTTTAGATCCTTGGTCAAATATAAGTTGGCTGTAGATGTTTGGGTTGATTTCTGGTGTTTCAATTCTGTTCCATTGGTCTATCCATCTGTTTCTGTACCAGTACCATGCTGTTTTGATTACCACTGCCCTGTAGTATGTCCTGAAATCTGGTATTGTGATGCCTCCGGCTTTGTTTTTGTTGTACAAGATTGCTTTAGCTATTCGAGGTCTCTTGTGCCTCCATATGAATTTCAGCATCATTTTTTCTAGATCTGAGAAGAATGTCTTTGGTATCTTGATTGGGATTGCATTGAATCTATAAATTGCTTTTGGGAGAATGGACATTTTGATGATGTTGATTCTTCCAATCCATGAGCATGGAAGATTTTTCCATTTTTTGGTATCCTCTTCTATTTCTTTCTTTAAGATTTTGTAATTCTCATTGTAGAGATCTTTAACGTCCTTGGTTAAGTTTATTCCAAGGCATTTGATTGTTTTTGTAGCTATTGTGAATGGGATTGATCTTAGCAGTTCTTTCTCAGTCATGGCATTGCTTGTGTATACAAAGGCTGTTGATTTTTGTGCATTGATTTTATATCCTGCCACTTTGCCAAACTCCTCTATGAGTTCCAATAGTCTCTTAGTAGAGTTCTTTGGATCCTCTAAGTACAGAATCATGTCGTCTGCAAAGAGGGATAGTTTGACTTCTTCCTTCTTGATTTGTATTTCTTTGATTTCTTTTTCTTGTCTGATGGCTCTGGCTAAAACTTCCAGAACTATGTTAAATAGCAGTGGTGAGAGTGGGCATCCCTGCCTGGTGCCAGATTTCAGTGGAAATGCTTCCAACTTTTCCCCATTCAATAGGATGCTGGCTGTGGGTTTTTTATAAATTGCTTTGATTATATTGAGGAATGTTCCTTCTATACCCAATTTGCTTAGAGTTTTCATCATGAAAGGGTGTTGAATTTTATCAAATGCTTTCTCTGCATCAATTGAGATAATCATATGGTTTTTCTTTTGCAGTCTGTTAATGTGGTGAATCACATTGATTGATCTGCGAATGTTGAACCATCCCTGCATACCAGGGATGAATCCCACTTGGTCTGGGTGGATGATTTTCCTGATGTGTTGTTGTACTCTATTGGCCAGAATTTTATTGAGGATTTTTGCATCTATGTTCATCAGGGATATTGGTCTGTAATTTTCTTTCAGTGCTGCATCTTTCTCTGGCTTAGGGATTAAGGTGATGCTGGCTTCATAGAAAGAATTTAGGAGGATTCCCTCTTTTTCGATTGTTCTGAATAGTTTGAGAAGAAATGGGATTAGTTCTTCTTTAAATGTCTGGTAGAATTCAGCAGTGAATCCATCTGGTCCTGGGCTTTTCTTTGTTGGGAGGGCCTTTATTACTGTTTCAATTTCTGTTTCAGTTATGGGTCTATTTAGGTTTTCTATGTCTTCATGGTTCAATTTTGGTAGATTGCATGTGTCCAGGAATCCATCCATTTCTGATAGGTTTCCCTGTTTGCTGGCATACAGGTCCTTGTAGTAATTTCTGATGATTCTTTTTATTTCTGTGGTGTCTGTTGTTACGTTTCCTTTTTCATCTCTGATTTTATTGATTTGGGTCTTTTCTCTTCTTTTTTTAGTTAGTTGGGCCAATGGGGTGTCTATTTTGTTTATTTTTTCAAAAAACCAGCTTCTCGCTTGGCTGATTTTTTGTAGTGTTTTTTTTGGATTCAATCCTGTTAATTTCTTCTCTGGTTTTAATTATTTCTCTTCTCCTACTAGATTTGGGTTTGGTTTGCTGCAGTTTTTCTAGGTCCTTGAGATGCGCTGAAAGCTCATTTATTTGGTACCTTTCCAATTTCTTGATATAGGCACCTATTGCTATAAATTTGCCTCTCAATACTGCTTTTGCTGTATCCCATAAGTTTTGATATGTTGTGTTGTTGTCTTCATTTACTTCCAGAAAGTTTTTGATTTCTCTTTTGATTTCTTGAATGACCCAGTGTTCATTCAGGAGCATGTTGTTCAGTCTCCATGTGTTTGCATACTTTCTGGGGTTTCCTGAGTTGCTAATTTCCAGCTTCATTCCGCTGTGGTCTGAGAAGCTGCATGGTATGATTCTAATTCTTTTAAATTTGCTGAGACTTGCTTTATGGCCTAGTATGTGATCAATCCTAGAGAAGGTTCCATGCGCTGCTGAGAAGAATGTGAAGTCTGTAGATGTAGGGTTGAAAGTTCTGTAGATATCTGTTAGATCCATTTGGGCAATAGTGTCAATTAAATCTGCTGTTTCCTTGTTGATCTTCTGTCCGGATGATCTGTCTATTTCTGAGAGTGGAGTATTGAAGTCCCCCAGTACTATTGTATTGGAATCTAAATCTCCCTTTAAGTCCCTTAACATATCTTTTAAATAGACCGGTGCCCTGTAATTAGGTGCATATACATTTATAATAGTTACATCTTCCTGTTGAATTGAACCCTTAATCATTATATAGTGTCCCTCTTTGTCTCTCTTAACAGTTTTTGTATTAAAGTTTATTTTGTCTGATATTAATATGGCTACACCTGCTTTTTTTTGGTTTCTGTTGGCATGGACTATCTTTTTCCAACCTTTCAGTTTCAGTCTGCATGCCTCTTTGTTAGAGAGATGTGTTTCTTGTAGGCAACAAATAGTTGGGTTGTGTTCTTTGAGCCAGTCAGCCAAACGGTGTCTTTTAACTGGAGAATTCAGACCATTAATGTTCAATGTGACTATTGATACGTAGTGACTTTGCCCTGCCATTTTCCCGGAAATATTTTCTAGTATATGCTTTGAGCTTCCCATGCTCTTTTACTGGTAGGTGTTCTTCCTTTCCCTTCTTTCATATTGATGGCCATGTTTCTGTGTTTCTGAGTGTAGCACATCTTTAAGTATCTTTTGCAGGGCCGGATGAGTGGCCACAAAGTCTTTCAATTTCTGTTTGCTATGAAAGGTCTTTATTTCACCTTCATTCACAAATGAGAGCTTGGCAGGATATAATATTCTGGGCTGGCAATTTTTCTCTCTTAGCACCTGTGCTATGTCTCGCCATTCCCTCCTAGCCTGTAGTGTTTCTGATGAGAAGTCTGCTGTGAGTCTGATTGGAGATCCTCTGAGAGTAATCTGACGTTTCTCTCTTGCACATTTTAGGATCTTTTCTTTATGTTTCACTGTGGTAAGTTTAATTACCACGTGTCGTGGTGAGGATCTCTTTTGGTCATGTTTATTGGGGGTTCTTTGAGCTTCCTGTACTAGGATGTCTCTGTCCTTCTCCAAACCTGGAAAGTTCTCTGCTAGTATCTCACTAAAAAGGCCTTCTAATCCTTTCTCTCTCTCCATGCCTTCAGGAACTCCTAGAACTCGAATGTTGGTTTTTTTAATAGTATCCTGTAGATTCCCAACAATATTTTTTAGATTTCTAATTTCCTCTTCTTTTCTTTGGTTTGACTGTATGTTTTCCTGTGCTCTATTTTCTAAGTCCGATATTCTCTCTTCTGCTTCACCCATTCTGTTTTTAAGGCTTTCTAATGTGTTTGTCATTTGATCTATTGAGCTCTTCATTTCATTTTGATTTCTCTTCACTATCACACTTTCCTGTTCTACTAGTTTCTGAGTTTCATTTTGATTCTTCCTTAAAATTTCATTTTCACGAGAGAGATTTTCAATCTTGTCCAATAAGGATTTCTGTAGTTCAAGGATTTGCTTTTAAAAACTTCTAAATGTTCTTATCATAATTTTTTGAAATCCGTATCTTGAATTTCTTCTATCTCATCATCTTCAAAATCTTGGTTTGGGGTGTTTTGTTTATTTGGAGGCATCATAGTGTCATCGTTGATCTTGTTCCCTCGATTTCTGTGTTTGTTACTTGGCATAGTTAATTCTTCTTGCGTCACTGTGCTTTTTTTTTTTTTTTTTAATACTATGTCCGTGTTAAGTGGACTGCCTGCTGTTGGGGGAGCCTTGGAGGCTTGAGATGGGTGCAGCCTGAGAGCTCTGCTTGGTTCTTCCTGGTAAAGGGTGTGCAAAGGTGACACCCTCAGGTTATGCGTGGTAAATCTCTCTCTTTTTATTTATTTATTTATTTTATTTATTCAGGGGGTAAGTAACACCACACGGCATGGCTGTGCAGAATTGATGGTATTTAGCTTCCAGTCTCTGGCTTCTACCCACAGAGTCCGTTTAGGCTCCTCTGGACTCCCACTGGGTTGCCTAGGCTACTGAATTGTAGTGACTCAGTTCCTTAGCTCTCCCCCGTTGATATGTAAATCCAGAGAGGGGGCCTGCTCTTTGTCTCTTGGGAATTCTTCAAGCCTTGCAGCCTTGCAACCTTTGCAAGGTTAGGGGGAAGAGAAACCCCAAAGCTTTTTTTTTCCTTCTTTCTGGTAGTGAGTTTTCTGCACTTTCCGGCCCCCCTCTAGATTCTGACCCCCGTTTCCCCACCAATGTCTCGGGTTATTGAGCTCACCTCCCCTCCCAGCGCCGATGTGTGGACTCGGAGCCCTGAGCGTCCCAAGTCTCCCCGCTGTTGTCTGTGTGGCATGCACTCCCCTTCGAGCACTGGTGTGCAGACCCTGCGGCTTCCGCGGCTCGGTCCCGCGCCTCGGCTTCCGTGCGGTGGGCAACCTTGTTCTCCCAGTAGGTCCTCCGATTCACAGCCACTCGATCCAGTAGAGTTTCCGCTGCAATATTTTCTTGGTTCTTTTTTCTGACGCTACCATAACGCCCCTTTTATTAAACTAAATTTTCCCGGACTATCGGTGCGCGCCCTCACTATTCCGCCATCTTGGCTCCGCCTCATTTTGATATCTAAAGGACCCTCCAGTGTCTAAGTATAAGGTATCACGACTTCAACGTTGTCTACACAATTGATAGTTTAATTATTTTTTTCTCTTACAATTGACAAGGGAGACAGTTTTTCTTAACAAAAGATGACTCAAAAGGGCGTGCTGAGGCTTAGCTTCTGTTTACGTTAACCTTCACACAGTCTCCAACTGTCACTAACAAGCTGTCCCTTTTCCAAATAGGTTGCCACTAACACGAGTATTCTACCCAGTGTGAGTGTGTATAACTTTAAATACCCAACAACTGAAGAACTGAAAACCTACACCACTCAACTCGAAGACCTGCACCAAGAAGCAAGCACCCTCCAGACACAGGTAGAAGCTACACAGGTGTTTTTTCTTATTGCATTCACTTAACAAAAGAAGAGAGACGCGGTGACATCACTGGAAATGAACAAGTCATAGAGAACTTCAGGAAATGGGTCCTTGAATGGCAAACAGAATGTGTTTCTGGCCAGCCCTTCAGTGTGCTGGTGGCTGCTTAGAACACGGTGTGCAAAGGATTTTGAGTCAGAATAAGCAGGAAAGAGGGTGGTGATTGATTAGTAATGTCTGCACTGGTGATCCATGAACGTTTTGAAGTCTTGTCTTACATCTGAGGGTGGCTTTGAGTCTCATAATTAGCCCATCAGTGTCACCCATAACTTCCCCTGCTCCATAACCTGTCCCACTCCCTCTCTCTCTCTTTTTTTAATTAAAGATTCATTTTATTTATTTGAAAGAGTTACAGAGAGAGAGGTCTTCCATCCACCAGTTCATTCCACAGATGGCCACAACCACTGGAGCTGAGCCAATCCAAAGTCAGGAGCCAGGAGCTTCTTCCAGGTCTCCTATGTGGGTGCAGGGGCCCAAGGACTTGGGCCATCTTCTACTGCTTTCCCAGGTGCATCAGCAGGGAGCGGGATCAGAAGTGGAGCAGCCAGGACTTGAACCGGCACCCATGTAGGATGTGCCAGCCTGCCAGCTCCCTCTTTAAGATCCTGTTTGTCCCTTCCTCAGCCCTGTGAAGCTCCTCTCTCTGGCTTCTTTTCCTTACCCTGGTCGTACTTGATTCATTAACCCCCTGTCTGCTATCTTACAATGCAGAGGCCAGGCAGCGGTGAGAAGCGGGTCGGTGTGACTTCTGGGGGCCCACAGGTCCCCTGCACGGCCGTGCTGAGAAAGCCCTTCCTCCCGTGACTTCCCTTGTAATTCCACTCAGTGGTCACACAGCTGCCTCACATTCTGTTTCTTAAATGCGCCCTGAGAGTCCAGAGCTTCCATTTTATTTATTTATTCTGCCACCTGGTTTACGAAGTGTTTGAAACAAGCTCCTGTTTCTTAAAGTATAACATACATTGCAAGCTATAATAGAGACCAGGGGAAAGGTAGGTTCCAGAAGGTGAGGAATCCTGATGAGTTTTGTGTTTGTTTTTGTTTTCTCTCCCCTTGATTCAGGAACCCATGACAGAAGACAGGTGCAGTGGTTTGGATAAGAAATTATTTGAGCTGTTTCTGCCCCTCAGTCAGCACCTTGACCTTGTGGAGGAGCTGCTTCAGACGCCTGGGCTTGTCAGAGAGGACGTTTCGGCACAGCAGGTGCACTACGAGGTAGGGCCCTTCTCCAGAGCCCGTATGTTGGCCATCGCAGCAGCCTGGCTCATTGGTCCAGCGCTGAAGCCACCTGAAGCCAGAGCCGTTCACTCTGCCGCTCTCTGTTTGCAGACCCTGGCTCTGGAGTTGAAGAAGCTTTATTTATCTCTGAGCAACAAGAAAGGTGACCTTGTGAAGGCCGTGACGTGGCCCGGCAGGAACACCAGCTTGCTCCTCGAGTGCCTGGAGCAGCTCCAAGCCTGCCTGGAGCACGCCCGGGCCACGGCTGTCTCTAGAGGCAAGTCCCTGAAAGCCGGCCTGGACTACAAGCGCAGTTACCAGGTAGGACTGCCGGCACCCGGCCCGCTTTGGCACCGAGCTCGGTTACAGCACGGATCCCTAATTTCCCTTCCTTGGTATTGCTAGCGGCGTTCGAGAATAGGAATTGCGCAGGGCTGCGGGGAACCCTTCCTGCTACTCAGGGCTGGAGACCATTTGGAAGGGAGGTCCTTTCCCGAGCCTTAGGTTTGAATTTGTCCGTTTGAGCCAACGTGATGTTTCTTGTCTCGTGTTCCGTCTCCCCATTTCCTGGCTGCCATATGGGAGAATTTGCACTTAAATTTCTCAGTTGTTGAGCAAAGCGATGACAATCTGTGGCTGTTCCAGCTGGCTTTCTTCTGACATTTGTGTAATGGGGACTGTAGGTTGGGGAGACTGAGGCAGGGAGACTAGTTGGGAAGCTACTAAGATCGTCTAAGGAAAACGGTTGAACACATCATGAGTCCTGTCCATGTAAATGAGCACAGATCTGAAGAAACTTCTAGAATCCAAGTGAGCAGGCATAAAGAAGGGGGAACATGGTCAACAACACCAGATCCCAGTGGTGGGAAACTGAACAAACAAATGACCCGCACTTTTCAAACACACACAAGAGAGAGAAATGGTAGGGCTTGGTCTGCAGAGGAAAACATAAATTAAGAAATATTGCACTGCTGTGATATGAGGCCCCATTTTGGATCCTGACTGAAGTCCCCTCCAAAAAAAAAAAAAGAAAAGAAAAGAAAAGAAAAAAGAAATACAGGCAATTAGAGAAGCTTGAACTCTATCCAAATAGTCATTTTAAGGATTAATTATTGATTTGGGGCAGAGTGTAGGGTAGTGTTTTTAAAAGGAAGAAGCCTCATCTTTCAGCGATACATACTGAAACGTGCTGGTAGGGTGACTGCGTGTGTGGGCTTTGCTTAAGAACAGTCAAGGGGGGGCCAGCGGTGTGGTCAGCGGGTAAAGCCGCCACCTGCAGCACCAGTTCGAGTCCCGGCTGCTCCACTTACCGTCCAGCTCTCTGCTATGGCCTGGGAAAGCAGCAGAAGATGGCTCAAATGCTTGGGCCCCTGCAGCCACATGGGAGACCTGGGAGAAGATCCTGGCTCCTGGCTTCAGATCAGCCCAGATCCTGCCATTGTGGCCATTTGGGGAGTGAACCGGCAGATGGAAGACCCCTCTCTTTCTCTGCCTCTGCCTCTGTAACTCCACCTTTCAAATAAATAAATTAATTAATTAATTAAAAAAAGAGCAATCAAGGGAAGTGGGGTTGGGCACGGTCGGGAGCAGGGGTGCGCTCGGTACTCACGACGCTCAAAGATGATAATGCAGGATTCCACTCTTACACGTTTGCAATTTCCACTCTCGAAAGGTCTAAAACTCCACTTAAGCATGAGAAGGGTTCGCAGGGCCTGAGTGAGGTCGCTCAGTGCCGTGCGTGTGTCGTTTCTGTGCAGAGCGAAATCAAGCGGCTGTATGATCAGCTCACCCAGAAGAAGACGTCCTTGCAGCAGTCTTTGAATGAAATGAGCGGCCAGGCCGTTGGAGAGCAGCTGCAGGTAATGACCCCAAACCCCTGCCGTTGACCTGACTGGGCCAGAGTCCCGTGTGGAAGCTGCGGTTTTGAACCACTGGTTTGTGACCGGAGTGGTCGGGCTGAAGCCAGGGAGTCCACATGAAGCCTGTTACACCCGCCCGTGAGGGGCAGCTCTCGGGTCGTTCTTGCTGCACTCAGCGCACTGGAACCACAAGAGACCACGCGCGGATCTGCCTGGCGCGGTGGAATCCTGAATGTGGTCGATGTGGTACCCGTTGTGTGGGAACATGTTAGTCTGCTTGTTTGATTACACATCAGAATCGCAACGTCACTAGCAATGCGACTTCATTCATTCATTCAGCAAACATTAATTGAAGACCTCCTGTGCCCAGGCGCTGTACTAGGACTTGGGTGTGCACTCTTTTTAAGGACACAGGACAGGGCTGGCGCTGTGTGGTGTAGCGGGTAAAGCTGCCAACTGCAGGGCCAGCATCCCATGTGGGTGCCAGTTTGAGTCCCGGCTGCCCCACTTCTGATCCAGCTCTCTGCTACAGCCTGGGAAAGCAGTAGAAGATGGACCAAGTGCTTGGGTCACTGCCACCCATGTGGGAGACCCCAGTGGAGTTCAAGGCTCCTGGGTTCAGCCTGGCCCAGCTTTAACCACTGCCTTTGCAGCCAGTTTTTGGAGAGAATGAACAGATGGAATCTCTCTCTCTCTCTCTCTCTCTCGTTCTCTTTCTCTCCCCACTCACCCCCATCACTCTCCCTTTCAAATACACAAATAAATCTTTACAAAAATAAAAATAAAGAAGGAGCTGACGCTCAAGAGGAAGTGGGGAGCGGCAGTCTGGGATATGCCTGTCTGTGCCTCCGCTGGCCCAAGCTTACAGCACGCTGGGCACCAGCCGTGCTCCGTGGGCCCTACGGGAGCTGGAGACAGGGAGGGCCAGTGGGAGCCTTGGGAGGGCCCCTCCCTTTCTGTACTGTTGAATTCCTCTTTAATGAGTACGCGTACTGCCCTCACTTCCTGTTCTGTGTTGTCTGTCACCAGAAAGCCGATGCGTGCACAGCGGAGCTGCAGAACTCTGAGAGCCGAGTGGCCAAGCTGCGAGCCGAAGGCGAGAGGCTTCACCTGCCGTGGGCTTTGCTCCAGGAGGTTTCCAAGTTAGAGGTGAGCGGAAAGCGCCCACCCGGAGCTGCGATGACGGCAGGGATGGAGACCGGGGCCTCCACGGGCGGATTTCGGTTTGTTCTTTGTCTTAGCTTCCCGGCTGGACGAAAACGCTTGTGCACACTCACTTTCTCCCCTCTCAGGACGTTCTCGACAGCATGTGGGCGATCCTCAGAAGCAGGTACTCAGCGCTCAGCAGCCCCTTTGTCTCGGAGAGCCAGCAGGATGCCTTGTTGCGAGGCGTGGAGGAGCTAGTGCGTATCGGGAAGGAAAAGCTTTCCCACGACCACCTGCAGCCAGCCAAGAGCAAAGCTGCTTTGCAGGCGCAGGCACAGAGTCACAAGGTGAGACACGTGGGTCAGAGCCCTCCGCACAGACGCAAACCGTAAGGATTTTCTCGGTGTGACCAGGAACTCCCTGCTCTCTTCCTTGGGGAAACGGCAGCCTTCATTCATTTAGTTAAGAGTGCTTAGCGGATGGATACCAGTAACCCTGAGTAACTTTCCGAATAGGATTGGGAGTGAGGACAGGCCCTGATGCTTCCATTCATGGAGAAGGTTTGTCTGTGGTCTTCAGACAAAATTAAAACTCGGAGGAGGATGCACACTGTAAGAGCATCTAACAGGAGAAACAGGTGCTGGAAGGCTCCTTGAGACCTGATCAAAAGCCAGATCTCTAATACTAATGTTACAGTAAATCCATTCATTTTCCATTTGTTTCATTCATCAAAACTTTTTTTCAAGATTTATTTATTTATTTGAAAGAGTTACACAGAGAGAGAGAGAGAGAGAGAGAGAGAGAGAGAGAGAGAGGTCTCCATCCACTGGTTCACTCCTCAGTTGGCCGCAATGGTCAGAGCTGTGCTGATCTGAAGCCAGGAGCCAGGAGCTTCCTCCAGGTCTCCCATGTGGGTGCAGGGGCCCAAGGACTTGAGCCATCTTCCACTGCTTTCCCAGACCATAGCAGAGAGCTGGATGGGAAGAGGAGCAGCCGGGACTCGAACCAGCACCCATATGGGATGCCAGCACTGCAGGTGGTGGCTTCACCCGCTATGCCGCAGCACTGGCCTCAAACAAAACTTTCCTGATCATGCCCTAAAGATGTGCAGGAATCTAGGCGCTGATACAAAAGATGTGTGGGACAGGGCCTTGGTTCTGGCAAGCTCATAGTTGAGGGCCTTTGGGAAGTATGCCTCCTTGGTCTGAGAAAAACTGGAAGGTAAATATTGTGTGGAGGGTGGAGGGGAGAAGAGGAGGGAGGGCGGGAGACCCTCCTATGAACCTGTGCTCCTCGGGGAAAGGGAGGGTTCACATAATAAGGGATCCCTTTAAAGCAGAGGAGGCAGCAGGCTGCACACAGAGAAGAACCGTGTGAAGGAAAACCTTCTTACAAGGTTCTTCCATGGGGCTGGCGCTGTGGTGTAGCAGGTAAAGCCACCGCCTGCAGTGCCGGCATCCCATATGGGTGCCGGTTTGAGTCCCCGCTGCCCCACTTCCGATCCAGCTCTGTGCTGTAGCCTGGGAAAGCAGTAGGGGATGGCCCAAGTGTTTGGGCCCCTGCACCTATGTGGGAGACCCGGAGGAAGCTCCTGGCTCCTGGCTTCGGATCAGCTCAGTTCCGGCCATTGTGGCCAACTGGGGAGTGAACCAGCGGATGGAAGACCTCTCTCTCTCTCTCTCTCTCTCTCTCTCTGCCTCTCTGCCTCTCTTTCTCTCTGTGTAACTCTGACTTTCAAATAAATAAATAAATATTTTAAAAAAAGCTTCTTCCAGCACAAACGTGGGAACCTCAGGACAAAGATTTTCCTATCCCCCACATACACACGAATTGTCCTTTATTTAGCTGTGTTGTTGAGTGGAAGTTAGAGGAGACCAGGAGAAGCACCTGGCTCCTGCCCTCGGATCAGCGCCGTACACCGGCCGCGGCGGCCATTGGAGGGTGAACCAACGGCAAAGGAAGACCTTTCTCTCTGTCTCTCTCTCTCACTGTCCACTCTGCCTGTCAAAAAATAAAAAAAATAAAAAAGAAGTTAGAGCCAGGGTTGAGAGCCCTTTCCTTTGAATATTTGGGCTGGGTGGATTTGCACATCCATCCATCCAGCTGTAGTCTTGAAATTAATCTGCCGCCTTTCTGTACCATTTTAAAAGCTCACTGCTTTAGAAGGCTCTCTCTGGGAATTGAAATGGACTCACAATAACGTATTCTGCTTAAACTGGATTATTTTAGAGCAAATACTACTTTAAAGGGAACATTTCTTTACACACTTTGTTGAAATTCCACCAGTGTTCAGAGACTAAGGCATTCATTGCAATTTTCTTTCTGCCTTCTCGTACATCTCACTCAACACTGGTTGAGTAACAGGTGTTGATTTTGGGATAAAAAGCAAAAAATGGGGCCGGCATTGTGGTGTAATGGATTACGCCACCGCCTGCAATGCCAGCATCCTGTATGGGTTCCTGTTGGAGCTCCGGCTGCTCCACTTCCAATCCAGCTCCCTGCTAATGCACCTGGGAAAGCAGAGGACGATGGCCTGAGTGCTTGGGCTCCTGCACCCTCATGGGAGACCCAGATTAAGCTCCTGGCTTTGGCCTGGCCCAGCTCTGGCCATTGTGGCCATTTAGGGATGAACCAGCAGATGGGAGAGCTCTCTCTTGCTCTCTCCCTCTCTCTCTAACTCTTAAAAAAAAATGAGTAAAAAGTTGACATAATTGATTTTTCAGGTAGTCACAGCTTAAAAATAAACATTAAAAGCTTTTTCCGTCTTTTATAGGTTTTTTTCCAGAAGCTTCTTGCCGACATGTTGTTCATCCAAACATACTCTTCCAAAGTGTCTCCTTTGTTGCAAAAGAGAGAGGGATTTTGGGCCGAACAAGTGGCGGAAGTTAAATTGCTGGAGGAGGAATCGCGCCAGCGTGGCGTGGCGCTGCAGAGTTTGCTGCAGGTATTGGCGTCGTTAGCTTCGCACTTGACCTGGGAATTCCTGTGAGCATGAGGACTGGGGAGCCTTGGCTTTGTTCCCACTGCTGCCTCCTGAACCGCAGCTTGGCGGGATTTCTCCGACTTGAACTTGGAGTGGTCCAGCCCCTTTGCAGCCTTTGGGTTTGTGTGGGAATAAACAAAATTGCAAACACTCGGAGACCTAGAATGTGGTCACCAGGGTGAAACCGTGTCCCTGCAAGAGACCTCGTGCCCTGTTGCTAATCTTGTCTCAGTTCAAAGAAGTGTGAGACACGTGTATGAGGGTCATTCTCAGTTGTAAAGTTTTCCCTTTGCCTTAGCGAGCCGTTCACAGCCAGTGTTAGCACGTAAGAGAGACAGACAATAAGAAGGAAGCACTCAGCTTGCTGGTGTGATACGGTGTTATTTCAGCGTAATGAGATTTTCTGGTCATAGCTGGTGTATCCAACTGATAGTGATGCCGGCTGAGCAGCCCTCATCCAAAACCCTCAAGTCGTTTCAGATTTTTGCATTTGGGCTGTTCAGCCAGTGAGGTTTATGCAACTGTTCCAAAATCCAATAACAACAACAACAACAACAAAAACACACCAAAAAAACTCCAAAATATGAAACGCTTGGGCTAAGAGCTTCCTAACTTGCAGTATTTTCATACCATGTTCATGGTATTTAAAGAAAAAAAGAGGTTCCACAGGCCCTGTGAGCTCCCTGGGAAAGCCAGGTGACCCACTGTTGGAATGCAGATGGGGATTGTCCCAGGCACTGAGATCCCACCAGGGCTGCTGGGGGCGTGCAGGAAGCCAGGACAGGACCATGGTTCACCTTGATGCCGTCTCAGCCCGCCCCGTCACACAGGCACTCGTGGGTCTGTAGCACGCTGGGCTTGGACTTGGAGCAAGACAGTAGCAGCATCCTGATAGCTTCTGTTGAAAAAGCCTTCATAAGTTAGTTCTTTGCTTTTCCAAGGAAGAGAAGGGCCCCGTCAGGATGTGAGGTTCTAGGGAGGGGCTTCGGGCATCGCTCCAGCTAAATCATCTGTTTCCTTCATCACTCAGTCCGCTTTGGCAAGGCGAGGGTAAAACACTGAGGCCAGTTAGATTTCTGAAAGCCTCCGTCTCAAAAGCAGTGGCATCTGCATTGTTCCTGAGCTCCTACGCCTCTCAGAACCCCCTGGAGCCAGCGCCTTCATGTTGGTGTGGACTCCATGCTGGTTTTTGGTTTTGTGACCCGCTGTGTCCTTGTCCAAAAGACTCCCACTGATTTTATGCCTTGCTTCTTAGAAATGGGAAGCATTTGATGAAAACTACGCGTGTCTTGAGAAGGACCTGGAAATTCTTCTGTCCACACTGCCCTCCGTGAGTCTGGTGGAAGAGACAGAGGAAAGATTAGCAGAACGGATCTCACTCTACCAGGTATTTTGCTTCTGTCAGAGGCGCTGTTTGGCGCTTTCTGTTGCAGCTCGCCTTGTTTTGAGGGGGTGGCTTTGACGCTGACGGTGAGCAGGAAGGAGTCGCTGTTCCCTGCAGAACTCGCCGACAGATGTATTCTGGCACGCTGCAGGTTTGACTGTGCGCTCCTTGGCGTGCCCGTCGGTCTGTACCTAAAGTTCCAGGTTTCAGTCCTGGCTCCGTCACTTAGCACGGGTGTGACCTGTCAGCCTGGGGTTCCCTGTGTCCCGCTTTTGCGACCTTCCTGTCTCGAAGCCTCTGTTTCCTGAGCTGTGTGATGCGCACAGTCAGCCTAGTTCCACCTGTCTCCAGGGGTGCGGGGGCGCATGTCAGTGCCTGCTGTCATGGAAACACGCCGAAGAATGGGACGGACTTGGTAACGTGAGTTACTCCATGACTGTGGTGAAGCCTGTCTGCACACAGCCTGGGAGATGGACAGCGGCCCGTTACCTGCCACAGCGTCGCAAACAGACTTCACTCTGTCCTGTCACTTTTACTGTTGTCATTCTCATAGTCTCATAGTGACACAGACGAGGCAAAACCTGAAGATGTTTTGTGAGTGGCCTTGAGGACATGACCAATACGATAGAAACAAGTTTCAAATCTTTTCAGCCGAAACTTAAAATACTTAAGCGTTTTTAAAAGATCTTTATTTATTTATTTTTTTAAAGATTTATTTGAAAAGCAGAGTTGAGAGAGAGAGAGAGAGAGAGAGAGAGAGATCTTCCATTCATTGTTTGACTCCCCAAATGACTGTGGTGACCAGGGCTGAGCCAGGCTGAAGCCAGAAGCCTGGAGCAACATCCGGTTTTCCCAAGCAGATGGCAGGAACTCAAAGACTTGAGCCATCATCTGCTGTTTCCCAGGCACATGAGCAGGGAGCTGGGTTGGAAGTGGAGTAACCAAAACTCTAGCCTTGGATACCAGCGCTGTGGCTCAGCGGGTTAAAGCCCTGGCCTGAAGCTCTGGCATCCCATGTGGGCACTGGTTTGAGTCCCAGCTGCTCCACTTCCAATTCAGCTCTCTGCCTGGGATAGCAGTAGAAGATGGTCCAACTCCATGCACCCACATGGGAGACCCAGAGGCAGCTCCTGGCTCCTGGCTTTGGATTGGCACAGCTCCAGCCATTGCGGCCATCTTGGGAGTGAACTAGCAGATGGAAGACCTCTCTCTCTCTCTCTACCTCTCTCTGTAACTCTGTATTTCAAATAAGTAAAATAAATCTTAAAGAAAAACTCTAGCTATCACTCAGGTTGGGATACGGGCATCCCAAGTGATTGCTTAAACAGCTGTGCTATGACATCTGCCCGAGTTGTTTAGTCTTAGTATTATATAAAAGTTGCCATCTGAACAGCTGAAAAAATAGAATTTAAAACAGCATTTTAAATCTCATTATATTGAGAAACAATCACATAGCCAATCTAATGTGACCCTGATTGTTTCCCATCAAATATGGGTTTGATCCTAGTAAAATCATTGCAAGGCTTTTAAATAGTTTTCCAGGGGCTGGCATTGTGGCTTAGTGGGTAAAACCACTGGCTAGGACCCTGGTATCCCATATAGGCACCCACACATATCCACGATGCTCCACTTTCAATCCAGCTCCCTGCTGATGACCTGGGAAAAGCAGCAGAAAATGGCCCAAGTGCTTGGGGCCCTGTCACTCCTATGGGAGACCCAGAGGAAGCTCCTGGCTTTGTCTGGGCCCAGCCCTGGCCATGATGGCCATCTGGGGAGTGAACCGGTGGATGGAAGATATCTCTCCTTTGTCTCTTCTGCTCTCTGTAACTCTGATTTTCAAATAAATAAATCTTTAAAATAAATAACCAAAGAAATAAATTTTCTGGATGAAAAGAAAGACATATCCTATAAAGCCCATCTTATGTGTGGTCCTCCTCAGGTCATGGAGAGGTTTGTGAGTGACTGACAGATGTCACCATTGCATTCAGGGAACCTTCTGGCTTGTTGAATGAATGCAGGTGTTCGTTGTGTGGCATTTGAAGTTGAGCCAACTGATTTTTTTTTTTTTTTAATTTGAGAGAGACAGACAGACATAGAGAAGTATCTGCCACCTGCTGGCTCATCTTCCCGATACCCACAACAGCCAGGGCTGGGCCAGGCCAAAGCTGGGAGTGGGGAAGTCAGAGCAGGTCTTCCACATGGGTGGCAGGGATCCATTTATGTGAGCCATTGCAGCCGCCCAGGGTCCACATCTGTAGGAAACTAGAACCAGGAATGGGCTGGGCCTTGAACCCCGGCACCCCAAAATGGTGTACTGGTGTCCCAAGTGGTGTCTTTACTGCTATGCCAAATACACATCCCTCCAAACTCATCATGCTCAGATACTGGCCCAGCATCCCACCAACCAAGTGGCCAGCACATGTCTGTCTCCTGTGGGAAAAAAAAATGGAAAAAATTAAAACTTTTATAGAGGCGTTCTGAAGAGGAAGCGTATGGCAAGCCAGGGCTTAGAATATTAGGACTATTTCTTAGACACTGATGTTGGGGGTAGGCATGGCAGCACATGGGTTAAGCCAAGTGCCACAGACCAGCATCCCATATCTGAGTGACTGGTTTCTGCTGCTCCACTTCTGATTCAGCTTCCTGCTGATGTGCCTGGGAAGCAGCAGATAGTGGCTCAAGGACTTGAGTCCCTGCCACCCGTGTGGGAGACCCACAGCTAGTTCATGGCTCCTGGCTTTGGCCTGTCATGTTGTGGGCATTTGGGGAGTGAACCAGTGGACAGATCTCTTCCTCTCTCCCTTTCACTCTGCCTCTCAAACAAATAAATCTTTAAAAAATAAACTCACATTGTGTGAGTTTTGATTCTAGCCCACAGGCTCGGATAGAGGGGAGGGTTACAAATAGTATACTATGGAAAGGGCATTGGAAGTAGAATTTTTTTGGTTGTCTTAAAAAAAAGGTTTAAATTAATTGGAAAAATAACAAAAATTCTATTTTGATCATAATTTGTTGTTAAAGATTAAACAGCTGTCAGACTAAAAGCATTCGCTGAACCCAGCTGTGGAAGATAATTGCCTACAGACAGTCCCTACAGGGGGTCATTGTGTTTGCCTGAAGAATTTTATGTTCTGTGCTTGAAGTTGGATTAATAATGTGCCATCTGTTTTAACTGATTCTTCTAGAATTCTCCTCTCACCCTGTTGATTCCTTTTAAAAAGACTCTACAAATGATTTTTTTTTTCTCTTCTGTTTACCTCTTATGGAAAACAGACAGATATTTTCTGATTGATCCCCTTCATGTCTGGATCTTAATCTACAGTGGGAGACTGGGTGGGGACAACTCAGGCCAGCAGGGTCCTCTCGGGGTTTCTGACTGGGGCTGGACCAGGCTGAAGCCAGGAGTCGGGTCTCCCAAGTGCTTTCCCAGGTGCATTTGCAGGAAGCTGGATTGGAAATGGAGCAGCCGGGACTCCAACCATCACTGTAATAAGGGATACATTGCAGGTGGCAGTTTAACCTACTATGCCAGAAAGCCAGTTCCTGTAATACATTTATAAATACAGTGTTTATGGGCCAGTGCTGTGGCTTAGCAGATAAAGCCCCCACCTGCGATGCTGGCATCCTATATGGGTGCCGGTTCAAGTCCTGCTGCTCCACTTCCGATCCAGCTCTCTGCTATGGCCTGGGAAAGCAGTAGAAGATGGTCCAAGTCCTTGGGCCCCTGCACCTGCATGGAAGACCTGGAAGAAGCTCTTGGTTCCTGGCTTCAGCTCAGCTCAGCTCTGGCCGTTATGGCCATTTGGGGAGTGAACCAGCAGATGGAAGACCTCTCTCTTTCTCTCTCTTTCTCTGCCTCTCTGTAACTCTGCTTTTCAAATAAATAAATCTTTAAAAAATAAATAAATACAGTATTTGTACATATGAGAGGTCATCCAAATGTTCATGGCAGATGTAAATTATGAAAAAAAAAAACCACATGGATTCCAAGAAATTTTTGCACCAACGTCAACCTGTTTTTTAATTCCATTTTTCACGAACCTTTGCAAGTGCCCCCAATATAATTTAAACAAATAATAATTCAATCATTCATTCTGTGACTTTACCTCTGCTAGCAAATAAAACGCAACGTCGATGGAAAGCATGTCCGGCTATACCAAACTCTGAATGAAGGCAAACAGCTGCTGGCCACCGTGAGCTGCCCCGAACTAGGGGGCCAGATGGCCAAACTGGAGGAGCAGTGGCTGTCGCTGGACAAGAGGCTTGACCGGGAGCTGCATCGCCTGCAGACGCAGCTGAAGCATCTGCGCAGGTGGGTCGTCCCAGGAGGCACGCATGCCCAGTTTTGCTGTAGCGAAAGACCCCCGTGGGGTTCTACGGGCAGTGACACTTGGCTGCCAACCCCCCGTTCTGCCTTGCGTTCTCTTCCGAGCTAAATGGGCTCTAGATCTCGGATGTCTGTTTGCTACGCACAGGCAATATGCGGTCATTTTGGTGGCGACTGTTGATGCATGTCTATGGCAAGTGGGACTGATGTTGTGAGATGATATATGTGAGTGAGGTTCAGAAAGTTCATGGAAAATAGACTTAAAAGGTCGGTGTAAGCCTTGCAATGGAAGCTGAAGAAGCTGCTTTCGTCCCACCTGGAGTGCCCTGGCTCCAGCTTCTGACGCCAGCTTCCTGCTCATCCACACCCTGGAAGGCAGTGGGGATGGCTCAGGGACCGGGTCCCTGCCCCCCATGTGGGAGACTGGATTGAGTTCCAGGCTCCTGGATTCAGCCCTGGCCCTGTTGCAGGCATCTGGGGAGTGAACCAGAGGGTGGGAGCTTTGTCCATCTCTGGCTCATCCATCTGATTCTGTTTCTCTACCTCTCAACTAGTAAATAAATGAGAGATAACTTTATTTTGGTGCAAAACCTTTCTGGAGTCTGGGGCCGGCCTCGTGTGTTACATAGTTGGTTAAGCCACCACTTGCAAAGCCAGCATCCCATATCGGAGCACCAGGTCAAGGCCCTGCTGCTCCACTTCTGATCCAGCTCCCTGCTCATGTGTCTGGGAAAACAGTGGCTGATGCCCAAGTGCTTAGGTCCCTGCCACCCATGTGGGAGACCTGGATGGAGTTCTGTGTTCCTGGCTCGGCCTGGCCCAGCCTGGACTGTGGAACCAGTGGGTAGGAGATCAATCTCTCTCTCCCTCTCTCTCTCTCTCTCTCTCTCTCTGTCTCCTCTTTGTAACTCTACCTTTCAAATAGATAAATCTTTAAAAACTCATTTTTGGAAATCTGTGCATAGTTTTACTTCTTTTTTTTTTTTATTTTTTTGACAGGCAGAGTGGACAGTGAGAGAGAGAGACAGAGAGAAAGGTCTTCCTTTGCCGTTGGTTCACCCTCCAATGGCCACTGCGGCCGGCGCACTGCAGCTGGTGCACCGCGCTGATCCGAAGCCAGGAGCTAGGTGCTTCTCCTGGTCTCCCATGCGGGTGCAGGGCCCAAGCACTTGGGCCATCCTCCACTGCACTCCCTGGCCACAGCAGAGAGCTGGCCTGGAAGAGGGGCAACCGGGACAGAATCCGGCGCCCCGACCGGGACTAGAACCCGGTGTGCCGGCGCTGCAAGGCGGAGGATTAGCCTAGTGAGCCGCGGCGCCGGCCTAGTTTTACTTCTTGTAATGTGCATTTTTCATGAACTTTTTGGAGACTCCCCAGCCCGTGTCACTGTGAGGTTCTTTCCTGCCCACTTTCAGAAGTCTTTAACGTTCAAGAAGACCTTCACGATTTTTAGCTAGTAGAATAATGGGAAAACACCTTTTGGGTTCTTCCGAGAATTTGGTTTTCTTGGTTGGTGTGATCTTGAGCCACTGGAAGAAGATGGTGAACACAGGGCATTTAACCCTCATTGTCTTTCTGTCTCTCACAGGGGCTGTCCTGACCCAAGGCGTTCATAAGTTACAAGGACAGCCTTTTGTCGGGATCTTTATAGCATATCTGATCAGTGTGTTACATCCAGCCAGCAGCAGCTCGCTGTTAAACAACTTATACAAGGGCTGGCAAATATATATATATATATATGCATATTTTATAAATGCTTGTTATATATATTTCATATATGCATATGTTGCTCATTATAATTTTACTATAAACAAATGTCTGACGACATTGGATGTGTAAAAATAATTTCTGTCCTCGCCCGTTGGTGTCCCTTGGTGTCACTGTAAAAGGAAATGAAAAGGATGTTGGAGACTTTACAGACAGTGCGCCCTTGTTCCAGGTTAGCCCTAAGGGAAGGAGTCCTGGTGCACAACGTGACGGAATCCTGACAAACGCCTCGGACTGGCCAGCACGGGGGAAGTGCGGTAGTCAGCAGAAACTCTGCTAGCGCACGCCCGCCCCAGAGCGCGTTCTGATCCCGTGTCTCTCCGCTCTTCTCCTCAGCTACAACAGAGACTCCGATGAGCTCACCAGGTGGCTGGGATCCGCCCAGCAAACTCTGAATCACTGGAAAGAGCAGTCCCTCAACGTGTCTCAGGATCTGGACACAGTCAGAAGCAACATAAGCCGCTTCTTTGTAAGTTCTTGTAGGATGTGTTCAGATAATTATGGGGCAGAGATGAATCCGCAGGTGGGTGTTTGTCATAGCAGTTAGGGGCCGCTTGGGAATGCCTGCACTCCATGCTGGAGTCTTGGGTTTGGGTCCTGACACCAGTTTCCTGCTAATGAAGACCCTGGGAGGCAGCATGATGGCTTGAGTACAGGGAGACCTGGGTTGAGCTCCTGGCTCCCGGCTTCAGCCCAGCCCCGCACGAATTGTTATGGATATCTGGGGAATGAATCAGCGGACAGAAGATCTCTCTTTCTTTATCTCTGTCTTTTCTGCCTTTCAAATAAATAAAAATAAATTAAAAAAAAAAAACAACTAAGAAATATCCAGCAAAGCAAAGTCAGGGTTGATGTGATGTGTGGATCAGGGATAAGGCGTAGGCTGCTGATAGTGGCTGCTGATCACCTACAAGGGGACTTCAAAAAGTTCATGGAAAACAAAAGGTAAATTCATTTTGCTGCAAAAGATTTTGAAATGCTTGCATACCAATATTACCTGTATACATCGTTATTATTATTATCATTAATAATTTATTAGAGAGAAAGAGAGAGAGAGAGAAGGCTTGCTTCCTCTGGTTGACTCAACAGCAGCCTGGGCTGGGCTGGGCTAAAGCCAAGAGCTGGGAACGCAGTGCAGGTCCCCCAGGTGGGCAGCAGGAACCCCGATACTGGAGCCGTCGCCACTGCCTCCCAGGGACTGCATCAGCGGGAGGATGGAGTCAGGATGTGGAGCCAGGAATTAAACCCAGACGCTCTGATGTGGGACACCAGTGTCTTAGCTGGCTTCTTAACCACTGAGTCAAATGCCTTCCCCTAAACTTATTTTCAATTCCACTTTCCACAAAGTTTTTGAAAAATAGCCACATATATTTTAATTGACCCAAAATATTTTATTTATATATATATAATTTAGATTTAGTAATTCATAAATGTGAAAATTAATGCATGCAAGGTTTTGACTTGTATGCAGAATTGATGCTTTTACTAAACAGTTTTTATTCTACCTTTTGAGTTGTTTTTGAAAAAGAAAAAGGATTACTTTCACAAGATCAGCTACTAGGAGACCTAGGAGACCCGTTTGTCTTTTCCTCCAGCCTTCTCCATTTTCATATTTTGCAGAGGTGGTTACTCACTTTGGAATGGCATTAAAATATAAATACTTTTATTTTATTTTTTTAAGATTTATTTTCATTTATTTGAAAGACCGAATTACAGACAGAAAGGGAGAGACAGAAAGAGAGGTCTTCTATCTGCTGGTCCACTCCTCAAATGGCCACAGTCGTGGGGACTGGGCCAGGTGGAAACCTGGTGCCAGGAGCCAGGAGCTTCCTCCAGGTCTCCCACACGGGTACAGGGACCCACACACTTCAACCATCCTCCGCTGCTTTCCCAGGTGCTTTAGCAGGGAGCTGGATCAGAAGTGGAACAGCCAGGACTCCAACCAATGCCCGTATAGGATGCCAGTGCCACAGGCAGCGGCTTAACCTGCTGTGCCCCAGCGCTGGCCCCAGTGTAAATACTTTGACATTCGCTTGAAAGAAGCTGTGTATAGGAAAGGTTTCACTTACCTTGATTGAACATTTGTTGCATGTGTTTAACGTGTATTTTGTGTTGCGTTCCATAGTTTCTTGTGAAGCTTACATTGACAATAATGACTCCTGCTTTTAAAAATATTAATCCCCTGGACTATGAGCTTCTCCAGGGCAGACGCCTTCTCTTTGTACCTCCCTATCCAGCTATTGCTAATGCCTGGAGTAGTGCCAGACACTTGGGAAAGGTGTGTGCATGTGTGTCCATGCATGTGTGTGTGTGCAAACATACGTGTTCAAATATGTGCCATGTGTAGTGTCGGACTCCACCCGGTTATTCCGACTCTTAGTCACGCTGGGCTCTGTTGAAATTTTTAAACCCTCTGAATTTGAGTTTCCTTTCAGGAGTTCACAAAGGAGGTGGACGAGAAGTCCTCCCTGAAGACAGCCGTGGTCAGCACCGGGGACCAGCTTCTGCATCTCAAAGAGGCTGACACGGCCACCCTGAGAGCCTGCTTAGCACAGTTTGAACAAAAGTGGACGCTGCTCATCACTCAGCTTCCAGATATTCAGGAGAAGCTGCACCAGGTAAGCATTGGGGACAGAGCGTCTAAATTAGCATTCGCTTGACAGCTCCCCGCCTCTTGCAAAGATTTCTCCGACTCAGTAATTTTCCTTGACACCACCTGTGTTTCTGCAGCACCACTGAATGTAGGTCTTAATTACTGCACTCTCCTCCGGCGGATCGTCCCTAAGAGAGAAAGCAGCCTTAATTACTTTATCTCCCGGTGTATCTGTGCCACTGCGGAGGTCAAAGTCGTTGTTTGAGGGTCGCCTAATGCTTAGCTTGAATGCTGCGTCTGTTTTTGCGAGTAGCCTGCAGAACGTTGTAGCAAGACCTCTTATCAAGCCAGGTGTCGTCTCCAGGGAGGTGCTGATGCCTTTGGGTAACCGGGAGACTCACAGGGCACTTTTGTCCTTGCAGCTACAGATGGAGAAACTGCCGTCTCGCAAAGCAATCACAGAAATGATCGACTGGATGGACTCCATGGAGAGCGCCCTCGAAGGCGCTGAGCTGTCCCCAGGCTCCGCGGCGCAAGTTAGAAGCCTCCTGCGGAAGCACAAAGTAATTCCACGAAGGGAGCCGCGGTCTTCTTCATTCACTGAGGCCCCCGGGGCGTGTGTGTTAGCCTAGCCTCCAGCAGTCTTGCGTTCAATTCCCAGCTCTGGTGCCTGACTCCAGCTTCCTGCTCCCGCAGATCCTGGGAGGCAGCGGCGATGGTTTCAGTAACTGGGCCCCTGTCACCTACCTTGGAGACCTGGATTGTACTCCTGGCTCCTGGTTTCAGCCCAGCCCAGCCATGGGGAGCAAACCACTGGATCAGACCTCTCTCTCTCTCTCTCTCTTTCTCTTTCTCTCTCTTTCTCCCCCCTCTGCCTCTCAAAGAGTTTTTAAAAAACAAGAAGGCACATCAATTGGAGGGAAAACATGCAACCAGAAGAATTTTCTTAATGGTGTTCTGGGTTTCCTGGGAGAGCCTTAACCTCTTTTCCCACCCAGCATTTCCATAAGCCCTCAGGGAGCCCTGAATTCCAGTGGCGCCCTTTGTTGTAGCTGGTTTGGTTCCTATGCAGTCTGGTTCATGTGACCACAGCTGCCATGCTCCGTGCTCCCTTTGAGAAAGTCCGTTTGAAAGCAGTGAGTCTCTCCATTCCCAGGAATGTAATTCCCCAAGAGGATCTCCGCTCTGACTCCTGGTGGGGGCTTGGGGCAGGTGGAGGGTGACTGCTCACGGGCGCCCCTGCTGGATGGAGGGAAGCAGGGTGCGGTGGGTTCCACGCGGGCTTTGGGTGCTCACTTGTGCTCGCTGGTTTCAGGAGTTTCGAATGGAGATGGACTATAAGCAGTGGATAGTGGACTTTGTGAACCAGTCGCTACTTCAGTTAAGCACCTGTGACGTGGAGAGCAAGCGCTACGAGAGGACCGCGTTTGCCGAGGACCTGGGGGAGATGAACCGCAGGTGGCACCAAGTTCACGGGGCCCTGAACAGGAAGGTGCGTGTTCGGTCTGGGCATTCTCCAGGCGGCTTCCTGATCCGTAGCTGATCCTGACACCGCCGTCTCACTCTTGGAGTTTGGTTCTCGTGTTGCTGCCGAGAGTCCCTTGTGCGAAGTTGAGTTGGGCGAGTGACAAGGGGAAACCTTATTTACCAAAGTGTCACTCATTGTGTCGGGCCACTAAGTGGTCTAGGATTTGGACATTTCCGGTGGCAGGGATGTTCCAAAGGGACAAAGCTATTTCAGGTTTGAAAAGATTAAAAAAAGGAAGAAAAAAGCATGTAGCTTTTTGGCAGGTGCCTTTTTTTTTTTTTTTTAACTCCGTGACTCTTTTTTTTAACTTTTATTTAATAAATATAAATTTTGAATTTTCAATTAAATTTATACACATATGATTAACTCTATGTTAAGAGCTCAACAAATAGCGTGGGGGGAAAATAGCAAAACCTGTTCCTCAACACCTGAGACAGGGCCATTCAAAGTCATTGCTTCTCAGAGCGTCAGTGTCACGTCCATGGATTTCCTTTCCGGTGTGGGTCCTTTGGGGGCCTGGCTTATTTCATTAAGTATGATGTTTTCCTGGTTGATGAATCTTGATTCCAGAAGTTACTGGGGGCATCTTACTATTGCATAAAATCAGAAATTGGAGAAGAAACAGAACTGTCCCTTTAGCAGTGACACACGGCAGTCACATTTTAAAGCATGTGGTTTAAGGACATTTGTCCATACCATTTTGCTGTTGGTCACTCGCAGATACAGCATCTAGAGCAGCTTTTGGAAAGCGTCACCGAGCATGAAAACAAAATACAGATGCTGGACAACTGGATGGAGGCTCAGGAAGAGAGGCTGCGGACTCTGCAGCGACCGGAGGCCGTGGTCTCGGTGGAGAAGGTGCTGCTCGAGTGCCAGGTGAGAGGGGCTGCCGGCGCCCTGGCCCCGCGGCTCGCGGGGCAGCCCAGGGAGCAGCCCGCTTTGTCGTCATTTCTGGAGGCTCTTCCGCACGTTCCCCGCTTTGCCTTGCTTCCTGCAAAGGTTCCATCATTACCCCCCACCCCCAGGTTTTACCACATGGCAAGGGGCCGATGTTTCTGCGAGAAGCAGAAGTGGGTGTTTTCCTGGTCATTGTCATGACTTCTTGAGAGGTTTAAGAACTGCGCAGGAGGCGGGGGATGCACAAAGCCAGCTTGCAAGGCGATGCTTTCCAGTTTCTTTCTTTCTTTTTTTTTTTTTTTTAAGATTTATTTTATTTATTTGAAAGACAGAGTTACAGAGAGAGGTAGAGACAGAGAGAGAGGTCTTCCATCCGCTGGTTCACTCCCCACATGGCCGCAACGGCCGGAGCTGAGCTGATCCGAAGCCAGGAGCCAGGAGCTTCTTCCAGGTCTCCCAAGTGGATGCAGGGGCCCGAGGACTTGGGCCATCTTCTACTGCTTTCCCAGGCCATAGCAGAGAGCTGGATCGGAAGTGGAGCAGCCGGGACTAGAACCAGCGCCCATATGGGATGCCGGTTCTTCAGGCCAGGGCTTTAACCCGCTGTGCCACAGCGCTGGCCCCGCTTTCCAGTTTCTGTTTGTTATTCCTATCTCAGTCTTCCCAATATTACGCGATGGTTTCCACTGTTTTGAGTATTGCACTCTGTCGTTTCACAGAGGAGGCTGATTTTCTCCCACTGTTGGGTGGTGAGTTTTGGAAGGCCCACTGCCCTAGGAACCTGTGTCTGAATCCCACCTGGGCCTGCAGGGTGCCATCCGGGCCCTTGTTTGTTCAGCTGCTCTGTCTGCCAAGTGCCCTCTCCCCAGTGTGGTCTGATCCCCTCTTCAGCACTGCCCCGGTATGGGGGAGGGGTCATTCCCCCATCCGTCCAACACCTCCGCTCTCGGTGATGTGCAGGTGGCGCGCAGTGCACCTGCTACACAGACGCATCACTTTCCTGGCTGTGCCTGTCAGGGGCGAAGGCGGGAGGGCCTGGGCGACAGCATCCGTTCCTAGTTGTACCGAGAAGGTGACATGACAGTACTGGCCACAGAAGTCCAGCAGCCACGCCAACAGTGCTTCCTGGCCAGATCCACAGAAGATGCAACTCAGATTCCCCCAACACAGGGAGATGCCCCTGGGGGTGGGGGAGGGGACTCCAAAGACCGAAAAAAATGCAGCATGGTGGTAGAGAGAAAGTGCACATGTGCAGAATTTCTGGTCACCTTTGCAAGGCATGACAGAGTCTGTGTGTGCCCCTTCCGGGAGGAGACACCCAGAGAGAAGGAGCAGGCTTCTCTGGACGTTGCAACCTTGACATTCCACCACAGCCAGCCGTCTTCTCTGTAGTCACATTCCTATTTCCAGCCTTCCCGTCTCTGTCCTCACTGTGGCTTTCCTGCGGTCACCCTGGATGCCACCTGGATGTCACAGGGCAGCGCCCCTCCAGCCCCCTCCCTGACTCCCCACACGGCCACGGAGTGGTGTTTCTGAAACACAGAAGGTCACGGCCAGCCTTCAGGGGCTGCACCTGGCCCAGAGAATGGAGTTCCTGTGTTTTCAAGGTGCATTCCTGCCTCTGTGACCCCGCTCCCCAATGGCAGTTGCCAGAAGACCCAAACCAGCTAAGTCTCACCCGGTTATTTGTCTTTTCTGGGTAGATCCCAGCAGCCCTGGGCAGGTTGGAGGTGGATCCAGGCTCTCCATCACATTGGCATTGGAATGAAACAAATGCCCAGCAAAGTTCCACCACTGTGGAGACATGGATGCACCATCAGGCACTAAGAATAGTTCCTGTGTGTTCAGTGAAGCCCCAGCTCTCTGCACTTTGGGGTGCAGCACCCAGCACTGCGCACGAAAGATTTGCTTAGGGCAGATGCATCAGTATTCCAGAAGCGAAAGTCCAGTGTCTCAGTGGGCAGCTCCAGGCAGCCAGAATGTTTGGATTCTAGACCACACGCCAAACCACATGGCAGCTTGTTGTGTGGATTGTCGCCCAGTGTGAAGGCAACAGGCTAGGCTCAGTTCTTACATGCCATTCAACAGACGGCGACAGATTGGTCTGCAGTGGGTTAGCCAGTCCTCCTCTTTTGGGTTCATATAATCTTACCATTGAGAATCCATTTCTGATGCTCCAGTAATTTTGCCAGTTACAAACAATTTCTTGCCTTCATTGTGCTCGTTGGCAAAAACACCTCGTGTAGACTGAGGCCTGGGGCTCTGACGCCCTGTGATAGCCCCCCTCGGGAGCATGGGCGTCCTGATTCTCACGCTGGCCTGCTTCCCTGGCATGTGCATTGCTGCTTGCCCCTGGTTGCGCCTGCATGGAGCTCGCCCCTTCCCTCTGACCGCCCACTGTCTTTGCCAGAGTTTGCAGGTCCCTCTGGGAAGCCCCACCTGGCAGCTTGGGGCCTGACAGCACAGCCAGAGCACCTGCGCTCCTCCCTCAGCTCCGACACACACCTTGCGTGCTTCTTCCTGCGTGCCCCGCCTCTGTCATTGTGTGGGTTGGCTGGTTTGTTCCCATTGTGATTGTTTTTTAAGTCTTTTGTGGATGCATCTTTGCAAAAGCCTGTAAAGAGATGGAGGAAAAGTAGTAAAATAGGCTTCTCCAGGAGCCCGTGCAACACGACGCGGTCAGAGATTGTCCGGAACCCACTTATCTGCCTGCTTGTGCGTCTTCTACCAGACTCGAGGTTTCTCAGGGCTGGCTGGCTGTGTGCACGCCTGGGGAACCTGTGGTGGCTAAGATGCTCACAGGCGCTCAGTAGTTGGCTTGAGTCCTGTTTTAATAGACCCCAGATGATGCTTCTGCTTTTTCTTTTTTTTTAAGATTTATTTATTTGAAAGTCAGAGTTACACAGAGAGAGGAGACGCAGAAAGAGAGAGAGAGAGAGAGAGAATCTTCCATCCACTGGTTCACTCCCCAGTTGGCCACAATGGCTGGAGCTGCACTGATCTGAAGCCCGGAGCCAGGAGCCAGGAGCCAGGAGCCAGGAGCTTCTTCCAGGTCTCCCATATGGGTGCGGGGGTCCAAGGACTTGGGCCATCTTCCACTGCTTTCCCAGGCCACAGCAGAGAGCTGGATTGGAAGTGGAGCAGCCAGGTCTCGAACCGGCTCGCATATGGGATGCTGGCACCACAGGCAGCGGCTTTACCTGCTCTGCCACAGCGCTGGCCCCTAGGTTACTGGGTTTTACAAGGGGTACTTCAAAAGCTCGTAGGAAAAACTAGAATTGAAAACTAAGTTTAGGGGGCGAGTGTACAGCCCCACGTCTCCCACATCAGAATCTTTGGGTTGAATATTCTCATCCTGCAAATCGGCTCTGTGGGAGGCTGTAGTGGTGGCTTGAGTAACTGGGCTCCTGCCACCCACATGGGACACCTGGGTTGAGTTCCCAGCTCCTGGCTTCAGCTTCACCCAGCCTTGGCCATTGCAGGTATTTGGGGACTGAACCAGCAGGTAAGAGCACCCCCCAACCTTGCCACTCTTTCTCTCAAATTAAAAATAGCAACTTGTGGCTGGTGCTATGATGCAATGGGTTAAGCTACTGCCTGTGACACCTGCAACCCATACGGGCACTGGTTCAATTCCCAGCTGTTCTACTTCCCATCCAGCTTTCTGCTAATGCACCTGGGGAAGCAGCAGGAGCTGGTCCAAGTGCTTGGGCCCCTGCATCCATGTGGGAGAACCAGATGTAGCCCCTGGCCCCTGGCTTTGGCCTGGCCAAGCCCCGGCCATTGCAGCCATTTGGGGAGTAAACCATGAACCCGTGAGTATCCCAGATCTGTTCATTTGCAGATTGGAAAGGAATTTATAATGAATCCCTCCGAATCCCGAAGATCTTTTGCATTTTCCTAATGTGCTATAATGAGCTGTGATTCTTTCATAATTAAAATCTCTGTCTAATTTTTCCAAATTGGATTTCAGTCCCAGCCCTGGGAAAGGTGGATAAGCTGCCCGCCCCACCCCTCTGCCGAGATGGGGCATCCCTGCTGCTGGCCTGCTCAGCAGTGTTTGTGGACTGCCGGCTCCGCTATCATTGAGGGCTCCTGCAGGTGCCGGGCTGGGGGTAGTGCCTCTTAAGAGTGACTTAACAAACTAGGATGTACTGGAGCTATTGCTGACAGAGTTAACCAGTGTCCGCCGTATAACCTGTCACATGAGAGAACTTCAGAAAGCTCACAGAAAATGGAATGAAAAGATAAGTTTATGATGGCATCCAAAAAACATACTGCAGTGCCCCACAGATCTCGCACCACACGCGCTGTCCATGAACTTTGCACGTATGTGACCGTGCTTTCAATGCCCCTGCTCCTGGTTTCCCGTCATCCCTCAGCTGTGTGGTCTGTCATCACTGTTCTCCAGATGAGGAAGCAGAGACTGAGGTGTGACCCTCACGGCTGGTCCCACAGCCACTGCAGGCCAGACGTGGCCTGGGGACCAGCGCCCCTGGATATTTTTCTTGCTCTCTCTGACAATAAGGACTTGTTGCCCAGAGTCGCCAAATGCAGAGCTGTGAGGGCATTCAGAGTGTGTCCTGATTAAAATGTCTTTGGTGTGGGGCGGGCGCTGTGGCGCAGCAGGTTAAAGCCCTGGCCTGAAACATCGGCATCCCATATGCATGCCGGTTCGAGTCCCGGCTGCTCCTCTTCCAATACAGCTCTCTGCTATGGCCTGGGAAAGCAGTAGAAGATGGCCCAAGTGCTTGGGCCCCTGCACCCATGTGGGAGACCTGGAGGAAGCTCCTGGCTCCTGGCTTCAGATAGGCGCAGCTCCGGCCATTGTGGCTATCTGGGGAGTGAGCGAGAGGATGGAAGACCTCTCTCTCTCTGTCTCTACCTCTCTCTGTAACTCTTTCAAATAAATAAAATAAATCTTTTAAAAAAAAGTTTTTCGTGTAATGCTGGTTAATTGCAATTTCTCCTGCCATTTTTGCTTGAAAAAAGTAAACTGTCGCCTCTGCCGTGTGAACTGTTGTACACTGAAAGTCTTTGCTTTTTGCCCTTTCAGGATATAGAAAATCAGCTTGAAATTAAATCAAAAGCGCTGGACGAGTTGAGACAGAGCTCCCTGACACTGGAGAGCGGAGGGGCGCCACTGGTGAAGGACGCGACATCTAGAATCCATGAGCTATTCCAGAAGAGGGCCCGCGTGACCAGTCAGGTACTGGAGTCGGCTCCAAGTGTGCGGTTTCTCTTCACCTATTCTTTTATCTTTGTTGTCGTCATTCTTGACTCACAGAGGCCTGGCCGTCCAGCAAAAGCTGAAAACTCGCTGAGGAAAGACCCACAAGAGAAGCCTGCCAAATCCCATTTTATGCGCTGAGCAGCTGGAGACAAAACGGCCGGTTCTGAGATCCTGGGAGGCTGCAGGCGCACGTGGTTATCTTTGTTTTGTCTGGTGTGCTCTCATGCAGATGTAAATGCCTCGTCCCCAAACCCAGCAGAGCAGCTGGCCCGGGCTTCGTGGCCAGTTCCACAGGAGCTGCTGTGAGCACAGCTCAGATCCCCCCCCACAGGGAGATGCCTCTGGGGGGCCGGCGGGGGGAGACCTCCAAAGACTCCACGGTGGTGGAGAGACAGTACACATGTGCAGGACATCTGGTCACCTTCGCAAGGCGGGTCAGTCTGCCTGTGCCCCTCCCGGGAGGAGACACCCAGAGAGAAGGAGCAGGCTTCTCTGGACCATGCAACCGTGGCGTTCCCCCACAACCCAAAGAGAATGCTCCAAACGCAAGGGTGCTTCCGAAAGTCCCTGGGAAATTGAAACCGAGTTGATTTTGGTGCAAAAAAAAATTTGAAATCTGCGCATATACCAGGTCTTCCAGCAGTTCATGGAAATGGATATTATGAAAACACTATGCCTGGCTTTCAAAAAAAATTTTTTTTGGTAGCAAAATGTTTATCTTTTAAATGTCATTTTCCCAAAAACTTCCCAGTTACCAAGTATAGGTGTGTCCATGTTTCCTGGTGAATCCTCACTGCGGGGGCAGGGGGTTATTTGTCATCTACTGAAATCCACTTTCAATCGTTTGTTCCAAGAGAGAACGGGGAGTTGTCCGGCAGTGCTCAACCTCACTGCTCCACGGCGCTTGGCACAAAACAGGGGTGAGCTTATTCCGTGGCCTGTTGATTGTATCTGTGTAAGGGGAACAGAAATAGATGAGAAAATGAATCCTACCGTCAGAGAGATCAGAGGCTAGTAGCCGAAACTCACGGGAATACATCAGTGCAACACAATGGATTTTGATACAATAAAAAGGTAGAGGAGGTGAAATGAGATAATGCGTATAGAAACAGGCAGGCTGTGCTGTCCTGGGATAGACATAGAGGTAAATGGAACAGACAGCCCAGAAACAAGCCCTCGTGGTGTAGGCGGCTTTCCATCAGGATGCTGGGACACTTCCAGGAGGAAATAAGTCCATTGTGAAAAATGAGACACCTGGACAGCCACACGCGCAAGAATAAAGTCAACCGTGCATTCATCCCGAGTGCGAGCGACAACTCAGAATGAAATCGGTGGAAGAGCTAAACCGTTGACACTTCCTGCCTGTGGATCAGAGAGTCCCCGGCCTGACACCAGAAGCACAGGAAACCAACGAAAAAATGGCACTTCCTCAACACTAAACACGTTGGTGTTTCGAAGCAGACTCGTGGAAGAGTGAAGGCTGCCCGCATCGGGCTTGAAATTAAGCTGCCAGTTAGGATGCCCGCAGTCCCTGGGTTCGATTCCCAGCTCTGGCTGTTGACTCTGGCTTCCTGTTGCTGCAGAGCCTGGGGCTGGGTGGGCAGCGGTGATGGCTCAAGTAACTGGGCTGTGACCACCCGTGTAGGGTGGAGTCCCTGCTGTGGGCTTTGGAGAAATGAACCAACAAACCGAGAGCTCTCTCCTCTCTCTCTCTCTCTCTTTCTCTCTCTCTCTCTCTGCCTCTCACATAAATAAATTTTAACTAAGAAAAACTCATACAGCAGGAGGAAATACTTGTAAATCACATATTTGACAAAGATCTTATATCTAGAATATATAAAGCATGGTTACAACTTCATGACAGGACAAATAGCCAAGTGAAAAAAATATTAGCAAAAGATCTGAATGGACATTTCTGCAGAGGTGATACGAATGACCCACAGACCTTTGGGGAGGGTGCTCAGTGCCGCTAACCATCAGAACGTGAAAATCAAAACCACAACGAAATGCTCTCACATTGTTTGTTTATTTTATCTGAAAGGCAGACGGATGAAGAAAGATCTCTCATCTGCTAGTTCACTGCCCAGACGCCTGTAATAGCCAAGACTGGGAGTCAGGAACTCCAGCCAGGTGTCCCCTGTGGGCGCCAGGTATCCAGCTGCTTGAACCATCACCTGCTGCCTTTCCGAAATATAATAATAATAATAATAATAATAATAATAAATTTCAGAGCAGAGGGCATGAGCTATTGCTCATGCATCTGCATACCCCCAGAGTCACTGTCACCCTACTGGTCCAGAGCAGGGGCTTAACGCCCTGGCCTGAAGCACTGGCATCCCGTAGGGGTGCCGGTTCGAGACCCAGCTGCTCCACTTCCAATCCAGCTCTCTGCTGTGGCCTGGGAAAGCAGTAGAAGGTGGCCCAAGTCTTTGGGCCCCTGCACCCACGTGGGAGACCCAGAGGAAGCTCCTGGCTCCTGGCTTCAGATCAGCGCAGCTCTAGCCATTGCCGCCAACTGGGGAGTGAACCAGCAGATGGAAGACCTCTCTCTCTCTCTCTCTCTCTCTCTCTGCCTCTCCTCTCTCTGTGTAACTCTTTCAAATAAGTAAATAAATAAATCTTTAAAAAATTTAAAAAAAGAACGAAACCCCAAACCCATTAGCAGTCACTGCCCATTCCTCACCTCCCCCGTTGCCTGACAACCCCTGACCTCCTTTCCCTGTGAACTTGCCTGTGCTGGACATGCAGTGTCAGTGAGCTGTGCAGTGTGCAGCCTCTTTGCCTGGCCTCTTTTGCTTAGTGTTCTCAAGGTCATCAGTGTCGTGATGTATAGCAGGACTTCCTTTGGCTTACGGCTGAATAATGGTCTGCTGTGTGGATGGACCCCATTTAGTTGATCCATTGCTCAATTTTAGCATCAGAGTAGTTAAGTGATACCTCGTTGTGCGTTTGATTGGCATTTCCTTGGTGCTTACGGCCGGGCCACTTGCATATCTTCCGTGGAGAAATCTCTCTGTCCGTTCTTGTGACTGGTTATTAGTCACACGCTTGCGTCCCAAGCATCTCTCTACGGCCTTGATTATATCTGGGATCACTTATGATCGGTAACAAAGGTGCTCGGCTCCCTTCCTGGTCATCAGAACCTTCCCAATGATAGAATACTCCCACCGCTGCATTTTGTCTGCTTCGCACTTGCCTGTCAGTACAGTGGAGCACATTTGTCTGCAATCTGTGCTTGCCCTAAATAGTAGTCAGACTTAAGCATGGGTAGCACCTTAAGTTAACAGTAGCCCCGGTTTTCAGAGCATTTTCACAGGCAATGTTGCGTTTGCGTTTTTCACCTGTTTTCTGGAGGAGGAAGCACACTCTAGGGTTACGTAACTTGTGCCGGATGAGTAAGCTAATACAGCTGACCTGTGCACCCGCAGAGTCTGCTACCTGCCCAGGGTTCTGCCCTGTCTCTTTCCAGTCCGGACCCCTCCAGGCTAGGGCTCACTGCCATTTCTCCATTCGGAATCAGCCGTCTCTGATGTTGGTTGTGGTTCATTGATGTACCCTTACCACTTTTGGTCAATCAACCGGAAGTCTTCAAATTGGAAACAATGTGTATTCCTTGGCTGGGGAAAAAAAAAAAGACAAGAGACCCTGTAGGGCTTTTCTAAATGAGTGTTTCCATTTTTTGTGTATAGATCAATCAGCTCAAAAACTCCATGCAGTCGGTGTTGCGGGAATGGAAGACTGGTAACAGACTCTGCAGTGAGATGGAGGTGATGACGGTCCGGTTCCGGTACTGCCTGGAACTTGGCAAGCCCCTGATTTCCTCGCTGGAAGCCTTGGGATGTCAGGTGCAGAACCTGCAGGTAGGTTGGGCACAGTGCGGCACAGCGGGTGGCTGGCAGAAAATTCCAGAGAGAAGCAAGCACAGGAATGGATACAGGCTGGATGTTCTCCACAGAGGAGCAGGAGACAGGTTGTTAAACAGCAGGATCCAAAGCGGAACCTGGGGGAGGGGGGACAGGCTCGGTGCTGCTGCTGACCAGGCTGCCTCTTAGGGTGCCCACGTGTGGTTTTGGAATGCCTGGGGTCAAGTCCCATCTCCGCTTCCAATGCAGCTCCATGCTAATGTATCTGAGAAGCAGCACCTGGGGGTTCAGGCACTTGAGTCCCTGCCATGCATGTGGACGACACAGATGGAGCTCTGGGCTCCTGGCTCAGCCTGGCCCAGCCCTAGCTCTTGCAGGCATCTGGGGAGTAAAACATTGGATGGAAGATCTCGCTCTCTTCCTCCCTCTCTCTCTCTCTCTTTGTATTTCAAATAAATAAATAATAACTTTAAAAAGAAAACAAAGTATAACAGGAAATTCCAAAATGAGTCACATGACTCTTTTTTTTGATAATTTATTTTATTTATTTGAAAGGCAGAGAGAGAGACAGAGACAGAGAAAGGTCTTCCATTGACTGGTTCAGTCCCTAAATGGCTGCAACAGCCAGAGCTGAGTTGATCCAAAGGCAAGAGCCAGGAGCTTCTTCTGGGTCTCCCATGCAGGTGCAGGGGCCTAAGGACTTGGGCCATCTTCTACTACTTTCCCAGGCCATGGCAGAGAACTGGATCAGAAGTAGACTCAAGAAGCCAGGACTCAAACCAGCGCCCATATGGGATGCCAGCACTGCAGGTGGCAGCTTTACCTGCTACACTACAGCGTTGGCCTCACCACTCATTTTTATAAAATTACATGGTGTGTTTTTCATGTCCACATTTTGCAATTTGAAGCTTTTGCATTTGTGTTTTAACCATTCTTTTTCTTTCTTATTAGTGCACCTTAGTACTTAGCATCCACAGTACTTAGTGGTACTTAAAGGTGCAGCCTCAAGAGACGCTGGTGGAGTTCCAGGCTCCTGGCTTCAGCCTGGCCCAGTACTGGCTGTTGCAAGCATTTGGGCAGTGCACCAGAGGGTGGAAGACCTTGCTCTCTCATCAGTCTCTCTATCTGTGTCACTCTGCCTTTCAAATAAATCCAAATAAATCAGCTAAAAAAAAAAAAAAATAGCTCAGCCTCAGTGTAAAGGATGTCTTCTCTGTTTCCTTCCCCCTGTCCCTAAGCACTTGTCACAGTCCTGTGAGGTCTGAGGTCGCCTTACTGCTAAGCGGCAGCAGTGCCCAGGCCGTCCTGAAGGGGGCCTTCCTGCTGTTTCCTCCTAGGCTCTTCAGGACGAAGCTGAGAGCAGCGAAGGGAGCTGGGAGAAGCTCCAGGAGGTGACTAGAAAACTCCAAGGTTTCTGCCCCGCGGTGGCTGAACTCATCCGCGAGAAGTGCCAAGCTACGCTCTCAAGGTACCCGTTGCTATGCGACTCCAGTGATGGCTCAGATCTCTTCATCTTAACGCCCTGTGGCTTGCACAGCCTTCTTAACCCTCCGAGATGGCTGCCTTTGTCTCCGTGGCTCATGCTTTGAAGGCTGTGGTCTCTGGAAGGGTGGGAGTGTTGAAGTCACTGTCTGCCTAATACAGTGTTCGGCACAGTCCATCTGGAAGTGCCCTGGTCACGGTTCTGGAAGGAGCCACACGCAGACTCATTGCAGAGAGCTGGAGGAGGCTCTGCTGTGCACACACCTTCCCTCGTGTTGGCCCCACTTAATTGCAAGCTGCTATTTTGCTGAATGGGATCAGAAAGACAGCTGGTCTGTGCGAGACGGTGACACCGGGCTAGGTCGGTGTCACAGTGGTCTCTGGGGGCCCTCTTTGGTCTTTATAGAAAGGGCGGGAGTTGGGAGGGAGGAAGAAGCCTAGAAATTAGCTGACTCCACACATGGGATGGGTGACAAGCCTCAAAGCATAAAGCCAGGGCGGGCGTCCGGCCCAGCGGTTAACGCGCCTGCGTCCGAGCGGCGTGCCGAGTTTCGCTGCCGCCTCTAGCCCCTACCTGCAGCTGCCTGCTAACAGGGACCCTGGGAAAGCAGCAGCGAGGGCTCAGATAATTGGGTCACCGCCACCTCTTTGGGAGACCTGGATTGTGTTCCTGCCTGGTCCTGGCCCCTTGTGGGCATTTGCAGAATGAAGCAAGCCAATGGGGACCCTGCCTCTCTGCCTCTCAGATAAGCAAGTGAATAAGTGAACCGTAAAGGCCCTTCCCCGCCCCCTGCACACTGGGAGTCTTTACCACAAGCAGGGGTCTTAGTACTTTCTCTACCTTTGCATATGAGACGTCCATCATCCAGTAGATATTTTTTGTAGATATATTTTTCTTTTTCTTTTTTTTTTTTTTTTGTTGACTATTACAAAGCCTCGTTTGCATTTCTGTCTGTTATCATGGTGATGTCGTTAGTGTCCAAAGAGCATTGAGCAGTATCCTCCTAAGAGTGCATCTGCTGTTGACCCCACCCCGGGGGGGGGGGGGCACGCCTGCTGTCCTTTTGCTCCAAGGCAGGTGGGAATGAGGACCTTGTTTTTGTTGTGTGGGCAGGTGGACCCAGGTAAACCAAGAGATCGCAGAGCAGTTGCAGAAGGCCCAGAGCGCGCTCCAGCTCTGGAGGACCTATCACAGCGCTCACTCGGAAGCCTCAGCAAGGCTGCAGCAGCAGGAGGCCAAGTTCCAGCAGCTGGCCACCATCAACATGTCTGGGAACAACCTGGCAGAGACCTTGCCCTTGGCCCTGCAGGACATCAAGGTGGGTGCACGTCCCACTGGGGAAACCAGAATCAAGTCAACAGTGCTGCAGACGGGGCCGGAGAGGGAAGGCCCTGGCCCCGGGGATGAGACGCGCCACACCCGGGGCAGGTGCCATGAGCAAGCCGTGTAGGTCATGGCGAGGCTGGGAGGGCCAAGCAGCAGGTGGCTGGGTCATAGACGTCTGACCCCACCTTGTTCCCTGTCTAGCCTTTCACTGTAGCAGCTGCCTTGCTAACATAAAAGCCTCTTGCGAAGTCTGAAATAAGGGCAACAGTGTCTCAGTTAAGGGGAGCCGTCTAGGGATAGTTTGTGTTGGATCTCACTCTTTAGGAATAGTCATGGACGTTGTCTGCAAGGAGAGTGATTTTTTTTAGACTCTCTGAGTCGTCTTCCTAAGTTCATGGAAAATGCCTGTTAACGAAAACAACGTGTGGCTTTCGAACTTTGTCCGCATCAACGTAAACTTGTTTTTCATTCCGTTTTCCATGAACTTTTTGAAGTCACCCTGTAAAGAATTGTATCATTTCCCCTGCGGTGTTTCTCCTATTCCTGTTAATGAATGCCCAGAAAGTGAATGCTATTTCAGCTTCAAATTGGGTGACATGATGCATTTTTGTCTCTTGTGATGTTAATAGGTCAAATCAAGCAGTAGCATCCAATTTTTTTTAAAGATTTTATTTATTATATTTGAGAGTTAGAGTTACAGACAGTGAGAGGGAGAGACAGAGAAAGGTCTTCCTTCCGTTGGTTCACTCTCCAAATGGCCACACAGCTGGAGCTGTGCTGATCCGAAGCCAGGAGCCAGGTGCTTCCTCCAGGTCTCCCACGTGGGTACAGGGGCCCAAGGACTTGGACCATCTTCTACTGCTTTCCCAGGCCACAGCAGAGAGCTGGACTGGAAGTGGAGCAGCCGGGACTAGAACTGGCACCCACATGGGATGCTGGCGCCCCAGGCAGAGGATTAACCCACTGCGCCTTGGCGTCGGCCCCAGTAGCACCCAGTTTAATTAGAGAGACAAGAATCCAGCAGAGAGCCCCTGTATTTCTGGTCCACTTCTATATGATCTGTTGTTTGAAACAAACAAAAGCCCAGGAATTTTCCAAATAGTATCTCCAGCGCAGCCCTAAAATTGGCTTGTTGATGAGATTCAGCAGCCTCTGCAAATGAATCGGTCCCTATCAGAAAGTCTTGGAATGGTGTGGAAACAGATGTTGAAAGTGTCAGATAATTAGAAATGCAAAGCGCGGCCAAAGGCCCTGTTGTTCAGGAGCTTAGGCTGCCACTTGGGACGCCCACATCCCATATCCGAGTGCTGGTTCAGGTCCCAGGTGGCCTATTCTTGATAGGCCATGCCCCCTGCCAATGTATCCTAGGAGGCAATAGATGATGGCCAAGTGCTTGGGTGCCTGCCCACCCACATGGGAGACCCAGATGGAATTCCTGGCTTCTGGCTTCAGCCTAGCGCAGCCCTGACTGCTGGATGGAAGGTTTCTCTCTTCTCTGTCTCTCCTTCTCTCTCTCTGTCCCTCTACCTTTCAAATAAATTGATCTTTTTAAGAAGAAAGAAAGTGGCCGGCGCCGCGGCTCACTAGGCTAATCCTCCGCCTGTGGGGCCGGCACCCCGGGTTCTAGTCCTGGTTGGGGCGCCGGTCCTGTCCTGGTTGCTCCTCCTACAGTCCAGCTCTCTGCTGTGGCCTGGGAGGGCAGTGGAGGATGGCCCAAGTCCTTGGGCCCTGCACCTGCATGGGAGACCAGGAGAAGCACCCGACTCCTGGCTTTGGATCGGTGCAGCGCTGGCCGTAGCGGCCACTGGGGGGTGAACCAATGGAAGGAGGACCTTTCTCTCTCTCTCTCTTTCTCTCACTGTCTAACTCTGCCTGTAAAAAAAAAAAAAAAAGAAAGAAAGAAAGTAAGAAAAAGAGAAAGAAATACAGAGCCAGAGACGTCTACCCAGCTGGTCTCCAGGTTCTGTGAGCTGGAAGCTTCTGTCACATTGGTCCATGGTCAGTGTTAGCTCTGAGTTGACAACGTCAGAGCCATTTCAGTGAGGTGCATCGGTGAAGAAAGCTTAAGCTTTTCCAGCTATGCAGAGTAAACAGTAGGGGTGGCGCTACGGTGCTGTAGGTTATTCCTCCGCCTGGGGCGCTGGCATCCTATATCGGCGCCAGTTCAAGTCCTGGCTGCTCCAGTTCCCATCCAGCTCTCTGCTGTGGCCTGGGAAAGCAGTGGAGGATGGCCCAAGTTCTTGGGCCCCTGCACCCACGTGGGAGACCTGGAAGAAGCTCCTGGCTCCTGGCTTCAGATTGGCACAGCTCCAGCTGTGTGGCCATTTGGGGAGTGAACCAGTGGACGGAAGACCTCTCTCTCTGTCTCTTCCTCTCACTGTCTGTAATTCTGCCTCTCAAATAAATAGAATCTTTAAAAATAAAGAAAAAGTAAACAATACAGGAAGCCACGCCCACAATTGCAGGGCAGATTCTCCTAGCCGGTGATGGATGGGGCTGCAGGGAGGAGGAGGAGGGGTGTGACAGGAGGAAGATGTGTTTTGTGAACGCTTTTCCGTCTCCAGGAGCTGCACCGTGACGTGCAGGAGACCAGAGAAGCCTTTGCTCGAAGCTCCGCCCTCTTGGACCGGCTCCCACAGCCTGCAGAGTCCAGCGCCCACGCGTTCCTCTCTGGCCAGCCCCACTCCCTGCAGAGGGCTGCGTTCCTGGAAAAGACGCTGCTGATGAAGGCCAGCGAATTTGAGGTCCGTCTTATTTTCCTACTCAGATCATCACCTTCACCTGCGCAGCCCGCTTATCCTTGGGAGTGTAGCGCTTCGCGTTCCTGTGTAGGAAAACTGCAAAATGAAGCTGCCCCGAGCAGACAGGAGGATACCTAACACTTCTGAGTTGAAAGACAAGTTCATTTGGGTGCAAGACAATTTTAAATCCATGCATAATTCTTCCATAATTGGCATTTCCCATGCCCTTTTTGAGAATTTCTTGTATGCATGGATTTCAAAACTTTGTACACCCAAATAAACATGTATTTTCATCCATGAGCTTTCGGGAGTATCCCCATGTGAATCTAGCTTTAATCACTTGGGCTTTCTCAAGCAACCCCTCCTTTTTATTGAACTACTGGTTGAAAAAATTACCTATTTCATATAGTATCGATATCTCACAGAATTTCCGAGTAGGGGAATGAGATCATAGAAAGAGCTGCTGGAAACACAGCCATGTGTTGTACCCTTAATTCAGCCGTTGCAAAGCCTTGCATGCATGAACTGTCAAACAGTAGACCAGAAGGTCATGGAGATCCAGTGTCAGTACCGGCGAGGACTGGAAGGAACGGGGGGTTCCAGGGTTCACGGCTCTGTGCGATCCTGCAGCAGGCGATCTGTTGGTCTAGGAAGGCTCAGAGGCACAGAGTGAAAACCAACTGGCTTCTTTATACGCATCGATGCTTATTTATGATAGTGAGGACCCTTTAGCCTTGAAGACAATTTGAACTTTTATCATCTCCCAAAGCTGTGCCGAATTCTCTTTACGGTGTACAAGGGAATGGTCTCTAATGAAAAATTCCTTTTGTTCTAGTTTGTCCTCTCGCAGCTTAAGGAGTTTTGGGATCAACTGGAATCTTTACAAGGTCTTATGCATGAGAAAGAGAATGTGGATAAACTCCACCAGCAAGAAAGAGAAGAAAATCCCAACTCACTCCTGGTATGGGTGATGCTTGTCTTCCCTAAGGGCTTGGGCTCACATTTAATAAAAATAAGCTAATTAGTGCTAATGTGGAATCCGCTCTCATCCGTACTGACTGAGCCTGGTCATTCATTCTTGCCATGTCTCCTCCAAGCTCCAGACAGATAGGACAACAAAACCACCTAGTACGATGCCGTACTTCTTCATAGATTCTTTAAATCTAGATTCTGTCCAAATTAGCTTCAGTGAATCACTATAATCTAAGAACTGGCTGTTGTGATGGAAAAAGTCAAATATTCTATTAAAATCATGAGTTCCCCCTTTTATGACCTTAGTAAATTTCTGTCGGTAACATAAGTAAATGAGAAAATTAAAGAATTCTGTATTTGGGGCCTGACCTGTGGCACAGCAGGTTGCCCTGCAATACCAGCACCTCGTATGGGCACCTGTTGGAGTCCTGGCTGTCCCACTTCCAGAGCAGCTCTCTGCTGTGGCCTGGGAAAGCAGTGGAGGATGGTCCAAGTGCTTGGGCTCCTGCACCCCCTGGGAGACCTGGAAGAAGCTCCTGGCTCCTGGCTTTGGCCTGGTGAGCCCTGGCTGTTGTGGCCTTTATGGAGTAAACCAGCAGATGGAAGACCTCTCTCTATCTCTCTCTCCCCTTCCTCTCCTTCTCCCTCTCCCTCTCTCTCTGTAACCCTGCCTTTCAAATAAATAAATCTTTTTTCAAAAAAAAATTATCACAAAAATTAAAAAAGAATTCTGTATATTGCAACCCACTAAGGGTCTATATTTATAATCCTAGATCAGGAACAGCAAATTGTGACCCAATGTCCAAATCCAAGTTCACATCCTATTTTTGTAAATAAAAATTTATTCAGAACCAGCCTGCCCTCTGTTTATAAACTGTCTGTGAGTGATTTCTTGTTGTAAGGGCACAACTGAATTGTTACGGAAACCCACTGCTGAAGCCTAAAATGCCTATGGTCTGGCCCTTCGTGGAGAAGTTTTGCTGACCCAGAGCCAGCGTATTACAGCCGAGTTCTGTAGCGATAACATGGATGCTGTTGCTTTAGAGGCTGTCCTTGGGATATATTCCAAAGACAAAGTATTGAGTTTGCTTTCTTGTGATTTTACATTCATCCAAAATCTAGGTAGAGTATTTTTTTAAGATTTGTTTATTGTATTTGTAAGGCAGACTACACAGAGAGAGGGAGAGAGAGATCTTCCATCTGCTGGTGCTCTCCGCAGATGGCTGCAATGGCCAAGGCTGGGCCAGGCTGAAACCGGGAGCCAGGAGCTTCATCTGGGTCTCACACCTGGGTGGCAGGGGCCCAAGCACTTGGGCCATCCTCCGCTGCTTTCCCAGGCACATTAACAGGGAGCTGGATCAGAAGTAGAGCAGCCGGGAATCGAATGGGTGCCCATATGGGATGCTGGCATCGCAGGTGGTGGCTTAACCAGCTATGCCACAGCGCCGCCTATGTGTAGAATACTGTTAAATTATGCTGTAAGCACTGTGCCTTGCTGCATAGCAAGGAACCCATTTCTTTTGATTTGTAGGCAAGCTGCATGGCCTGCTGCAGGTTTAGTTGTTAGCAGACTAAAGGGGACTTGGAAGTCCAAAATGATCTCTTTTTTTTTTAAGCCCATTTTCTGTATTTTTCAGAGACAAGATTTGAGATCACTTTGTATTTCCTGGGCTGTTCGGGTTGTGCAGATTTGGATTCTGAGTTCAAGCCCAGCTCTGGACAAACCATTTGCTAATTCAGGCCCCAATATTCCCTTGTCTTTGAGATAAGCAGAACCTTTTTGTGGTCTGACTATCTTAGTAGTATCTGAAAACCTGGACTTCAGTTTCATTTTATGTTATTTGAGATGCAGAGAGAGGGCAAAAGCTCCCCTCCACTGATTCACTCCCCGATACTACAGGGGCTGAGAACAGGCAGAGGGCTGAAGCCAGGAGCCAGGAACTCAACCCAGGTGTCCAGTTACTCGGGCCATCACCTGGTGCGGCCCAGGATCTGTGTTAGCAAGAAGCTGGAGGCAGGAGCTGAGACTGCACTGTGGGCTGTCCTGTGTGGGGTGGGGTGTCAGCCGTACCCTAACCTCTGAGGACCTGAGACTCCACTGTGGGCTGTGCTGTGTGGGGTGGGGGTGTCAGCCGTACCCTAACCTCTGAGGACCTGAGACTCCACCGTGGGCTGTGCTGTGTGGGGTGGGGGTGTCAGCCCGTACCTAACCACTGTGTGTTTTACAGAACCGAGTGCTGGCACTGACGGCCCACTCACCCGATCTTGAGCGGCTGAATGAAGTGAGCCTGAAGCTCCCACTGAGCGAGGTGGCCGTGAAGACGCTGCAGAGCATGAACCGGCAATGGATCCAAGCCACGGCCACGGCCATGGACCGCTGCAGGTCAGCTCGTCCCGCCTGTGCCGTTGTACCGGCTACGGCTCGGGAGTGTCACTGTCATACGGACCTGTGTTGTTTGTCTCGACCTTTCCAGGGAGCTGCAGGACGCTGGACTGAAGGAAAACTTTCTTTACTGCTGTGAGAAGTGGGTCCGACTTTTGGAGAAGATGGAAGAGAAGCTGGGAGGGAGTGCTGGTGACAGCCTCGCCGCACTGCTGGAGGAGCAGAAGACGTTCCAGGTGACCCTGAGTTCGCTGCCCCCTTGAGCTGCTCACCCTGGGGCAGGAGTCAGACAGAGAGATTTCAGTAAAACCCCCGGGGGTGGGCATGGGGCGCATCTACCCATCCCTAACCACAGGATGTTTAAGGCACTTCAAAAAATTCACAGAAAATGGCATTAAGAGACGTTTATTTTGGTGGGAAAAAAAATTGACATCCATGCATAATTTTTTTTATAATACTCACTTTCTTTTTTAAAGAATCGTGTATTTATTTGCAAGGCAGATACAGAGAAAAAGAGAGAAATCTTCCATCTGCTGGTTCATCCCCCAAATGGCCCCAACAGCTGGGGCTGGGCCAGGTTGAAGCCAGGAGCCTGAAGCTCCCTCCAGGTCTCCCACTTGGCCCTCTTCTGCTGCTTTCCCAAGTGCCTTAACAGGAGGCTGGGTGGAAGTGGAGCAGCTACCACTTGAACTGCCACTCAGATGCGATGCCAGCACTGCAGGCGGTGGCTTAACCACCATACTGCTCATTTTCTATGAACTTTTTAAGACTTACCATAGGTATCAATTTCAAAATTTTTCACCAAAATAAACATCTTTTAATTCTTTTTTCCACAAATGTTTTGACATATTCAGTTGTCAGCTGGTCATTTGCAAGATTTTCTCCCATTTCATGAATTACAGCATTTGGTTCCCTTGCTCTGTTTTATTAGTGGCAGCGCTCCTAGGTTTTCTGTAGTCCTCGGAAGTTTCTAGCACAACTTCGATTCTTTAGAAGGCAAGCACTGTACCACTGTGCCAGTAGCATGGGAGAGCACGTTAGCTTCTCTTTGTATTTTCACTGAATTCTCTAGTATTGATAAATTAGAGCCCTAGCATTAGTAATTCCACGGAGGAGTTTCTATGGAAACTGATGGATATTTGAGAATACTGCTGGTGGTGACAGATCCTGCTTTTCCAAGGTGAGGTTGATCAGTTGACTGTAACTTTTTAATGTAACTATCTTAAGTATGCATTATCACTTAAAGATCATCCGGTGAAAATAAAACAGACACAAATACTTTAGTTGCCTGTCCTTCCAAGCACCCAAGTCCTACAGTTGAGAAATAGACGAGACAACTCATGTTTTGCACAGCTCCTGGCCAGAGTCACTGCCCAGTAAAAGTGCCTGGAGATGTAGGTGGACCTGATGTGATGTTCATATATGGTGCTGATAGGATGGCTGAACATTTTTTGCAGCTGCGCTCAAACAATTTGAAAGTCGATCGTCCCATATGTCCCTTGGAAGCTTAGATCCTCATCGAATCTGTGAGTTCCAAATTCATAAACGTGAATTCCCCAGGCTGACGGTTTCTGTTTTGACTCATACACAGATGTTAGAAGCTGAAGTTTCCATAAGCCAGAGAGTTGCTGATGTTTGGGTCACGCAGTCCCTACAACTCCTGGACACAGCGGAGGTAGAGAGGAGGTGAGCCTTCTGGGACTTGTGACGGTTGTGGCACAGGGAGCCCACGCAGGGGTCAGAGCAGGCTTCCCACGTGTGGACCCTACTCACATCAGTGCCCTGCAGCCCACTGATGGGTAGGTCACTGTGGGGCCAGCCTTCCTGCCATCCACTGGGACGTGGTGTTGCCATGTGGTGATAAAAATGTTGGTGATACTTTTCCCTGTGGTTGGTGGATGGGGTGAGCAGTCCAGAAACTTAAAAAAAAAAAAAAAACGGCCACTTCTTTGGGTGTACAGTTGTCCTAGCCATTAAGATGCCACTCGAGACCCCTTGTTGGAGTCCCTGGGTTCATGTTCTAGCTCTGCTCTGGATTCTGGCTCCCCACTGGGGCAGACCCGGGGAGGCAGTAGGTGATAGGTCCAGTGCGGGGGATCCTGCTGGGGGACCTGGGTTGAGTTCCCTGTGCTGGGCTTCAGCCTGACCCAGCTCTGACTTATGCAGGCATTTGAGGAGGAAGCCAGTGGGTGGGAGATCTCTGTCTCTCTGTGTCTCTGTCTTTCAAGTAATAGGATCAATAAAAACACCCGTCCCCCAAGCATACCTGGAGTCTTCAAAGAGTTCAGGAAAATGCATGTTATTTAAAAAAAAAACTATGCACAGATGTAAAAAAAAAACATTTTTTGTGACAAAATAAACGTGTCTTTTAATCCATTTTTCATTACTGTTTTTGAAGTATCTATAGTTTACCAAGTTTTATCTCAAATTGGACTTCTATAGTATGTTTTCCTTTTTTTTTATAAGCCACAGGCATTTCAGAGTGCCTGCTTTCTTTCTTTTTTTTTAAGATTTATTTATTTATTTGAAAGAGTTATACAGAGAGAGAAGGAGAGGAAGAGAGAGAGAGAGAGAGAGAGTCTTCCATCCACTGGTTCACTCCCGAAGTGGCCGCAACGGCCAGAACTGAGCTGATCTGAAGCCAGGAGCCAGGAGCTTCTTCCGGGTCTCCCACGAGAGTGCAGGGGCCCAAGCACTTGGGCCACCTTCTACTGCTTTCCCAGGCCGTAGCAGAGATCTGGATCGGAGTGGAGCAGCTGGGACTTGAACCAGGTGCCCATATGGGATGCCGGCACTGCAGGTGGCGGCTTTACCCGCTATGCCACAGCACTGGCCCCATATGCTTTCCTCTTGACTCTCACCTTCATGCTGTGTTGCTATTTAGCAAATAATTTTTCCAATGCCGCCATTTGCAGCAGGTAGCTCAGCCCTCGTCATAATAGGAGGGAGTTCTCCCTATGTGGATATGGGGTTGGTTGGGTCACTGGGCAGTGCCAGTTAGGCTGAGTAGAGTCCCTGTGGGGCAGCCTCCTGTGGATAAATGTCGCGGTCTTGCAGCTGAGCTGAAACACAGGGCAGAGAGCCTGGAGGTGGCCTGGAACATTACCTTCACCGAATGTCCTAGAGGACTTGTTTTCCTCTCCGTAACATCCATATGCCCGAGAGAATCTTCTTGCAGCATAGCTAAGTAACACAGAGTCGATTTCTTCCAGCTCTGAACCAGTGGATTCCAGCCAGTTCCAGAATGACCTGTTATTTTGTTTTGCTCAGTATAGCAAGGCTTGACTTTCCCAGAATAAATGAGGGCTTCGCTTGTCGTGTGGAGGATGTTATTGATCTGGGAAAGAGCCAATGAATTCTTGCAGAAAGTCTGCTCTTCATGGCTAAAATCATATAAGTGGGGCCAGCACTGTGGCATAGCAGGTAAAGCCACCGCCTGCAGTGCCAGCATCCCATATGGGCACTGGTTCGAGTCCCGGCTGCTCCACTTCTGATCCAGCTCCCTGCTATGGCCTGAGAAATCAGTAGAAGATGGCCCAAGTTCTTGGGCCCCTGCACCCCCGTGGGAGACCTGGAAGAAGCTCCTGGCTCCTGGCTTTGGATTGGCCCAGCTTCAGCCATTGAGGCCATTTGGGGAGTGAACCAGAAGATGGAAGACCTCTCTCTCTCTCTCTCTCTCTCTCTCTCTGCCTCTGCCTCTGCCTCTGCCTCTCCGTAACTCTACCTTTCAAATAAATAAATAAATCTTTTTTAAAAATTATATAACATACACCTTCATATACTCAGTAGCTTTCCAAGGTACCTACCTATGTGTTCATCCACTTCCTGTTGATCTACTTTCTAGTTTTCTTTCCGTCAGCACTCGGCATTCCGTACATTAAAACAGCGTCAGCCGATAGGAGCTCTCTCGTTCTCTCTCCTTCCCTCTCTAATTAGTTAACTAATTGATTAAAAAAAAAAAAAAAAGCTCCAGTTTGTTTAAAGGAATGGTTCTTATCCGTGCTGGCAAAACACCAGGTTTCATGCAAGTATTTTCTGCCGAACCCCGTTCACCAACGCACGCGCTGCCCTTGCACAAGCCCCCTTCATGTTTCAGTTGGACAATGCTGGGGTTTTAAGAAGCTGGGGTTTCCCCCACATCAGTTGTGCCTGCAGATATCAAATCTGAGCGTTGTTACCCAGTGACAGTTCCTCTCTCCCCCACGTTGGTGTCAGCACGCCGTGACGCTCTCTGTCTTCCCTAGCCCTGAATTTGTTGCGGGGTTCTCGGAGCTGGCGGACCGCTGGCAGCGAGCTGCCCAGGGCGTGCGGCAGAGGGCGCGCGAGGCGGAGGGGCTGGTGCGGAAGTGGTGGTGCTTCACGGCCTCGGCGGAGGAGCTGCTGCGCTTCCTGGCCGACACCAGCCACCTGCTGTCTGCCCTGAAGGGCCGGGACCACTACAGCCTTTCCCAGACCCGAAGCCTGCTGCAGGAGCTGAAGGTACTGTGTGCAAGGCCCCCCCCCCACGGCGGGATGTTCCCTCATCTCTGATGTGTGTGTTCTAGGGTGGCATGGTTCAGCTGCACTTTGTCCAATGGGAGGCCAGCAGGGTGGGGGCAGCACACCTCACAGCCCGGCCCATCACTCTGTGGGGTCAGAAACCCAATGGTACGGGTTCATCTAGAAGTAATGAGGCTGTCCCGGGCCATGGGAGGAGCCGGGGTGGAGACAGGTGGGTGGAGTGGGAGCAGTTTGGGGTGACAGCATTGCACCACCTGAACTCATAAGCCACTCCCTAATGATGGACTGTTCAGCATTGGAGTAATGTAGAATGCCTTTATTATTATTATTATTATTATTATTATTATTATTATGTATTTGAGAGAAAAAGACACATAGAGAAGCCTGCAACAGCCAAGGTTGGGCTTGGATGAAACCAGAAGGTAGGAACTCCGTTACATGACCCATCAGTGCAGCCTCCCACGGTCAGCATTAGCAGGGAGTTAAAATCAAGAAGCAGAGCTGGTGTCGAACCCAGGCCTGCTGGTGTGGGACTGCTAAGTCAGGCTCCCACCCACTCCTCCTGCCTACTTCTTGAAGGGCAAATTCCTCTGGACAGCAGCTTCGCATCCATGAGCGTGGAGTGAGAGTAAGTAGTTGGGCTCATTGCGTCGAGCAGGGGGACCACTGTTCACTCTGGAGAGCCCGCCACGTGCAGGGCCACCCTGCTGAAATTGTGTGCTTTCCCCGTCGCTTTGTCCGGTCACCAGCTGTTAACAGCACCCGCTCTGATTCAGTCAACATCCGGAGAGCTGAGTGTGTTGTGTGGTCCGAGACCCCCTGCTCTCACGGGGACGGGCAGACAAAGCCACAGATAAAGAGCACATCAGATCGCAGTAAGGCTGATGGAGGTGGTTAGAGCAGGGCCGTGGAGCGGGTGGTTAGGGTGCTCGAGTTCCCTAGTGTCTGGGTTTGATTCTTGCCTCCCGCCTCTGATTCCAGCGTCCTCCTAAATGCAGACCCCAGGAGGCAGCAGCAATGACTTAAGTGACTGGGTTGCTGTCACTCACGTTGGAGACCTGGACTGATTTCCTGGCTCCCTGCTTCAGCCCCTGGGCATGATGGCATCTGGGGAGAGACCAGCAGATGGTCTGTCGATCTCTCTGCCATTCCAGTTACAAAACAAATAAAGCTTTATTGTATATATTGATGGACATGTTTATGTACCAATAATAAGCTTAAAGGTATACTTTTTATTATATTTTGCCTTTTTTATTTGTTCTCATCTTTTATTTTATTTTTTAAAGGTTTTTAAGAGGCCAGTGCTGTGGTGCAGTAGGCTAAGCCTCTGCCTGCAATGCTGACAGCCCATATGGGCGCTGGTTCGTGTCCCGGCCGCTCCTCTTCCAATCCGGCTCTCTGCTGTGGCCTGGGAAAGCAGTGGAGGATGGCCCAGGTCCTCTGGCCCCTGCACCCACATGGGAGACCAGGAGGGGGAGCCTGGCTCCTGGCTTCGGATCTGTGCAGCTCCAGCCGTTGCGGCCATTTGGGGAGTGAACCAGCAGATGGAAGACCTCTCTCTCTCTCTCTCTCTCTCTCTCAGTCAGTAACCCTACCTCTCAAATAAATAAAAATCTTTTAAAATATATTTCAAAGAGTGATAGAGACAAAAAGAGACAGAGATAGCTTCCATCCATGGTTCACTCCCCAGATGCCTACAACAGCCGGGGTTAAGCCACGCCAAAGCCAGGAGCCAGGAACTCCGTCCAGGTCTCCTGTGTGGGTGGTACGAACCCAGATCCTTGGGCCATCATCTGCTGCCTACCGGGCGCATCAGTAGGAAAATGATCAGAAGTGTGGCGCAACCTGGATGCAACAGACACCCTGATCCGTACACCGTGTAGACATCCCGAGCAGTGGATTAACCCACCACACCGCAATGCCCACCCTCGTTCTCTCCTTTTAGATGTTTGTTCAGCATAATGTACACATCCTATCCTTGTGGATTAGGAGTAAAGTGACTCTTGTACCATAATGGCTGGTAGAAATGATCATTTCAGATCTAATACTTCATTCGTTTCCTTAATACTCTTAGATCCATTTATCTGGTAGGCTTTTCTTCTGTGAAGTATACTTTTAAATTTCTTTATGTTGGGGCTGGCACCATGGCACAGTAGGTTAATCCTCCGCCTGTGGCGCCGGCATCCCATATGGGTGCTGGTTCTAGTCCCTGCTGCTCCTCTTCCCATCCAGCTCTCTGCTGTGGCCTGGGAAAGCAGTGGAGGATGGCCCAGGTCCTCAGGCCCCTGCACCCACATGGGAGATCTGGAGGGGAAGCCTGGCTCCTGGCTTCAGATCGGCGCAGCTCCAGCCGTAGCGGCCATTTGGGGAGTGAACCAAAGGAGGGAGGACCTTTCTCTCTGTCTCTCCCTCTCACTGTCTGTGACTCTACCTCTCAAAAATAAAAAATCTTTTAAAAAATAATTCTTTATGTTTTCAATCATTACACTAAGAATCTTACCTCTTTCCAATCTTAAGGACACCTTATTTGCTAATGTATTGTCTACTCAAAGGAAAACATTGCATTTCATATGAAAGAGGGTGTATGTATACATTCTGACCAGAATTAGCATTTAAGAAAAGCTCCAAAGGAAAGATACATCTACCCACAATCATATTTGTATCAAGTCAGAGGCATAAACGATTTTTTTTTTTTTTGTAGAATAAAGAAATCCACTTTCGGAGATGGCAGACCACCTATGCGCTGACCTTGGAGGCTGGGGGAAAGTTACAGGACATGAGTGACCAGGAATCCAGGGCGTCCGTTGGCGAGACCATGAGCCAGCTTCAGGACAGCTGGACGAGCACAGAGCTCCAGCTGGGAGAGATGGTGCAGCAGTTCCAGGGCACGCTGGAGGTAACCCCACCAAACCCACCCCGGCCTTTCCTGCTCCTAACATTCAGATGTGAGGACGCTTCCAAAAGTTCTTGGGAAAACAGAATTAGAAGATAAGTTTATTGGGGCACAAAAAATGTTTTGAAATCTGTGTATATTCTTTTCATAATATGCATTTTTCATGAGTCTTTGAAGATACCCCCTCCAAAGCAGTACATATGATCTTTTGTTTGCTCTGTGAAGATGAGAATGGTTCTGAGAAACCACAATATTGTGAGTTTTCCAAGGGAGATCAAGTCCTACTGCCTAATCCCTGTCATGTCAGTCAGTAGCTTAGAAATAGTAAAATATCAATATAGCCTTGCAAAAGCTCATCGGTAACTGTAAGGCTAGAAATACTTCAAGTTCTGTTAGCATATTGACTTTCATGAAACAGGAGCAGTCGTTTTCAGTGGAGGTTCAATGCACAGAGTTAATCTTCCATATATGGCCTGTCCTTGGGTATAATGTCTGAAAATAAGCGTGGTGGCAATTCATTTTCCTGATTTCATTGGAGAATGCCCTTTTTGCACACAAGCGAGTTGTCCACCTAATTTCCGATTATACCTTTAAGGATGGGTATGCTTTATTCTGAGCCCTTATTGGGAAACTCACCGTTATTCTGTAGTGCTGAAATGCCACGTTGTTCCCAAGGAACCTGAGCGCCTTTGAGCCCATGGCCCTGTTTGACTGCGTGCTTCAAGTTCTGATGTCCTTAAGGTCAGGCTGTTTTCACTTTATGTTTTCTCTGAGCCGACTGCCACTACTGGCTCACTCGCCTGTGTGTGTGTCTTTTCTGTGTACCTGAACTGGATAACCAAACTTGCCTACATGCAGAGGAAGTCCTGGCCCATGCTAAGTTAGGACCTGAGCAGCTACTGTGCATAAAATATCTGAATTTGACTGGGTGTATGGAACGTGTGGAAATTCACTGACTGGCAGATACCTGTTGGACACCTGCCGTGTCTGTGCAGCTCTGGGGTGAATGCAGATGAGTTTGCTGAGAGAGGCCAGGACTCCCAGTTTGGCTTCTCTCTTTGCTTTTTTCCTGGTTGAGGTTCAGTTTGTGTTGCTAGAAAATGGCCGCTCCTTAGGTGGGGTGTTAGCAGAGGTTTGGGCCAACCCAAGTATGCTTAGGTATCCATTGGATTGGGGAATAGTATTTAATTCTATTTGTTTATAAATAGTATTTAATTGTATTTGTTTACCTGTAGTAACCCAGGATGAGAAATTCATTTATCCTAATGAATTCAATACAAACACCTTGACCTTGAACACGCAGGCACCTTTTGCTCAGTAATGTAAGGTTTGAGGGAAATAGATGGTGAGACTTGATCAGGCTTTTAACCTCATATCCTCGGGCCAGACAGTGTTTTCTGAACCTTGGTTTTCCACTTTAAATATGATACTAATTCTTGCCCTGTCTGCCTTCTGAGGTTATAATTCCAGAGTTAGTCAAGTTGGAAATGCTTTGTAAACCATTGAGCGCTTTAAGCAAAAGGCTGCTCTCGCAGGAGTGGTGAGAAGTGGAGAGTGAAGGCGCAACATAAGAGGGGCGCTAGAGCCCCCCCAGAGGGGTGACTGCAAAAGACGAGGAAAGTGGCCGATGGCTGCTGCCTTACAGTGCTATCATAGCATGCACCCAAGGCTGTAGATGCTAAAGGTTGATCCTTGCAGGAGCCTTTTAGATAAGAACTTCCCCAAACCGCCAGTAGAAAGGAGCTTGGGTAGCCAAGGGATAGGGCGGAGAGACCAGTGATGGAGTGAGCCAGGCAGAGCTGTGGGAGCCGCAGCGTCCTGTTGTGCCCCATCTGCTCCTGCAGAGCACGGTCTGTGCAAGGCAGGGCCGCAGGTCTCTTTGTGCTTTACCAAATACGCTTCCTAGAAAGATCGTGGGCCGGTGCCGTGGCTTGATAGGCTAATCCTCTGCCTTGCAGCGCCAGCACACCGGGTTCTAGTCCCGGTCGGGGTGCCGGATTCTGTCCTGGTTGCCCCTCTTCCAGGCCAGCCCTCTGCTGTGGTCAGGGAGTGCAGTGGAGGATGGCCCAGGTGCTTGGGCCCTGCACCCCATGGGAGACCAGGAAAAGCACCTGGCTCCTGGCTCCTGCCATCGGATCAGCGCGGTGCGCCGGCCGCAGCGCGCCGGCCGCGGCGGCCATTGGAGGGTGAACCAACGGCAAAGGAAGACCTTTCTCTCTGTCTCTCTCTCTCTCACTGTCCACTCTGCCTGTCAAAAAATAAATAAATAAATAAATAATAGATTTAAAAAATAAATAAAAGAAAGAAAGATCGTGGATTCCCCGAGGCGTTCTTCACAGCCGAGCCCTGACCGCTGCTATTCTCATTTCCCGTAGGCCTGGGAGCAGTGTGGAAAGAAACTCCAGGAGCTGAAGAGCAGGCTGCAAGGTGTGAAGGTGCAGAGCAGGGCTTCTCTTCCAGAGCTCCACGAGGACCTCCAGAAGGAGAAGGAGCGCATTAAGGTAGCGGAGCCGCAGCTGGCGGCTGGGCCGTCCCTTCCTCCGCGGTTTTCTGAGTGCCGGCAGCGTGCACCTGCCTTTGTCTCTCTGTGTCGAATCCGAGTTTTTACGTTCAGTTGGAAAACACTTGCCCCCGTCTTCTGATGCCACGTCCTGGGCTCCTAAGGAATTTGAGCCAGTGCTCTTCATCATGCTGGTGTGGAAATGAGAAGGACTCTGCTCCTTGGGGTCCTGGGGTTTCTCCCTCAGCTCCTCTTCCATCTGCTCCTCCTCTGCAATATAAGGTGTGGCTCTGAGGTTATTTTTTTTAAGATTGATTTATTTACTTGAAAGGCAGAACTACAGAGAAGCAGAGAGAGAGGGAAAGAGAGATCTTCCATCTGACAGTTCACTCCCCAAATGGCCACAACAGCTAGGACTGGACCAGGCTGAAGCCAGGAGCCAAGAGCTTCTTCCAGGTCTCCCACATGGCTGCAGGGGCCCAAGCACTTGGGCCATCCTCCGCTGCTTTCCCAGGTGCATTAGCAGGGAGCTGGATTGGAAGTGGAGCATCCGGGACTCGAACCAGCGCCCATTTGTGATGCCGGTGCTGCAGGTGGCGGGCTCCTTTCGAAAGATATTCCTGCATACACAGGCTGATATTTATTATATACATGTTCATTTGGGGGGTGGGGGGGCCTCTTTTGACTCAAATGCTAGGCTAGAGAAATGGCTTTGTGAAGTCAGACCACTGGGAGATTTTTACATTACACATTACTGGAAGCTTAGTCATTTGTGCAGTATAAACAACCTATCTGATTAAAGGAACGTGCAGGAAGCTTACAACATACTCGTTTTCTTTTGCAACCAGTTTGGTAGCAAATCCAGGGCATGTTAATTTCAAGACAGAAGCTTGGTTTTTGAAACGTTTATACTGATAGCAACCATCAAGTGCAATAAATCTCCATAGCAAGTCTCCCTTCTTGATATGGTGGACTGAGTCCTGGGTGTTTCCCGTGGTATTCCTGAACATTTTTCCAGCCTTTGATACACACGAGACTGTCTCAGAAACCTCACAGAAAATGGAATTAAAGGCTATACCTATTTTGGTGCAAAAACGCTGAAATCCATGCATAGAGAGATGCCAGACATTTCCTGGAAAATGTGTAGTCTGAAAAAGCTTGCATGGATTTCCTACGAATTTTACATCAGAAGTTCTTTTTTTCATTTTTATTTTTTGACAGGCAGAGTTAGTGAGTGAGAGAGAGAGCGAAAGGTCTTCACTTTCCATTGGTTCACCCCCCAATGGCTGCTCCGATGGCGCACTGCGCCGATCCGAAGCCAGGAGCTAGGTGCTTTTCCTGGTCTCCCATGGGGTGCAGGGCCCAAGGACTTGGGCCATCCTCCACTGCCCTTCCAGGCCACAGCAGAGAGCTGGCCTGGAAGAGGGGCAACCGGGACAGAATCTGGCGCCCCAACCAGGACTAGAACCGGGGGTGCCAGCGCTGCAGGCGGAGTATTAGCCTAGTGAGCTGTGGCGCCGGCCTTTTTTTTTTTTTTTTTTTTTTTGAAGTGAAGTGTCCTTGTACTGCCAAATTGCTTTTCTTTCGGTCATGTGCTTTGAGAGTGGAGGACTCACTCTGCAGCCGGCAGTGTGGTAGGCACCGGGAAGTGCCGTGGTGAGCAGTGTGGTCACAGCCCCTGCTGACCTCCCGGAATGACGTGAGAGCTACATAGCCAAGCTCTCCGCCCCGGGGCATGTGCACGTGCACGTGTGAGTAAATGATGAGTAAGAATGGTCAGTTCGAGAGGACAAGGACAGGGACAGGCGGTCAGAGCGTAAAACGGAGGCCGCCGCCTTGCCCAGTGGCTCAGAGAAGCCTCCCCTGAGGAATTAGCCACCGTTGCGTCTGCGGTCTGCTGGCTCCGGCAGTTCCCCAAATACCATGTAGGATCAGGAGCGTGAAAAGTTGGTAGCATTCCAGGCTAGTCATTAAAAATGCAGATTTAAAAATAGCCGGCGATCATTGCCCATGTTCAGCTCGCCCCGCCACCACCCTGTATAAAAACTGCACATTGAAAAATAGGGAAAATGAGACAGTCGTGCTTTCAGATGATTTGGCAAAATGTATGAATATTTATTAAAGCTCGGCCCCACATGCCCGTTTTGCAAAGCTCTCCACCTTGCAGTGGAAGGTATGATAAGAATCCAGACGGCTGTGGTTTAATCCGGGATGTGGATCAGTGCAGGCGGCTGAGCAGGGCCCTGGCCGGGCCCAGCTTCCTGGCCCGGGGACCGGGAGACACCACACACAGCTCAGGGAGCTCACAGGAAAAGCGTGTCTTAGGAAAAACTGCGCCTGCATTTCAAATGCGGAGGGTGACCGGAATAAACCGCTTAGTTCCGTGTGGCACACACCTCGGAGCGCCGTGGCTCGCCAGAGGCCCTGTGGGTCCAGGTGAAGGGGGCGCCTGAGCTGCCTACAGGACAGAGCTACATCGAGGAGCGCTCCCCCAAAAACTCCATGGTCACCCACTCAGCAGGAACCAAGAGACTGAAACAAGGCAACAAGCATTTGCGATTTAAAATACCAACCGGTCTCCTGTTTCTGTTTTTATTTTTTTAAGATTTACATGTTTATTTGAAAGAACAACACAGAGAGAGAGAACTCTTCCATTCACTGATTCACTCCCCAGATGGACTCAACAGCCTGTGCTGGGCCAGCCCAGAGCCAGGAACTCTTTACTGGTTTCCCACATGGGTGGCAGGGGCCCAAGCATTTGGGCCATCTCTTGCTGCCTCCCAGGGCATTAGGAAAATGGATCATGGGGCCGGCACTGTGGCATAGCGGGTAAAGACGCCACCTGCAATGCCGGCATCCCATATGGGCGCCGGTTCTAGTCCCGGCTGCTCCTATTCCGATCCAGCTCTCTGCTATGGCCTGGGAAAGCAGTAGAAGATGGCCCAAGTCCTTGGGCCCCTCCACCCACATGGAGACCCAGAAGAAGCTCCTGGCTCCTGGCTTTGGATGGGCACAGCTCCAGCCTTTGTGGCCAATTGCAGGGTGAACCAGTGGATGGAAGACCTCTCTGTCTCTCTCTTTCTGCCTCTCCTTTTCTCTCTGTGTAACTCTGACTTTCAAATAAATAAATAAATCTGTTAAAGAAAAAAAAAAGTGGGTCAGAAGCAGAGTAGCTGGGACTTGAGCCAGCACTCGGATATGTGATGGGGGTGTTTTAAGCTGCCGCTTAACTCGCTGTGCCACACACTTGTCATTTAGGTGTTATTTCTGAACTCTGTCACCTTTATAAAGAATGTTCTGGACCATTTCATTAAATGTGATTTCTTGTTATAAAATCATCCCACTGTGGCTCCTTGGGCTCTGAAAATCAATCAGAATTAACACATTTTGGTTATGGCCATGTCAGACCAATTTCTGATGCAAATGGCATCGTGCGAGGGTATTTCAGAGAGTTTCCAGAAAAATGGAATGAAAATAAATCAGTGTGTTTTTATGCAGGAAATTTTGAGATCCCTGCATAGATTTTTTTTTTTAAAGATTCATTTATTTATTTGAAAGTCGAGTTACACAGAGAGAGAAGGAGAAGCAGAGACAGAGAGGTCTTCTATCTGCTGGTTCACTCCCCAATTGGCCACAATGGCCAGAGCTGTGCCAATCCGAAGCCAGGAGCCTCTTCCGGGTCTCCTATGCAGATACAGGGGTCCAAGGACTTGGGCCATCTTCTACTGCTTTCCCAGGCCATAGCAGAGAGCTGGATCGGAAGTGGAGCAGCCAGGACTCGATCCAGAGCCCGCAAAGGTGGTGGCTTTACCTGCTATGCCACAGCACCGGGCCCCCTGCGTAGAGTTTTCATAATGCACGTTTTCCATGGACTTTCTGAAATCCTTAGAGTGTCCTTTTAGATTTCAACTGACAGGAATAGGACCTTTAAGATGTGCTGGGGGTGGGGTGGGAGGGCGGATATGGTGGGAAGAATCACTATATTCCTCAAGTTTTACTTATGAAATTTTACTCATTAAATAAAAGATTTCTTTTGGAATAAAAAAATGTGTTGAGGCGTGAGGCGGAATTGTAGGCTCCTGCCTTTTCCTTCCCCGACTGTGAAAGTCGTTTTGCTTGATCAAACTCCAGAAGTGACCAACACTTCACAGCCAAATGGATGGAACTGGAGAACATTACACTGAGTGAGACCAGTCAGGCCCAGGCAACAAAGGTCACGTTTTCTCTGGTTTGTGGAAGTTAACAGAGCAGAGAAGCTGTGTGGCTGTCGGGTCGTTCGCTGTATGCGCATAAACACTGCATCGCTGGGCTATACCAGTTATGCCCTTCGTTCCCCATGTTGTGATCACGGCCTATGAATCCCTCATTTGGTGACATTCATATCTGTCTTCAAGAAAAAAATAGCATATATGTGTATGTATGTAATTTGAGGCCGGCAGTGGGTTTGGGAGTCTGGGCCTCAGACATAGCCAGAACGTCCCACACAAGCGGGCTGTCAGCTGTGGCTGGAAAGCCTGTCTCCACCCGGCCGGCGGCTCCCCCACTAACAGCTGCCCCTTCTGCACCTGTGACCTTGCGGCTTGAAATCACTCCTCCAGGGTGGGTGCAGTCTTTCACCCAGAGCTGGCAGGGGGTGGGGCTGAGCCCCTAAGGAGACGGACGGTCTCCAGGAGAGAGGTCGGTCAGTCTTCCATCTGCTGGTTCACCCCCCAATTGGCCACAACGGCTGGAGCTGTGCCCATCCATCTGCATGAGCCCCGAGCCAATCAACATGCAGTATGTGAGCCCCCCGCCCCGTGCAATGGGCACCCCCAACAGGATGACCCAATGAGCAGAGTAGCGCCTTAGAAGCCCCGGACCCTTCCTCAAAGCCAGTGTCCCCCTGGGGTGCTCCACCTGCCCTCCTCTCAGACCACACACTTTTCTCTGTCGCTTGCCAATCAAATAAATCTTCTTTTCTGTCAAATAAACGTTCCTGCCTCTTTGCAACTTGTTTCCCGGCTTTTTATTTCTATACTGAGCTGAGGAAAAGGACCCACGAGACTCGCTCCAGCAAACTCCCCTCCGTGACCGGGCACATAAGGTCTCATACAACGTAAATGTGCCCGAGTGTTAAAAACTGTCTGTTTATTTTTAAAGACTGATTTATTTGAAAGGTAGAATTAAAAAGAAGGAGAGGCAGAGAGAAAGACACAGAGAGAGAAATCTTCAGTTTGCTGGTTCACTCCCCAAATGGCTGTAACAGCCAGAGCTGGGCTGATCCAAAGCCAGGAGCCAGGAGCTTCTTCAGGGTCTCCCACGCAGGTGCAAGGGCCCAAGCACTTGGGCCATCTTCTGCTGTTTTCCCAGGCCACAGCAGAGAGCTGGATCTTAAGAGGAGCAGTTGGGTCTCGAACTGGCAACCGTATGGGATGCTGGCACTGCAGGCAGCGGCTTTACTTGCTGTGCCACAGTGCTGACCCCACAAATTGTTAAATTTTAAAACTAAAGAAATGGTCTTAAAATAAAAGCAAGGGGTTGGGGGGGGGAGCTAGCTGTTCCCACAGCCAGAGGATTTTGGCTGTAAACACACCTCTGCCAATCATTTGGGAACAGTCTTTTTGTTTTTCTCCTTCCATTATACTCATTCTTTTGGGACGTTCACTGGAATGAGTTCCCTTGGCACACAAGGTGTATGATCCACACCTGAGAAGTCACAGTGAATGAGGGTACTTCCAAAAGTGTGTGTGGGGGGGGGGGGGATGGAATTAAATGCAAAACATCTTAGCAACCCATGCAAAGTTTTTCTCATCAGCCACAAACTTTTAAAACACAATGCAGGTGAGAATTTTTATTGGATTCCAAAGATACTAAATCAATAGAAATGCCTGCGGTGACTTTAAAGCAGAATTAACTGTGAAAATCAGAACCACCTGAGGAAGAGTGCCTAGGAGAAAAAGGTGGCCGAGAACGGCCCAGCCAGGCCTGCAGGCGCCGCTCGGCTGCACCAGGGCCCTCCCCCTTCCCGGCCTCCCCTCCCCCGCCCCCAGCCTCAGGTTTGCAGACCGCGGCCGCTCCAGTGGAGTTGTGTCTCCATGCAGGATCTGGAGAAGTCTCTAGCGACCTGGTCTCAGAACTGGCAAGAGCTTGAGGCCGTGCAGGCGGAGCTGGGCCGGCGCGCCCTGGCGGAGGACGCGATGGGGCTGCGACAGCAGATGGAGCACCTGCACAGACAATGGGACGACCTGTGCTTGCGAGTAAGTCCGGGGCTGAGCGCGGTGGCCCTGCAAGCGGCACTAACGCACGCGTGCACGCCCGCCCGCTGCAGACAGGCGCCCACCGTCCGGGCGGCGGCCACCCCCACCTGGCGCAGCCGAGCTGACCCTTTTGTTCCTGGGGCGCTGAGCGAACTTGCAGCGCTTGTGAGCACGCACGGTGTTGCGGGGTGGGGGGACTGCGGGGCGCAGTCGCCGAGGCGCCACTTCCCGCCCGCCCGCGAGAACTCTGCCCCGCACGTGCAGCGCCCGTGGCCGGTTGATGATCAGCTGCTGGGCTGTCTAGGCGGACCCCTTCCGCCTGTCCGGGAGATTCTGCCCAGGTGGGGGCGGGGAGGATGCGGAGACTTAAAGACCTTTGTTTTAAGAACGCGTAATTCCCAGGAAAGTAAATCCCCTAATCTCCTTTTGCTGGATCTAGAAGAGACGGATTTTTTTTTTAAAGTTTGAAATTCAGATATTGTTGAGTGCATTTTAAGCAAATCTCAACGCGTTCTGCCTTTTCGATGCGCCCATTAGAAAGTCTCTCCGTGCCCTAGCTTTAAGTGGCCTTTTCCACTTGGTATTCGAATTTTACATGAAAGACAATGTCTAGCACACGGAGAGCAGTATCCAGGAGCTGAGGGAGCCGCCGGGGAGGCTGGGGCCCGCATGTGCCTAATTGTTTCCATCAGGAAATCAGCTGAAGGAAGCCGTGCAAAATGCCAGGAGTTTTGAAAGCTAAGATAAATAGATGCCCAGGGGAATGGAAACATAAAACTTGTGTTTTCAGGGGTAGTTTTTCAAGCCTTTTTAGCACATTCGCCGGGAAGGGTGTGTAAGCATTGGGGTTGTTTTGTTTTGTGAGGGTTTTTGGTTTTGTTGTTTGTTTTTTGCGTTGTTCTGGACAGAGCAGAGAGTTTTGTGTTTGGAGCAGGAAAACCTCAGTGAATTTGACTTGGTTTCCCATCTATTGAAGGGGTGTTAAAGTCTAACCAAAAGAACTGGGCTACTCCACACCCTCCCAACACACACACACACACACACACACACTTTTAGCTTCCAAGGATTTTTAAGACCAGGAAATGCATTTGTACATGTAGGAGGCTGATGTGCCTTGTTTAAACTTTCGTAACATTGATTTTACTTATTTGAGAGGCACAGTGACAGAGAAGCAGAAACAGAGAGAGAATCTTCTATCAGCTGGTTCATTTCCCAAATGGCCACAATGGCCCTGGCTGGGTCAGGCTGAAGCCAGGAGCCTGGAACTCCACTGGGGTTTCCTATGTGGTGGCACAGGCCCAAGGACTTGGCCATCGTCTGCTGCCTTCCCGGGGCAATAGTAGGGAGCTGCATTGGAAGTGGAGCAGCCGGGACTCAAATCCGCCCTCCAGCTTCCTGCACCACAGTGCAATATGTTTTAACCCTGGGAGAGGAGGAATTTTTGCTGGTGTCAGCTCAGGAGTTGCTAGTGCGTCATGGAGTGCTGGGTATTTGGGAGTCGCCTGCTTGCTGCAGACCAGTGTTGGTGACATTTCTGTCATTTCTACCCAAAAGCCACAGGACATAACACAAAGTGAGCTATATGAATGGCAGGCATGGCTTTTGCACTTGTTTGCTTAATTTTAATGCAACACCAAAGACATTGAAATTTTTTTAATTTTCCTGGCTCATTTGCCTTACAAATGTGTGATTTATATTATGGTTTGGATTATGGTTTTTAAATAGAGCATTGGCCTTGTGTAGGTATAAGGATTTCATCAATTTTTTTAAAAGATTTATTTATTTCAAAGGCAGAGTTACAGAGAGACAGAGAGAGAGAGAGAGAGAGAGAGAATCTTCCATCCACTGGTTCACTCCCCAAATGGCTGCAGTAGTCAGAGCTGGGCCAATTTGGAGCCAGGAGCTTCTTCCGAGTCTCCCACAGAGTTGCATGAGCCCAAGGACTCAGACCATCTTCCGCTGCTTTCCCAGGCCATAGCTGAGAGCCGAATTGGAAGAGCAGCAGCTGGGATTCGAACCGGCGCCCATATGGGATGCCAGCACTGCAGGTGGCAACTTTACCCACTATGCCACAGCGCCAGCCCCTTTCATCAGTTTTTGAAGGGGAAGGATTTGGGTCTTGCAGTTGTTACAGTGAATGCGTATTGAAAGACCATGAGCAGAAGAAATGTGGTTGATGCTGGATGTATTCATTCAACTTCCCCTGTTTTAAATTTTTTTAAGACTTATTTATTTGAAAGAGTTACACAGAGAGAAGGAGAGGCAGAGAGAGAGAGAGGTCTTCCATCTGCTGGTTCACTCTCCAGTTGGCCACAATGGCCGGAGCTGTGCCGATCCGAAGCCAGGAGCCAGCAGCTTCTTCCGGGTCTCCCATGCGCGTGCAGGGGCCCAAGGACTTGGGCCATCTTCCACTGCTTTCCCAGGCCATAGCAGAGAGCGGGATTGGAAGTGGAGCAGCCGGGACTAGAATCGACACCCATATGGGATGCCGGCACTACAGGTGGCAGCTTTACCTGCTACGCCACAGTGCTGGCCCCTGTAATTTTTAATATAGCCTGATTGTAATAGGTGAATATTAGGTAAAATTCAGTTGTAGTCTTTTTTTTTTTTTTTTTTTTTTTTACAGGCAGAGTGGACAGTGAGAGAGAGAGACAGAGAGAAAGGTCTTCCTTTGCCGTTGGTTCACCCTCCAATGGCCACTGTGGCCGGCGCACCATACTGATCCGAAGGCAGGAGCCAGGTGCCTCTCCTGGTCTCCCATGGGGTGCAGGGCCCAAGCACTTGGGCCATCCTCCACTGCACTCCCGGGCCACAGCAGAGAGCTGGCCTGGAAGAGGGGAATCCACCACAGTATCTGGCGCCCCGACCGGGACTAGAACCCGGTATGCCGGCACCGCAGGTGGAGGATTAGCCTAGTGAGCTATAGCGGTGCCGGCCAGGTATAGTCTTTTGCTGCCTTTATAGTACTTAGGAAAGATGCAGGGAGGTTTTCAAGGGGGCAAAAAAAGATTTCAGTCTATTAGAGCTACTGATTACAGTGAATGAAATTTGTGATCCTTCTGATAGGGAGAAGGGAGAGAGGAAGAGAGGGAGGGCGGGGGAGGGCGATTCCTTCCCATTCTCAGCTGCCCATGCATTTCCCTCCCAGGTGGCCATGCGCAAACAGGAGATTGAAGACAAACTCAATTCATGGATCCTATTCAATGAAAAGAATAAAGAAGTGTGTGCGTGGCTGGTGCAGATGGAAAACAAAGTTCTGCAGACCGCGGATATCAGCATTGAAGAAATGATTGAGAAGCTGCAGAAGGTAAGCAGGGGTGCCGGGTGAGCGCCATCCTGCTGCCCTGGGAATTCTCCGCCCGCCTCGCTGGCCGGCTCAGAGGCGTGCCCACAGGTGCGTTTCCAGGAACGCTCTGCAGCTGTCCGTTTTTGAGCCCTCTGAGAGAACACCTGGAAAAGAGAAGATTGCAGACGGATGGGAAGTGTAGGGCTGCTCTGGGTGGGCCTGTAGTGGGAGACTTCCACCCAGCTCAGAAGTCTGGCAGAGCTGGGGCTCCCAGCTCCAGCAGCTGCTCTCCACGCCTCAGGCCAGGTCAGGGTTGTTTCTTGTTTGTTTTGATTTATTGGAAAGTCAGAGTGACAGAGAGGGAGGAAAAGACAAAGACGTCTTCCATCCACTGATTGCACTCCCCAGAAGCCAGGAACCAGGACCTCCACCCAGGTCTCCCACTTGGGCGGCAGGGAGCCATGCACTTGGGCCGTCTTTTGCTGCTTCCCAGGCACGTTAGCAGGAAGCTGGATCAGAAGCGGAGTAACTGAGACATGAACCAGGTGGTCTGATACAGGATGTGGGCCCTCCCCCCCACGGCATCTGCTGCCCTCTAGTGGTTATTAGTGGAACCTCCTGCCACAGCTGTGTGGCCAACAGTGGCGAAATGGTCCCTAACCCCCACAGATGAGAGCATTGTGTTTTAAAATTATTTATATTTATGTAAGAGATGGAGACAGAGATCTTCCAACCACTGGTTCACTCTCCAAATACGTGCAACAGCCAGGGACGCGTTGGGCTGACACCAGGAGCCACAGACTCGATCCCAGAATTCAGTCCCGGTCTCCCACAGAGGCGGCTGGAACCCAAGCACTTGAGCCATCACCTGCCTCCCTCCTAGGGTGCACTTTGGCGGGAAGCTGGAATCTTGGGAGCGGAGCTGGGACTTGAACCCAGGCACTGCAGTGTGGGATGCAGGGAGAGCTTTCCTGCTGCAAACATCACACAGTAAACACTCAGGAAAAGTCTTAGTAATGTTGGCCCCGGTTCCTGCAGCTCCCGGCCATCCAGTGAGACAGAGGGGCTGTTGAGTTAAGGAGCTGACTCCCACCTTACTTAATACTTCACATTTGCCCTGTGGACGGTTGCCTGTCGTAGCAGCTACTCACAGAAGTGGTGCGTCCGCAGCTGTGAGGCTGTTTAACTTCTCAAACGTGTTCAGAAGGCAGTTGTGTGTCTGTGGCCGGCTAAGAAGGGAACTTGGAGTAATCGCTCGGGCTTTGTGTGTTGGCGCCTTTGGCAGGACTGCATGGAAGAAATAAACTTGTTCAGTGAAAACAAGCTGCGGCTAAAGCAGATGGGTGACCAGTTAATCCAGGCGAGCAACAAGACGAGGGCGGCTGAGGTCGACGACAAACTCAACAAGATCAACGACCGCTGGCAGCATCTTTTTGATGTCATTGGCTCCAGGTAAGCAATGACCCGGAAGTTATCCTGACCACCAGGGTGCACTGGCGACTCCGCAGACCCGCTCAGCTGAGTCCAGTCTTCCTGTTCCAGCAGCTTCTCAGATGTGCAGATTGGGGCAAGGTTTGGTAAAAACAAGTGGACAATCTTATCTCAGCATTATGGAAGGAGTACGTTGTCGTACGTCCCACTTGAATCTTTTCTCTTCCGCTTCCAATTGCACATGAGTTAGATTGGTTTGAAATGGAAGGTGGAAATTTAAGTTGAAGAGTTTGATTCAAAATAGCTGGAGAAGATTTAGAGTGTTCCCAACACAAAGAAATGATCAATGTTTTGGGGAAAAAACAAAAACCTTCAGAAATCCAGATATGTGCGAGTCTACCAAAAGTTCATGGAACATGTATTTCATGAAAAAAAGCATCGATTTGGAAAAATGCACCAAAATATTTTTTATTCCATTTTTCCATGAATGTTCATATGATTTAGAAGGAACAGGAGACACTATAAAGTAGGTGGAGAAGCCGGAAGTGGTGACAGTAAGATACCGTTCATAACTCGCCGTATCCTCTCCCTCCCTCGTTGATGGGGGACTGTGAGTGAGCCCGATTCAATCAGCAGAGGCCCCTACCTGCATGCTGGGAGCGTGGCAGGAAGATAGTCAATTACATTAATGGGAGCAGCTGCAAAGCCCAGGGTCTGGGAGCTTAGATGGCGTCTTCCTGGGAGTGGGGGTGGGGATTAGGAAGCGTCTCACAGAAGGGCTGCGTTTCCAGATGGTTCTGAAAGAGGGGCTTCACAGCACCTGGAGGTAGTGTGTCGTAAACAGCATAGAAGAGGAGTGACGAGAAGCCCCACTGGCTCATATGTCGCAAAGGAAGCTGGAGTGGTAGGTGGGTGGGGGCCAGGGGGTGGGTGTTTATCCCAGGGCTTAAGACGGCGGTTGGGGTGCCCACATCCATGTCAGAGTACCTGAGTTCAAGTCTGGCTCTGCTCCCAATTCCAGCTGGTTTTTTGCTCATGCAGACCCTGGGAGGCACACAGTGATGTCTCAAGTACTTAGGTCCCTGTCACCCACATAGGAGACTTGGATCGTGGTCCTGGTTCCCGGCTTTGGCCTGACCCAGTCTCAGCTCTTGTGAGCATTTGGGGAGTGCACCAGCTGGTAGATCTGTCTCTCTGTGCCTCTCCTCCTTTCAAAGGCAGGAAAGGTAGGAAGGTGCTTTGAGGCCAGCTTTTTTTTTTTTAAAAGAGCACATGGGAATTTTTTATTTTTTAAAGATTTATTTATTTATTTGAAAGTCGAGTTACACAGAGAGAAGGAGAGGCAGAGAGAGAGAGAGAGAGAAAGAGGTCTTCCATCCGCTGGTTCATTTCCCAGTTGGTCGCAATGGCTGGAGCTGAGTCAATCTGAAGCCAGGAGCTTCTTCTAGGTCTTCCACACGGGTGCAGGAACCCAAAGATTTGGGCCATCTTCTACTGCTTTCCCAGGTCACAGCAGAGAGCGGGATCAGAAGTGGAGCAGCCAGGTCTTGAACCAGTGCCCATATGGGATGCCGGTGCTTCAGGCCAGGGTGTTAACCCGCTGTGCCCCAGCGCCTGCTCCTGAGGACAGCTCTTAGTAGACTGTAATCTCACCCAGGAGTCAGCTCCTAAATAACTCCACGTCGTTGCTGGTTTCCGACCATCGTGCGTCTGCTGAACCCAGTGCCGGGGTGATTTCACTGGCAGTGGAGGCTGGGCTGAATTCAGCTTCTCCCCACAGCCAGTTGGGAGGAAAAATCTGCAGAATTCCATGGCCATGAGCTAAGTCAGGCTTAGGAACCGAGGGTTTGAACCCCCTTCCTGAACTCCTCACTCTCTGCCGGAACTTGAACATGAGCGTTAACCTTTGTAAGCGTCCATTTCTAAATTGCAAAATGTGTCCAGCTGGTCATGTCAGAGGCCACCGCCCACCATGAGGGTGAATGCTGGGTGTTCCCCGCTGTCACAGGACCAGCACAGCCCGTTGCAGCCAGGGTTAGTGAGTGGCTGTTTTCGTTGTTTCTCCCTAAGAAGACTCTGGGACTAAGTGGTGTGTTTCATATAGAAGAGGATTCCCTGGATTGTGTCCCGTACAAGGAACTCTTCCTCCAATAGGCCAGTGAGTTGACTGTTGCATCCCCAGGGCTTAGAACAAAGCCTCAGCTATTTGTTGAAATGAATACATGTGCCAGGGCATAAGGATAAGTTGGCTTCTGTTTGGTAAGTTGTGTCTTTGTGGTTGGCATTATATCCTAAGTCATCTGGCTTGAGCGTCAAGTGCTAGTTAAGGGTGACCTGTTTGGGGGCCATTATTCAGGACCAAAATCCAGCTATGTGCCCTGTAGGCTCGAGTGACAGTCTCTTCTTGCTCACAGTACATCAGTTTGGAGTATAACGGGCTGTATGCTCTCTCTCTCTGGCCGCCTGTTTTCAGCTAGTTGCTTGGTGAGAAAGAGAAACTAGCAAATGAGACCTTCTGAGTCATCTTGGAAAGAGCAATTGACAAATGAACCAATAACAAATATATTGGCTGCCAGTTCTATTGTGTTTTTAAAAGAGATTTATTTATTGAAAGTCAGAGTTACACAGAGAAGGAGAGGCCGAGAGAGAGATCTTCTATCCACTGGGTCACTCCCCGGTTGGCCGCAATGGCTAGAGCTGTGCTGATCCGAAGCCAGGAGCCAGCAGCTTCTTCTGGGTCTCCCACATGGGTGCAGGGGCCCAAGCATCTGGGCCATCTTCTTCTGCTTTCCCAGGCCACAGCAGAGAGCTGGATCGGAAGTGGAGCAGCTGGGACTTGAACCGGCGCCCATATGGGATGCTGGCACTGCAGGTGGTGGCTTCCCCCGCTACGCCACAGCGCCGGCCCCGCCAGTTCTATTCTTGATGATATGCTTTTTATGTATGACTTCACTAAGATTTCATTGTCATTCAGAAAGGCAGATACCATTACCCATTTGACAGATAAGGAAACTGAGTCCTGGAGTGAAATAGGTTGCTCATGGTCGCATTTCTAGATGTGATACAAATGGAATCTTATGCATGGGTGTCCCCTCACTGCTCCCCCAAACCCTTCTAGTTTGAAACACTGACACGAGTAAAATGTAGTGGGAGCCCCCATTCCTCCAACACTGAAGGGCCTGGGAAGAAATAACTCCTCTTCTATTTTTATTTTTTAATATTATTTTATTTATTTATTTATTTTGGTAAACTGTTTCTGTCTTTCAAGCAGAGATCAATCTTCCATCTGCTGGTTCATTCCCCAAATGCCCTCAATAGCCAGGGCTGGGCCAAGCCAAAACTATGAGCCCAGAACTCCAAATAGTTCTCCCATGTGAGTGGCAGGGTCCCGAGGAGCTAAATTGTTATTCACTGCTTCCCAGGATACATAGCAAGAAACTGGATTGGAAGTGGAGCAGCCAGGACTCAAATGGGCACTCCATTAGGGGAGTCAAACTAGTGGGCGTCAAAGCAGAGGCTTCCAAATTGCATCATGATGCCCGCCCCTCCTCATCTCTTTAAGCAAGGGCCAAGCCACGCGAGCCAATGGCTCGGAGGCTAATGGGATTTTTTTTTTTTTACAATTGATTTATTTATTTTAAAGGCAGAGTTAGAGGCAGAGGCTGAGAGAGGGAGGGAGAGAGAAAGACAGGTCTTCCATCCACTGGTTCACTCCCCAGATGGCTGCAATGACCGGACTTGGGATGATCCAAAGCCAGGAGCCAGGAGCTTCTTCCAGGTCTCCCATGCAGGTGCAGGGGCCCAAGCACTTGGGCCATCTTCTGCTGCTTTCCCAGGCCACAGCAGAGAGCTGGATCGGAAATGGAGCAGCCAGGACTCGAACCGGCGCCCATATGGGACGCTGGCACTGTGGGCGGTGGCTTTACCTGCTATGCCACAGCGCCGGCCCCCTAATGGGACCTTCAGGTGCTCTGTGGGTTGAGGCAGCAAGCTTGCACCTGCCACAGAGCAGCCTCACACTGAACCAACTCCTTGTCTGATCCCTCACATGACCTCACCCTGGGCACTGTACAGAGGTGTTGCTGCGGGGCGGGGGGGGGGGGTAGGGTGGCGGGTTCAGGCTGCCAAGTTTACATGTGAGTAGTGCCAACAAGAACCTGCTGTACCGGGGCCGCCGATGGCCTTGTTTACCCAAGGAGTCGACACCATGGAGCCTTTTGCACCTGGCTCGTGGTCTTCTGCCTTACCTGTTCTAAAAATCAGATTTGGGGATTGGGGAGTAGGTGTTTGGTACAGGTGTTGAGCTGGTGCCTGGGACCCTGGCATCCCATATTGGAGTCCCGGGTTCTGTTCCTCTCTCTGCTCCCCGCTAACGCACACCCTGGGAGGCAGCCAGTGACGGCTCGTGGAGTTGGGTCCCTGCCACTCACCTGGGAGACCCAGCCTGAGTTCTGGCTCCTGCCTTCAGCCTGGCCCAGATTTGGCAGCTGTGGGCATTTGGGGAGTGACCAGCGATGGAAGATCTCTGTGTTTCAAATAAAATGAAAAGACATAAATTTTTTTAAAGTAAGATTTGGAGGGAAATCCTGTATAGGAATCTGGCCTATCATGTCAAGATTTTAACCAGAAGCCTTTAATGTCAAGGTTCAGGAATGGAGTTTGGAAATCTAATACCTTGGTAGACCACATTGAGTTCACTAGGTGAATAATAATAATAATAATAATAATAATAATAATAATAATTGGGATCCATTCTCAGCAAAATAAGGGCAGGTTTTTATATAGATTATTTTATTTGAAAGGCAGAGTTACAGAGAGAGACAGTCTTCCACCTGCTGGTTTATTCCCCCTAGTGGCCCCATCGGCCAGGACTGGGCCAGGCCAAAGCCAGGAACCAGGAGTTTCTTTTGGGTCTCCCACATGGGTGCAGGGGCCCAAGGACTTGGGCCATCTTCTGCTTTCCCAGGCCATAGCAGAGAGCTGGATCAGAAGTAGAGCAGCCGGGACTTGAACCGGTGCCC